CGGCGGACTACAGAAATGCTTCTGCTTCGCATCGCATTAATAAAAAAATAAAAAAAACTCGCGACGGACAACATAAATGCTTCTGCTTCGCACCGCATTAAAAAAACTCGCGGCGAACTACATAAATGCTTCTGCTTCGCATCGCATTAAAAAAAAACTCGCGACGGACTACATGAATGCTGTGGTTCGCACCGCATTAATAATAGTCTACAATTATCTCAGCTATTTCATAAAATCCATTGGAGGCTTTTTTTCTTCTGCCAATGTTTTGAATTACATAATTTAGGTTGTGCTAAAATAGAAATTTTACAGCATCGTTTGAAAATGTTGAACAAATTGAATAATATATTACATAAGTTTGCACAGTGTAAGTGATATTACTTCATTCGTTTTGAAAAATAAAACTAGTGACTTTTTCGAGTATTATTCAGAAGCATCAGTCTTCAAGGAGAACTCTTATTATAATGATAGGCGCCAACCAAATTTTGTACATAGGAGATTTTCAATTCATCAGATGTATTTTATTCAACTATGTAATTTGATTGTAATGAGAAGTACGATATTGTATTTTGATGACTTGAATGAGAGGCAATGCTAGTCTTTTTCAACTGAGTTGAAAATGAGTTTTTTCTTTGTTTTCACTTCAGTTACTCTGCGAGGCGTACTTTTAAATAGATTAATTTTGGTGTAAGTTTTGAAGAACAATCCAAAACAAAATATTGCAGTTAGTCTTCCATTTGTTCATTACAACTATACATAAAAGCGAACAGAAAAGAATCATTTTGAATATGTGCGTTTGAGTATGTTTATTAAGAAATATTGGATTACCGTTCGCGTAACAAACTTTCTGCCTACAGCTGTGGCTTGGCTTTATTTGTTGTCAATTTTTCTTTTCGTTCAGGTACATGGGATAATTAAGCAAAATATTTTTCATCAGTTTTTCTTATTCTCTTTTTGTGAAAGTTAAAGTCGATAACGGTGTGTGTAGAAGAACAATATGTTTTTAAAGTAAATGTGCCATTACAGTCAACTTTACTTTTAATTATTCAATGCAATTTCTTTCCATGCTGATTTTCTTTTTTCTCTCTTCTATATTCGCCGTTTCTGTCCAGAAGTATTTATGAGTACATCTATCTATATATTACTGGAAGAATTATTTCTACAGCATGCACCAGAGAACTCCTATAGTGAAATTGAATTATTTTATTTTATATTCTATGCTTATAATGCAGCAGTGATAGTGTAGATACAGAGAATTTTTTTGTTTCTTTAGCAGTAATATTTGGTTTCCTTGTTAACAAACAATTTTATTCATTTATTCTCATTGCTGACGAAATAAGTATTTCTTCTAAGCTAATACTTTGTATAATTGATTTTATTTTTTCAACAGAAAAAAAGAAAAAAAACTTTTATCATAATTAAAATGGTAATCAAGCCTATATAGTAGCCCATTTATTGTCGATTAGATATTATGAAACAACATAAATATTAGACATGTTTTTTAACTTTTATTTAAAGCAGCTAGAATATTAAATTGTTCATCATTGATTAGTTCTGCCGATGTTTATATCTACCATTTATAAAATATTGAATCAGTCAATATCTCATGATTTTGTTAAGAAAAAATGGTGTCTCATTATGTATGTTTGCTGCGAGAAATACTTTTTCTTTTTTTTTCCTTATTTTTAATGGAATGTAAGAAACGCTATTTTCCGCTAGAAATAATGCAAGAATCATAGATATGGCAAAATATTACATTTCATTATTCTCTTCACATTTGTATATTTGTAGTGGCTTTGTAGTCATTGAAAATTCAACTAATATATACTACGTTGTTTTTAGTTTTAATTTTTTATGTCTTCGAACGCATGGAGACCTATGTGAATAAAGAATCTGATTGAAATTCAGTTCACACTAGAAAAGTTTAAAACAAGTTTTATATGTGTTGACAACATCAGGATGTCAAATCTGCGTCGAAAAGTTACGAGAACATAAAATAAAAGATTTGAGATGATGAGCTAGGCAGAAAAAAAGATATGTACATGATCATAGAATTCTACGTATACGATTTAATTCAAGTCACAATCATATATGAACTGATTAATAAATACCTGTAAATAGTTTGTTCAAGTTATTGATCTTAAGTCATAAGTTTTCTTGTAGAGAAAAGAACGTCTGACTATCTTTCTATTGGTTCTTGGTAGTTTAAATGTAGCATTATTCCAAAGAAATATTTCTTCTTAGAAACATAAGATGCATGAGAAAACGTAATTAGAAAAGTATACGGAAGTAATACGTTTTATTATCAACGTAAAATTATTAATACAAGTGATAATATTAAAAAAAGACAGTTAAAATTTCTATGAATCAAATATTATTGAGTAGTGTAAAGAACAATTACAGCGACAGATGCTGATATTAACGTTTAGTTTGATAATTAAAAACGACCAACAATAGTCGATGATTCTTTTTCAATTCATTCTTAAAAAATAAATGTATGGAACATATTTTTTGCCTAAGGAATTAGTACAGCTTCGCCGAATTTTATTTTCGCCGACGATTATTTTGGTCGACTCCAACTTCGCCGAATAAAAATCTTGACCGAAAAATATCGAATCAAATTTGATCCATTCTAGACATAGAATTTTATCCTAACTAACTACTTTAATAGTGACTTCATTAATTAACCCCATCTGACTTGGTAACCATCTGAGTTGGTAGCCAACTGTGTTGATAACCCATGCACACACCCACACCCACACCCTCAAGATTTTTATTCGGCGAAGTTGGAGTCGGCGAAAATAGGCGTCGGCGAAAATAATCGTCGGCGAAAAAAAGACTCGGCGAAGCTTGAATTTACCAGTAGATCAATAATTTGAGAGTGTATAAGCGGAGAAAAGAATGTTTGCGTGTAAATTAGTTCTATGTGTCAGTAATCTTGAGAAGGAATAGGAGTGAATTTGTTTTACTGAGAAAAACAAATCTCTCAAAGTTATTCGAAATGCTCGTAAATCAGCACGCTTTGCTTTTGTTCTTAATACATGTTTGCAATTATAAAAGTCTTTCTGAATATCAGTTCTATAATCATATACCCTTATTACTAAAAGTATAGCTCAAAAAAGAATCCTTTATTTCTTTACTTTATCTTTAGTTTTTAAAGATAAAGGATTCATTTAACTTTACTTCATAAAGTAACACGTCTACTCTAACAACAATAATTCGGATACCCTTGTAAATTATTTGATAAATCTAGCCATTCAAATCAAAACCTATTATTAATATTTTCTCAACGTAGTAATTTTAATAGACAGAAAGTTTTCAACTATTAAACTGCTATTTTAGAGATCATTGGAAATGAGAAAACAATAAATTTATTCACAGCAACATAATAATCAATATTGAATATACGATGATTTGCCGTATTGATTGCAAACAACACGACTTTTATTATTTTCAATCTAGTTCGAAATCTTTGTAATAGATTATAAATGGCACTGAAAATTGTTCGAACTTCGTTACTTCTAGTGGGAGGTACTCTTATTTTTGTTATTGGTATTCTTATGGGTTCAACTTTATTTGGAATAAAAGAACAGCAATTCATCATATATCCTTTAGTGTCAGAAAATGTGATAGTAGATGAAACATCACAGCCACCGAAAAAACAAATGTCCACATCATATTCTTCTACACATACTAAAAGTCAACTTTGGTCGACGTATCTTGCTGATGAAAACTACTATCGTATAGCTGGTCTTTTACCATGCCGCACGGTTGAATACACCGGTGGTCCAAAACCTCACATAATGGATTCTTGTGACCAATCAATTATAGATGAATTTTCAGTAGAAGCTACGATACATGCACAAAAATGGATTTATGAACATCAGAATCCAGCGGATTGTAAAAATAAAAAACTTGCTATAATTAATAAATATGCTTGGTCTGGCTTTGGATCAACTGTACATCAAATTGTATGGGCATTTGGTGCGGCATTAGCTGAAGATAGAATTGCTGTTTATCGAACGCCAGGAGATTGGGTGAGAAAATATTAAATTCAACCATAGATTATTGTACCATCGATTTAAGTTACTGGTTGACTTCGTGAAGTCATCATCACAGTCTTACGTTAGTCTATCATAGAGAAAAGATGTAAATTATATATGAAAAATAATCATTCTTTAACATGAATTCGTAGTAAAATCAGTATGAATTGCATGAGAGGTGGATAATCAATTTTTAGCTAATTGGTCACGAGTGAGAAACATAAAACGATTCAAATCTTTTACTTTTCATCCTAATGAATAGTAACATGTAAAATAAACAAATCGTAGATTTGAAGGTAGCAGACATTTACATTAGATATAGATTACACAAAGTTCTTTCGAAAATTTTCTTCAGCCAGTACTTCTAAACACTATAATTTGCATTGAATGCAACTATTATAATACAATGCCTCGACGTATTTAGGAGTGTATGAAAATTTCAGTTTCAAAAAATCTATATTATGCAGTATTGTATTTTTTTTATGGCTACCATTTAAGTGGTCAGTAAAAAAAAATATGGAAATGGTCCGTATAAATATTGAACGGTCAGTACTAAAACGATCAGTAATTAATTCTACAATGATCAGTTTATTAATGTAAGTAGCAGAAAAACATTTCAATTTATATCAGTAAAAGATACAAAATTTGGTCAGTAATAAATACAAAATTGATCAGTAAAAAAAAATAAACTTTACCAGTAGAAATTAAGTTTAAATAAATCTTCTATTTACTTTTTAACAATTTCATCAACACCTCGAAGTGCGTCATTGTGATGTTCGTATTCAGCTTCCGTTTCATATACGGTTACTCTATCACGATCTGCATGATATAATAGATAAAGACTTAAAGCCCTACTGAAATCGTCTTGTTAATGCGCATCAGTTTCTTGAGCTTCTGAATCAAGAAATTTATGCGCTATGGGCAAATCTTGAAGTCTTCATAGGTCAAGGATACGAAAAAAAATCGTCTCAGGAAGACACTGATGATCACGACGTTTAACTTTTTTGCATCTCTAACATACTTTTATAACATCTGCTGTATATGTGATTAGAATCGCTATGTACTGGAGATATCAATATTTTTTTATTTTTCACTTTCAACATTTTTCCACTTTAATATGGACGTTTCGACATTTTTCCAGCACGCTACTAGTTGCATTTCTCTTTTAAAACCTATGTATCGTGCAAATGTAAGATTGAAACATAGAATATAATATATCGTGATTTTAACAACAGCTCTTAATGAAAATCTTTCACTTGAATAATGAATATCAATCATAAATTTTAAACTTTAAACTTTAGTTATATGGTAACTGCAAATTCGGCACACCAGATTGTCTTTTTCTTCCTATTAGCAACTGCTCTATTCCTTATAAGGAAGATGGTAATCGAACGATTGATATTCGAGCTAATATTGATCATTGGATTAAACCCATACATCCGCCAATTTTTCAAAATCGATCTTTCAATTGGTTTCGTTCACAATTATTATTCTATTTAATGCGATATAATCCTACCACATTAACTCGTGTGCAACATAAAATTGCTGAATATTTTCATCCACCATCAGTTAATGTTCATCGTCCATATGTTGCTGTTTTTGTACGTCGATCGGATAAAGTGAGTACACAAGAAATGGCACAAGCGTTTTCTCTTGAACAATATTTTAATTTGTTCGATGCTGATGCTCATCGAGCTAATATAACGAACGTTTATATTAACTCCGAAGATGAAAATGTATTTAACGAATTCAATCAATTAAACAAAAATAAAAACGGATACTATAAATTAATGAGTATTAATACTACAAGAAATGTTAATTTCGCGTCATTAGTGGCTTCGTCTGTAGGTCAGCGTGCTAGAATTATTTTGGAATTTCTCACTGATCTTTATATTGAAGCTAATGCTGATCTACATGTTGGTACATTAACATCGAATTGGTGTCGCTTAGTTGATGAAATGAAGCTTGCCCTAGGTAAAAGGATACCATACTATACTCCTGAAAATAGATTTATAATAGATATGTAATGAGAAAGACGAGACGTTTATTTTCACTATTAAATGATGTTGTTTGTTTTTTGAATAATTCATTGTTTGATATTTTAGTCAAATCTATGAAATGTTAATCGTAATTCTTTTTAGACTATCGAATAAAGATAATGTTACGTTTTGAAATGAAATCAGCCTTAATAGATAGGAAATATACTATACGAAAACTGAAACAAGATAAAAATTTCCATTCATATTACTATGCTTAAAATATATATATGATTGATTAAAAAACTTTTATAAAGATACATTGATAAAAAAAACGCAAATATTCATGTTTGAAATCATTCAATCGATTTCTGATAACTTATATTCTGACGAAAATAGAATTTTACAATAGAATACTAATGAAGTGAGAAAATGAAGCTGACATTTGTATTCAAAAAATAAAAGGATGTGTCAAGTATGGTAAATAATTCCAATTATAGGTTGATCAAGTAACGAAAGTAGATTGAAAGGAGAAACCAGTAGTGATCCCATTTTTGAATGTTTTAGCAAAGAAAATGCTGAACTAAATTTTTTATAATTGAAAGAACGCATTTCAATGCTGCAGTAATTCTCCAATCTTTTTTATATCATATTTGAAACATTCTCAGATAAATAAGTTTTGCTACTGCGTTCAAATTTTGACATATGGTCACTATTCAAACTTGAACAATTGATTAAGGAAAAATGATCTCGATATTTATTTTCGTTAAATATAGAAAAAAACGTTAAAAATATTTTATTGAATATTTCACAATGTATAAGAGATAACAAAAATTTCTTGAGTACACCATTCACATTGCATTAATTATGAAGTAGCATCGTGACTTGTTACACGTGAAATATTGTCGATTGAACAATGTTAAATATATTTGTATAAAAATCAAATGAATCATGTATGCATATAAACTTAAATAAAGAAATATATTAAATCATCATCCATTATGTAATGATGATCGCGAAAAAAATTAAGTTTTTAGATTTCGTGAGTGTTTTGAAGAATTCTCATCTTCGTTGATAGGATCTTTTCTTTTGCCACTCAAAGGATTCGCCATTTTGAATATTGCTTCTGATGCGATGGCAGCATGTTTAAAATTCTTTTCGGTTGTTTTACTTGCCCACCGCTCATATTGATCAATATATCGTTCATGATTAATTTTATTTTGAATTGTTTGTGGTACATCTGGCACTAACCAATCCATTAAGTAAATAATAAAAAAGACAGCATGTTCAAAAACAATAATAAAAGCAAGACGAGCAGCTAAAACATTCCAATACATTGATGTTTGAGAATAATGTGGTCCATTTGGTTCACGAAAATCACGATAACTAAAGAAAAAGAAGAATAAACTATCCTAACTGTAAAATATAAAAGAAGAAAACTTTTCGTTTTGCTTTCCCTTTCTCTTACCGACAGATAGTTAAATTATCTGGCACTTCTTGTGGCATAGTACCGGTAAGATTATAATCACTGATATTGAATGAAGAAAGTGTCCAATTAAGATAACCGTTCAGACTTCCTCCTGTTGATTCTATGGAACGATAAGCCATTTTTGGAATGAATTCCGATGTCCATGCGATAACAATTCCCTGTTGTAAGTGATATTTGTATAGTATGTATGGTATAGGTTATAACTAAAACTTACATTTGTTAGAACAGCAAAATATGATATACTCGATATAATATCACTCCATATGCCAATATCAAACGCTTTAAATGGTATCGGTCGTTTATATTTCGATAGAAATTTCCATGCATCCAAACGTATTTCAATTATATTATTAAACAAAGCAAATAATGGTGCAAGTCTAAAAATTCATTTTTCCAATCATTAAAATTAAAGTTTTACTAGATTGATTCGACTTACGGAAAAGCAGCAACAAACAGCGTAACAAAGCCGAATTGAATAACTATATACAAAGCATCCAAAATTATAATTTAAATATCTCAATGAAAAACTAGAAAATAAAAATGTTTACCCAATTCCAAATATTCATCGGTCAATGTATTCGAAGTAAAATCATATAATTCATTATCCTTTTCCCATTGTTGTTGTGCTTCAGGTTCACTACGTTTAAAACACATTCGTGTTAATGTACGACGCATAGCATAAAAGAATTCAATCAAATTATTTATAATTTGTTTGCCAATCATAACTGAATTCATGCAAAGAAAAATCATAAAGATTTAAATCGATTTAACTTAATTATCTTACTAATAATAAATTGTATAGAAAGTTCTACCAAACAACCTGCTGGATCACACTAAATCAAAAATAATTACATTTCCATTTCTTTCTCTATGTGTTATTTTACAATTAAAAACAGATAGCTAAGACGTTGAAGCGAATGAGAGTATGCGATAACGATCATATTTTAGCAAAGCAACGACATCAAACCTGTTCAGTAAAACTGCCTGAACTGGATGTATTATATTTTGATGGATAGGCAAAGAACCTGAATCGAACTGATAATAAATCTGATTTTTTGTATGACTTATTTCTCTTACCGTCCTTTAAAAAATGCAATATAAAATAACGATGAATAAAAGTTCACAAATTGAAAGAGATATATTTTAATTGTCAATGAATCATCATATTTCGATTGATATTTATGAAGTTCTACAAAAAATAAAAAAAGTTATACAATATAACAACAACAACAACAAAAAATGATTTTTAATCAAAATTACCAAGATCAGTTAGTTTTCGTGCAATCCAATAATAAAATTGTGATAATATAACAGAACAAATAAGATTCATAATTGCACTTGTTACCGTTATTATAATTGGTGAATATGATTTAGCACTTGTATTTTTCAAAATGAAATCCATTCGAGAACGATATACAATTGTTGCAAAAACAGTTGTGCATACAATAGCCATCTAGATTAGAAATAGAATGAAGCTCATTGGAAAAAAAACTTTTGTTTACCATAAATAAAACAACAGAAGCTGCGACTAAAAAGAAAGGCAAACGGGTTCGAGTTGAAACATATGGCTCTTTTATCTAGAAAAATGTCTATTAATGGAAGTAATAGTTTGACATAGTCAATGAATACCCCAGTAACTGCATTCACACGTTCCTCGCCTTTTTTCTTCGCTCTAATCTCAAACTCTGGTCGTATTGGTTCAAGATGCTCTTCAAAGCCCATGGAGTCCTTCAAATAGAAGAGCTATAGTTAATCTTCATTTATAAAAAAAAAAGAAGCAAACGATGTACCCAATCATATCGCAAGACTGCTTGTCGACGTTTCCAAAATTCAATAAACCATCTATTCATGTTAAATTTACAAATAAACATAAATAAACAAATACTCTATTTCCATACCTAGCCCATAAAGACATCAAAACAGCAAAAATAACTGTAGCTGCATTGTCAAATACATATGAAACCTATCAACGTTAGATAGAATATATAAATTCTCTAGAAAAAATAATCTTCATGATACTTTTGACTGAAAACAACTATCACTGAGCTTCCAAAATGGGCATGTTTTATCACATCGTGGACACATAAATGTTTCTTGTCCTAATCTTCCACAGATGTCAGATCTAGGTTTGATTAAAAATTATGGCTTAATCGAGTCGTATAGACGGAGAAAAAACAGACAAGAACTTACGTTGGTTGATCTGAAAAAACGCTACTGATGCCATAGATAAATATAATAAAACCGATTAATGCAGGTGGAATTAACATTTTATTATAAAAACCACAAAGTGCAAAATAAAATGCAACTTTTTCACCCATATATGAACGTATTAAAGATAACGGCTGAAATTTAAAAAATTGACGCATTGTTGCCCAATGCTTTTTTAGTTTCTATTAATTGATGATATTTATCAAAATGTTTCGCTAGAAAAAAAATTAAATATACTTCTCTTTCATTTAATTCACTATCATCAATATTTGTAAGATCCGCTTGAAGTGGCTTAATTTAGCATCATTGTAAAAATATATTAAAGAATTTTCGAATAAAATATAATTTACCTCATGTAAAGGAAAATAGCAATCATACGCTTTCTTAGCTACCAATCGATCAATACCTAAACAATTAATATAAATATAGGATATAATAACAGTTGAACTTTTTAAGCACTTTATTTGCTATCTTTAAAAAATATCACAGTTTTTTGTTGCAATCAATTTTACAAATTCTGATATGTGTTAGTTCAGATGGAAAATAATCTGCAGTAACACTCAATCGTTTTCTCTACTTTTTTCTGTATTGAAATTTTTTAGGTTTTTATTGTTTATCATGCAAGAAAATGGAAAATCTTTGTTTTATGTGCAATATCATTTAGAGCAAGCGCTGAAGTATAAACATAAGAATTGTCGGCCTTCATTGCCTTAACTGACAGATGGTCGCAGATGCTAACACAAGACTATTACAAGCACTTTAGAAAAATGGTTATCTTCAGTCATTGATCATGACAGACGTGGTAGATATACTTTCAAAAGTCATATATTAATAACATTTGTATTATGATAAATGATCAAATCTATCATTTCATTTTCAGAGGATTGCGCAAGAGAATGTTGAAAAAATGTGTTCAACAAATAAATAGAATAAAAGTATCTCACTGCGATTAGCAACAGCTACCACATCATTTGTCATAACTTTGAAAATGAATATTAGTTTCTCAACGGTGTAAATCTTACAAATTTGTTTTCGAGAAATTCAATACATGTTACAAATATCTTTTCTATTTTTTACCAGATCGCCTGGAATTTGTCCTTGATTGAGCTGTTGTATTGGTAACTACAAGTATAGGTATGTAAGATTATTTAAATATGATTATTTAAAACTCAACTAACTTGGCAATGTTATGGCTCGTACTGGTTGCTTCTCATCTTCATCATCTTCATCATAATCACAGTGAGCTCTTGATAATAATTCATGTGTCAATAAACTTCGTTCAGTTGATGTGAAATATGCATCTCTTGAACCACGTAATGTATCAAATAAATCTTTAAATTTATCGATATTCGATGAATAGATTGCTGTGTAATAGTCTGGATCATTCTTTTTCAATGATGCATCAAGATAAAATGAATTTTTTAACCATTGTACACAACGATTCCAAGCTGAATGGGTAGCTTCAGGTCTTGATGCCTCGTTTGCATCTTCATTTTCTTCAATTTTCTATTTAAATTATTGATTATAAGAAATCATAGGATTTTTATTAAAGTTAACCTCAATCGGTAGTTTCATACGCATATTTTCAGCAGTAAGCAAGAGAATATCAAACGGAGTATGAACTTTAACGAATCCAAATTTTTTTTTGTGCGTTTCCTGAATAATAAAAAAGGATTCAAATTTCAATAAATCTTACATTCTACTTACAACATGTTCAAGTATAAGACCTTGTTTCTTACAAAGATATTCTTCAAATTTTTTTCTACTTTCCGATGGTGTCTTCGTTCTTCTAGCTTGCTTACCATTACTGTCTTCAACTTCGTCGTTTTCTTTATTGTTTTCACTATCATAGACAAGGATTAAATCAATTGGCAGAGAATCACTGTCTGAATTTGAAGACAACAAAAACGATCGACGCTTTAATCTGAGATTTTTCGTATCAGTATTGTCGTTCGAATTTGGATCATCCCTAATCGACATTTCTATGAAAATAAAATTTATTTTAAAAAAAAACAAATATTATTGTGTTTTCTGGTTTAATAATTTAGTATACTAAGCGCTATGAATATTTGACATATTATCTCATTGTTTCTTACATTCACATGCATTATCCTAATGCAACTTAATGACATTTGATAAATAGAGAACATGAGTGAGTGTACTTCACTAACAAAGGTGCTCATAAATGATAAGAAAAATAAACGTGTTATGTTGATTATCAAATATTTGAATATGATAAAAAAAAAACGTTCCGTTTTTATTCCGTTAATTTAGGCTTGTCAGATTTCATGTAAATCTTGTTGAGATTTTACTACGTTGTTAGAAATCGTAGAGATAAATGAAGCCATCATTTAATCAGAAAAAACAACATTTTATTTTACTTTGCTCATATTTCAAATTAATAATTACGAAAGCAACTAAAACTACACTTACCATATTGTGGTATTATTGGTGGTAATGGTACTACGCGTCTCTTTGAAAATGTTTTTTTATTCATTTATTTCATCAATGGTCATTATCTGTAGCTCTATTAGTAGTGACGTCAAATATCACTGATAAAAATAAAAAAAAGTCAAGCAGGACACTTATTATCAATGCATATATAGAATATGTGTTTGCTTCGATATTTATTTATCCGCTCATTCTGTCTATCTCTCGCTTTTTCTTTCTTTTGTAAAATAATGCCGTGAATTCAAAATAGCAGCAAGATCAATAAAAAGATTTTGTAATTTTTGTTCCGCCAATTAAGATGATTTTTTTTCTGGGTATTTCTTTAAACTATTATTCTTGCTCGATACTCTGTTTCCAGGCAACGATACTCAGTAGAAAAAAAGAAAAATATAGTAATCTGAAAAGGCAGAAAAAGACCGTCGTTGATATTATTATCACATGCGACATCTGTACTAAAGAGAAGAGAAAAAAAAGTAAATATGTATTCAGCAATAACTCATAAAGAATATATATTGATCATTCAAATTTTGACAGCAAACCTTTTGAAACATCTATGCTTTATGAGATTTAGCTAAAGAAAATATTAGTATCATTATAGCCATCTGAAGCAAATAATTTTTTTACATAAACATGTATATCCATATCAAGAAAGGAAGTTAGTTGCATGTAAACAATCGGAAAGTATATTGCTCCAAATTATAAATTTGAAAGGATCCAAAAATTGAATAATCTCTATTTGATTTTCTTGGCTAAAAATAACTGTGCTGATAATCTATGATCAATTTTGCATGTCACAAGCATACGCCAGCATAGGCGGATAATTTACTTCGAGTATTTTAGCAATGTGTCAATGAAGTAATTTAAAAGTGTATGGATTGCAGTTGATGTAATTATCATTTAAAGAAAGTATAGATTATTTAAATTTACGTGTCTTAATTCAAAATTTTTATTCAATGGCTTATTCGAGAAAATATTTTCAAATTAGTCTATGCGTATAGAAAAAAACAAAGAGTATTTTTCTTTCTACCGACAAACAATATTACTTTGATACATTCATGAATATATTCTTTTATGAAAATCAATGGTAAACGCATTGTATCAAAATAAATTAGCAACGAGTACATTTTATCATGCATCGCTTTCGTATAATATTCTTATGCATCTGTTTTCTTATTTTTATTCATTAAAAAAACCCTTCATTTTGTTTGTCATTGTTATTATTCACTCAAAACTTCGATAATGTATCTTATATTTAATAGTGAATCGTTACTAATCATGTAAATGGACTCTTTTTTTTCATCATCGTATGCTATTATTTGCACATCAATTGTTACAATGATTTATATAATGTAAAACTAGATATCTTGAATATTTTAACACTCTAGTGGTAAGAAAAGAAACTAATCTTTTAGCAGTTTGCATCGTCAAGTATTAGTATTTAGCTTGTAAATGAGAAATATTACCTACTTTTGTCTACTTCATTTTCCTCTTGTAATAGTTAGATGACTGCAAGAATAGATCGAAATAGTAGAAAAGTAATGGTAGCTGAGAAAATTCTTTTCAGTTTTAGTGTTTCATATCGTCTTCTTTACTTTTTCAATTTGCATTTACCTGCATTTGTGTGATTATCTTGTTTATCTTGCATAATCAAAAGTATTTTCACGGAAAACAAAAACTTATCGGAAACAACAATACTACCAACTTAATAGTGAAAATATATTTTCAATAATTTTATGTTAAAAGGTACCAATACATTTACATTTTCATATGAATAGATATAGACTAAGAGGAAAAAATACAGAATGGAAGACACAGAGCGTGAGCGAGAGCGAGAGAGAACTTCCTCTAATACTACTTCGCAGTGTAAGAAAAAATGAGAAAGAGAATAGAATCTGAACCTAAGAGCGTTATGTGAGCAACGAAAACAATATCTTCGGTAGTACATAATTGTATTGTCATAGGACACAATTCTTAACTGCATAAGCACAATTAAGTAGTATAAATGATAATGAAAATATCGCTTGTTAGCGTAGGATGTGTACGTGATAGAAGCGTTCGGATTAGGCTTTCTCTTTCTTCTTCTTCTACTATTGGAAACTATGATTTTATTTTGATTATATTTTGTGTTTTTAGCGTAACGACTGCAAGAACATTCGATGACATCCTTAGGGAGAAGTCCAAAAAGATCGTAGCAAAATAATATTTTTTTTTCGCTTATCGTTTTATTATATGATGATGTTGTCTTTTCTTTTGTGCTCAATCTGGCATTTCTTTCGTGACAGCTGTGGCCAAGCATACTCTTCTTTTTATATTGTTTTAGATTGCTGTTTTCTTTCATTTAGTCAGAAAATAAATTCGTAGGAGTGAGAACAAGTAGATTCATTTCGACAGCATTGAATTTCTAATAGATAGATACAAGAACAATATTAAGTATTCTCAATGACTTCTGGAGACAATCCTCGGTTACCATTAACATCTGGCACTTCATCTATTGTCAAATACACTGAAATGCGCAATCCAACTGAAACACCTTCTACAACGATTACTATGGCGTCAATACCAAGTCCACCATCATTTTCTAGTGCAGCTAGTTCTAATCAGCCAAAAGCAAACAGTAATTTCGGAGCTGATACTTATGAACTTAGCCGAGTAACAATACAACAACGGCACGCTATGAAAAAAGCTTTAATGAGTAATGTTGGCTGTCGTTTAGCTAAACGAAAAGAACTACACATACAACGGTAAGAAACAATGCAGAAACGAATTCAATTTTGTTATTTGTTTTGTTTTTTATTTCTAATTTTTTTTGTAGTCGATTAATTGCGGATATCATGTGTATTTTTGGCATGTTTGGTATTATTTTAATGATCATTGAAAATGAATTAACATTTAATGGTGTTGATCATAAAGATACAACAATCAGCTTATTTATAAAGGCAACAATAACATTTACAACAATACTTCTGGTTGGTCTTGTTTTTTATTATCATCGAATTGGTTTGAGTCTTCATTGTGTTGATAATTCCATTGATGATTGGCGTATTGTGTTAACTCGTACAAAAATACTTTCGATACTATTCGAAGCATTCATTTGTATGGTACATCCAATACCAGGCCATTTTCTAGTTGAATGGAGTTCACAATATGTTAAAACAATTGGAAGAAATGACGGCTATATAAATCCATATCGAGCAGCTCCTAATTCATTATCTACACCGGCATCATTAAGCACAACAACAATATCAACAACAACAACAACAACAACAAAAATGACACTGCAAAATGCCAAAGAACATTCACTAGCTTATGTGCCGGTTGATGTTATGCTTAGTCTACCAAGTAAAATACAAAATTTTTATTTTTGATAAAAACACGATTTGTTTATTTGTTATTTAATTTTCTTCTTATTAAATAGTGTTTTTTCGATTGTATCTGGTTTGTCGTCTTATAATGCTTCGTTCTCATTTGGTTCGTGATGCTTCATCGCAATCACTTGGTTATCTTAATCGAGTTTCATTTAATTTTCCATTTATTATCAAATCATATATGCAAAGGCGACCAACAATTATTTTAACATCATTTTGTATTACTATTTTTTTTATTGCAACTTGGACTCTGCGTGCGTGTGATTACAATGTTAGCACAGGGCACATGTCTATGCTTGATGCTACATGGTTGTTTATTATTACATTTACAACAATTGGTAAGTAACTATTTGTTTTCTCCTGTATTTATAATCAGTGACGAAGAAGAAATAGATAAAAAAATATTCATGAGTGTTTCTTTTCTGTTTTAGGTTATGGAGATATTGTACCATCAACATATTGCGGACGAGGTAAAAATTAAAATAGATTGATTATAGGTTGGAAATAAATGTGGAAACATCGGATTTAAATCCGAGTGTTATGTGTACCTCAAAAAGTAAAACTAATTGATGAGAGATTGATTTTAATCAAACTATCTAAACAAATAAAAAACAAAGTGAATATACCTTTTCACTGAAAAAATCTCGGTACTCCCTTGCAGAGATGGCCTGTTAAATAATGAGAATTTTTCCGATAACTCAGTCATTTCTTAACGGATTGCTTTCATTGATGAGATCATTCTGCGTACAAAATTTCATGACAATTGGATGAGACTTTCAAAAGTTATCGTGTTAACGGACGGACACACTGACCTAATCTAGTGTACTCACTTTTTGAGTACACAAAAAAGAGATTATTTCTTGTTTCTTTTTGTGTATGGAGGTGTGTTAATGAAAATTTTACTAAATTAATTATTCACATGGTAGAATTATGCATTCTTTTTGTAGTTCACTATGTGTGCGGAATATTAATTGCATGCCAATTATTGATTATTGTATTTTGTTCATAAAATAACCAATATGCATCACCACTTGCTTTTTGAAGGAAACCGGTTGAAACTACTGGAAAACTCAATTAGATAAAAATAAACATAAATGAGCTTTGAAAACGATAATGGAACAAAAACTTCAATCTAAAGATAATGTTACCGTTGACATGAGAACTTAGTTGAGATTGGAATAATAGATTTAATTAAAGATAATGTTACAGTTGACATGAGAATTTAGTTGAGATTGAAATATTAGATTCAATTAAAGATAGAGAAAATAGACACAAAAGCAGCGAAGAAAAGCAAAAAAAGAATTTTGAAAATCAAAATGCAAATAAAGTTATATGAACGATACGGAAACTTTGTCTATGAGTTAAATGTAGCGAAGTATTTTCTAATTGATCATAATGTAGATTTCTTTTTCAAATTAGTGACCAAAACAAAAAAAAATTTATTTCTTATTTTTCATTTATCTCAATCCGCTCTCATATCGCTTGTATGAGTCATATAGTAATTAATGTATCTTGTTCAACTGATATTTTAATATTAAAAGGAAATAAAATACTTCGTTGATTATGATATTCATGTTACATCATCAAATAAATATTTATTTATCCTAGTTTTACATTCTAAAAAATTTAGTAGAATCTATTAAATTCTAATTTTTTTCTTATCATTTCGTTATTAATTTGAGTTTTAATCAACGGTCTTCGTCACTATGAAACAGACAATGATTAGACATAAAGTATGAAGTTTCTTTTATATTAACTTATTTATTTATTTTTAACGAAGAACGATTGTTGATAATAACACATCAAATGGACTACTTATATAAGAAACTTCTTTATTAATTTCGTTAAAAGTTTTAAAAAAAATTTACTTTCTTTCCATATCATTCGACTTAAAAACTCGTTCCATTCTCACCCCAGCTGCTCGATACTCGTACTTCGAAATAACAATAGCGGAAATCTCTTTTTTCCGTCGAGTATAGAAAGAAAAAACTCAATGTCCCTATGTCCCTATGTCCCAATGTCCCGAGCATTAAAATGTACACATCTATTCAGAATCTTTGTCGTTGTTCTCTGTTCAATCAGGAAAAATAGACACAATTAATCTTGGAAACAAAAGCTTTTTTTTTGAATCTACATACTCAATCAAACTATCTCATATCACTCAATAACAAAATTTTATTTCTATGAATCACTTTCTCACAAAATTTATAGAATAATCAACAATTCCAATCTCAACTAGATTCTAAACTCTACTGCCACATATACTTACTTTGTTTTGGTCTATTGTTATAGGTATTGCTGCTATAACAGGTATCATTGGTGTATTCGCAACGGCTCTTCTTGTGGCAGTCATTTCACAAAAACTTGAATTAACTCGATCAGAAAGATATGTGCATAATTTTGTGGCAACTATTGAATTAGCTAAAGCACATAAAGATCAAGCTGCTAATGTTCTTAAATATGGCTGGAAAGTTTGGTATTTACGACGAAAGGGAAAATCGAATTGTATTCAATATATTCAAACACAACGAAAACTATTAACATCGATACATTTGGCTCGAGATATTAAACAGCGACAGCGTAAACTAGCTGATAATTATGTTAGTTTATTGGAATTATTTACAGTACAACGTAGTACTAGTGCAGTAACTGATGAAACATCTCAACGAGTTATTGTTATGGAACAAAAAATCGATAAAGTGGAAGACAAACTCGTTGAAATAAACCAAGGAATGCTAAATTTAGAAGATAAACTTAATATTCTATTGGATAGAATAACGAAAAAATAAAAAAATAAAAAAATATAATTGATTATTTTTTTCAAATAAAAATTATCCATATGAAATATACTCAAGTATATAATCTGAAAAATGCTTTCATTCATTTACTGCTGATTATTTCATCTGCTCAATATTTGAATATTCAAAATGTAATAGAAATCTTGAACAAAAATTGAAGTGTAATAATTTCTACACCATTAACAAACAACAGAATCATATTTATTTAGATATGCTATTGAATATTTAAGATAAAATTCAATGGTACAAATCATTACTGAGATTTTATGTCGTCTATTAGCTGGCATTGTCTACGAAAAAATGAATGATCCTTGTACTACGAAATAAGAGTGTTTTGCTATTTTTTTATATCTTGAATATGCAAACGAATATAATTAGAATATTATTGAAAAAACTTGTCAGCGCAGCCCCGTTGGGGCTAAAATGTGGAACTCACATATTGCGGTCAGTTAGATTCTAATCAAATAGAAGTTTTATTTTTTTCAGTGTAGTGAGATCATATTTTGTTCAAAAATAAGATAATAAAACCTTTTCAACATTTGAAATTTATGGGATCTATCAATAGAAAATATTACTAGAGAGAACGTATAAAAAAAACTTTTTGTTTAGAATATGTCAGTATGCTGGTGTTTAGTGGTTTCATTGAGAAATATTGTGAATGATAATAGTTTGAATAGTATTTAGGATATAGCTATCAATATTGTTGAGAAATTTATATTTTTTCGTATCACCAGGTGAGAAATGGATACATTTTTTCATAAACGAAAATTTGATAAAAGCTTCGCAGTGGATGGAAAACTTCTGAATTGTAAATACACTAAAGTGGACTGAAGTTCTGGAATAAGGTATTCGTGTGAGAAAGAAAAGGATTAAAATCTTCATCTGTTTATTGTAGGTGGTAGAAGTAACGAATGTAATAATAGCATAAACTAGTTACTAGCTTCTGTAGCGGTAGCATACACTGGTTGCGAACGTCTTTAATAATAATAAAATATAATACTGTCGTAACTATGGACTATAATAATAAAAACGACAGATTTTGATGATTCATTAGAGGCTAAATCCTAATTATAATGATTTCTAATTAGTGAAACTAGATTTTTATTAGTGATGTGAGTAGTGGTGAACATAGGCAATCCATCTGTATAAAAATTTTATCTAATTAGTGCACCGAAGTGTTAGTTTTTTTATGTTTTATCTCTGTAATGGAGAGGGGGGGGTGGGGTACAGGGGAGCCGCAAAAACCTAACAATTCAACTTACACTCACTATTTTCTTCGAAAATATATGCGAGTTCCACAAAAGTTTGTAATACTTTATTTAAATTAATATAATTGATATTCACTAAAAACGTAATTTAGGTTTTATCGCGCTAAATCTATTTATAATTTATTTAATTAATTACTAATGAAACACTATGAATTTTGCAATTCGAAGTTGATAAAAAATTATCTTTTATCTTCATACACTAATTTATAGTTGACTAGGATTTCCGTTAGAATACATTCCTTTAGGTACAAACGCAAACACTCATGTGTCCATCTTAATGGTAAGATAAGTTGCTTGTGAAAACATTCCAATGTTGAGTGAGACACAATTGTAAAGTTAAAAATAACACGTGAAGTTGACTGAGTTCGATTTGATACTAATCTATATTTTTTTAAATACATAAACATAAGTTTAATGCAAAAGTGTACCGTTCAAAGAGGCATGCTGGTATAGCTTCTCCTTTGGAGAAAAAGCAAATAAAACAACACCTATTTTTTCTCTCTGAAATAATTCATTGTCAATAGAAAATAACTTTATTGTCGTTTAAAGAACTTGCTAGAAAAAGAAGACATCAAGGTGTTCGAAAAATACTTACAATGCTAAAAGCTACATTTAAAAAACAACACATCTTTCGTCGGACAACATTATTCTAAAGCTTCTTGAGTACTTGCACGAAAATAATGAACGTGTAGATTTCTGCATTAGCTATAAAAATCTATTAATTGTGACAGTTTCAACAAAAGCGGACATAGTGAAAACTGAAATTTGAATTCTACAAAATATATCCTGGATAATATCATTTTACTTAAATATAGGACTACTGAACATGAAAGATAAATCCTGATTAAATGATAGATATATAATTGTGTCCATGGTATTCATACAAGTAATTATTTAAGTGCAAAACCGTATGCAAAAAAGGGTAATTTTAAAAGAAGCAGACTTGAAAATATTCTGATTAGGGTATAATTTATCAAATCGTAGGTCATTTCTCTCAAGAAAATCTTCCAAAGAGAGCTGACTATTGTTTTTAGGATATGAAATCTTCTCTTTTTCTTTCTTCAAGTATTCCATCGACGTTGGAATCAATTCAATGAACTGTTATAATTTTTTTTCTTATAATAAAATGTTTTCTCTAGAAAACTCTATTCAGGATCATTTTTTTCTGAATACAATAGTACATTATAATATTGGCTCAAGCCTTGGAAAAAAAGCTAATTTTAATAGATTTGAAATTTCTTCATGAGTATATTTCTTACGTTACTATTGTGTACTACTTGCAAGTCTGACTGCATTGCTAATCAAGACTTTTTCCTAAGTTATAAAATTCTTGAAGTGCGTCGAATAATATAAAAATGTCTCATGTTACAAAAAAAATAATGTGAATTCAATTGAATGATTTTTTACTAAATATATATATATATATATTGAAAGAAAAAGAAAACTATCCGTCCGCGTATGTTGTTATATCAAACAATGTACCAGAAAAATAGCAAAAATCAATGTTGACATACTATAAAAATAATAGAGGAAAAGTCAGATAAGGCATTTTAAAAGTTTTATTGTAGTTTTATATTGGTGTCAGTAAGCTTGATATAGATTTTGACATTCGCTTAGAGCAATGAAATGAAAGCGGTTTTGTCCGTTTGTACCCATCCTGATTCTAATTGTTTGAAAATTTTTTTTTGCGTACTTTGTAAATAGTATGCTTGCTAAATGCAATTTTTTTAAAAACGGTAAGGCTGAAAATTTTCTTGATAATTATAAGTGTAAAAGATTTATGATGAAAATATTTTTCTTAATCAAACAATCATTAAATTTTTTTGCATGACAGTAAATCTTGTTTTGCTTATTTTTTTTGTCTTTCTTTTCTTCGTTCTCGTCCTAGCTAAGATTTCCGTTTGTTTATTCATTCTTCAACAAAATATTCCGTTCTCTTTTTTTTTGAATCACTTTCATCACCATTATCAACGCATTTCAATCATGTGTGTTTGTGTGTTTATGTGTATTTTTAAAGGATGTTGTGCCGTCGCGTCTATGCATAGTCACAATCATAGGAATTTTATACTCTGCTCTCGATGTCATTCGAAGAGGTTTTTTTCTTTGTTTATTTGTCTGTGTTGTTTGCTGCAAATAACTCTTGTTATATGTTGACCTTGACTGATCTAATATTATTAGTATTGTTATAGAAAATGACTGAACAAAACATATTCAACAACTGGATACAACGTCCATCATCTGCCCATGGCAATCTTCTAAGCCATCCATGTTATCAATCAAGTCTATTAGATGATGGTCATGCACCGGGTACTGTCGACGAATGGAGAAAATCGTTATCAAGCAATAAACCTCAATTACGCATGTCCAATATTAATCGAAATGCGGAAGACTATGATCAAAATTTAGAAATAAAATCATATTTTCAATCGGTAAATAAAAATAAGTGAATTTTATTCGTTTCTCATTTTAATCTTTTCTTTTTTCAAAATCTAGTTTAAAAATTTACGACGACTGACCATCGCGAACCCAACTAATATTCAACAATATGAAGTTATTCTTTTGAAACGAGCTAAAAGTTATGCATTAGTTGGTCTTAAAGGAGAAGTAAGATAATATTGAAAAATAAAATTTACGAAAATATTCTATTTTAGCTGAAACCCAAAAAACAAGAAGATCCAAGGGTAAGAGAAAGTTTTGTTTTGAAATCCATCAATTTTCTCTCTCTCTCTCTCTCTCTCTCTCTCTACTTGCCATTCCAGGGTCGAAGAACACAATCGGAAACACAGAAAATTGAAAAAGTAATGAATAACTTTGCATATCGTTTTCTATTCTAATGTAATCTTGATTCTTATTTAGGAAATAGAAATTGAAGACAATAGAAATTTGCCGGTAAATTTCAAGTAATTCAAGATGAAAATATTTTTTTCATTCCATTTAGATTGAAGAGAGATTTAATATTAATGCATTACAAACATTAAAATATGCTTTCGCTCAAAATTTAACTAAAGAAGATTCTGACATTGATGGATCAGGACAGATGACATTAGATGAATTTACTCGAATTCTTAAACGATGTATAGGTTCACAGCGAGGCGTACGTGCAATATAATACGCATTTGTTTTGTTACTTTAATATTTTACGTTTGTTTAAGATTGATGAGCTAATAGAAAATTTATTTTATAAAATTGATTATAATGCTGAACAAATCATAACATGGGATGAATTATGTACATTTCTTCAATTGAATTTTAATGAAAAAGCTGATTCTGAATATCATGCTAAAGAAATCTCATTTTTAATACCAGCTAGACTTCTAAAAACTCCACATCGATATCCTTGTTCAACTATTGTACTTTCTCCTGATAATCAATATTTAGCATTAGGCAGTGTAAGTTAATCATTAATAAAAATCATACTTTTGTTGGATTATTATTATGTTAAAAGGATGGAACAATATCAGTATGGACACAAAATGGCGACTTCAAAATAGCTAAATCTGTAGCAGTAAGTAGATTAAATTGATTTTGAAAGAAATGAAAAAAACAAAAGAAATTAATATATTGTTTCTAGGCAACTGCAGGCATTGATCAAACATTAACAGCAAGAGAACGTTTGGAGAAAGTATGAATATCTCTTATTTACTTTATTAATTTAATAAAATCAATTGAATTCCTATAATAGCGTAAAGATCAACAAACTCGTTCGCAACCAAAATGGATTACCGATTGTCAAATCATACCAGAATTTAATAAAGTTGCTGTTAGTACTGGGTAAGAACATTTCTAACACTGTTCTATTGGCATTGGCTTAGATTTACATTTGTAGAGATCGTGAAATTCAATTTTGGGATCAAACTTATTGTTTTAGTACATCACGTGAAGTTCAAACAAATGATTTACCGTGTACACAAATTTGTTCATTAGATAGTGTACCAATTAAACTTAATTACGGGTAGATGAATGAATATTGTGTTTTTTGAAAATATAATCATTTTTATCTCTCTCTCTCTCTCTCTCGATTTAAACAGGATTACTACACCTGATGAATTACTTCTTGTTTATGGCGATACAGATGGTTGCGTTAATATTTTGATATTTCTTGCTGCTCGTGAAATTTTTCGTTTATTAACAACTCTTGAACGTCGTAAAGGAATTCCGACAGTTAATTTCGATCGTTTTCTTGATTCATACAAATGTGATTATGTTCGTTGGCAAGTTCATCGAGAATGGATTGGTAAAAATATAACTAACGATAATTAAATTGATATTTCTATTTGTTTTATCTTCTAGAACTTATTTATTATGATGCAAGACTCAATCAAGTAATATCATGTTCCAATGATCAAAACTCTGCTGTTGTTATTGGTTGTCTGCGAGCAAGTGCTAGTTCAGAAATTCAGTTAACTGAAAATGGTTTTGCTGAATTGAAAACTTCTCAAACAAGACCAACTGATCCTAAAGTAGGATCACGTAAAAGACGAGGCACGATGTCAACAGGTTCTTACTCATTGAATAGCGTGGGTTTGCTTTTACTCTTTATTTGTGTTTTTCTTTCCAACAAAACAAAATAGACGTCAATGAAGAAGCTACTCTTCCAGCGATGACAAATAATCGAAATAAACGTGATTCAACAACATCCTATTTAACACATTCGTCCTCTCAAGATACGCATTCAAAGAAAGCTGCTGGTCAAGACACTCGAACTGACGTTATAACAACAACATCACGTTCAATTTCTCGTCGCCAGCCGATAGTTCGTGCTGCACAAATGCGTTGTGATGCTGATCAAACTGTTTTTAAAATTCACAAAGGTGTTAAAACATTTGATTTATGCACAGCAAAAAATGTTCTTGTAACCGGTGGGATGGATCGCGTTGTACGTCTATGGAATCCATATTTACCAGCTCGACCTGTTGCTAGACTTCGTGGTCATAATGCACCCGTTTTTCTTGTTAAAATAGCTGTTGAAGATGATCGATTATTTTCTATATCAGCTGATAAAACTGTTCTGGTAAGTTTAGTTTGCGATTTGTTTTGACAAAAGCAACATTTTATTTGATCAACAATTAGATTTTATCATAATTATATAAAAAAAAGAATAATAATTCACTATTATTTAAGAGAAAAAGCAATCATATTATTTGATTTGATTTCTGTGACTTGTTTTGAAACTTTTTTTTGATATTTTTTTTCTTTTTATTGATGAACCATAAACAAGTTTTGCTTTAAGCGGTGGAAGAACTACTGGTTCATTTGGTAATATATTCAGAAATGATGGAATTGATGTTAAAGAATAATTGAAATGTTTTGATATCCAATCGATTGCAACTTTATCTCGACGAAGTTTTCCCTGACGTGTATATAAACGTGTTGCATACATCCATGATATATCATCCCAGAGAGAATGAAATTTCATGTTAACCCATTTATAATTTTTTTCTAATGGAGCTTTCCATTTATCTATTCCATATTCACCATCGAGATAATCAATTGGTGAACAAGGAATTGAAAAACGGGAGCCAAATAAATCACATGAACAAACTGTTTCTAGTAATGGAAGAGTACGTCTAAAACAGAAAATAGATCTTTGTTACTAACCCAATATTTAATTTAGTTTGTTGTAATTTACGGAACATATCAAATATTTAAAAAAAGCACCAGTATTTTTTTTCGAATTCAATTATTCTCTATGTTCTCATGACGCTTAGTTACAATTCACACTGGGAAACATATATAGATGGTAATGGATAGGATAAAATCTCTAGATTAATTATATTTTTAATATGGCATTTTAATACAATTTGATGTTTTACTAGAAAGAGACAAGTATAAAGTATATGAATATGTAGAAAAATTTTGATAAACAATACTTTTAAACGTTTAGAAAAGTCTAGAAAAGAAAAGTTATCAGTGTAATTCTTTTGTAATTTCGATCACACTGTTTTGTATTCTCAATTAGGAATGGGCGGTTTCAGTCCACATACTGAAATACTGACACTGAGGCCACCGACGCACTGAAGCACTGACGACTGATTATACTGCACTGATGATACTGACGCTGAAATTATACTGAGACCGAGATCATTGATGCACCGTCACTCACTGAAATATTGCTAGTCGGTGAGCAGTGATACACTGATATCGGTGTTTAGTAAAACACTGACATACGGACGTACTGAATAACGAAAGCAGAACGTCTGCATGTTCTCAGTGTTTTACTAAACACCGATATCAGTGTATCACTGCTCACCGACTAGCAATATTTCAGTGAGTGACGGTGCATCAGCGATCTCGGTGTCAGTATAATTTCAGCGACAATGTCACCAGTGCAGTGTAATCAGTCGTCAGTGTTCCAGTGCGTCGGTGACATCAGTGTTCAGTAAACTGAAACCGCCCATCCGTATTCTCAATATATTTCTTTAACAGTTTTTACTATAGTCAGTTATCATTTAGTATCAAAAAGATTTTGTTATCTAGTGTATCAAAGATTTGCGAGCTGATCATTTTTTTAGATATTTTGTTTGGAATTTATAGTTTGATGACAGAATTTTATTTGAATATTTCATAGAAGTGCTGGATCGTATTGTAAATCAGATTATTTAGTCAACGAATCGATGAGATTTTTGTTTTATTTAAAACACATTTTCTCATACATTAAAATAAATTATTTTTCTGTTATTAAAACTTAATCAGAACTGAAAGATCATTAATAATAATTTTTTATTAAATTTTACAATTGCAGAATATTTGAGTTAAATTTCTTTCATTCCTAAAATTGTTGCACTTCCATTCAATTCTTGATATATAGTAAGATTTAATCAAGTTTTTGTTTTTTCCTTTATTCTTTCATGTATAAACAGAGATTGTACCGTTTTACCAGTCATTAGACATAGAAATGAATAAAAGTTAACTGACGAATACTTAGACCAAAATTGAAGTTATAATTACTAATACGTGATGCAATCAAGCAGAGATCAAAAATTCAATTTACATTTACTGTACATTAGAGAACGCAATTCTTAAAGAATATTTTTTTCTCATATCTAGTTTTGTTCTCGGAACTTCCTGTGCTGTTCCTGATTAATATATTAAGCGTTGCAATGAAATCTGTTCTATCTAATTGTACGTCAATAATCGAGAAAAAAAACTGCTATGATAGAAATGTTAATCAAAGAAAATAACTGGAGGAAATTCAATTGAGACTCATTTTAAATTAAATGTTATCATCGTTAAACACGAACTTCTCTGTTTACAAGTACACGATCTATTTTCCGTTGATTACATAAAAACTACATTACCATCAGTCTTTTTCTCGACTAAGGATTAACATTTCATTGATTATTTGAATAGAAAAAGAAAACCGGAGATGACTAGTCATTGCGACAAGCAATCTACTTGTCAGAGAAATATTCTAATAGGGTGTAATTGAGCATGAAGACATGAGAGAGCACGCGTTCACACACAAAAGATATGCCAGATGAATGCTAAGTGAAAATGTGGTAAATTCATGATCAATGTCCTATTGATTTTCTCACATTCTAGAAAGCTGATGATTTGTCGTGTTTTTTAGCATTCATCGAGACTATTCACTATTTCTAATTGTCCATGCAATGAACCAAAACTATATCTGATAAAAATTTCCCTATAATAATCATCTCGTTTTAATTCTTCATTCGAACTTGTTTCTATTGAACTGTTTCTTATGATAACAAATAAACGTACCTAAATTTCGCTCTTTGTACTTGATAGCCACACCATCGATGATCACCTTCACGATAAGCCCAAAAGAGATCAAGTGTAAATCGACCAGTATAAAGACGAAATTCAAGAGAGTCATTAACCTAATTATGTTTGTTATTTTGAAATGAGTTTAATGAGCAAAACAAAAAACAAGATCTAATTGTGTTAGTAAACTACTTACAAGTCCTAATGCACCCCACAAATACGTAATAGGATTTCCAAGAAAATAATTTCGAATATTTTCATCATATTCTTCAGCAAAGAGACCAAAATCTGCATCTTGAGTAAATGGAATTAACCCACAATGACGATACCAACCTACAATTAACATATATTCTTAGGGGTAGAGAAGTTCTGCAGAAGAAAGAAAAAAAAGAAACAGAATTTTTTTTTACCAAGTAAAGTTCCACCAGCAAGCCAATAGTGTTTTTTAAGTTTATTTAATGCATAAGCAATATTTCTCATAGGGACAGCAGTTAAATTTAATTGACTTGCATTTTGATATAAATGAAATTCATTTTCCATTCTATTTGCTAATACTTGATTGCAATGAAGAAATTTTGATGTTTCATATAGCCATAAAAAGTGTGAAACATCTCGAGGATAGAAAAATGAATATTCATGTACAGCAATTTCAGTACTATTGTATAGAGAAAGAAACAAAAAAATAGCAATTATTTGGTTTACTTTACTTCTTTTTATATTATGAAATTCTTACCGTTCAACAGCACGAAGTGTATCACCATACGATAGTTGAATATTTGTCGATAGTGAAATAGTATTTTCTTCAATAAGATAAAACGATTTATATTCATGCAAAACAGCTAAATGAATTATTTTTTGTTGATATTCAATAAATATATGATCAGTTGATATTTTATGATTTGATAAATCATTTTTTGATATGTTTATAGAGAAATTATTTCCTTGAAAAGTTTGAAGAAAGTTTTCAACGAATTCATCAATGATACCAAAAGTAATTAGTTCTTTTTCTAATTTATCAAATGAGAATTGGCCGATAAAAAGATACTGAAGGACGTATGGATCAATTAAAAGTAAATTGACTTTTAATGGTAATAAATCGTCAAGTATAATTGAGAAAGTTGAATTCGATCGATATTTTAATCGACGCAGCTGCTTTGTAAAGAAAATAAAAAGGAATTATTTGTTTGTTTACTTTTTTCGAAAATGTTTTCCTTACTTGATTTTTACTGCGATGTGTTGATTGTTGAAAAGTGGCAATAGTTAGCCAGAATAGAATATAAGTAAACAAACAAAATAAAATAACTGATTTATTTTGATATAAGAGACGGATTAGACCCATCGATTTTCACTTTACATGATCGATGCTCATTTGATAACACAGACCGGAATGATGATAGGATCAACGGGAGAAATTTTATTGCAATAATTCAATTACAGGGAGCACTAAGAAGAAGAAAAAAGAATATATTTTGCAATTCTTATTGAAAAAAAGATATGATTGAATTCAATAGAACATATCATATGATAAGAATTTTTTATAGGCGAATGTAATTGAAATTAGAACAAGAAACCTAGAATGAGTTTAATCAACATTAGTTACTATTTTTGTATTGTCATTGTCAAGAAAAGAAGCAATTCCACAATTATTTAATCAACACAGAAGATAACTGATTAGTTTTTTCATTTCACTAGATAGATTCTATTGACGACACTATAATTTCGATTCTGCTGGAATGAATAAAGGCAAATTATTAGTGTTCTTTTTGTTCTTTTTAAACTAGAAGAGATCGACTAAGGGCATTACATAATCTAGGGAAGTTAAAGAAACAAAAAATAGAATACGAAAAAGAAAATGAATTGCGATGATCTCAAGAATGTGTCTTGTCATTGATCGGCATAGAATTGGAGTCAATGATTCAAGTTTACATAGTGTTTCTAATTTTGTTTTGTTCTCTAGCTCATCAAGCATATTTATGTAAATAATCAAGTCTTAATAATATACAACATTCCATTGATTTGTTTCGTTCCATAGAAAGAAAGAAAGAAAGAAAGAAAGAAAGAAAAAGAAAAAAAACGATGCAAATAGTAAGCATTATTTGCACGAACACTATATTTGTCCTACACAAGGACAAACTATTAGTATAATTGTCCGAATAGAATCAAACTCTACTATAAAAAAAAGTATGGTCTCTTATTGAGATCATGTTTTTGTGTTACTACTCATAATTAGAAAGAGCAAGTCACTGTGTAGTTTATATTTGACATTTGATAGAATGAATATTTTCGTTCATTCAAAATAGTATCTATGAGCTTTTTATGGTCGACGAATCAGAACAACGAAACTTACTTGTGTCGTAGTGTTCCTCGAAAGAAAAAAAGAAGACGATGAAGAAAAAACAAAGATAACATCGTACTGACTGTACCTTATTGTCAATGATTTACTTTTGATTTTGATGATAGACATAGTAAATAGAGTTACTCTTCTCTAATTAAATGTATTCTTAATGAATAATTGCTATTAAATAAAGATTGTACTGCGTTGATATAAACAATAGCTTTCTCACGTACGTTTGTGTCCTTGATAAATATGATCTAACTGTATTAATAAATATAACGCAAAAGAAAAAAAAACGAGATATACTGATAAGAACAATTTGTTATATGAGACAAATAAGAACTGTTGAGCGAAGTGAATTACTTTAATAAAACACGTGTGTGTGTGTGTGTGTGTGTGAACGTACAAAAGAAAAGGATCAAATGCGTGCACAAGAGATAAACAATGAACTTTATCATAAAAAATAGTATACAATAATCACTCTCCTTTACTTTGAAGGTATGGGATCTTATCGAACATACATTATTGGCATGTGTGCGTTCTAAAGTTCATAAAATACGCGGAGATTTGCAAGCTGTATGCTATAATTCTCATACACGTTGCTTATTATTTGCAAGTGAACAAATTTCATTTTTAAATCTTAAATTACGGTAAATAAATAATTTTCTATTTTCTAAATTGAAAATAAATTTAAATATTATTTCATAAAGACCTTATTTGCATGCTGATGTTGTTGTTTCGCATTATGAGCCTATACTTGGTTTACTTTTTATCAAAGAATTCAAACAAGTTATTTCCTGTACAGAAAGTGGAGTCATTCGTTTATGGGACTTTCTAACTGGACGACAAGTACATGAATTTCGAGCACATAATGGTCAAGCTGTTACATCCATGACTCTAGATACAACAGAACGAAGATTAATAACCGGTAGTCGAGATGGTACATGTCGTGTATGGAATGTGCATAATGGGCAATTATTAAAAATATTTAAAAAACCAAATGGTATAAATTTAAGAAAAGAAAATTTTCTTTTTTTTCTAACTGAATAATTTTTCTTTTTAAGATTCACTTGAAGTAACTGATGTAGCTTTTATTCTTGTTAATAATAATTGTTCAATATTATCTGTTGGATGGGATAAACGTGTAAATGTTTTTAAAGATGATCGTGAACGTATCAAACAGGTTTGTTATCCTGAGGACCAATTTATGGGTGATAGTCAAAATGAAGGCCATAAAGAAGACATATTATGTATTGATAAATCTCAAGGTGATTTAATAGCAACTGGTGATTATGGTGGAAAAATTATTATTTGGAATATGTCAAGCAAAAAAATATTTGCTTGTCTAAAAGATCTTAGTGCGGAAAATCAACATTCGGAAGGTAAGCAAACATATACCAATTATCTATAAGAAATATTTTATTTATTTCATTGTAGAAAATGCAAACGACAAACTTATCAGTCGTGTGATATTTATTGATGGAAGATTTGGTCGACATGACATAGCTAATTTAGTTGCCAGTGGACCTTATGGTCAGATTCATTTTTGGAATATTTATAAAAATGGTGTATTAATGGCTAAATTTCGACCGGTAAACATTGATCAGAAGCAAAGCTTGGATAAATACATTCTATTCGTTTTTTTTAGAATAAAGAAAGAATAACAACAGTAACAAAACTTAAGCTAGATGCTGCATGTTGTCTTTTATTTGCTGCTGATTCATTGGGTATGACATCGCCTTTTCTATTTAATTTATGTATATATCAATTCTACTTCTTTTCGCTAGGTTTTCTATTCATCTATGAAATAGAAAATTATGCACTTAAACAAGAAACCGAACCACCTCGTTGTAAGTTTCAAAGAAATTCTTTTAAAATACATCTTTAACTATATTTTAGGTGTTCGAACTTGGCGTGGTCACATTGATAGCGTAACCGGACTACAATATATAGATCAAAGTAAGTAAGTAGTTTTTATTCTTGTGAAAAATCATAAATTAACGAAATTCTTCTATTTCATTCTAGCTCAAATTATTATGTCTACAGCACTCGATTGGACAATACGTCTTTGGAATCTTCAAGGACATTTCATAGGTAACATATATTATGATCTTATTTCATTTTTATAGTATTCTGAATTATTTTTCTTAAAAAAAAAGGAACATTTGGACAAACTATTCCATGGAATTTATATGATCCAGCAACATATCAACATCCATCGGTTCCATTAGATGTATTAACTGATCCAAAAAGTTTACCACACAATCAACAGATAAAAGATGAAAAAGATGATGCATCACCACCCGTAATATACTTTTCGTGTTTCGATAATTTCAATGTATATATATATTCAAATAATCTAGGTACCAACCATAGTTATAAACAAACAAGCCGTTCTGGATGATGAAACAATTGCCAATAATGTCCATGACACAATTAATAAACTAAGACATAGTCAATCAGCTGGAGGATTTGTTGGAAAAAGGTTTGCTCGAATTTCTACTGTTTTGTTGTACATGAACATATATATTGCTTTAGACTTCGATATTTTCGTGATAAACCTGCCGTTTCAATACGTCGTGATGGTTCAAGTCATTATCAACATTTACGTTTTTATCCAATTGATGATAATCCTCCTGTACAAACTGCAAACAGTATCGTTCATTTTGCTAATACAGTTAAATTATGATTCGATAAAGACAATATTCATTCGTTTTTCTAAATTTTAAGAAATTTTTCTTTTTTATCATCTCGTGTGAGCGTGAATGAAACAAATTAACAGATGTTCATTTTGTAAAAAGAAATGAAAACGCGCTTTAACAAATAAAAATATAGCTGGCAAATTTTCGAAATCTTAAAGAGTGTGGCGAGTGTAAAAGAAAAGTAAAACATCAATCATTCTATTCTACATTCGAATCGTTTCATTGAAGATTGGTTATATATTTTAACATATGTACTATATCATTCAAGCAGTAATCGTTTAAATGGTTTTATTTTAATATATGGTGCCCCGATATGGTACTTAAACGTATACCAATGGAAATTCTTAAACTGAAGGAATTAAATGTTGATGTATTACAAATGATGATTCATATCGCATCGAATGTAGATAGGAATATGTACAGTCGATAGGAAACAATAAGAGAAGAAGAGAAAAAAGAGAATATGACCAACTAGAAAGGAAAAAGAACTTACCATTTTTTCTCTTCAGTTCAGTTGATCACTTAGTAGATTGACGGCCAAATGATTCGTCGGTAATAAAATAAAGTATAAGTTCATACCGTGTATCGCATTTATTAATAAATGATGAGTACTAAACGCAACTTTTTTTATTGTGTTTCAGAGTTTAAGTCTTTATCACGTTGATATCGATACCTCAATTGTTTGATTAGGTGTAAAAATCCAAGATGAATACATAATCAATCCTATCGAGGTAAATGGCAAGAACGACAAAAAGGATAAATCATTTCTGACATCTCAATAGCGTCGTACTTGAAGGTAATGATGCAATTGCACGTGACAAAAAAGTGATGCTTATAATATGCATGCATTGATCGATCGAGTTGGAGCATATCAAAAAGAATAACCATCATAATGCTATGAATGACGAAAACCTTTTCTAATATAATATGAACGAACGAATGAACGTTAACTATTTGACTGCATAAAAAAATCTTGCTTACAATTATTTTAAAGCACACAATTCATTTGGAAGTCATACTTCGCCTTTTAAATATTAATTACTATGTTCATGGTATCAGAACTTCTAACGGTTAATAATTATATATAGTAGTTGCATTAGTCTTTCAATCTTTTTTCTTTTTTCTTTTTTCTTTTATCTACTTTCCATATTACTGCTGCTTTTTATTTCTTTCTTCTCTATGCCGTGTACACATTGTGCCTCATTGCTGGTTCAACACTTTACTTGCGAAAAGTGCGCTTAACACATGCAACCTAGTCCTTATGAATTTGTTGCGCAAGAGAATAGGTATTTACATGTTGCGTATATTTTGTTTGCTGAATTTTCTCCTTTGTTGATCGTTGTCAATGTAATTATGATTCGCAAAGTGACCAACGTTTAACTTCACCGAGATTCCTTACCGTTTAATTCAAGCAAATACGACGCACATTTATAATACAAATGAAAATGATGTTTGTTTGCACCTCAACAAAGTATTACTTTGATTTAAAATATGTAGATATTTGAATTCACCATATGTTAAAATGAACATGATTCTCTTATGTTGGTAAGAAAGGTTAACACTTTTATTACCTAATATAAAACACAGTGATGTATATGTAGATATCGAATAAATTGTCTTTTATTTATGATACATCTAATTCATAGATCGACACATATTATAAAAAAAAACACTTTATCCTAACCAAGTATATGAAGTGAAGCATATCTACTACTCCAAAAATAATTATAAAAAGTTCACATTGTATATCGATTTTAGAATTGTTTCACAAAATATATATTGATCTAATATTGATACATCGATGTAATCTGTATTGTTTCTAACTATATATGAATATGTTTCATGTTGCTTTTAGTTTAAATAAGTCAATATTGAATAATAAAAGGGATGCTCTCAATTATGAAACACTTCAATAAATATAAGATGATGAGAATGGTAGCCTGTATTAGGCAAGAAAACAGAACAAAGCAGAGAAATTCGGAGTCTTCAAATAATAACGGTAAGCTATGAAAAGCGAAGTAATAGCAATTTCGACGAATTAAAACGCTCTTTTACACAACGATTCCGTACCTAAAATGCTATGATCATCAAAGGAAATATTTGTATCAATATAATTCTTACGACTAGATTAGCTCATTTTCACAGCATCCTTCTATGTATGCAATCATCTACTTCTTTTTATCTTCATTGAGTTTACTTGTGAAAACTAATTTTAAGTTATTCAGGGAAAGATTTTGTTCGGAAGATGAAGTAGTTTCAAATGTGAAGGAGTCATACATGACAGTAATAAAAATATTTGAAGAATATTGTCAACCACGTAAAGAAATAATTGACATGTATTTGATAGAAATTAAAAATATTACAGATGTAATTATGACAACAAGAAAAAAACAGTAGATACTTAAAAACACTAGTCTATTAAGTTGAACAATGTATATGAATTTAATTTTTACTCTTCAAAATAGATCACACTATCTAAAAAATCATTGGCATCAAAACAGCACTAACTATAATTGACAGTCACTACTACTAAAGTCAAGATTGCTGATGTACCGATATTGTATACATTACTTTGAATGACTAAAACAATGTCTATTCCTAACTCAAGACGACGTACAGCATAAAAAGTCAATGTGATTCCCTTTACAATTATGACTACCCTTTTTATTGGACTTTATAAGTTGCAGAACACATGCAAAGATAATGTAAAGTAAACACAAAGTGCTCGCAAAATACAAGCAATAATTATGGTGCAGTCAGAATAATGTGTATGAAACGTTGATGGGCAAACTCTATCATTATACACCCATTTATTTTGGATTTTCTCATTTGCTTGTCTAAGATCTATTGTCGTTTGGGGTATCGAAATATTTCATTTAACACTAACAATTGATTCAAAATGAGCTTTATCCAATAGTATCCTACGTAAAAAATATTACTTCTAATTGAATTATGATTTTAAGTTCGATAATGATAAATGCGATGCAATCAAAACTTTTATTGTAACAATTAACCACTGATAATATTATTCCAAGTCAATTCAGTAAAGTTAGAAATAATGATTTTGTTACGCTAACAGATATCGAACAGTTGATGTTAGAAAAATTAAGGCAAGATGAAGTTTTTCTTTCATGTGCTATTATAATCACAACCATACATTTAGATATTTTGCATTGCAGAATTTTGATTCTTATATAGCTACTAGAAAACATGACAATATATGTGAAATTCTTTGTGTTTTTAATTTGTCAAAATCTCAAATTGAAATTAACTCTAATCGGAAAATAATTCGAAGATGAAAATTTTTCATTCGTGATAATTCTTACCGATTTTTATTAAAATCATCGCAATATTTATTTTAAAGATTCTATTTAAAGAATCTACTGTTTATAGAAAACCAAAATCATAAAAAAACCATTTTTTTACTGATTTTTGATCTAAATTTGTATTATTTGAATTATTCTCAAAAATTGATGACTAGCTCCAATTTCAATAGTTCTAACAATATCAACAAGTTATTCTCTTAATAGAACTTAAATATCTTGCTCAGAAATATTTTGAGAATTCTCAAAAATGACTAAATGATTGTGTAATGAATCTGATAGTACAGACGTGATTGTTAGGCGTATGAATATACACATCAATTTGCCTATTCCAGTATCAGATAGAGCACACATAGTACATTAGCTGTGAGCAAGCGATTTCAATGTGATGGGTCAACAAAAGGAAAAGTGAACCTGTTACAGTCATATGTTATTATTCCTTGAGTCATTGCGCTCTTATCGATATTTGTTTATTCAACTCGCATTCCTTGATGCTTTATTTCTCTTATATATATCCTCTCTTCTCTCGCTTAAACAAAGAATTGATTCTTAATAAAAGAACATCGAGAAGGGAACCGGGATACTCTAATAGAACCATTATCTGTCAAAATACTGTCAAAGTCAACTCTTCTTGCACTTAAAAAGGATATCTTTATCAGTGCGGCTATATTAGTTCAAACAAAACGTTGAAAATTTCATCTTCTAACTATGCAAATGTTGCATGTATTCGGCTTGACAATTGCACCTTGTGCCGTTTATAATAATTGTATCCATTGGGAAATCACAGTATCGCCATTTTATTTTTGCATGTTTACTATACGTAAAGAATCAACTTACATGAATCATAATATATTTTACTAAATTATTCAAGCTTGGAGAAACGAGATGAAATAATTTTTTCTTTTATATTAAAAAGACTTAGAGCCTTACTCACAGCTTTTGTAATTTATCTTTTTGGATTAGAAACTGTTAAAATATCCCGTTTGTTTTTAGTTTTCTTCGAGTGTGCGAAAGAAAACAAGCAATTCGGATTTTTCGTTTTAGAAATAAAATTTTATACACCTGTTGCTGGTAAACATTATATTTTGTTTTTTTGCTTGAATATTGGAGAACGTAGTAAATAAGAATTTTGTATAAGAAAATTGCTCTAATTTTTATGCCATGATGGAAGTGCATTGTTAACAACGAAAAACATACAGGCTACGATCCTAACGCTACCACTCAAAATAAGTAATAATAGTGTGTCTTTTTATCATCGAAATAAATTTCATGCTTTGATTATCAAAGATTAATCTTGGTTCTCATAAAATTCTATAAATATTTGACTTCTTGAAAACTTTTCATCTTTTTTGTTATTGTCTTCGTGACTCATGAGGAAAATTCATAGCGTTATATTTCATTTAATGTATCTGCTATAATTATTGAACAAATTATTCTACTATTATCTTTCAGTATTACATTCTTTAATATTTAGAAATATTGGTGTATATGAAAAAGTCGCCACTATTTGATTGAGTGTCATTATCACTCGCAATACTGTTGACTGCAATCAAAGATGATGATGTGATTACAAAAATATTACATTGATCTCAAACTATTGCTCTCATGAATTAAGTATATTGAGGACAATAGTTTCAGCAATTTACTTCTTTACGAATCAATATTCGTGATCCAACTAAATTATTCAAAACAAATGGTGCACATGAATACATAAATTCAAAATCAATAATATTATTTAAAGTCACTGTATGGACGATTGTTTTTTATTTTAATGGTAAATTAGCACATACACACGCACAATAAGACATAAGGATGATTAGAGTTGGAAATAATGCTTTGCTTTAGCTTTTCTCTGAATTAAATAGTCGTAGGAAACATAATTTCACCTAGTGACGAAGATAGACTGAAACACACGCACACAATGATTAAGCAAGAAGCAGATGAAGGCTATGCAGTTCATTGTCTTGTTTTGAGCTTTCTAATTAAGGCCACATTCGCTAATGACAACCTTGGCTTTTGGTGCACCAGATTGTGAACCTAAATTTGATAGAAAAAGAAATCTTTACTAAAAATGAAATCAACTATATTTTATACCATAGCTTTCGATCTTCTTGACAAGATCCATACCCTCAACAACTTCGCCGAAAACAACCTTTTTAAAAGAAAAACAAGGTATACAGATAAAAAGAAACAAATTCTACGGAAATATTACATGTTTGCCATCGAGCCATGGTGTTGCAACAGTCGTAATGAAAAATTGTGAGCCATTAGTATCTGGGCCAGCATTAGCCATTGACAAAAGACCTGCCTTTGTGTGTTTGAGTTTGAAGTTTTCATCAGCAAACTTTTCACCATAGATACTAAAAATATCATCTCTAGTAAAGATTGAGACAGAACAATTTATTTATTTACCTTTTACCACCTGTGCCATTGCTATTTACATTTAAAGAAAAGAAATCATTCATTTAATATTAGGCTTTTTACTATTGTCAACTTACCCTTTGGTAAAATCACCGCCTACGAAGAAAAAAAACTAATGAATTAAATTGAAATTATATCGAAAGTAAAATCTGTTACCTTGAAGCATAAATTGTGGAATGATACGATGAAATCCACTTCCTTGAAATCCGAAACCTTTTTCACCAGTGCACAATGCACGAAAATTGGCTTTAAAACAAAAATATATTTATAACTAACAATAAAATGATAAATGAATTACCGGCTGTCTTTGGTACTACAGAGCCGAAGAGCTATGATACGAAAAAATATTCATCAAATGAAAACCTCGCTGTTTAATGTTTTACTTCAAATACAATGCGACCACTTGGATTGCCATCGATTGTAATATCGAAGTAAACGTTTCTTGGTAACATTCTTCGAATGATTTGATTAAAAAGATATTAGATCTAGAATATTATATGACATTAATTACGATGAAAACATCAGATAGTTTAAGACAACATATGACAATATAGAAAACTTGACATGAACTTCATTGCACAATAGGTATACATACATATTTATATGAACACAAAAAAAAAGATGCGTTGATTTAGAAAAAAAAATATTCAGACAAAACGACATCTGACAACAGGTCCATTGATAAGAAATTCAGATCGTAATCATAATTAGAGAAGATAGACTGAAAAAGAAAAATAAGGTATAATGGATGACTAGGAGAAAAAAAATTTGATATTCCAGTCATCATTGACAAATCAGCGATTTAGTCGACATTTAATTCGTTAAGTAAAATATTTGATGCCTGCTGCAACGAACAAGACGGTAAACGAGAAAACTAGAAAAATAATAAATACATGAATTTTCATCACAATTATTCTTTTTTTTCGATCACTTACACGAATAAAAATCGATGTGCAATTCATTTCTTTAATAATCGTTCTACATGATAAATCTTTTGCTAAATTAATCAATGCTCCAATAATAATATCCAATAACAAATCTAATTTAATATCTTCTGTTACTTTCGATCGTTCACGATCAATTATAAATAATAATTCAATTAATCTTCTAACAGCATTCTGTTCAGATAAATATGGTATCAATGTTGTTGATAATGCTAAATTTTTGATCAAACCAACTGTTGCTTTCAGAATACCGCCATGTTCTTTAAAATTTTTATCTCGTAATAATTTTATAATATTGCCAATACCATACGATCTTCTTATTGTTTCACGTGCTTCATTTTCGAGATCATGACGAGCTGTTAGATGCCGAAGTGTACATAGCTAAATTAGGTTTTGAAACATTTTGTTAGAGAAAAATAAGAGACATGATTATTCTAACTTACAACTACTTCAGTGAGCTCATCATTACCATCAGCATTCATTAGTAGTTTTTGCATAAGTGTTTGTACACCATTTAATTTAACAAATAAACTTTTATTAGTTCGATTATCTGCTGTTAAATTATTCAATATGCCCAATGAGCAAATAACTGATTGATGATCATCAGTTAACAATATTCCAGCTAATTGTTGGATTAATGAATCAATATCACGCTAAAATAGAAAGAATTCCATTTAATCAGAATATAAAAATTTCTTCATCAACAAAGTTTTCTTTTTAACAATGAATAAATAAAAATGCGCTATATGTTAGAGATGCGCAGGTCACATTCCTCGAAAAAAGTGAAGCTTTGAATGGCTTATTTCAGTTAAAATATAGCCTACAGAAATATGTCTTTCCTTTCGAATCTCTCTTTTCTTTTGCTTGCTGCTAAAAAGTAAACACATGAAATCTATTTCGAAACAATTGTTTGATTAATTATACAGCAAATCAGTTATATCTATCTGCAACAGAATGTTCTGTCTGTTTTCGAGAAACACATATCCATCAACGAAGAGATAAATTAACGTTCTAGATGAAAAGCAATACAGCTTTTCCGTGTGGTTCACTTTCGATAGCAAATCTATTCATGGTATATTATTTGCATGGTAACAGACTTAAACACAGGACAAGCAGAAAAAAGAAATACGATAGTATATCAAAGTCAAAAGTCATTGGCCATTCTATTTCGTTAGCCTTGTAAAACAATAGTTATCTTGTCAAATAGATTTTTCTTCATTTGTTATACTATCTAATCTATATCAAGTGAATAAAACAATCATAAACTTTCGAGTAACAATTCTACTCCGACGAGCACTATAGTCCAATGTACAGCATTCAAAACTATAGTAGTAACATAGTAACTTGTATATCTCGTTACATAATAAGAAAAGTTAACGATTTCTTACCATTCGCGTTGCTTGATTTGATATATTTCTTATTGTTATAAGACAATTGTGTCTAATTCGAATACTTTTCGTTGTTCGTAAATGTTTTTCAAAAATATTCAAACCATTCAGTTGTAAAATAATACGTTTAATTAATTCATTTCCAGATGATATTATTGGCAGTAATTTTGAGATTGTCAATAATAATTTATCGTATTTGCTTGCATCGAATATGTATAAAAGAAGTTGAATACATTTTTCATTATTTTGTATGTACATTTTTGCTTTTACATTATAATTTGACATTTTAAGTAAACTATCCGAAACTAATGTTAATAATTTATCATTTGATCTTTCTAAGAGATTAATAAATTTTTGAATCCCATCACATCGCTCAATTTCATGAGCAGCTTGTTCTTGAAGAACAGTTAAAAAATTATGTAATGCTGTTATTACATAATTAACTGTATTGTCAGGTGAACTAGAAAGGTAGAACATTTGAATGAAAACCAAATTTATCATTTTTAATGTGAATCTTACTCGAGAATTGGAATTAATCGTGAGATTCCGCCACAATCAAGAATGGCACGTAGACCTTCTTGTTGTTGTGATATCGAATGAAATAAATTAGCTAATGCAAAAACTATTTTACCATCACCAATGTCTTTAGTAAAAGTGTCCAATAATGCATTAATTAACTAATGAAAAAAGAAAAGTTATCATCGTTTTTCTTTTATTTTATTGATTAGAAAATATGGATTTCTCACCTCTCGATTTTGGATCACTTCCAATCGAGTTTCACCACCTTCCTTAATTAGCATATGTGTAAGTAATACAGCTTCACGAACAATGACCGAATCTTCTTCCATTAATAAATTCATTAATTCAGGTATAACATGAGCTGGAGCCGGCTTTACTGGAGGTTGTGTTGGCTCTAGTTCTGTATATTGTGAATGATTATTTTCAAGATCATTTGAATAGCGAGAAGAACTATGTTCATATCCGGATGTTGATCCATGATATGTAGGGCCGGTACTTGTTGATTCAACGCTGCGTAATGAAGCTGGTCGAGAATTGAATCCTGAGTCTCGTTGCGATGGACATGCAGTAGAACCAGAATATGGATCATCGAGCCACATTGATGTATGACTATCAGAATTGATTGGCTGTAATTGATTCGAAAGAAGTGGATGTTGTAAATGATGCGGTATAGGTTTCGATGAGAAGGGTGCTTGATGCGGCATTTGAGGTGGATAATCCATGATAATTATCTACAGAGACAGAAAAAAAAGAATCAGTGATGCACATGAATTCTATTAACTATCTATTATTCTACTATCGACCAAAACGTATCATTACGTGCTCATTATTCTTACCTAACTGTGTTCAACGTATGAATCTAGTTTGAACTCAAGATATATATATATATATAGAGAGAGAGAGAGAGACAAAGTGTAGAAAATGGAAATGCAATGAAGAACATGAAGAAAATGAGATGCTGGTCGCTCTTTGTCCATTTTACGATAGATATTCACTGTCCGTTGTCTCATATCAACCAATTAAAACATTTTCTGATAACCTGTTATTATCAAACCTTCACTTTTTTTAAAATGCTTTATCATTTTGCTTATCTCTATTGAAGTACTGTTAATGTTTCGATACTGAAAACAAATAGACTACTACGAAGATAAGTTTGAATGTAAAAAGCCATGAGTAAATTTTTACAGCCCTGTCGCCATCTATCAAGTTTCAAATGTTGTATATACGTAACGTATGATATTGACCATACATTGAATTGATAAAAATTAAACTGCATTATATCAACATGAGATCTTATTATTTAATGTACTCTAGTGCAACTTTATGTCTATATGTATTGATACACTTTCAGTTTTACTTCTCTTTGCATTGAATTCATTCATTATTGAAGAGTCAGTTCAAAGCATCACATACATAACACATGAAATTGGAGTTTTTTTTTTTTTTTTGAAACATGTTACTTCTCTTTTTATTCTTTAACAAAAAAAAGTTGATAGAAAAAGGCCAGAGCTAATGAAAGTAATACATCAAATCAATAATTCAAATGTTGGATCACGCAATCAATGCCGACAAACTAGCACAAATTCACGGGTTGTTATAAAAAAAAGGAAGGACGTGAGAATTTCAAAAAGTTAACAACAACAATATGATCTTTTCTCAGAAATTATTTAAGATTTTCTTCGCTTTTTAATTCACCACTCTCAGCAATGGTGATCTTTTTTTGAGTTTGACCAGATTGTGAACCTAATGCTTCGATTTTTTTCACTGTTTCTATACCATCAACAACTTCACCAAAGACGACCTTATTAAAAAAAACGGCACAGTTGACTAAACTAATATTGAATTGTACATTGTACATACGTGTTTACCATCAAGCCAAGGTGTTGCTACTGTTGTTATAAAGAACTGTGAGCCTAAACGAACAAATATTTAATATTGACTATTATTTGAAATAAATGCTAATTACCATTCGTATTCTTGCCAGAATTAGCCATGGAAAGTAGACCTTCTTTTGTATGTTTCATTTGAAAACTAAATCAGTTAAAAGAAACAATTGTTTTTTCGAAATATTCGCTCGATGAAATCAAAAACGACACTTACTTTTCATCAGCGAATTTTTTTCCATAGATGCTATTTATATAGAAAATTATAAATCACACAAAATACCAATATTAACTTCATTCTTACCTAGAACCACCAGTACCATTACTAGAAGAAAAGAAATTTTTTTTTCTAAAAATAATTCTGAGAAATTAAGTTTACTAACTGTCGTTCAAAATCACCACCTTGTAACATAAACTTTGGAATCACTCGATGAAATATTGACTTTTTATAACCAAAGCCTTTTTCACCAGTACATAGAGCTCGAAAATTTTCTATTTAGATAAAAATTCATTAATGGATTTACTTTCCCAACAACAACTTTTCCTATTCATACCAGCCGTTTTCGGAACAACATCATTATAAAGCTATCAAAAAAATGAATAACACGAATAAAGGTAAAAACCGGAGGTTTCATATAACTGACTTGAAATGTAATGCGCCCGAGTGGTTTATCATCAACATGAACATCACTAAATTTTACAAAAGAAAAAACAATTATGATGAAAAACATCACTAAATAATTCATTACAAAAAGCATTTCGAACGAGCTGCCGCTTTATTTGATGCTGCACTACTAAATATTCCAAATGTTCGTTGAAAACCACAAGATATCTGTGTGATAAATCGAGAATGACTTTAATATATTGAATTCAGAACGACGAAAATATGTAAAACCTGAACGTTTGATGTTAGAACTGTACGAAGAAGAGTACGTGGAATCATTATGACTTTTTTTTTGGTGTCAAACGATCTACAAATACAATGGAAGCACAAAAAATTTATTTATTATCACTATTCAAATCATGCAGAAAAAAAAGATAAGCAAGAGCGAGCAATCAAACAAATAATATACAAAAAAAAAGAAAGAAAAATTTCCATTCGCAAAGAAATATTAATAAATGAGTCGATTAAAAGAGATATCTAATCCTCTGAGATAAACATGTATGTGTATGTATATATATGCACATCAATCAAAAATTCTACAACTAAATTTTGTTTTTCTTTTACAAGTCAGTATCAAACCAAGCTGCCATTTGTGAATTATTATGAGGTGGTGGTGGAGTTTGATGATGATTTGCAGAACGAGGAGATGCTTGCATCATATCTCGATCTCCAACTAGCACTTGATTATCCATTAGGTTTCCAAGACCACTACCACCTGCACCTTCTGATGCATAATAATTCATTGTTGGCACATCATGAAGAGGTGGTGGTGTTGCTCGATAGGGGTTTGAGTAAGAACCAGCAACCGAACCATTGGCTAGGCCATAGTGCTAAAACATAAGCGAAGACATTTTTTCATTAACAAGTGATTATGATCCAACAATTTTGAAGAGAATGATATTAACGATATTACAAATGACTCATCAACAAAACCAATAAGAATTCTTCTATCGTTCTTATATAGTAGAGTAGGTTACGTTGGGTGTCCCTTTTTTCCGAAAGAAGTTAATTGTCTTCAGACTTGTTTAGATTCAGAAACATGCATTGGAAAATAGTCGAAAATCTGGCTTCCATCGAAGATATGATAGAAGGGGAAGCCTTTTACGGCGGTATGCATGCTTGATTGATTACTCATCTTCGAATACTCGAAGGGCCATCATTTTAGTCGAATTCTTTGTTTTCAATCAATCAATATTACTGCTACATAAGGAAGCACGTGTAGAGTTAGACTGGCAATTGTTGAATTCCTTTGTACATTCTGATGCACTCTTTTGAACTAAAAATGCATTAGGGTGTTTACATGAGAGACCAATACAAAATTTTCTGATCTGAAAATAAACGATATGAAGAATTTGTCTATCGAACCTCTTCGAAAATTATCCTCACAATGAACTGAAAATCTGCCATTCTCCTTTACAATAGGACGATCGCAGGATTAGTCATTGGTGACGCGAAGAATTTTACTTTATTTCTCGATAGAAATTAGCGTTCATGAACATTTCCGAAACGATATTTAGAAACATTTATTTAATGTTGACCATTCATATTTGAATCCCGTATAGTTCAAAACAAGGAGGAAATAGACTTTCATTTTTCAATAGAAAAATTACGAATCTTTCGCTTCATCTTTTCTAAAATCTATCATAATCTGTTCGCTACTAATGATTAGTCATTTGTACTGTATTATAGGTTACAAATAACTAATCATATACTTCTTCGATCTTTAATTGGCGCGTGATTTTTTTGTCGATTTCATATTCTTTTTTTTAATAAAATAAACAGCAGCTTACATTATTCATTAGATGTTCATCCCGATATAATGCTGTAGTAACATCTTGTGATAAACGATTTTTCATATCATATGGTTTATCATCGGACAAACGAAATAAAATTGCTGCTGCATAGGTAGCTAGGTAGACGAAATAACAATGTTTTAGAAAAATTAATTATAAAACATAAGAAAATAACTTACCAACGCCTTCATCGTTTGATTTAAGTAACTCAGTTAATTTTGGCGTACAATTTTGTTGTTCAATTATATCAGCGCATAGACGATCATTAACAAGTTCACATAAAACTCCTGCAGCTGCACGTTGAATTGGTACACTTGATGGTGGATAAAGCAGCTAAATACAGACATATATACATGAATACAATTTATCAATAGAAAAACGAAAATTTCCTACTCGAACAAACAATGGAATACAATCAAGATCACGAATAATAACTCTATTTTGTTGATCTTTGGCAATGATATGTAGTGCACTAACGCATGCTTCAAGTATATCATCCATACGTATATAATTATCAATTAATTCCACTTTTGGTTGTTGTCTTTGCAATTCTTGATGGCTTCGAACAAGTAATTGAGCTAGCTTTTGTATTGAACCTGTTTCACGCAAAACTGGTAGATTATTTGGCGATAATGCTAAATTTCGTAATAGACTTATTGTTGATTTAATAATAGGCCATGAATATAATGATGGATTAAGTAAGTCAACAATCGGTAAAAGACCATTTACATTTCGAACAGCATCTTGAGCTTCACTTGCATGTGAATGTCGAGATGTGATATGTCTCAATGCACATATAGCTGGTTCTAAAATTTCTTCTTTATCATGGCCTTGGATTATAGTATTAATAAGTGCATTTACACCATTGGATTGTACTACAGCCATTTTATTATATTGATTGTTACATGTTAAATTTGATATAATACCAACTGCACATGAAACAGTTATTAAATCATTTGTTTGTAACAATTCAATAAGTAGTTGAATAAGTGAATCAAGATTTTCCTACAAAAAAGAAATTCAACGAATAACAAAATTGTTTTCAATTTTTAATAGAAATTCTTCTACGTACTAATTTAACAGCTTGATCAGATAAATTGCGAAGAATTTGTAAACAATTTTGTTGTACACGTAAACTTATTGGTTGATATAACTGTTTTTCAAGTATATGAACTGAATTTTTTGATATCATCACTAATTTTATCGATGGACTAACAGATAAAACACGAAGAAGACGCGTGGTTGTCCATAAGAGTTTTTCATAATCAGTTAATTCTAATATGCGTATTAATTGTTGTGGGCCATTACTTGATTCCATAATGATCTAAATAAATCGTGTACTTCAATTTTTTTCTGAGATTACCCTTTTCTGTTTAGAAAATTTTTAAAGAAATAATTAGCCTCAAAACGCATAACCGCGAACAAAAAGTAAAGCTGTTTTATCATCGATGCAAAACTTACCATCGAAACAAAAAAGAAAGATATTCTGAATGAATATGAAAGTAAATAAATAACAACTGTGAATAGGATATACTTTAGATTATTTACCTTAACTTCTTCATTATTAAATGCTAACATATGAAGACAATCAGTAAGTAGAGCAAGAAATTTTGGATTAGAACTATTTAATAAGCCAACCATTTTTTGACAACCACCACAACGAAGAATTTCTAATTTTGCTTGTTCTAAATGTAATAATAAATTATGTAATGTTGATAGTGCATAGTTAACAACAGATTCAATTGGTGAACTATAAACAAAGAAAATTAATGAAATATAAGATACTTGATAAACAAAAAAATTTACTCTAAAAGTCGAACAAGCAATGGAATAACACCTCCTTTATACATAAGGAGTAGACCTTGTTTTTGTTGAGATAAACAATGGAGAACACCTGCGACACCGCGACGTGTTTCATCATTAGCACGTGGATTCGATATAGATTGAAGTAATGCTTGAATCATTTGTGGCGTTGATAATGCTAATCGACTTGCTTCCTTTTTGGCTAATGTATGTAACACTAAAGCTGCTTGTCCAGCTACAATTGGATCATCATCATTCAGTAAACGGATTAATTCAGGTAAGGCTCTCTCAGTTATTTCAGCATCTTCTTTATAATTAATTATATCAATAACTGCATTTTTTAACAATTGAGATGGCTCGGATAGTTTTTGTACGGCTGTTGGTTGACCATTAACAAATTGCGTTGACGGCATGGGCATAGATACACCATCTGGTGCACCATCCTCAAGTGTTTCAGGAAAGATAGCTGCCCGAATACGTTGAGCACGCGTTGAACTCAATTGAGCATTCATCGAATCTATATGTTCTTGCATTATGTACTCATCCATACCACCATTGCGAGAGTGAGCACGATGACTATATCCGTTCATTGAGCTTTGTACTTGATATGATTCGTATTCCATAAAAACAAGAAAACTTTAAAAGCAACAAGCAATCAAATGGCAGTCAAAGGAATGATTGAACTGAATAGACTGTACATTTATTCGCCATATTGTTTATTTGATAACTTTATTGAACGAGTAAAATAAATAAACAGAACAGAACGGACAAAAAAAATTGAATTATTCAATGAAAAAAAATTGAATTCTTTATTATTTAACTGGAAAAAAAATGATTTGACAACAATATTTTTATCGATGTCAAAAATATAACTATTGTCACAATAGATGGCGCCCATCTATTTAGTCCTATCTGATATGACTGTATAAATTTGTCACTAGAAATGTCTAAAATGAAATATTGCTTTCGAAATAGAAGCCATTTCCGAAATAAAATAATGTATCAGTATCCTTAGAATATTACTTCATGACACAACAGCACTCATTCATGAGGATTAATATATTACATTTAAAATGATATTCGTTGTCTAGTATACTGTCATCAATAAAGATGAATTTTTCGAAAAGTTATGAATAGTATAATAGATAAGCCAAATAAATCATATGAGATATAACGGCATAGCATATTGGTAAAAACATCTGAACAAGTAGAATTTTACAAAATTTTGTTGCAGTATAAACACGGTGAAAGAGAAAATAATGGTTTTTAACTGTTGTAATGAAAACATTGACGATACCTGATTGAAAAGATATTCATCTATGAAACATTCATACTTAGACTGAGATGAAATTTATTATCAGATTTAGTATAATCTCGATAGCATATTGATTTTTAGCTCAAAACTATATGGATGAAATCATTGAGTAATGAATAGAAATTTAAAGTATAAATGATAGAAATCGGATTTAGGCAGTGACATACATATACATATATATATACATAGAGAGAGAGAGAGAGAGAGAGAGCGAAAGAGAGAAGAAGAATGTTTACGATAATGAAAACAACTATAGATGTGATCGCTAGCCATCAAACAAAAGCCATAGTTTAGAAGGTATGAATTCGTTAGAAATCGTACAAAAAGAATTTATTCAGAGAATATAACATAACAGAAGAGCCATCATACCAAGGAGACAGCAGTAGACTTTTGAACTTGAAGTTACTTTGAACTACTTCAATCGGTGCATTTTAGAGTAGTTTTCAACTTGAAATCGACTTGAAGTTACTTCAGCTACTTCAAGTATGTACTTTGGCGTACTTCTCGAATTCAAGTCCACTGTTGCTCCCTCGGTAAAATCTAATATCGAATTAATATAAGTTTACTAGTAACTAAGCAATTGCAATTCGAGGTAATCGACGAAGCTTCTATCAGCATTCTTCGAGATAATCAGCATTCGATAGCTTGTGAATCAGATTGAGCTACCCGATAAATATTGCATTTTGACATAATATATTGATCGGAATTCTGATTTAAAGCAATAAGCACATTATAAATTAAAGTTCAACTAGATTTGGGATTCAATAGTGAAATTGATTGATTGCTATCTATGATTGTGATCGTTAGCGAATGACTGAATTAATTAATAATACTGTTTACAGACTAGATAATACCCACATGGAAATATCATTTTTAATACTAAGTGTAAAGTAAATATCAATTGGTTCGAATCTTTTATTGTTGTACACCACTAATAGAGAAATGGATGCACAAAATATCACATAAGAAACGAAAGGCAAACATTAAATTATTTATTTTTCTCTCTTTATGCATTGTTTAATTTGTTTTTCATTTGTGTTTTAAATAAAAAGAAAACGGGAAAGTGTTCAATTAAAAAGAAAAAGATTCAAAATATTGTTTAATTCGTATAAATGAATATCCACTTATATAGAACGAGAGTAGAAAATGAAAATTCATTCTTGGTTCAAACTGTGCGATATTAAAAATATGATTAGTTTCCACTAGAAATATTAATCTGAATTTTCTGCGAATCTATTTAAATTTATAAAACTCTCCATGATGGTTACTGTCTCACCGTGCCAAAAATATTAATGCCTTCGTAAACAATTAGATCGTTTAAGGAATTATATTGTAAAACAAATACATTTAGTCATTCAAAGTTATCTCAAAGAAAAGATTTCGAGTGCTGATAAATATTCAACAGGAAGATTAATATTAGCTATAACTATACAGTTTTATAACCACCAAGTAGTTAGGCATCGCATGAAATTGATTATTTGCAATCATGTTAAAAGTGATAATAAAAAAAGTAAACTACACTTGATATTCCTACAGGCTTCGATAGGATTTCAATAAGGAAATGAGATAGAATGGATTCTTTTTTTTTAGCAGAGTAAAATAAATAAGTTTTCATAATTCAAAAAACTTGTTTAGAATCGTTAAATTTCCATATGATATATGCTTGTTGAATACCTAAAAATTTCTTATGCATGTTAAACATGTCGTTCAAGTAAAATTTTATATTTCTACATGAATTTTTTTATCATATTATTTACGTGTTCACTAACCTATCATAAACCAAATAAGAATATAAAACAAACTGAATAAAAGTTTTAAAAAATGAAAGCAATAAAACACGTATTAAACTTAACACATAACTCGATTATCATAGAAAATAAAAAGAAAACAATCTTGACTTCAATTTTCATGTTGATATTTCTTTTATACAAACACTGTCAAATACTCGTTTAAATGTCGACTGTGAACGTTTGTTGCATGGGATTGCTGATGTGATAATGTTGACGTTGATGGTCCAATGTCAATTCCAGCACCACTGATTGATGACTGAAACAATAAATATATCAGAATTAAGAATATTCTAATTTTTTTCATGCATTTCATATCAGATGCAAGCAAGTATTAAGAAACACACTATTTATGTATGTATATATATATATGTAATGTATTAGTAATACAAAAAACAAACAAACAAACAAGCAAACACCAATATAACTAAGTTTAGCAGCGAGTAGCAGCAATAGGACTGAATTGAGCATTAAAATAACTAAAGCCGTTGGAGCCTACTTCAACTGTTGTTGCTGTTGTTGTTTGTTGTCGACAAGCATCAACAGTGGTTGTCGAACCTGAGGAGGAGGAGGAAGAAGAGGAAGATAATAATAAGTGAGTTGACGTGCTCGATAATAATAAATAACAATGAGAACACACATGATTAATAGAATGATTAGAATTAAAGCAAGCAAAACAAGCGTTAGTGTTTTTGTTAAATTTATCTTGTACCTCATGAGATTCTGATATAATATCCATTGAATCTTCAGATATTATTTGATTTTTTAAACCATGTAAACGTCGTTTTTGGTTTTGTTCATGCTGTTGTTTGTTAACCCATTGCATATCTTCATTTATTGTATCCAACGTTTGATGATCATTTGCTTCACGAATAGTTGTACGAAATGAACCGATATTTGGCGATACCGGTTGATCACATATACCTGATGAACTTGATGAACTACTTGTTGATCGATTATCATATGTTGATAGCAATTCTTCAATTGTTGTACTTATTGGTGGTTCACTAACTTTGTAATGTCCAGATAGAAGACGATTATTAACTGGTGATGACGTTGTTTGATCACTACTATGTGATGAATCATCATCACGTACACCTAATGTATATGGTGACGATTCATTTATTGGACTTTTGGATTTAAAAAATGATAAGCCATGAGCTGCTGAATTTTGTCGAGCTTTAAAAAATGGTGGAACACGATGTTTAGCACGTTGAATATTATAATAAATAATAATAAATAATATTGCAATTATAATAAGAATAAATGCACTAACACTTGCTATGATAGCATAGGTTGTACTATTATCCGTTTGAGATGTATTTCTAGATGATGCTATTATATGGGATGGAAAATTACGAATTGTAATAATAATATCTGTTGAAATATTCATTATTAATGATGAACATATTTGTTGCACAACAATTTGAAGTTGATACGCTTCTTGTGTTGGTGGATTTGATGTATTCAACCATGTCAAATTACCTGTTGAAGAAATGGAAAATAAGGAATTGTGTTGATCTAGTATAAAATATTGCACTTGACAACGATCATCTTTAATAGTCTACAAGAAAATATATAAATGAATACATTTCATTTTCACACGAAAAATATCCTACCGATATACTACCAATAATTATGGATGGATCATTAAGAGGATAATCAACTGAGAATAGATAAGAATTCATTAAAAATGATATCGGTGTATAATGATAAACATTTAGATTTGTTTCATCGGACTAAAAGAATATATTATTTATTATAGTAACTATCAATTTTTAAATAGCTTACATATCGTCCATCCGATACCTTAAGAGAACATATGCAAGGATGGCATTTCGGAAGATTTAAAAAATTATTTGGTTGAATTCGAAATTGACGAGGACTATTAAAAAGAACACACACACAATGAATATGAATTTTAATTCTTTTTGATATTACCTAGTTTTGATTATATCTAAATTAATTAATGATGAATTACATGAATAACCATAAGTCAATCTTGGATTCTTAAAAAAGAGAAAAAAATTGAAAATTCGATTTATATATACGTATATATATATATATATATATGATTTTTCTTTACCGTGTCCATATCATCAACAGTTCCATTAAATGTTGGTATTTGATCCATATTATTCGTTGTATAACCAATCATTGTATAAGGTAGTGCAAGAAATCTTGATGCATATAGATTTAATTCATAAATATTAATATGTAACACAGTTGTTACTGATCTATTAGGATTATTGTCTTGTTCAGCCTAGTCGATAAATGATTAAAAAAATTTATTTATTTTAGAACACAAGTCTATGTTTGTTTTACTTTAATTAATAAATCAAATTGTGTTATAGACTGAAATTTTGAATAAAGAGTTAAAAAGCCTGTATATCTATTGATTGATATATAATTATCTAAATTCGAAAAAATTCATAAGAAAATATTCGCTTATCCTATTCGTTTTTTTTTACTTGATGTTAACAGAGAATAGATAATTGTTGCATTAATTCCAATGTCTTGATCATAGGCGTAAAGTCTACCTTCATTTGGTATGATTTCAGATCCCTAATAGAAACAAATTATAATTAAAAATATATAGAGCTGATGTGAAGCATACAACTCCTGTATCAATCGAAATATTAGCATTATATGATGTTGATATATTAAATTTTGGATCTAAATTATCAACATCAATTAAATGTATTGAAATAATTGCTTGGGATGAAAGTGATGGAGTGCCATTATCCTAAGAAATGAAAATAAATTCATAATTGCTTCTACTAAAGTATTTGCTTACTTGTGCAACTAGTGTTACATTAAAGTTTGATAACATAGTATTATAATCCAGTGGTTGAACTAAAATAAGACTTGCATTGGTTGGACTTATCAATCGAAAATAAGACTATAAATAAATAAAAATGTATAAATTATCTTTTCAAAAGAGCTATTTACATTATATGAGGATAAATTATTGTGTAAATAATAGGAAAATGTTCCGGCTACGCCCGAATCAGGATCGTGTGCAGAAATAGCTGTTGATATAATGGTGTTAATGGGTGTTGTTTCAAGAAGACTTATGTAATAGATTGATTGTGAAAATATTGGTGGATTGTCATTTACATCAATAAGATCAAGTTGAAAATCAATATCATGAATGGATTGATCAGCTAAAACTGTACATTCAACAATAAAACGGAAAGGATTTGGATAATTATTTGATGTCCACCATTCATAATCAAGAGCTATTAGAGAAAATATGATGTTGTTTTTTTTCTGAAATATTTCATTTGTTAATTAATCAGAAACTTACGACTTTGTAAATAAAGATCTGTAAAATCTAGAATAAAATAATCGGTTCCATTTGTTTTTACATCAGAACTGTTATAAATAAGTCGAGTTGAGATTTCCGATGAGGTGCCAGTTATTTGAAGGCGTGCAACAAGATTTCCGGGTTGAGTATTTTCGAGCATTGTTATAATTTGGAGTGCAGGCAAAAATTGAAGTGTACATGGTTGACCTAGAGAAAAAAATTTTAATAATTTTATTTTTAATGAAGTCTTTTTCTTTTCTTTTCTTGTGTAAATTAAAATTCTCATCTTCAACATCTATCTGTCTGATAAGCAACGAACGTGTTTATCAATTTGATTAAAGTATTAAAGCGGTTCATTTGATATTATTGTCAAATATCTGTTGTAAAGAATTGAAAATAAGTTTAACATATTCCATCAATCATTTTTTTTTTCTAGTTTCCATTAGTCTCTATATTCTGTCTATTTGTTGACATATCAGTGTTTTTGACTCTCGTCGTCTTTCTTTTTCTTTTCTCTATTGAATCTAACAATAATCAATGAATACTAATTAGTTGAACTCTCAGGCCGGCAACATCAACACATACGGTGACCGTTCACTCACGACACTTAAAAGTAGACCATGTCTAAGTACAAGAAAGACTATACCTTGTGCACGCGTTGTAATGGCCATTAATAGTAACAGCACGAGGCTGATTTCGTTGATGATGAGGGTACTCATCGACCAAAAGATGGATGACCATCAATCACAATAGCAGTCAATCTTAATGAAAAAATAAATAAAATATACATATTGTCGATAGAAAAGTTCACAAAAGAAATTTGTGTTTTTCATGTTCATGAAATTACTCAAATATAAAAATAGTCAATGTTTCATTTCTGTAGTAGTAGGCGACATTTTGACTTGACTATATACTATAATAAAGTGTAATGGTCAAACTATAGATGTATATGTGTGAAAAATCTTTCTTTTGATTACTTCCACCGATTTTACCTTCTTTCTATTGTTTAAAATTGAACGTGCCGAGTTCAGTCTGCCTTTCTTTTGTTTCTGTTATGTTCAGGTGATTACGCGCGCGCACACATATATTTATGCAGGTTACTTATAGGATGCGACTTTCGTCGTTCCCATCAGTGGCTGCGTAAAAGAAAGCCAAAATCAATCTTTTTAACTTCAACCATCACCGTAAATATATACTGCATCGTTTTCGAGTGTGTCTACGTGTGTATGCACAATATGTAATATAAATTTCGGTAAAGTAATTTATGTAAACACAAGTCTCTGTCTTTCTCTATATATAAATATATATATATATATATGTGTGTGTGCATGCCAAAATCCAAGTTAGATGAGGATTTACTAAGAAAAAGAAGGTTTTACAAACAAGATCATTTTTAATCATATCTTTAAACAGATTTATGGTTCAATAAGGAAAAAACACGATTAAGATATAAATATGACTTACTGTAATGTTCAGTCAACTTCGAATGGCTGATCGATCAACGTTTAAAGTACTATTGTTATTCGTTTAACTATCACAAACTTCTTTTCAATGCCGAATCTGTTTAGCTTTGTCATCAACATGCTCAATCGAATCTATAATGATTGAAAAAGAGAAAAAGACAGAACATCTAGACGTAAAATTGAAATATAATGAGTCGAAAGAAAAAAAGAAAGAGTAAGAGCAAGAGAGAGAGAGAGAGAGAGCGAGCGAAAGAACTGTACAATAAGCGGTAGAAAGAATATAGAGAGAACACCATTTTCTCTCTTTCTACCCAATTACCATCGAAAGACAGCGAAAGAGAGCACACATACACATAAGTGCAATAGTGCCATCCTCTTCAGAATAAGATTAGCCTTGAAACCTTTTATTCATTCGATTCTTCTTTTTGAGTTAAAAAAAAAAAGGAACGGATGAATATCACGGCAGTCATATTTTATATACTCTTCGTGAATCATTCGAAGTGAGAGTCAATGGATTCTCTTAACTATTTTCAATTAACATCTGCTATAGTGCAGCCTAAGGATAATTTATATATATATATATAAACGACATAAGTAAGGAAGATTGCAGGAAATAAACTAGCCTGTTGATGCGTTCTATTGTTGATTAGTTGAAGACGAGAGAGAGAGGTTAATGCTTGATACATATCCGGAAATACATAGCGTGGGATATGAAATAGAAATTTCGCTTCCCATCGCGTCTAGAATATGATTATAGCCTTTTGTCACGTATCAATTTCAAATAACAATTCATCTCATGAAACATAAGGATGTGCTGAAAATAACAAATATACGCAAAGACAAATTCGGACGATTGAGAAAATGATCAGATGATCAAACGATTAGAAAGTGTAAGTGAAAACGATTGATATAACACGTTTAGTTGACTGTAGTCGCAGAAACAATTAATCTCTATGGTCCGGTCACCTATCGCTAGATGTTTATGTATGCAACGGCAACTGATGAAGAGACCTGACAAGTGTTATGCAAACATACACACGGCAAAGGCGTATTGTTTGCCAATGAATAAATACGGATGAAGAAGCACGATCATCGACTGGATTACTTTAAAAGAAATATGAAGAAAAAAAAATATATATATAGATATATATATATAATGAAACGCAACACACATCATAAAGTTAATAGAAAATTAGCACTGACGTCATCATTTTTGTTGTTTTTGTTTTTAATATCAAAATCAAAAATCTTTTTTGATTAATCACAAATTGGATCTTATCCCTATTTATATTTGGATCTCGTAATTATATTGTCGTTGTCTACGCTTCATTTAATTTTATTCGTATAGCCGTCGTCACCTCTACTCCGTGACGATGTTAGTCCGATAAAATAAGACAATGACAACAACTACTATTAGCTATACGAATTGAGTAAAATGTTTAAAAAAAAGTAGAGCAAACGTAATTGGTTGTATATATGCCTTTATAAACTCTCTCATCACTCATATGAAGGTGAACGATTTGTCTCTTTTTTTTTGTCTCGTTGTCATCATTATCATCATCATCATATCTACATATATCGATTATGATCAATCTTCTACTCTCGCGTACTTCAGGCGCTCTACACCTATCTTACAAATACACAGTTCACCGCTCAATAATGTGTTTCGCATGAACAACTCTTTCTTCTTTTTCATATACACAGACATACACACACAAAGATACATGAAGGTGGTTATCTTCAAAAGAGTATAGTTAAACATGCGATGGATATAGATTCAATTTATGTCAGTCGGTAAGCGCTTTCAAAATTACATCACATTCTATATAAAAAAATGGTGTTCGTAATTTATCTCAAATTGATATAACTATCTATCTAATGAGCCAATTCGACAAGTAGGATATGTATACATGTATACCAATAGAAAAATCTGTTGCTCAATCTGAAGGTGTAATTAAATCAACGACTTTCTTTTTTCCTCTGAGAATATAAATAACGATGCATCAATTTATACGAAAGATCAAACTTGCTATAAATGTACCGCCAACAGGTGAAACAGCTTGGCCATCAGACTCGCTCGACTACTATTTATCAAAAAGAAAATGAGAGTTAAAGAGAAAGGCAAAGCCAATTTGTGAAGAAAATGATATACTGTACCTGGAAGCAACAAGATGACACAATAGTACGCATAACATGTAACTACGAATCACAGAAAATAATCGACTACTTTCGATTATATTAAGCTAAGTGTGAAATAATGTTGGGCAAATATATATATATATATATATATAAATACAAGAATGATAACAAGCCTATGAATACACTATGAACAAATCTATTGAACTATAGAAATTCGCTCAATAGTTATATACGTATATTCAAGTGTACATGTGTGTTTTACGTTTTGCCTATTATATCCTTTGATGATTATCTGTCAAAAACTGGTGATTATTATGTATATGTGTACATACGAATACATGCATGATTAAAAAAAAGGAGATTGGCAATAGGGATTGCTAACACCGCTAAGGGTCGGATCTTATTTCTCGAGGACGGCAAGCAACCGACTTTTGTGTATTGATAAAAGAAGAAAAAAAGAAAAAGAAAAGTAGTATAATTTGTGCAAATATTATACATATATGTTAGTAAAAGAGCTCTAAAACATATGGTAAAATTTCATATTTCTCTAGTACGAACCAATGTACATACCTGCACAGCAACGTTTCTTTCTCATCTTTTCTTCTCGTTCTTCTTCGTTTTATTCTTCTCATCGTCGAAGTGTCAATTGAGATTCGGTTAGCCGTCATTGCTTTTAGTTGCTATAGGATTGCATCATCATGATACTACTAGGTATGTATATACATGCACATAGATCTGCCTTGTCCCTTAAGTCCATTTGAATTCAAAGGAAGTTCAAGGCTTATTTACCTAAGCTTCTAACCTGATGAGGGGGGATATAATGAAAGAAAAAGAAATGACCAGACAGACCAACGAGGCATATCAAATGTCATTCAACAAGCAGAAGATGATCAAATTTGTCAGGCATTCTAACAAGTAACTGATTTATTTCCTTATACAACGTTTCATCTCATCCGCTTTTGTTTGTTCTCAATAGAATATAGAAATGAATATGTACAAAAAAAACAAGAGAGATGAATAAGACTAAATTATAGTGAGGATTCAATGGTAATTGTAAGATGTCTCATGTGCATGACATGTTCATGTATCTCTTTTGCATTATGACATTCAAAAGAGGCGAAGACGAAGAAGAAGAAGAAGATGATGATGATGATGATGATGATCAAATAATACATATAATAGGTCAATATCAATGAAGTTGTTCTTTTTTCCTTACGATTACTCTGTCAAGCGAGAGTAATCAAAAAAACTTTTTGACACAATCAATCATTTATTTTCTTTCGCAAACATGAATTACATTGATGTTTTCTATCAATCGATACAAAAAAAAAGAGAAACAACACACAAGTGGAAATGAAAATGCACACATAAAAGACAAATGAAACAGTTGCATAATATATGTCAAATAAGTAATATAAACTTTAATCTTCGCCAACTGGTAAAGCATCGACTAGTTTTTTTAAAAATTTCACTCGTAATTCTGTTGTATTATCACCTTTTAATTGATCTTGAACAAATCGACATTCAACTTCTAACTGAACCTTTAAATCAATAAGAATGAAAAAATAATAAAAATACGAAAAGAATAACAAAAATAACAAACCATCTCAAGTGCACCTCGTATTGCTCCACATATGATTTGATTGTAACTTAATTTTTGGCCTGGTCCTTCAGGTAATTCAACAAATTCAGTTAATGGATTACCATCGAGTAATAATGAAAATTCATCACCAGCGGGTGACCAATTAGTAATCGATGGTGCAATACCTAAATAAGTTTTGAAACCTTGCTAAAAGAAAATTAAAGAATTAATTATTCGCTTGCTCTAATGGAATTGAATCATCCTTTACCTTAGAAAGAATATCAGCTGTCTCGCGAAAATCATTACATCGACCAACAGTTGGATTACGAGCAAGAAAATCATCAATCAATCGAACCCCAATATTGTAACCACTAAAATAATATGATTTCATTAATTATGACAATGTGTAACAAAATTATTTTCTCTTCTATACCAACTCGGTCAATCTGAGCAAAAACTCTTGCAATCTATTAACTCATCTATCAAACTTGATTAAAAGATATCAAGATTGAATTTCAATGAAATTGAAATATTAGTAAATTATTATCTATAGATCTTTATTCTAAAATTAATGCATTTGTATCTATAGTGAATTATTCATGAATGATTTAAATTGAAATATGATCATTTCAATAATATTTAAGAATCCTCTTTATATCTATTGTAACTATGTTTTCTTGTTGATTGCTATTAAAAAATTTTTTTTGTTCCATAGTAAGATCCTGCGATTCATTTAATTGTTTCTTCATAAATATGAATTGAATTACATGACTTTTACTTCGATCGTTGAAATCGTTTATACTTTTTTCTTTTTATAAAGTTATGAATCAGAAGCAATCTCATCTTTACAATTAGTCAAATATTTCAATCGAAAAAAAAAATACTTGCATTTTATCTAGTTGCTTGTTAACTTCATCAACATGTTCATAATCATGAAGTATTTGTGCAACGAATGCTCCATAAGTTAATGTAAATAATTCTTGTGTCTTTTAATAAGAGAAGAAAAAAAAGAAAATTAATTCAATTTTATTACATTAACTAATATTTCTTTCCCAATCAAACATACTACCTACAACACGTCGTGTATCAAGATTTTGTTTGGGATTTGTTCGACTCATTATTATATTTGTTAATGCTGTTGTTCTTCTTTTTTTTCAGACTGTGTGAATTTTCTCAGAGGAATATTTAATCTAAAAAAAAAGACAAATTGAACCTACACATTAAAATCCAAATTGATTTACAGTTTTAAAAAAATCATGTGCAATCACTAAATGCATGAAAAAAAAGGAATGATTTTATTGTGGAAAAGAAAATAAATATGATTATGAGAAAATTATTCGTAGTCGTTTGCATCATTTGCTGATGACATATCTTGTTCGATCTTTGATAATGTGTTGGATGTAACAGCAGCTAAATCATGTGCTATGCCTGGTGTTTCTTCTAGTCGTTGAGTTGCTTCTTTAAATTTACTAGTCATGCCGCGTCTTATATCCGTAAATTCTTTCGCCATTTGTTTGTTGGATTCAAGTAAATCACGTAATTTTGTTTGAATACTTGAGTTTTGTGATTCAATTTTATCCATTGCTTTTTCAATATCATTTAGAGTAGTTTCCAATTCTAGTAGTTCTATTTAAATTTAAAAGAGACAAATTAGAAAAATTCTATAAGAAGACCCTTTTTCATAATACCAGAGTCAACTTCGACATCGTTAATTTGATTATTATCATCATGAAAATGATGACCATTGCTTGATTCTTTGCTATTATTTGAGTGACGATGATTTGATGTTGTCATATTGAATCAATTCGTTTAAAAGCACAAGTTCTTTTGTATTTTTCTAAAATACCTTCAAGCAAATATATATATATATATATTATTTATATCTTGTCGTGTAACACATAACAACTTCGAATGAAATATTATGTGATGTTAAGTGCGACAGTAGCGACGTTTATTAATTATTAAAAATAAATATTTATCTTTTAAATAAATAATTTATAAAGAATATTTTATATTTTTGAAAAACTATTATCAATTGAAATACGAGTTTTTAAGCTTTATTTTATGGTATAAAATTGATTGGCTAAATTACCTGAATATTCATTCTGTCATACACTAGCTGATTCTGATTCTGACAATGTGCAAATATTTTCTCACATGATATACAACCTTCTATCTTTGAGTAAAAAAGATTTACGATCTTGAGGTGGTGTTTTTTTTCTCTTGTATATAAGTAGACGCATTTATATGTAACGTGAGTATTTTATTATCATACAATCGGAGGAGAAAAAATATGGATGAGGATGAGACACCACGTAGTTGGCCTGACCTTGTTGGTAAAGATGGCAATGAAGTCGTTGAAAAAATAAAACAAGAGACTGGTATGATTTAGAACTAAAAAATATTCTAATTTAGAAAACTTTCTCTACGCTACTAAGGTTTTACGCAAGTTCATATTGTAAAACCAGGTTCGATGCTTACAATGGACTATCGAACAGACCGTATTCGAGTTCTTGTCGACGAACAAGGCAAAGTTCAATATCCACCAACTGTTGGTTAAAAATGAAGAAATTCTATCATTTATATATTCTCTGAAAAACAGTTCACTCTATATTACGCTTAATATTTTTTTCACTAGATTGATTCTATTCGTATAAAAAATCAAATATAGATACGAGATTCTTGTATCGCACATTCTAGAATTACTAATTTGAATATATTATTATTATATAAACATAAAATTATCATAATTTTTTTATCTCTTTGGAACTATTACTAACGAGCTAATAAAATAATTATGCAGTGCTTGATTAAACGCTGATAAGGTTTTTCATTTCAACAAGATTTATGAGACAAAAACTATAAATAGATATGAAAAGATTGTATGTTAAGAAGTTTGTTTTCATGGTATTTTCGAATGGCATTGGGCTGTGTAAATATCATACAGAGAGTTGCTTTTATTATATGTTGAATTAATCAAATATGAGTATATTTCTATGTCAATTGACTTGGACAACATGTACATTTATTTCACTTCTATGTATCAATTCTAAATTGCCGAGTAAATAGTTGTTTATCAATAATATAATTCTGTTTAATTTTTCTCTACTAAAGCTCAAGCGAATTTTTCTGCTGACAACGATACTTTCGTTACGACAATTTAAAATTTGTGACCGTGCTTTGAATTGTATAACACAACCTGATATACGCCAAAAGAAAAAAAAAGAATATTCTATATGAGTAGTCACGACATCTACAATAGACTGAAAATTACAGTTTAATTAAAAAGTGAATTAAGTAACATCAAATGTTTTTTTTTATTAACAATTTTCATTTTAATAAGATAGTTTCGTTTGAGGTAGTTATATTTTCAAGCATACTTGGACAGAAAATTGATTGGTTCAATCGAATAGAATTCGAAAGAGCCATATAGTTTATTGTTTTCTTTTTAGAATGAGGCACTCGTATGATAGAAATTTTTTTGAAAACATTCGATTTAGATTGTTTACGTTATAAGTATTTCTAGTTGTTACTTTTTATTTCATAGAATATCTTCATGCTATCAAATTGGGAATTATTATCCATCGAATCTATCAGATCTTTTCCTGTTTTGTAAACAACGAATTACACTTACATATCAGAGAACTAGTTTATTGATTTTGCAATCAACAAATAAAAAACCAATGATGAACCGCTTTGTTTTTCTGATTTTGTCAGTTAAGATGTTAAGACAGCAGTTGAACTATTTTGAAAAACTGTTATATCCCGGGTTGTTTTTCTCTGTAGTAGTAAGATCGTTGATATCTTCAAATCATCGGACAGATCAACTGAAAGACAGTCTTGCAGAGTTTCATACTTGCCCATTAATCGATACATGAAATATTACAAAAAAGGTTTTAACTGTTTTTCCTGTTCTAGTAAATCTTTTGTGTTTATCTTAAGAAACGAAATGAACATAAAAGTCTTTTCGAAAGAAAGCGTTATATGAAACATACGTTATGAAGTTATTATTTTAATCTATTTCAGATTTATTATCATCTCGATCGTTGAGACGTTCGATCACGCAAGGTATTGATAAGTTTTTAATTAAAAAAAAGAATATGCTCAATGATGAAGAATGTACTCACAGAAATATACTGTTGACTAATCACCAAGTTTTCCCTGAGAGCATAATTGTATTTTTCATACAATTCTACATTTGCGTTTGAATCATTTAGATGCCTTCACATAAAACACTCAAAATAAAGAAAGTTCTTGCTAAAAAGCAAAAACAAAATCGACCAGTTCCACAATGGGTAATTTAGATACTTCTAAAAAATGAATGAATCTGTATAATACAATTTTCTTTTGCTATCTAGATTCGTATGCGTACTGGTAATACAATTCGATACAACTCGAAACGTCGTCACTTTCGTCGTACCAAACTCAAATTATAAACAGTTATCAATAGCGACGACAATGACAATTTTCTTTTCGACCGTCTATTGTTGTTGTATTGTTTTTGTTTGAAAACAAGAAGATGAAAATAACAAGCATTCATTTGAAAAATAAATAATTACCATCGAACGAATGAATGAAAACTAAATATTTCTTAAATAATTGTCATAAATATTGTTTTTGGTCTATTCTTATTTTAAGCTAAATTGATATTTTTAAAAGCTGTTTCTTGTTCAATGAAGGTAGCATCTGAATAGAATGAATGGCATTCGATAGCAAAGCTCATAAGTCGGATATACTCTGCTAATAAGTATATAGTACAAGACAAAGTCGCTTCTAATTATATTGCAATGCAAACCATATCGAATGGGTTATTCGTTAGATTTCAAAGGGAAAAACTGAATTGATAGGCAATCTTTAAAATCATAATCAATCACTAGTTCAGATTTACAACTTTGAGCCTATTTCGAGAATAATGTTACAGAACTTCTTTGTATCACATTATGAAGTGTTTCTTCGATGTTCATATTTTTTATTGCATTACTACAACTACAGCTGAAGTCTACTTCACTGTTCTCCGGAGCATAGAAATCTCGCTAGACGAGACCGAAATTGGCTTTAGATATCTCTAATCATGATTGATCGTTAAATTCTTTGTACTAAACTAAATGAATATCACTTTCTATCATATTGGTCTACCTAAATTCACGGATGTCAACCAAACAAATTAGATATTCCTTTTAATTTGAATGAAATATCTCAAGCAATATTTTCTGTTACCTGTAGTCATCATCTTCCATCGAATATTATTCAACTAAGTAGATTTGCGTTATCATGTGTACCACCTAAGATCATACTGATAGTGATCTTTAAACTTTGATTTTTTTCATGTTCTACGCTAATCGTAAGATTATCTGATTCAATTTTTTTTATTGAACGCATTAATCAGTCTTCTGTTATGTTAAATGCAGATTTACTAGTGAAACGATTGAGTCCATTGTGTAAACGAGTTTTTAATGATCTACTTACTGGAAATGGTTCTTTTTTGTGAAATATAAAGCATTCTTGCAATAGATTTATTTTCGTAAAATTTTATCTTTCAATATGTAATATGTGATTCAACTTTGTTTTTTTGGAAAAGTAGTCATATATAAGACGCACAATTTAGTTAAGATAAAGTAAAAATTATGAAAACGAACAACTTTGATAATTTTAAATCGATGATTAGAATCAAATGTAAAACGAATATCTTTGTGATGCTACATCGGCAATTCAAGTCAACATCACCTGATTACTTATTTGTGTCCCTCGTTTCAGATTGAAACCACAAATCTATGATGTTTTTTCGAATAAAAAGTATTTGTATCATCTATAATCGGGCACTCAAAGTAGCTGAAAGAATTGATAGACAAAAACGAAACATTCGAATTTTTTTTGAAATATTTTCTTTTCGAAAAAAAGAGCACTCATGTAAACTTTGATAAATGAATAATGTCTTCGTGGAGAAAGTCCTTGGTATTCTTTTTATGAAACTCTCACTAGTCGATTTTTCTGCAGGTAGTCGTTGATAGATAATGAAAATAAAGAGATAAAAACACGTATGATAACACGTAGCGAACTTTTTCATATAATATTTTACAGTTTTGCGTCTTTTCGTGCATTCGACTTATTTTACTGTAGAGAAATAGTCAACTTTATCATTATATTTTAGAGACACAATTTGAATACGAAACAAAATGCAAGGTTTTTCTTGTCTTGCAATTCTTGTCTGCTCTTTATTAATTATTTCAAATGCAGATGCTCGTCTTCATCGGTTAGTATATTGATTCATCGATTGATTCATCTTATTCTAAAAATCTAGAGTAAAACTAAATCATTTTCAATCTGCTCATGATCAACTTTTTGAAGTTGGTTCATATAAATCAATTGAATTTGAACGTAAATATAAACTTAATGGACCAGTTCCTGAATCATTAACAAATTATTTGGATGTAAGTAACACACGAAGAAAATCTTATTGAAATATTTAATAAATATTCCTAGGCTCAATACTATGGTGATATTGGCATTGGTACACCAGCTCAGCCATTTCGTGTTGTTTTTGAGTATGTTTGTTTAAAATAATTACAAGGAAAGATGAAAAAATGACTTTCTGTTTCTAATAGTACTGGTTCATCAAATCTTTGGGTTCCAAGGTATACGTGTATTTGAAATGTTGTCTTGAAATAATTGAAATATTTTGTTTTAGTGTTCACTGTTCAATATTAGATATTGCTTGTCGTAAGTTAATTATTGATTTAAAAATGAAATATGATTTAAAAAATTGCTGTTTACTTAGAATTACACAAAAAATATGATAGTTCAAAATCGTCGACATATGTTGCCAATGGAACAGACTTCAAAGTAAATAAAGTTTTTATGTGATTGTTATTTTTTTCAAAATTATTTTTGTTCAGATTGAATATGGAACTGGTTCACTTCAAGGATATCTTAGCGTAGATACTGTTACAGTAAGATAGAGAATAAATCTTGTTTGTGTAAATATTATTTGGTTTGCATTAGATTGGTGATGCTAAAATTGTAAGTCAAGGTTTTGCTGAAGCTATTAAACAACCTGGTATTGTCTTTGTAACAGCTAAATTTGATGGTAAAGATAAAATAAGATTCATAGATAGAAATATTTTTGTGTCCTTTTGTTCAGGTATTCTTGGTCTTGCTTATCAATCTATTTCTGTCGATGGTGTTTACCCGGTATTCAATAATATGTTTGATCAAAAATTAGTTCCAGAGAATATTTTTAGTTTTTGGCTCGATCGGTAAATTTTAAGAAAAAAATCTCTTACAAGTCTAGGTGAAAGTTTATTTTATTTTCAGTGATCCAAAAAATCCACGTGGTGGTGAAATTATTTTTGGTATGTTTTTATTTTCTGCAGATGTTTGTCTAGAACTGATCTTTTCTCTTTCTGAATAGGTGGTTCGGATCCTGATCTTTATGAAGGCGACTTTACTTATGTTGATGTCACTCGAAAAGATTATTGGCAATTTAAACTCGATGGAATTGCATTCGACTCCAATGAATATTGTAAAGGCGGTTGTCAAGCGTGAGAAAAGTCTTTTTTACGTTTTCTTTAGAGTAATAAAAGAAATCTGTTCTTTTCCTGATAGTATTGCTGATACTGGTACAAGTCTTTTAGTTGGCCCAAAAGCTGAAATCGCTAGTCTTAATGCTAAATTAGGTGCAATACCAATTCCTGGTGGCGAAGTAAGAAGAAGAAAAATTTCTTTCTCTACTTTTAACTTGTATTTTTCATGTTTAGTATACCATTAATTGTAATTTGATACCGAAGTTACCTCGTATTAATTTTACTCTCAATGGCAAAGATTTGTATTTGGATGGACCCGATTATGTTTTAGTTATATCACAATATAATGAAACAATCTGTCTATCTGGTTTTGCTGGTATTGATATTCCACCACCAGCTGGTCCACTTTGGATTCTTGGCGATGTTTTTATTGGACCATGGTATACTGAATTTGATTTTACGAATAATCGTGTTGGCTTTGCAAAATCAGTTCCAGCAAAAAATTCAACTCTGAGAAATGCACAAAAGAAGTCACCACTTCGTCAACTTTTGCCGTAAACTATGTCTTGAAGGGTGTCTGTGTTTCTTTTTTATGATTAAAAATTAAATAAATTCTTCGTCTTTGTCGGCAAATCTTTTCTATCCATTGTCACATATTACACATAATCGCTTATTGTTTTCAGTAAATCTTATCTAATCTAGAAAGTGATTATTTATAGTGTTCGATCTTAACACTGGTGTACTTTTACTTGCAGAATTCTATGAGGCCAGATTTGATCTATAATTTCTATGAGTCATTTAAATTAGGTCAATCATATGCTCACGTCTTTATTTTAACACATAATGAAACTGCATCTTAAATTGCATCCAGAAGTCAAGAGAATTTACTGCTACTGCTAGAAATACATAAATTTGAATTTAGGTCATTTTTAAATAAAACTAGAATAAAAAATATGACTCACCTATTATATCAAAACAGTTGAGGTCAAATCTGACTGCAACTGAAAGATATCAGATAATATTTAAGAATCATATATATGAATAATACGAATAGATGCGTTCGAGCTACACGTTTTGTTTTGTTCACTTCAATGGAAAAACGAATTAGATCACATCAAAACACTAGATTTGACTAAGAAAATCACAGTTAACTATCAAAAATTCTCTTCTAATCATCCTTTCGTCATAGAACATGCAGCAAATCAAGCTCAAGAATATACAATATATGAATAAGAAAGAATATTTTCATGAGTAGTCTGCCCCATAGGCAAATAGTGATCTTCAAGTCCACATAAGTACGATAAAATAACACAAAAGTACTTGATAGTAGTTCGAAGTAGTCTCGATTTTTTGTACTAATTAACTTTAAATAAGAAGCATGATACTTGTTCCTTGAGGACTTTCTAAATAGGAATTCTATATCTGAGAGTAAATATTCTGTGCTTTACTAATTTCTGTCCGTGTCAGTAACACAAATAAAATTATGTAATGCTTGGCAGACACTACCGTGTGCATCATAATTAGCAACATGATTAATGAAAAACTATGTAAAAGAAATGATCTAAATGTTTCCTGACATGCACTGAAATACATGCAAGTCCGACATATTGAGAAAATCTTTCCTGTTTTTTTTTAAAATCGACCGTATTTCACACGCTACTCAATATTTACTTTCTTCTTCGTTTCTGAATTTTACAAGGTAAGTTGAAGATAATATCACACTAGAAAAAAAAATTATTTGATTTATTTTACAATTTTCAATACTAACACTATTATGGCATCGTATCGTATCATTATTTGCTTATAATTAGGGATCACTATAAAGTAAATACGCTAAATTCTACTTCAAAACAGAAGCTGTTAAGAGAATATATATTTTATATGAAAAAGGAAGCTTATGAAATTCTTTATTAAACAATAACATACTACATAGTGGTGGCGGTGGTTGATGCAGAAAAAAATATATTCTGATTTTCTGATGGCTTTCGAATTTACTGTAGTGATAGACTACGAAGCTCGATTGTCAGTCAATATTAATTTAGCATAGAACATAGATTTTCTGTATGGTATTGAAGCAAATATGGTTTCTGTGTTATAGGCGCTAAATGAATTATTCAATTGAACTATTCATTGCGCGTTCTCTTGTATTTAAGATGAACTATTTTATTACTGTAAGAAAACTATCGTTTTAATGAAGACTTCTGCATCGTTGCAGTACTAGAAAATATCGACAGTTAATAATGAAAAAGAAAATTAAATGAGATTGATTTGAATTAAAACAAATTATAGAAATTGACCATGTGCATTCAGTTACGTGATAATACTAAAGAAATAAGTGACTATTAAATTTTAGTACAGTTTTAAATGTACTTAATGGATTATTGGGTGTGAATATAGATAATATCAATCGTTTACAACTGCATTCCTACTTACACTAAATAGAGACTCTATAATATAACTAAATACTCACTAATTAATTGATTGCTTATATCTACATAAATGTGCATAATCCAATGATGACGTGTGCCCAAGTATATATCATAGCCTCTTGTGTATTGAGTTTAATCAAATTTTGTGGGAGAAATTTCTCATATGTTCTTCTTCTTGCGGTCAGATTTGGTGATCTCCAGAAAAAGTTTTGATAAATCTATATTGCTTAGCTCTACACTACAAGTTTTACTTTTTGATAACAAGAACAAGAATCAAAACTATTCAATATCGCATTGCAGCCTTGCATTGAAAACAACAACAATGCGCAACTTTTACTATAATCATTATAGTAGATGATATCAAGATACTTCAATATTATTAAACTTGAATGTATGGCCTATTTTCAAGATTTTTATGATTAATGATGTCACGATATTGACATTTATGATGAAATTACTGAATCTCAAAATAAATATGAGCCGAGAGAATTTAGATTTTTATATGACCAAACCATTTAGATAAAGTAACGTTAGATAGAGAAAACATTATAATTCCATTGATTTCGAGTATTTGTTGACTATATGAATGATTATGGAAAGACTTGTCTGATGATTAGCTTTGTGTAAATCGTATACTGGCTAAAACCACAGCTGTTATTTCTACGCATAAAATGTATCTAAACTTAACATTTTTTACAATATAATTTATTATTCACGTCTATAAACGGTATACTGCATTCATGAAATATTCAATAATAATAAAAATATCAGAGTTACCTAAATTATGTAAACAAAATTATATTATAATACAGAGAATAATTATAAGTATTACAATAGGATCTGTTCTTGATATTGTTGACACATACAACATAACAACTCTGATTTACATTTTACTTCGAATATGTAGTTTGTTGATTGAAAAAATTGATTTTTACAAAAACTCTAACGAAAACGACAAAATTTTAAAGTAAACAGAACATTACTGTCAAATGATTCTATTAATAGTTGACATAGCTAAATTTGTTTGAGTTTTTTTCTCTTCGATGAAGTAAATAAACTAAAATGGCAATGGAAATTCATATGATTTGTATTGATACTATTTTTATTGTGAAGAATATTCTATTATTCAAATTTGTAGATCAATTTTAAACAAAAAAGAAACAAGTTTATAGTGCAACCAAGGATCGCTGTTAACAAGTTGAAATTATTTAAATATCAGTTATAAGGAAATTTTTTGTTGTAAATTGATGGTATTAGTTAAATGCAATAATATGAGCAATAGAAAACGACCTATCGACATACAGAAATTGGATATAAATTCGTCAAACTTGTAGAGTGCATTAAGTATCGAGTAAAGCAAAAAAAACGAAAAGATGAAAAAGAAAAAAGCCAAGAAAATGAAATGCATGTAAAGCCTATGAAATATTACGTCCATTCGTTGTCTTTATTGATATAACAGGTATGAGTTGTGGATAAGAAAAAAAAGTTATTCTCATTATCCCATTATCATCTTACACAAATGTTCCCTATCGATAAAGTAAATATCATGCTAATGTTGATAAGATTATTTAATGACAGAAAATAAGAATGCTTATTTTTTATAACTGGTGATTCTGGTGATTGTAAGAAGAAAAAAAAGAAGAGAGAAGCAACCACAACTGAACGTTATGTTTATAACGAGCATTGAAATAAGTAGTCGTAGTGGTGGAAGAAGAAGAACGACAATGAAAGAAGCCAATTTTTTTCTCTCTATGCCATATACTCTCGTCTGTCCTCGTCTTTCATTTCAAGTGTAAAAGAAAAGTTGTAAATCTTAATGGAATGTGTGTGGTTAAAAGAAGCAAGAAATTCTCTATCAACTGACATCATAGCAGCAGTCAGCTTACATGAACACACGAGCGTCCCTTTTCGCTTTCTTTTTACTCTTATGTGAAGGTACTGCGTGCTTTTAACGCATTTGTTCTTTCCTATGTTCATCAGTCGCTTTTATATATTCTCTTTTTTTTTACTTTAATATAGGAGATATTGAGTCGATTACAACATAGGTAAACTTCGTAGTTTACCTATGGGTAATGTTCGTAGAACGTAGCATATTTATTTTCTCTGATTACAAATACACAACTTCTTTTTTTCTAAAAAAATGAGAGATTTATGTCTTTTTCTTTTGTTATGCGACCGCAAGCCACAACATTTTTGTGTCTTTCATGGCCACTATTGTTGCGCGTATTAATAACGGCAAACACCATCCACATGATGAAAATGTTGTTTTTTATTTGGTGGTCGCATTTTCTTTTTATTTTTTATTCTTCACTTTTCTTCTCGTACTTTTCTTTGTCATCGATCTTTTTTTTTAAACATATTAAAATTCGCTACTTTTTATTCACAACCATCCACTCAACGTTTTTTTTTCTGTAAACCGCAATTTGAAATATGTTTCGTATATGTGTGCGTATGTATGAATAGAAAAAAAAAAACCAAAAACCAATTTCCAATTTGATTTTTCTTTTTCTTCTTCTTTTTTTTCACTTGTTTTGTTTGATTTTCATCTAGACAAAAGAAAATCAAACGTGAACGAGAAGAGAAGACATATCATAGGTAGCCCTGAAGGAAGTTTTGGGATGAGAATTTGACAGTCTGTGCTGATCTGCGTGCGTGTGTGGGCTGGTGAAGAAGAAGAAAGAAAAAGAAGAAATATAAACACCGAAGGAGAGACATGTACACTTCACGACGTACTGGTCCAAGCACCGATTTACACAACGCTCATACTGTTTCGACTTTAATGAGAACAATGACAACATCTGCATTATCATCAAATTATTCTCATCGTCCTCTATCGCGATCGAAAACAAGTCTAAATGGAACACTTCCATTTCGTTCCTCAAGTATTCATCAGGTTTGTAACTAATTAATTTGAGAATATTATTTGATCTTTTCCTTCTTCTTCGTTTTTCTTTAAAATAAACTTTGATAGGTTGGAAATCGTGATCATGAGACTGAGCGACCTCATCGTCCGTTTGATGTGAGTTGTTCCGCTGATGTATTTACACTTGAAACTACATTGAAAAGCAAGGAGAAGGTCATTTCTCATCAAAATTCACAAGTAAATATGAATATACAGAATTTTTGCTTTGAATATACATATTTTTTATTTGATTATTTAAAAAAAAAAGATTGAACGTTTACAAGAACGAAATGCTACATTAGAACGTAGTCTTCAAGAATTGATAGATCTTAAACGTGATTTATCAAATCAACAGTTTGAAGAGCGTCTGAAAAATGACGACCTTCTTCGAGATCTGAAAGATATCGATCGTCTTGCACGAAAAGTTCAAGCAGATAAACAATTTACAGTTGAAGCAGCTGATCGAGAACTAGCTGAAGCTAAAGTAATGTAGAAGAATATATTTAAAATGAATTTCTTATTGTATTCTTTTTATTTCAGTTAGAAATAGAACTTACCCTTCGTGAAACTCAAGCATTGGAAAATAAAGTTACCCATTTAACAGCCGTATGTTCTTATTAAATTTCTATTTTGATTGATATTTAAATGAATTCATAAAATAAAAAATTATGAAGAACATATAAATTTATTTTATTCGAGATTATTTTAAATCTATCTCTATGAATCATCCCATTTTTTACTAGTTAGCGAGCTATTTTCTTTTTGAAAGAGAAGAAACAAAATAATCGTTTATTTTTTATTTTCTATGATTACTAACGGATGAAGTGAATTAATGCAAGACAAGATGTCTGCAAAAGAAAAATAAATCTAATATGATCTTTTGTCATTATTTTTGCCTGGCGTCAAAATAATACAGCTTTTATTTTAAAACCTCTAGCATTTATAATCATCTATGGACAAAGTAAACAAAATAGTTCTTTGTGATTTTAATAAAGAAGGCGTTGCCTACATCTCTAATATAATAAATGTTGGATGGTTAATGTAAAGCATTCATTGTTACTGTCCTTCTGAACGATTCTATTTACTTTTTCGATTCTTGATTAAAACGCTGAACGAAGTTGTATAACTAAAGCGAAGCAATAGTAACTGACAAGATTACAACATACTCTCTGCACACAACCATTTTCTTTACTGTTCTTCGAGAATTTCTTTAAATGTTTATTCTTTACTTCGAACTTAAGTACCATCTTGACCAGACGCCAGTCTCAATTATAAATACAGCTCATTCAAAACGTTTTATTCAACACCTAATAGAAAGAATATTTTCACTGACGTGCGTCATTTGACAACGAAAAATAAATGAGTGAACTATCGTATCTTGTGTTTTTCGAAAAGTTTTGTATTGCTGAATAATGTTCGTTTTTTTTTCTTTTCGAGTGCTGACAAGATATACTTGATCGTAGTTTTGAGCCAAAAAAAATGTCATCACATCTTAGGACTATACGAAATCATAGGCAAAATGCACTCAACAGGCTATTTTAGAAACAGTAAAAATAAGACAATTGTATCTATAGAGAATTATCATTAAAATATTTATGCAAACGAATTGAACAACATAATTATTGTTTATCATATTCATTGTTTGATAATCAAATAATGATTTTTTTTCTTCTTTAAATAGGATAAGAAAAGTTTAATTGAGGAACTTGAAATATCTAAAAATCAATATGCTGAATGTCACAATGAGCTTCTTCGTTTACAAGAAGTTGTTGATCGGGTTCAAGCAGACAAAACAAAATTTAGTAGACGCATTTCTAAACTTGTTCACAATGGTAATTCAAGAGAAACAAAATGAAATATTTTCTATCAAAATATATTGTTCAATTTCTTTTGTCATTTAAAGAAAAAGAGCTATTACAAGAATTACAAAAATGTCGTCGTACAGCAAAAACTTCAACATCAGCATCAACTGGTTCATTAGCAAAGAAATTTTCCATTCCAGCTCGACTTGATATGCATTTAAAAAATGTTGAAGATGAACGTGATATGTATAAAAATGAAGTAGAAATTCTACAACGACTACTTAATGAACGTCCCCGTGGTTTTTCATCGGTATCACCTTCACGTTTAAGAGGTCGATCAGTGTCACCCATAAATCTTTCACGTTCAACAACTAGACGTGACATGGCTACATCACCAGTTATGCAATATGTAAAAAGGTCAGCAAGTAGCTGCGCGACATCCCCGACACGTTGTACTGTCTGTGGATTAAACCGAAATCGATTGTCACCAGCAAAAGTATAACAAATATTTATTATTTAATCATTGGTTTCAATCATTTCGTTTTTTTTTCAAGGATTTTAATTCTTATGAAACTCAATTAAGAAACCTTGAAGAAGAACGAGACCGTGCTCGTCGAGAACTTCGTAAATATAAACGAGTAACTAAAGAAAAGGTAAATTTAGCAAAATAAATCTGCAGAAATAGGATTTTGTTTTAAATTTAAATATCACACAACCGATTTAAATTTCAGCCTATAGAGATATTTTTCTATCGAAAAATCATGAAATTAGGCATAAATGACATAAGATCAAATTTCGTAAATTTTTGAAAGATTGTTTCTGCATCAAAACATGCGAAGAGTATAACAGAGAAAATTGTTAGCAAAATCGCTGTAAAATTGAATTATGAAATATATGCATAATTTAGTAGTCATTGTTAATCACATAGAGATTAATTTATTTTACCAATTTTCAGACAAACTTATTCTTTATCTTTTCACTTAATCTTAAAAACAATGCAATAAGATAGCGTTTGCATGATGACTATTCCGAATTTATATTCTTTCGATTTTATTTCATCGAAACCACGTAGTGTGGTATCCATTAAAATTTTGCATAGCTGCAAAAGAAATAAGTTCACTGTTGTTATGTGAAAGTAAAAGCAATCATTTCTAAGAATACACTTAAACTCTAATAATAATTACAATATTAAAATATCTAATTCTATTTTATAGGATGTTGATGAAAATCAAATATCGAAATTTATGCGAGAAAATGAAGACTTACAATTATTAATAAAAAAATATGAACGACGTCTAGCAGAAGTAAAAACGAAACTGTCGATCATATTATTTTATTTATGTATATTTATTTTCTTTTTTTTTTTCAAGTATCAAGGTACCATAAAAGTACTTGGTAATGAACGAGACAATTTAAGTATTCTTTACGAACAAGTTAATTTATGATTTTCTTTTTTTACTGATTTCCTTGAAAATTTCGTTTGATTTAGACTAAAGAAGAATTACAAAAAGCTCGTCACGATCTTTTACAAAATGCTCAAACACCTAAAGTTTCCCTTGCAGCTCAATCAATATTACGTAAAGTTGAAAATGAACGTGATGCTGGTTAGTTTAATAAAATAATTATTATCATATATTAACTTACATTTTTCTTTCTCAGCAATTCTCGAAGCAAGAACTGCAACAAATGAACGAGATTCTCTGCGTGAACGTTTACGTGTAAGTAAACAATAAAACACTTTTTCGGTCTCGTTTACTGAAAATATTCAAATTTCTCTTAAGATTTCAACTGACACTGGATTAAACGATCGAGCAAGATATGAACAACGTATTGAAGATCTTGAAGTTGATCTACGAAAGGTAAATAGAAAACTTTGATAATTAATTATTCTAAATTGAAAATCTTTTTTTTCTTCACCTTTTAACTAACAGCTTGATAATGATCGTGAAGAAATGGTTCAACAAAATCATTCGCTACGACAACAAATTCAAGATTTAGAAAATAAGGTTCATGAACAATCCTTTACAATTTCTCAATTAAATCAAGAAATAAATGATCAAAAAACTGCGTTAACACAAATGAGATATTTATCGGAAGAAGCTGAACGTCTTGTACAAGAAAATCAAAGACAATTGAATTCTAAAAAAGATGAAATTCGTGCTCAAGAAGAAAAAATTATTCGACTTGAAAAGAAAATTTGTACGTTTCACATAAATTTTTACAAAAAAAAAACGAAAAGAACACAATATAATTTTTAAAAACCTCTTATTTTAGATGAACTTCAAGAAGCGAATAAAGCTGTCAGAGATGATTATCAAGTTGTACGTACAACTGTTCAAACACTTGATAAAGATAAAGACCGTTTATGTGGTGAAATCGATCTAAAATCAGAAGAAAATTTACATTTAACACAAGAAATTAATTCTAAAACACGTCGTATTGAAGAACTAAATATGATGGTAGAAGAGTTACAATCTGCCTTGGAGTAAATTTTAATTTTTAACTTAAATCATTCTTTACTATTGTTGTATTTTCAGTCGTGCAAAAGATGATACAAAACAAAAGCTAAAGGAAATGACAAATATGAGAATGCAAATCGATCGAAACGTTGAAGAAACTAATGAATATCGACGCAAACATGATCTTGGTTCAAGAGATAATAAACGTTTACAAGATGATCTATTAGCACTTACAAGAGAAAATCAAGTAAGAAACTTTAAAAAACTATAAATTATTTTTCAACGCAAATATAGACATTTCATTTCAAAATAAGTATTTATCAAATTTTTAACAATTTATATCTATCGTTTTCTTAAAAAGCAATCAGCTTTAAATATTAAAATCTAGTGTTCTTTTATCTCTTGGTTGAAATTTGTTATCGTTTTGTTGAATTATTATCTATTTTGTTGATTATAATTCAAAAATAATATTATAGTATATCCATTATTTGTAGACACTTCGTCAAGAAATTCAACATACAATTGATGATAAAGATGATCTCAAATTACAAATACAAGAATATATCAAACAAGTATCCAGTTGTGAAAGTATTATTGCACAAAAGGTATAAATCGACAAATAAATACTTAATAAAGATGACTTATGCCTAAAAGAATATTTGTACGAATATGAATGCTAAAAATAATTAGAAGTTTTCAATTGAGATACAGAAGTCTATCATTATGGGAATAATAAATTGGTCATTGTGATCTATTGACAGTTTTGCAGTTAGTAGAACTACTATGAGTCTTATTTAATAATCAAAAGAGATAAACGATTAGTGTCATGATTTCCAGTACAATGAAACATTTTATTACAGAAAAATATCAGTTCTAATCAAAAGATGTGAAAGCATTCATAAGGTCAGGCACATCTAAAATGTTTTGATAGTTCCAATTAGTGCGCACATCAATAACTCATAGTATAGACACAATGACCTATATGTTTTGTTCAGTAAACCCCTCCCTATAATAGAAGACCCCCTCATATTACAAGACTTCCTATATTAGAAGACCCCTTTCAGCAAAAGTTTAAAAGGCGTATTATAAGACCCCTTTTAATTAGTTAATAAACTAATATAATTAATATTTTAATTAGTAAATTTCCTTAAAAATAAGCATAATTTCGAGGTTTTTTGATTTTAACTGCTGTACGAACAAGGTGTACATCACTACTGCACTTTGAAAACCCAAAAAATCTCTTCATAAAAGCTCAAAACTAAAAGGGTTTATTGGAAAACTTTTTTAATTAAAAATTACAAAAATTAGTGGACATAATAAAAGACCCCTTTGGAAACTTTTTACGCTTGGGCGTAATAGAAGACCTGGCGTCTTTTATTACGGGGAGAGGTTTACATCCAATCTGTTTTGTATAAAAATGAAATAAAAAATATAATTTTCTAGGAAAATGATCGATCAGCTCTAGTTGAACAATATCGAGAAGCCAGTAATGGATTAAGTCGAGCACAAATAACATTAGCTGATATGGAATCACAAGCTAATAATCTGAAACAAGAATTACAAATAAAAGTAGCTGATATAAAACGACTAGCAGAACGCATTGATTATCTAGAGCGAGATCTTCAACAAGTATGAACAAAGAGAAACCTGTTGTTTTTTTCATTTTCAATTTAATAATTGAATTTTTAGCATGCATCTGTCGGTCAAGAATACGAAATTCAATTATCAAATATGAATCGTTCAGTACAACGTAATGAAGAAATGATCAAAAAATTACAATCTGATAAACAAAGTCTATTAAATGAAATTTCAAATATTCGCGATCTTAATTCTACACTTGAGAATAAAAAAGAACAACTTGTTCGTCAATTAACATCGAAAGATATTGAAAATGAACAATTACAATCAGCTATAAGCGATATGAAAATTGAAATCGATATGTTACGCACGCAATTACATAATGAAAAGGCTGTCGTACTAAGTCTAGAAGATCTTATTGCATCATTACGTGACAAAGAATTTCAAAAACAGATCGAAGTACAAGACAAAGATACTGATTTGCATGTAGCTAAAGATCGAGCAAATATGAATGAACTTAAAATGTATGATATTCATATTGAAATTTGTTTTCTTTTCTATGAAAGTATTTCTTTTTACAAATTTAGACAAAGTCAAAGTAAAGAAATAGCTTCTTTACGAACACAAATTATTGGACTAGAAACCGATAATAAAAGGCTGAAAAGTTTACTAGCAAATGAAAGACTAGAAAGGTATAGTTTAAAAAAAATATATGTGTTGATTGTAAAATTATCTCTTCAACGTTTTCTTTCATATACAGAGAAAAAGCTGCTCAAGATTTAAGAAAATTAACAGACCTTACATCTCATATTGACTATGAGTCTCGATATCGTAGTTTATCACCTAGAATACAAACATCTTCTTCCCAGTAAAATTTTCTCTCTTTTTTTTAAAGACAAATGATTAAAAGTCTAATTTCATTCTTAGTACAAATCTTCATCGATCACCCGGAAGAAGCTACTCTCCACCACGTTGCGAGACACCTCGAACATCTCCTACTAAAGTGAGTGTTTTTCTGCGAATACTACTAATCGAACAATCATCTCTCTTTCATTTTTTTTTGCACTTCTAACTATGTGTGTATTTTATTTTTGTATATAAAGATCTCCATATCGCTGAAAGTTTCTGAACTTGACAAAAGTCACGAAATGATTCCCGAAATCGACGTTAGTACAAATCAAAACAACAACAACAACAACAACGATTATAACTACGTTGACGATAACGTGGGTTTTCATCTAAAAATTCTGCTCTTTGCTTTTTTTTCTTGCCTTGATCTCGCTTTGCTTGAGAAATTAATTTAATATAGAAATAATTAAATATTTATTTTTTCAAATCTAATTCACTTTTTTTTCTAATTTTTAGCTTATCGATCGATCGTGCAGTTTTCGTATTGACACAACTCCATAGGTTTCAATTTTGAAATCTATCTTATCCGTCCAAACTTTATGCTTTGTTTCTATCATATCACGAACTTTTTTTCTTTTATAAATTGGCTTGTCATTGTGGGTGTGTGTGTGTGTGTGTTTGTATCTTTTATTGAAACCATCACATAAAACAAGTTTTATTGTACTTTGTTTTACCAAAGTTAGCGTGGATGCACGCTTTTCTCCTTTTCTTTTGTTCTCTCTTTGTGTGTATTTTTAGACAATGCCAAAAAGCAAAAATTCAATTCCAAAAGCAACAAAAATTGACATGCTATTTTCTTTTTTCTGTGTAGATTTGTGATATGAGTAAATGAAAGAAAAAAAAAAGAATTTTTTTTTCTTTTTCAATAAAAATAAAATTATGATGATTAGAATTTTGTTTTGTTTTTATTCTTTCATTCAATTGTTGATAATTACGAACTATTGTTTGTTTTTAAGAAATAGCCAATTAAAAATAATCCAACATGGAATTTTTCATTTGATCAATAGATTTACGACGATTAATTCTATCGAGAAATCTATGAATACGATAAGGTTCGACTTGCATTTCGCCACGTTGTAGCATTAGTTGTAACATTTTTGCAACTTTTTTTGAAGATCGACGATATAATTGATGTTCATGGTTCTCTTCAAGCGATGATGAGGATAATAAATCATCGTTTAGTGCTTGACTAACCTAAAAGAAAAGTATTATATATATATATATGTGTTTGTGTGTGTATATACGAAAAAAAGACAAGTTTTCTTTTTGTTTATTTATTTTCCACCTGAATGATGACCATCGAAATGCATAACAAAATCATACAACAGCGAAGACTAATGAATGACCATGATGGATGATGTTCGTTAGTCATATTTTGATGTTGGCGTATGTTTTTGAAGGGATTTGTAAAGCTGAAAAAAAGTCCTAAAAAACTAAATTGTTTCTTTTGAATCAATATTTGATGATAAACAGATCTTATTTGGCTTTAACATTAAAAGAAAATGACTTCAGAATTCATCGATAAGGATCGACATGTTCTATTTCGTTTGACATGATATATTTAATTAGTTGAAGTAGTCGTCAAGTTAAATAGTAGAATTTCTATTCACCTTTTGATAAAATATCTCAATGTATAGAAGAATTCTAGGCTACTTACCAAAATAACTTTGAAAAAAAAAACACGTTATTTGTGTAATAAATATGTCGGACTGATACTCTTAGGAAACGATGATCACATACAAAGACAGAAGTGAGAAAAACCAATTATAGTTTCATTAAGAACGAAAAGAGACAGAAATATTTATAGCTATCTACTTTTTTATGACGCTGTCCGAGTGATAGGAAAAAAAAGGAATTATATTAATTCTTAGTTACTTTTATATGACAACCAGTCGAATCGATTCTCGATAGGGAATAGAAATTTTTCTTAGTTTGTTTCCTTCATCGATTACTCAATTTAATGATCAATGTTTACTCAATAGTTCATTCTATTAAAATGGGTTAATAACCTCGGACAAAAAATTTTTCCATTACTTGTTTTGCATAAAAAATAGTGTTCAAACGTAAGAACATTTAACATACGATCATATTTATTAGCAGAACAATCTCTTAACAAAGATTTCTCAGTTATTGTATACAAATCTCACCTCGCTTGTCATAACAGTCAATAGTTTTTTCTTTTTCACAGCAGATATTTGTTGATTTAACTGTTGTTTCTTATTATTAATTCCTGTTTGAAATGTTGCTTGATCATCGTGCGACTTGTTCTAATATACTATGTTGAATCGTTTTATCGACTGAATGATATCCATTATATAACACATACAGAAAATTCATCTGCTGAATATTTTATTCATTTGGGAAGTTTAACTTCAATTTAAACAACCGTTAATGAAACAAACAAAAAACGGTATAGTTAACAATAACCATTAGAACAAGAGTATTCATTTGTGCTCGGTCAAATATATATCTAAAACAATTGAAGTTCATTTTATGAGAGCGCAAAAATGATTGATCACCATTCAAGAATCAATATACTTCAACGGTCATATATCTCAATTATTTATGTTGTTGAAAAGGTCAAGTACAATGCTTGTTGTTATGCTTAACAGAAAAACATTGTTGTTTAACTTTACCCTAGGGAGCAATAGGTTTCATCTCATACGTCGATATCAACACACATCAACATTCGAAATTCAATTAATCGATACGCAATTAGCTACTGAATATTAACAATAATGACATTTAGTTTAATACAAATTTTTGTAGAATCTTCAGCTAAATATTTATAGAAAACAAAAACATTTACTAGTCATTTGACTTATAGAACAATGTATCATCATTTTGCCAATATCGTTTACAATTAGATAGGTTGTTCAAACGATCATCTCTAATCTTTTATGCATTCGTGTATCAAATATGAGTAAAATATCATTGCAGAAAAAGAAACGAATGAAGATGATCGGTCAGTCGACTGGATGATTGACACAGATGTGCACTTTGTTGATGTATTCATCCACGACCACTAGTATCAATGTATGGAAAAAGAATAGAGTAGAGAAAAGAGCAAAAAAAAGCGAGAGAAGTGTTCATTAGAAAGAAAAGAAGAGGGCATATCATAATTATATGATCAGTCAGTCAAGACAATGGCACGGACCGAACTCATAAGTCTTTCTCGTATATGGTATACAATTATAGTTGTATTAATTCAGTTAATTCTTGTCTTTTTTGGTATAAAACAATGCTATTATAATGATCGTTTACCATGGCCAATATCTGCACCATCACCTAAATATGAATTATTAATACAAAAAATTTGTCTTCTTATATCACTTGTACTTCTTTTAATATTTATTTATCCAGCTTTATTTAAAATTGGAAATTTTTCAAATGACAATGAACAATTAACAATAGATGCATTAGAAAAAAATGATATATCTTTATGGTCTAACCTATGGCGACATTGTTTTCCATTAAGTAGTACTTTACATTTAATTATGAGTTTTCTTATTATTATATCAACTGTACTTATTCACGCTAAACAGATTATGGTTGGATTAAAAGATTCAGGTAAACATTTCTAAACAAGGTCTTTTCAAAATAAGCCTTATTGGTTGAGTAAAATAACATGAAATGATCATTCGTCAATAACGGGTCATTTGTTCGATGACATTCATTTGATATTATTTATCGATGAACAAATGTCTTCATGGGATTATATAATTCTATTATCCTAGAAGTTATAGAAATAGCTGAAAATATTTCACCATCAGACCATAATAAATTCTTCGATAACGATTTGTTAATGCATCTGATTCTTATCGGATGATATCAAACAATGTCCTACAAATATGATTAGTTTTAATATTGAAAAAAGAACTTAAAAATCAGTTCTACTATTCACATATGAGTTTAAATTCATCCAATACAAATATACAGTCTATGTATTACATACATATTCAATAAATTTTAAAAGACTTATTCCTATCTATTGGAAAAAAATTGTCTTTCGAAAAAGAAATTAAATAGCAGAATAAAAAAAATTGGCGTTAATTTTTGTTCTAGCATTTTTATGGCGTACTGATTTTGATTTACTTTTCGATTGGTCTTCATCGCCTACAATATCCATAACAAAACGTTTTGCACCATTAAATCGGCATACCTCATCTTTACCGTTTTCAATTGATTCCTATTCACGTTTAAGTCTATTAAATTTTCTATTTGCATCATTTATTTGTATTCTACGTGAGCCAAATGTGTTTTGGTCAATATCGAAAATTTTCTCTATACTTTATTCATTTGCTATTGCTCTTAATGTTTTACAATGGTGTTTGATGTACTGTGCATTGCAATTATTATTGAAAAATATTTGTTTTAATACAATTGAACTACGACATAATATTGGTTATCTTCTATCGAATCAACCTTATACAGCATTTTTTCTTTATATACTTCTTGAATTTCTTGTTTATATATCATCAATAACATTTTATTACTATGCATATAATCGCTTTAAATCAAATTATAAACGTTCATGTTATGATCGTTTTTCAAACTATTGTCCAAGTTTAATAGCTATCATTATTTTATTATTATACACAGCATGTAAAATGCCACTTGCGCATGATATATTTTTACTTTACATTCAAACACGTTTACCTATTCTATTTCTAGCATTTATTTTTGAAATAGTTCATGTTCTATTAATATTTGCAATATGGATTTTTCTAACAACAAAATTAAATTGGAATATAAATAATCAAGCAAAATATTTATCTAAAACTCGTAGTGGTTTAACAGTTCAAAATACTCCAATTGACGGACAAACAACAGTTTCTCTACCAGAATTAAACAATAATTATTCATCAAAAGAAAAGCCTTATGAAAAAATTCGAATATATCAATCAGAAATTTATTATCGTAATCGACCAAAAAATTGGAGTTTACCATTAAATCAGCAGCCAACAATGATGGCTGAATTTGATCTTAATGATGATATTATTACACGTTCACCATCGTATCCAACGAGTCAAAATAATAATAATAATAATAATGATAATGAAATACAATATCGAAATGCAATAAGAAAAACTCTATCTAGTATAAAAAATTCTGAAGAACAAACAAAAGCTGTTTTTCTAAGAAGTAATACACCACCTATACCACCTGTTAAAAGATTTACAAAAGAACAAGTAGAAGCAGCTAGACAACGAGCACAAAAACTGATCAGTCAACGTCAACGATCACCGGAATTAAGGTCACAACAACAGCAACATTCAGCTGCTTTACTTATTAGTCAAGTTTAATTTTTGTATTGATCTTTTTGTTTTTTAATTACCAAACAGGGCTAATAAATTTCTTTTCTTTGATTATATGTTTTGATCGATATGAACGTTTAGTTTTTCTTAATTTTGTCTTTCGAGTTGTTGTACTTGTTAGGAACGTTTTTAATTCAAGTAATTCATCAGAACGAATTGCTGTACCTATAATAGATTGTACAGATGTCAACATATATTGAAATAATATTTCGCTACCATTTACAAAACAATGCTGAGGACTTGGCTTTGGACAACGATTAAGAAGACCACTATACGGAAAACCTTTAAAAAGAATATGTTTAGAAAAATGATTATTTTTCGAAGAAATTTCTTTTTATAACCATAAGGAAGTTTTGGTTCGAGAAAACAAAATTTTTCAAATATATGCAGTTCAAGATCATCTTCTAAATCGAATGCATCACTTCGATTATCAACTATCCAGATGTTTTTTAAATGACTCATTTTAGGAAATAATATAAACCAAGTATTTTTTTTCATATCCATTTCAGTTTCTAAATAAAAATAAAAATTTTTATTCATATTAAAAAACAAAGGGCTTCTTTTTTTCCGATTACCATTGTTTGTTATAATAATACGAAGAAAACGTGGAACATTTTCCGGTGCTTTACTTTTTTTTATTGTACAATAAACGATAAATTCAAATGTATTTTGTTCAGATGAGTAAACTTCATTGAAATTATCATTGCTACTGATAGGGATTAACCAATTAAAACGACCGAATAAAATTGTTTCAGCATTCTTAACACGTGTCTCAAATGTTGGTTGTTCAATATGTAATAAAATACCAGAAGAGACCAATGAAAATATCATGGTCAGTAAAAAAATTCCTATCACCATCAGCTGCATGAGCGCTTTCGCAGAATATTAATTATGGCAATATATTAGTTGTCGTATATTCTTTCTTCTATTGTGTATATTTGTATTCAATGTGAGAAATTATGAAAGAGTGGGAAACCATCTGGACAACGATATCAACAAAAAGTAATGATGATCTTTACAAGAGAAAACAGAAGAACAGGAAAACGGCTATAATGTAAACATTGTTTTCCTGTAGATATAAGACGCTACTGTCATATATTCTGTCGAAGTCATGGTTATCTAATCGCTGGAAGAGAAAATAGGAACAAAGGACCAATATGTTATCAGTAGAACTCTAATGTTAATTTACTCTTTTAGTATATCTCTTCTTATGTATTAAGTAACAGCATATCAAGCAGTAAGAAGAATGTCCATCTTTGATTTTTCAAGATTAATGATCGATTATTATATCCTAGTAATATATACAAAATATTTTCCTCTATTGATGTCTTCTTAACTACAACGAATCCTGGTTGATTACTATTCTGTAGGTCATGCCTTGAAACACATATGATAATTTGAATCGGCATATATATGAATATCATCAGAAAAGAGATCATGAAAATATGTTTTTATCGATGACTCATTAGTAACTCTAATTATATTCAGTGTAGAAAAATTAATGAGATCTATATCCGATCTAAATTTGTTAGTAACAGAGACTCAACAATAACTGGTTTAAATTTTTAAAACTTCAGCAAACAGAATGAATAATTAATAAGACTTCTACTCCAAGAAAATTATCGAAATTTACTTAAGAATGAATAGTATACGAAAATAGTTACAGTATCAAAGATTGATTCATTGTGATCTAAAAGACGGATATGTCAATGGTTGACCGTGAAGAAAGAATTTGTACCAGTGATCTGGATTAGAAACACTACTAGTGTACATAAATGTTGAGATTTGTTTTTCATTAACTTTTAGTTGAAGCAAAATATTAATTATTGACAACCATACTACTGTGTCATACTCACAAATGTTTCACGAGATTTTCTATGAATTTTATGTCTTTAAATGTATATTCCAAGATTTTAGAATATCTTAAGAAAGGAAATTTTCGTAATAAATGAAAATCAATGAGAAACCTTTTTTTCCTCTTCAACATTACAGTAGTACCAAACTTGAAACTTGAATTCAGTTGAAAATAGAAAATTTCAACTTTCAACTCATAACGATATATGTATCAGTCACGATTATTCAGAATGCTATTGGTTTAAAAGTTGAAAATTTCAATTTTCAATTGACTTCAAGTTTCAAGTTTGACATATATGCAACATTACTGTATAACTATTGGAAGGTATGATTTATTTATAGTTGAACTATCGCTATGAGAAATATAATTTGTGCACATACGTTCAAAAATACTACTGACTATTGTTGTCAAATGAGCAATCTTCGAAAAAAAAAACTCAACGAACTTTTAAAATCTCATCAAGCTCAAAGAATACATGTCTCTATTTATAGATGATATTTAGTTAACATTTAACAAAGATCTTTTGATGAAAACAAGCTTACAAAAATCGATAGTATCTGTAGAAATATAAAAATAGATTTTCAGTCTATTGAATATTGTTCCGACAAGAATCGATTCTTTGATATACAAAATAGGCATTTCCTTCAAGATCAAAAATATATATGATTTGATCTATCGATTACATTTCCATGTAACACTTCGAGAGAATTTATTCTAAGAAATCACTGTAGTTAATCATAATCAGAAATAATTCATTTTCAAATCTACTTACAAGGAAACATCCTCAACTATCTAATCACGTCTCAGCTCGGACTTTCTGTACAAGATAGAGCTAAGTTATGAAAAATCTCAAATGAGTAAATCCTCTTAACCTTCTATTCAAAGTTATTGCCATTTTACTGAAGTTTTAGTCAATGTGATGGTATACTCAAGCAAATCGCGTGGTGAGAGTTAGATGAGAAATTTTGGCCACAGGCAGATCTATTAATGAATAGAAAGTGTTAGAAATTTCCATTCAAAACAATGCTTTCCTGCTGAGATGTTTAAGTCTCATTAAAAAACAGAAAATTTTAGCATCTTTTGGATTATATGAGTCATCTTTTGTAGTTAAATATTTCAGGAAAGAAATATTTTTTTGAGCTGAAATTTTCAGGATAATCGATTGGTAAATAGATCTGTCTTTGAGCAGAATTTTAGATGAAAATATCGCAGTTATATTTTTTCATATCTCTGGTGCTACAGGTCTAGATTTCAGTAAAATCCTTATAGCTCTGGACAGAAGACCTAAGTTGCGTTGTTCTTTTCAAAGTTTTCATACCTTTCTGAACTCTAACTCATACAAACATATAATTTTTCATTTTTTCCACTTTTTGGCTCAACTCATTCCGTTTTTAATTACAGCTCTGCATTATGATAGATTAGAGTATAAGCAATATTGCTTAACAACTAAAACAAACTTCAATGTTTGATAGTAATTTCGATTTGGATGGAGGTTTTCTATATTAAACTATTGATTTATCTATTGAGAAAATATATTTCTTCTTTTTAGACTCTTCGATGATTAATACAAATGACTATTTAATAACTGCAGTATGCAGTAACTAATCATATTGATTTCTTTCAGTTCAGTAGTGTAAACTGATTTGTATTCTAGTCAACTTAATGACAATTTTAACCATCAAAAAGTAACGAGTAATTATGAAACGACGTTTGATCACGCTTCAATCATGTTGTGGGACGATATCTATCGTTCCAACAGCCTCTATATTATTTTTTCTATATAATTCGTTATCGATCGATCGATTATATAGTATAGACATGTGGAGGAGGATCTAGTTGTCTCCGTTACAAATGGAACGATTATACCGTTCCTTTATCTTTATCGTCGATTATTGTTTCATTACTAGTTTCTTTATGAATAAAATAAAGGAATATATATATAAATAAATCCTAACAGATGAGAATTTGTAAAATACAGTATAATATCTTCTTAACTGTTTGTTTATCAGCCGTGCAACTGCACATCTCTGTATATATTGAATAGATCCTTTTTAGATTTTGTTCTTCTGTCATCAGGTTATAGTGGCATGATTCTTATCGACGTTTTTGACCTATACTTCCGAAAAAAAAGTCATTTTCACTGCAATAAATTTAAATCATTCTGAGGAAAGAAAAACATATTACTTTTGAAGCATTGATCTACTTGTTGTAAATAATTCTCTATGAATTTATGTAGAATCCAGAATGTAAACTCTGTTCAACATTTGTGAATATGTCGTTACAAAATCTAATCTATTTCTTTTTCATCTTAGAACAAATGTCTATTTCATATTCATAATATTCAAACATCATCATTGATTGATAAATTTTTTCCACGTCATTCATTGTCAAATTAAAAAACCGCAAGGTGCACAGTATGATACGCTGTCATTTGTTTCGTTTTCATCAAATGATATTATCATGTACTACATATGAAATTGTACATGAATTGAAAACTGATTTAAAAATATCGAGTCATGAAATCAAAAAAGAGAAGGGAATAATTAATCTTTTAGATCTTGAATCGAAAATAATATTCTTTTCATTTTTGTTTTTTATTTTTAAGATTAGAAGAAGAAAAAAAATGTCTGAATTATCTGGTCAGTGTGAAGATGACGTATGTTTAAAAGAATGCAGTTCTTTGTCAATACGTGTATTTCCATGTTTATATCATTGTAAAAAAATGCTATGTATTAGACATTTATCTGAACATGATAAATGTACTGAGAAGCAAATTCAATCTAAAAAACAGTTAGAAAATCTATGGAATAGTTATATTTTAATATTTAATGAAGATAAAGTTCAAGAAGAATTTCAAAACTTAAAAATGAAACTTGAAACTTTCCAAAAATTACGTAAAGATATACAAAATGTATTATCAATAAATAATTTTCACGATTCAATGGAAAATAATCGAAAGCTTCAAATTGCTATTGAAACGGTGGAAAAATTTATGGAACAAGAAAATCAATCGAAATCAACTATTAGTAAGCTGTTTTGTTTTGTTTATTTGAAAAGAAAAACAGGCTAATAACCATTGATTAGATGATACTGAATCAAAAGGCGAATTAATAACAGATGATTACGAAGAGAATCAACAAACCATCGATTATGGTAAATACATCGTTTATTATTCAAAAAAAAAACAACAGAACCAACATCCTGTTTCTTTTTTCTGATTCTAGAATCTTTATCCTTATCAGTCATTACGAACAATGGTAAATAATCTTTATATCTGTGTAACAATTGAAATTAAAGCTTGAAACGCAGATTTGGTTGTCTTGTGTGCTCATTTTTTTTTCATACTTTAAGATTCTGAAACTGTAGACTTTTGCCCTTCAGTATTAAATACTAATGGAAATTCACCGTAAGCTTTAAACAAGTACATTCTTATTTTTTACATAATTGTTTTTCTTCGCTACTTAAGGTTAACTGAACCAGACAACGAGTATTTTCAAGACATTGCCGAATGTGATTCATTGTTTTTACTAATATCAATAATATAATCATTTTTTGTTTTGTTTTATTCTTAGCTGATGATTATGGAAATTCAATGGAATTCGAAAATGAAGATAATACAATCGAAGCTAGTACTCTTGAGTAAATTAGAAACATCTATTTCATGTATTATGTTTTTAATGAACTATTTTTCTATTATAGAGACCAAATTAATATCACAGTATGTCATAATTAAAGATATTTGTTTATTTGATATGTAATCTCAATATTATTCATAGCCAAAACGAAACATGCCTGCATCGAAATTCCGTGGTTATTGTCCATTAACACAAGATGGTGCCTTTGGTATTAGTTGTCAGTTACATGGAATACGTTTATGTCCAAAAATAAATGGAAATCTACGTACATTTCGTTTACATGAACATTTTCGTCGAGTTCATCATTTAACTCCATTAGCATCACTGACACTTGCTCGAGCTATCCGTTCGGGTCTAAATCCAATGACAACACAATTATTTGATGACAATCATATTATTTTAAATATAGATGAATTACGTACTGTTGCTTGTCCAATAAACAAAGGCTTTATCAACTATCCAACACTTCATATATTGAATTCACCATGTGATACAATCAAACAAGTACGACAACTTAGAGATCATCTTAAACGTGTACATAAATTTACAAGTAAAGCAACCAATATTATTATTAAAGCAGTGAAAACTGATACACCAATACATATGATTCAATTTCCACGATGGATTGATATTATTGAAGATGAATAACATTTCGAAATTTTGTTTCTTTTTTATTTTGCTTTTCTATTTATTTAAAATTCATTGTTCGATAATTTCTTTATTTTTCGTTTTATTCTTTTTCATTATGATGATGTATATATATATATTTTTTAAATGAAAGAGTGCAAAATAAAGCTTGAACTATATTGAACCAAACGATTTTCTGGATTCTCTTTTTTTTCTGATCTATTCATTTATCATGGTCGGCAGAGAATAAAAATTAACAGAGAAACTTGATTGACAGTTCGCGGAACAAAGCTTTTACGTCATAAAACATTCAAAATCGGCTGTCAACGTCTATCGTTTACGATCACAATTAATAATTGGTCACCGAAAATAAAAGGAAAAAATGCAGACTTCCGGTATGGAAAAAAATGGGTGCAATAACAATAACAACATTAATCGTAATAGTTGACAATATCCACGATTGTCCTTGAACCAACTATATGACTTGTTTGCACGGCAATCTTATGCAAATCATTGTGAGCTTTCCTTAATGCCTTGGAAAAATACAATTGCTGATGCTTCTCAGCGCAACCAACAAGACGATCATCCAATCCATTATTCATGAAGAATGATTTTTTCTTTCTTTGTCATTTTTATTTTTATACAAATCGGCATGTTGTTGATTTCTCATTTTAAAAGGAAGTGCGTGCGCCTGTCGATCTGCGAAGGCGTAATTTATTGAAATGCTTTGACTATATAAATTGAAATATTCTGCCTTTTCTTCTTCTTCTTCTTCTTCTTCTTCTGACAAAAACACAGAAACCTTTACACTTGAATCAAGAAAGCAAAGTGTTGAAAAGACTAATGGCTGCTTCAATGAACGGTACTGCTAAACCATTATTTCGAAAAAGTTACTCAATTGAGTATGGATATAAACCACGAAAACGAACACTAATTGCTGATGCTGAATTTGATCGTGAGCAGCACGATGTCGAGCAACATAAACATCAACCAATAAACTATGACGGAGAAACCAAAGAAGAATGTACTTATACAATTTTAGTTACAATTAAGAATAAAAAAAGTGCATCAATACTGAATTTAATTAGTGTGTTTAATCGAGATGGACTAAACGTACAACATATGGAAACACGTCCGACTGCCTCGTCACCTACTAAAACCGAGTCACCCATTGGTAAAAAGGTTTTTTTTTCTGAAAAATAAGAAATATTTTTTGTTGCTGTTTATTATTATTATTATTATTATTACTATTGCAGGACTTGATGTTTTTATGGAAGTTATATGTACGGATAAAGTTATGGATGATCTCAAACGAGATTTATTTCAATCCGATTCGAAATTTATTGTAAAAAATATCAAGACTCATGCGCCTGTATCAAATAAAGAATCAAATAAAATCAATCATGAAAACGGTACAACTGATATCATCTGGTTTCCAATGTCTATATGGGAACTAGATCGATGTCATCATTTACATACGGACTATCAACCTGATATGGACTCACGTCATCCTGGTTTTTCCGATAAAGCATATCGAGCACGACGTGAGCACATTGCTGGAGTAGCATTCAGTTTTCGACATGGTGATGCTATACCAAAAGTAGAATACACGCCGGATGAAATTAAAACATGGGGGTAAAATCATAGATCGTATTGGAAACATTTTGTTTGTCTCATTCATTCATTCATTTTTTCTTTAACAAGACTCATTTATCGACAATTATCTAAACTGTATCCAACAGCTGCATGTAAACAACATATTCATGTACTTGAAATATTAGAAAAAGAAGGTGGCTTTTCGGAAAAAGTGATTCCACAATTAGAAGATGTATCACGTTTTATGAGAAAACGATCTGGTTTTCAATTACGTCCTTGTGCAGGTGACTATAATTTTTACTATTTCTACTTTACTAAAAAAGATTCTTTTAGGTCTGCTATCTGCTCGAGATTTTCTGGCTAGTTTAGCATTTCGAGTATTTCAATGTACACAATATATTCGGCATCCATCATCTCCACTTCATTCGCCTGAGCCAGGTATTTTAACAAAATCAAATTTTTTCATATCATATCTTTGACTTTTGATTCTATTTATAAGATGTTGTGCATGAACTTCTTGGCCATGTTCCACTTCTATCGGATCCAAATTTTGCCCAGTATGAATTTCTTATGATTATTACGTTGTTTTATTTTTTGAAAGAATATTTTCTCTATGATATAGATTTTCGCAAGATATTGGTTTAGCTTCGTTAGGTGTTAGTGATGATGACATAGTAAAACTTTCAACACTCTATTGGTTTACTATTGAATTTGGTTTATGCCGTGAAAATGGACAAATTAAGGCATACGGCGCAGGTTAGTTACCATGAACGATTTATTTTAAATAATTTTTGTTCTTCAAAGGTCTTCTTTCATCATTTGGTGAACTTCAACATGCTTTATCGCCAACACCTCAAATCAAACCATTTGAACCAGAAACCACCGTTATACAAGAATATCAAGGTTTGAATAATCAAATTTTACCTTTCAATCTAAATAAGTTTTCTTTTTGTTTTTGTTTTCCTTATCAGATGAAGATTATCAACAGATTTATTTCCTAGCTGAAACCTTTGAAGATGCAAAAGAAAAATTACGCATTTATGCTAAGTCTTTAAAGCGTCCATATGAGTTGGTCTATGACGCACATACACAATCCTTACGTATTCTGGATAATATTAAAGTTATTCATGATCTTAGTACTAAACTTAAACTTGACATGGATGTGCTTGAACATGCACTTGATCGTCTTCATACAAATGGTATTAACTTTAAAATCATTTCATAAGAATAAACATCTATTTATTTTATTGCAAAAATAAACTGGAACAAGACCTTTTTCTTTAAATAATAAAAAGATTTGACCGAAATAAATAATAAATAAAATCATTGTGGCTATCAAATCATAACGTAGAAAATATCAAAATAATAACTATAGTTGCTATAAACGATGATAAATATATGTGAATCTCTCAATATTTCTTCAAATAATAATTATTTCATTAGTATTTGCGCATCGTTTTGTCGAAAACATATATTTAAATTCGCCAGAAAACAAAGCCTTTTCTTTTCTCAGGCGTAAAATTCGTTCACACGATTTCTTATGTATATATGCGCGCGTGAAACGTTTAAAGATGAAAGAAGTATGTTTCTATCGACATTTGACTTAACACACACACACACACACCGGTCGTTCGACTGATATCAACACCTCATAATGCACACGGGACGGCGAGTTTCAGAAGCAAGCGAGAATGACATATGGTGTTAAAATTCGCAAAAAAATGCATTTTTATTTTTATTTTGCTCATCAAAACATAGTCTTTTTGTATGGACATAGAAACAGCAAAACTAAACGGTTAATCTTTTTGTCTGTCGAGATTTTATAATAAGCGCGTGTACGCTCTGATCGTCACAGTTAGCGTTCATCCCATCTCTAATTACCATTGAAAGTTGTAATGAAACATCCCTCTAATTGAACAAGTGCGCGTCCAAACACCTCAAACAGGTCAAAACTCAGTAGGTGGTCATCATGATGACTACTTGCACTTTTCTCTGTTTTTTTACCGCATAGGTAAAGTTATTGATCCATGAATTTTTCTTTTTTCGTTCGGGGGTGATGGTAGTGGCTTCAGGCAGTGTTGGAAAAATACAGGGGTGTGGACATGTGAAAGGAGCAGCATATATAAATGTTATACAATTAGAACTATGTTTTTTAGCACCATAATTGGTGCTAAAAATAACTGAATATAAATAATCATGAAAAGTCAGATCATGCATGAAAGAACTTGAGAGTAAAATTTCTATTCATTGATATCGATAGACGATGTGCAAACATGAGAATTTCGTATGTTAAATTTAGAAAATAAAATAAGTTTAATTCAGTATCATTGAAATTTCTTCTTAGAGTATTCTTTTTGTTGTTGTTATATGTAATTGATTCAAACCGAATTGACTTTGATCTGAATATATCTTTTCTAAATCATCTAAACTGGTCTTTTTTATTTTGTCATATCTATTTGATCAGAGAATATACAAACACAGTAGGTGACTTGTTTTGCCTATTTATCTATCAGTCTGTTGGTAGTACAATCTGTCTACTAATAATCAATTTTTATTCTTTATTTTTTCCTCTATTATTCGAAGGTGGCAAACCGATCACAATTAGACTGCTTATACATGCAGTGCATAAAACGGAGAACGAGTATTAGTGAAAGATCAATCATTTGCCTCCTGCATTCTCAAAACGTAATAATAGAAAAACTGAACATGCGGTGAACGCGATTGACCGTAAAATGGACTCTTTATTAATTCATTCGCTTTGGGTTAATCTTTAATGTATCAATTCCAAACGAGTACATGTATTTGAATTGATGAAGTCAAGTATAGAAAATAATCATTTCTTTTTCTTTTCAAAGTTGATCTCCTTATTCTATAAACTAATGACTAAATTGTATCTATTTCATTTACAATGTATATTTCATGTCTTTTTTTTACTATCAATTTATCCATTTTGTCGCCGACAATATTTCGTTTATGTGTACAAATATTTGTCCAAGATTGAGAATTTCGATGATGGACAATATTGAAAATTTTCTTTTCGTTTGAAATACTCAAAGCACGCGTGGACACAAGGTCATGAATATCATTTAAATTCTCATTCTCTTCTTTTGTAGCCTAGTGACATAATGAACGATTAAATTGACACATTTTTTAAACCTTAAAAGTTTTTTTTCTCTTTAATACAAGCTTAATACCCGACAGGATCAAAGAAATCAATCGTGTTAAAAACAGCAGCATTGGTAGCCGATCTAAAAAAAGAAACAGAAAAGATAAAGATAAAGATAGCTTAGAGCAGCAAGCAACTTGTTGATTCCAATTTTCAGCATCAACCATTTTCGTCAAAGAAATCCGACATCAAATTGATCGTTTGATAAAATTAACTAATTCTTATCTAAACAACAAACCTTGTTTTTTTCCTTTCTTTTTCATTAAACCAATCTAGATTTGATGATTCTCTTAGCACATTGAATTAAAACTATACTCTAATTGATTGAATTTTGAAAATGGTTCTTAGCTCTTTACACTCACACATTTATGCGTGTCAGTTTCTCTTCTTGACAACAGAGAAGATCATTTGTGTGTGTGTGTGACTTTCTTATTCCAATGCTGTACTGCATCGAAAGAGCATCTATAATTAGGTGTAACAATAGAAAAATTATTTTCTAATCGTTGTGTGATGATTTTTATCTCCAATAGGTCGCATCAGATAGTCTATTTAATAATGTTCGATCAAAACTATAAATAAATGCCCTGCAACATTTTTCTCATCGTTCTTAATATGATCCGTTTTTAGAGACTTTGTTGTCTCTTTAACATCTGATTAAAAGAGGAAAAAAATTTAGCCCATATGCTTTTGTAAATTGACAAGCATCATGCATTATATTACCATCAGGCTGTGATGTAATGCTGTCAAATCTAGCTCATCTTTTTAATCTTGTTTTGCTTTTACTTTAAACACACGCGACAGGTCAAATGTGTGGAAATAACAAACTGCCAATTGTTAAAAGAATATTTAAAAAAAAGAAGAAGAAAAATGCTACACAAGTCAATACAGATCACAGTTAGTTGTGATTCCCAAAACGTCGTTACGAAATGTAAAATTCTTTCGTTTTTATGATTCTATTAGGATCTTTCGTAGTCTTCAATTGTCATCGCAATTTACATATTTGATGTTCATGCTGTTAACAGTGACATATGTACCGCATGGTTCACTTGTTCATTTGACACCTTATCAAACTAAAATAATAGACTCATTCCGCTATCTATTTCTCTCACGATCTCACTTATTTGTTTTTTCTCTCTTTAATGAGTTCATCAGTCGTTTTTAAATGTCTATTTATTATACGACGTTCAATTTAGTTAGATAACAGCTGGTTCAATTCAATATTAATTAAACTGATGATTAGATCAACGAGTAGCATGCAGAAAATCGCCTTAAATATAATAGGTAGCTGTTTGATTGTGTCAACAAAAATAGAATCTTATAGTTAGAATAAGACCTCTAGATCGGAATCATTGATTGAAACATGGAGAATTCTCTTGCAATTGATTGGTAGATAGTCATATAGCAAAAAAAAAAGAAGAAGAAGAAAAAGAAACAAGAGAAGGCATCAGAGAAAAAGAAGAGAACAACAAGTAGAAATAGAAAGGCTTTTCCTCTTTTATTATCAACAGAAAAACAGAAAAAGAGTGTCTATTTTATCAAGTTTTTTTGGTGTGGAATAAGGGTGTGGTGAATTTGAGTTTGTGTGAAGAAAATTTGTAAAAAAAAAAGTATCTTAAAGATTGTCATGCTTGACGACAATCATCTTTTTCAACGTGCTGCTTCATCAGCATATGCATCAATGGCTGCATTTACTGCTGCAGCTAATATGTATAATTCATTTTATCCAACAGCATCAAGTACCAACACGGATCCAGTGAATTATTTTGGTTGTACAGGTAATGAGAACGGTTTCGTTCGGCAGACAAATAAACGAAATTTATTGTTTAGATATGAAAAGAGAAAGGCTTGATCCAAAAGTACGTGCTAAACTTGAAGATACGGATTTATGGAAACGATTTTATGCATTAGGAAACGAAATGATTATAACAAAGTAAGTTGAAAAAAGATATCTACTTCTTTTATAACTTATTGACATTTTATCATTGGCATTTGAAAAGTAGAAGTGGTCGTCGTTTATTTCCAAACTTTCGTGTATCTGTTAGTGAACTAAATCCAAACACGAAATACATGTTCCTATTAGATATTGTTCCTATAGATGATAATCGTTATAAATATCATGAATCTTCATGGACTATTTCCGGTAAGGCTGAACCACATATCTATGGAAGGTAAGACTTGTTGAGTTCTTTCATTGATACTATTTTAAACATTATGAAAAACATAATCTAGATATTTTGTTCATCCGGATAGTCCACAAACTGGATCACAATGGATGAAACAATCAATTGTTTTCAATAAAGTTAAAGTCACAAATAGTCCAATGCAAAATCCTAATCATGTAAGAATTATTGATCAACAAACTGAAAGAAAAATATTTAGTATTTTTCATTTCTCTAAAGATAATTCTAAATTCAATGCATCGATATATTCCACGTTTACATATTGTTGAAGCGTCGGATAGTTATTCAATGCGAACTGGTCCTTTAAGTACATTTATTTTCGATGAAACTTGTTTCATAGCTGTTACTGCCTATCAAAATGATCAAGTAAGTTCAATCACAATCAAAAGTTGCAATACATTTGTTTTTATGCTTGCTTTTTCATAGATAACTAAATTAAAAATTAACAATAATCCATTTGCAAAAGGGTTTCGTGAACCAACACAAGGAAAAAAGTAAATATAGATTTCACAGCAATGAACTATTTTTATTCTCTTTTATTCTATATAGAAATAATTCGAAACCAGTAAAACGACTTCAATCAAGTCTTCCATTAGATAAACCTGTAAAATATGATGAAAATCTTCATCGTCCATACAAAAGTGATTCGTCTTTGTTATCAATAAATTCGCATTCACCACCAACACAATCAACAATGCATGCAGATGTAGCCGATTCAACAACGTCAATTTATTTAGATAATAGTGGTGGTGATCATGAACAAAACAGTGAAATAAATCCTATGCAATTTCCTACATCATATCATCATCAATTTGCATCAAATTCGTTTTACAGTAACTATGCCAGTGATCCATCATCAATGATTTACAATCCGGCTTACACATATATGGGAACAACTTCTAATTCAATACCAGCAACATCAACTCCAATGCATTTTAATCCATATGGACGTTATCCAACAGCAGTTTATCAAACAAATAATTACAATGCATCATTTTTTTGACATGAAAATAAAAAATATTTTCTGTGTGCTCGTTTTCTCTCTTTTTTCTTTTGTCTTTTGTCTTTTTCGCCTCGTGTATATTTATTCAATAAAGTCTAACAATCAATTTAAATTCATTTATTTAATAGACTTAAAATGTTAATGTGTCAGTGCATACAAAATATAATACACTCAGGACAGAAAAAAATCGAATAGTTAATTTTAATCTAGTAAATGGGATTTTCACACTATTTCGTTGTAATCTCTTGTGAATCGATGATATTGTCAGAAACCAATCGGAAAAAAAAGTTTTTTTTCAATGTCTCTCACTGTCTCTATTCATAAACGATTATGGTCACACGTCATAAAAACAAAACGTATGTTCGTAGACTAGTAATATATTTGAAATTGCAATAAATATAAAAGTCGATTGGGGAAAAAGAAGAATATTCAATAGATTTCAATTGTTCAGATGAAAAAGAATTTTATTTCTTTTCTACCCATTATCGTTTCTGATTGGATGAATAAAATCATTGGACGAAAAAAAAAAGAATTTTTTCTTTTCTCGTTTCTCTGTTGTTCTCGTCAGTTACAGCATCATGCAATTGTTTTTGACCTCAACATAACGATACATATCAAATACGAATCGATTGAATTACATCATAATGTTGTCCTACTTACAACCTCAACTAGCATCTGAATCTATGCTTGCCATCTGTTCGACATCATCGGATGAAAGCAATAAATTAACATATCCTAATGAAGAAGATACGAATGTACATTTCAATCCAGTATCTACTGGAATCATTACAACTTCTTCATCTGCACGTATCCCATACTCCCATCCACATCATCACCACCACCATCATCATCATCGATCACCTGTTTCATTTGTATATGGACATGCACCAACACCTACGTATGGATTTGGTTTTGGTTTTTATGAAGATATGTCTCCATTTGTTGGTATGAATTAATATGCTAAGACAAGAAGAGTTCAAATTCGAGATTTAATATCCGTTTGTTTTTAGATACGACTAGATCACCATATTCATTTATTCATACAACAAAACGTTCTGATCCAAATATAGACGTTAAACTTGAAAATATGGATTTATGGAAACGCTTTGCAGCTCTCAATTTAGAAATGATTATAACAAAAAATGGACGGTAAGCATGATATTTTTCTTCAAGGTTTTTCTGTTTTCTTTTTCTTGTTTCGTTGAAATCTAAACAATCAATTTTGTTGAATTTCTATCGAAGCATAATTAGCTGACAAGTTCTTTACCCTCACTTAATCGCGTTCTCGTCACTTAAGTAGACTAGTTGATCAAGTTGTATGTGTGCTGTGCATTGCTCACCTTATTGTCTCAATCTCTTGAGAGATGTGCGTTCATACCCAGTTGGCGTTTTATATATTGAGTGGGTGACATGGCCACTGTTGGATACATCTGCTCATTGACTGATGCTTCCTTATTGTGTGACGTCAATGATGGTTGAACACCTAATTGATTTTTGTTCTCAACACACAGCAGTAGTCAATGTTGATCTACATAAATATGTATATGTTTTATATTTAGGCGTATGTTTCCAACTTTTAAAGTATCAATTACTGGACTAGATCCGACAAGTAAATATATTGTATATATGGATGTTGTACCTGTTGATAATCACCGATACAAACATCATAATTCTCAATGGATGATTACTGGTGCAGCTGAACCACATAGTAAGTTTACTGTCTTACATTTGAGTCAAACAAAACATTTATATATATATTTATATTTTGTTTTTATTAGTGCCAGGTCGTTTTTATCCTCATCCGGATAGTAATTCAACTGGAGCACAATTGATGAAACAACCATTGTCATTTAGTAAACTTAAATTAACGAATAATACAACGGATCAGAATGGACATGTTAGTTTGCATTTCTTTTCTTAATTTTTCTTAATTAAAAGACAACTTGTTTTATGCTTTTAGATTGTATTGAATTCAATGCATAAATATATTCCGCGTCTGCATATAATTCAAGCTGTTAGTTCATCAAATAATGATACAAAACTCTCTATGGGACCATTGGATAATGTGAATATATTCATATTTCCTGAAACCCAATTCATTGCCGTAACTGCTTATCAAAACGAAGATGTAAATAGTAGTTCTGCCATTTATTTTTTCTTCTTTTTTTTCTTTGTTTGAATAAAATATTCTTTATCTACATTTTAGGTCACTCGATTAAAAATCGATAATAATCCCGTAAGTAATACACAAAAAATAATAAAAGCAATAACATCAAAAATTTTATTTGTATTTTATTTATGATTATAGTTTGCTAAAGGTTTTCGTGAGAATAATGGGCACGCTAATAGAAAGTATGCATGCAATAAACTATAGGAGCAATTTAATGTATGCTTGTTTCTTTTTTCAAAAAATATTATAGAGATGTCAAATCAGTTAAACGACATATTGATGATGAGTATGATCGTAGACTTAAATGTAACGGTACGATTTAAATTAAATGAAACAATATATATTGATGTACTAATGTTTTGTTTCTTTTTAGATATATATGGAACACCGGAATCATCAAAACGATGTAAGTCTAGTTCTGGTGAAGAAGATCAAACGCCGCCTTCACGTGTCGTACCTACAAGTAGTACGATTGATGTTCCTGATTCAACAACTCCATTTACAGATGGCTATGAAAATCAATTTCATTTACATCAAAATCAATTATACGATCCAAATTTATATGCATCACCTTATTCACGATTTGCTCCAACTTATCCATTTACTTATTCAACAATGGCATCAATGGGACCTACGTCTTCAACTAATCCATTCACATTGGCAGCAGCTGCTGCAAGTCGGTATTCATCACCATATACATTTTCTGCACCATATTATCAACATTCGAATTGACCATAAGATTTTCATTTCATTTCTTATCTTTTCTTTCTGTTTTTTTTTAAATTTGTCTATAAAACATTTATCATAGTGTTTGTTGTTTTTTTCTTCTAAATACAAAAACATAAAAACAAATGTAATTATGAATCGTGTATTTGATTTAACTCGACTGAAATTTTATTTTTGACGTAAACCAACAAAAGAAAATGGTACAGTCGTTCTTCTATTGTTTATTAATTGAGTTTTCAAGATGATTACTATTCGTTTAATTCACCTATCAAGTTTTTCATTCAATAAGATGAGCAACACATTAATTCTGTTTAGTATAGAAATATTGATTCATCTAGATCATTTTGTTGCTTTGAAATTTCATTAGCATTGGCTATTTCAAAATATCCATAAAGCCAAAGTCAATGGAATTAATTTAAATTAATACATGATGCAATATATACGTATTAACGAGTTGGACAATCTGAGATCGCATTTATAGGCGATATTCAATGTCCATAATATGAAGCTAAGTACTTTCGACGATTGTATCAACATATTTAATTGGATAGCCAATTTCATAGTAATTACATTTATGAAGAGTCGTTTTTTGTTCTTCATTACGCATATCCATCAACATTTTTTCGTGTATCTTCTGATTATCTGATTTTCGTGATAGTCTTCAATTCTGGTTTTGCACTATTTGACTAAAATTTACTAGTTGCACGTTGTTAATTATACATGAAATCTTTAGCTGTATTGATAGTGTTTTTTGTAAAAAAAATGAGTACTGCAGATATACCTACATGATAACCATCGATTTTCAACAAATCAGAAAATGACTCATCAGCGAAGAAATTTTGTTGTTAACAGAGATAATCTTTCTTGTCCTAAAATATACCAGACACTTAAATGATTCAAGCTTTCTTTTTCTATGATGACTCAAACAAAAGAATTTCTACCAATACCTTTTAAGAAGATATTTATTATACGCTCTGAGACGAAAGATTGCTTCGAATTATTTGTTAGCTTTTTAAAATTTTCGGTTCTTTGCTGTCGTTCTTGAAATTGAGCATTTCATTCGCATAGCAGCTGACCACAGAAACAAAAGAGCATTTTGAAATAGATTTATGTTGCACACCATATTTTTATATTTATATGACTTTTTCATATCGATAATCAGTAGATGAAAAGTTCATTTAAAACTAATACATAAAAATAGCAAAGTTTTCATTTCATCGTTGAATTTGTGATCTTTTCTGATGGATTCATTCTTCACCAATGAAAATGTATTGACTAGTAGAACTATTTGTACAATAGTGCTGTTAAGTTTTATAATTATGAGCTGTTTCTTTCTCTAGAATAGACGTAGATATTACTAATACTACTGGGAGAAAATAAAAAAGATATCTCAATGAAATTTAGTCGTTTGGATAAAAATTTTAATTGATGTGTATGGAAACAAGAAAGTTTCTTCATGCTTATCAAATCTATTTCATACATAAAGTAAGTCGATAATAAAAGAGAGGCGTGTTATTATTGTCGTGGTTAATTCATGCGCGAAGGTAAAGGTCATTGCGTAGAATATTTCATGATAGAAACTATTCAGTTGATTGGTGATGGATATATTGCTGAAGTTATTACCAATCATTATTTTTGAATACAAGTTATAAGAGAACTTCAATAGAATTGATTTACTATTAGTACTGAGCAATTATAAATATATATCATTTGCAGGTTTTTAATATCTTCATACCGCGACAGCGATTTCTGTACAAATTTGATGATATGAAGGGCTTATATAAATACATCTATTTCTATTCGCAAATGAAATAGAATAGAAACAACTCATGAGATTCTGTTAATTCCTTCCAATAAGATTATAAATGATTTATTAGACAATAGGATTGATTTATTGTATGTTTCCCACATGAAATATTTAACTAATTACATCTTCTGAAGGAAAGGAAATTCATGATTTATATTTGTATGAAAAATATACTAAATTAGTTGATAGATATTTAGAAATATCTTTTATTCATATAAAATGTTGCATTTATGCGAAAAGTAGTACATAAGTATCAGGATAGTATATATCTATACTGTATGGATTAATGATCAAGTTAGTGAAATGACGAGAAAAAAAACTAATTGTCTTTTATTGTTTATCATTGCTTGTTTTTATTGTCTTAAATATGACGTGATAAACCAAAATTTTGGCCAGTTTGATTTGCACCTTTATTCATGCCTTCATTGAGTAAACCAATCATGCCTTGTCCAGCACGTAGTTGTTCTTCAGTGAATTCACGTTGATGTGAATCGGACATTTTAGGTCCAAGTGTGGGTCCATCGAATTTCTTTTTTTGTGCCTAATAGAAAAACATCAAAACCATTTGAATAGAATCGCTAACTAAATGTTTAACTTACATGTCGACCTAATGCATGAATGCATTGCGTTACTTGAGGAATATTGCGTTTTTCAAATAAATCTACGGTTTGAAAAAGTTCCGAATCCGGTAGACCATAAGCGCGTGCAGCAGTTTCTGTTCATTGACACAAAAAAGTCTTTCTATTGAATCAATTCGAGAAACGATATAATAACTTACGAAAAGCCGATACATTTTCACGTAATTTAAAACCTCCACCTGATGTACAAATCTTTGCAACTGAACCCGGTTGAAGTTTATTGATTAATCTATACTTTTTTTTAAAAATAGATAGATACAGATACAAAAGAAATCCTACTTGCACAAGAGAATACCATCTTTAAGTGCATCTTCATAAGAACATTTTGGAAATTTCTCTCCGATGACAGCTTCAATCCATTGTTGTGCTTCTTGATCTAAGTCTACACTACGTTTTCCAGCAATCTAAACGATGCAGATACATAAATGTCATTGCTAAAAAACAACAATTAGATAATACGATCGATAAATGAAAGAAAGAAGGAAAGAAAGAAAAAATTGATTACGATCCATATCGGAACTATTTGTTAGCATCTCAAGAGATTTGCTGGTTCATGGTACCATACTAAGAGAAACATAGTGTATGTTGTAGAAAAAGAAATATCTTATGAGTTCGGGTTACGACTGCAACTAATGGCGTATCTCGATCTTCTGTAATAAAAGAATTTTGCTACTATTTGGTTGTTTTTCCTGTTGGATAAAATGGAATAACTCAAATCAATGTTATAACTAGTTCAAAAAGAACTTATATACACATATTCCTACAGCGTAGAATATGCACAACAGAACTGTATACACATAAATGTATATCTATTGATGAATAGTCATGCTAAGATATTATTGATTATCTGTTGTTATTGAAAAATGGAAGAGCAAACTTTAAATGTTGCCGACAGACAATGTTTTTACCTTTGCTTGATTTTCAGCTAGAGATCCATATGAAGGTCCGTAATTGGCCATTTTTCCTTAGCTGCGATCTGTATACTAAGTAACACTAAGAGTGGTAGAGAAAAGAAGTAATACTAACGGGTACTGACAAATAATTATCTGGATATTGCCACGAAAGATATATCCAAAATGGGCGTAGACAAGAAAAGACAGAAAGAAAGAAACAAGGAACAAGAAAAAGCAAGAGAAAAAAAAACCAACAAGAACGATATGGGTTACTGACAAGAAATATAACATTCTTCTCTTGTTAAAACTCGATGTTTCTATAGTTGGAAAATGTGAGATGAGGTCATTTCCGAAAGAATAATAGGTTCAAGAATATATACATAATTTCACAAATAGTTGATAATAGATAAATGATTAATATGAAAATTACTTATGCTATGTCTCTTGTTTTAGAAAATATAATATAACTGTCCAAAGCAGACTGTCTCAAACGGAAATTCGTATATGTATACCATATGAAAATAATTAACACAATGATAAAAGTGAAATATATACGATATAGACTAGTGGTTGTGTTTATTTTTGTAGTAGAATAATAATTACTGCTTTATCAATTGATTGAATTAGTGCTGTCTAGATAAAAAAAAGATTCTAGTTGCTACTCAGCTTCAAGTGTTTAGATGAGAGTGGTCTGTCGTCAGATTTTTCTCAGTTGTGATCCACGCACTTTTAGTAATTATTTTGACGTTAAGTATGATCATGACAGTTACTTTCTATCACTTATACTTGTTCTATTTCATAATAAATCAGTTATTTATTCTTTTAGATTTCTTTTGATTGCGGTTTGCTCTAGTTATACGGAATGTGCTAGACTAACGGGAAATCAAGAGCAATGCAATAACATGATGTAGACTAGAAAAAAACAAATTGCAATGATTGTTTGGATGAATTATGATGGTATTGGTTGTTTTAGATATTTCTAATGATTTTCTAATTCAAAGAAGAACTGAACTGAATTGTAAATCAGTTAGACTGATATTTTTTGATCTCTTGACGAGGAACTTGTGAATATATTACGCTATAGAAAATGTGATTAGTATTTTTGACTTTGATTAAAAATAATTTTTATTAAAATATGAAATTCGTCGATGATCACAATTCATAGAATATCAGAATTAATAGCATCAAGTATTAAATAAAAAAACAAGGTTTCTCAATGAGAAATAAATCAGATCTTTTTTCGATCATATTACATGTTATGTCATTGATTATTATCATTGTCAGCAACCATAGTTGTTATAATAGCATGGCATACGTATAAACAGTAGTGGCAACTATTCTCATCTTTATGGGGTTTTTTTTTGACGGCATCTGTTTTCTTTTCTTCGACATATCCGAATAGTTTTGTCATACGGAAAATTGCTGTTGTATTTCCAGTAATATCTTATTGCATCTGGAAGATGCTAAAGTATGAAAGAATTGCTACTGTATTACATTCTACATAGTGACCTTTCTATCTGGTATAACAAAATCCATAGAGATTTCAATTCTTCTCGAATAACTATCTCTCAAGATAATTTATAAGACAACTATTTGCACAAGTTGATTGAAATAATTTTCGAATAATATCCTGCAATTATTTCTATGCATTTGAACAACAAATCGATGCTGTATTTTGTAATGATGACTGTATAGTTTTCAACCAATAGCCTATTCTCAGTTATTATATCTATAGATCTTCAAATTACAATCTATTATTTGATTTTAGAACTGTTCAAAAATACGTTGACCTATCTGATCATCACTTCAAACAACAAAATACATCGGTCTTCAAAGAGTTTGTCATAATCGATAACTATGATGATATATCACTCTGAAAATTTTCAAAAATAAAAATAAAAATATGAATACTAAAATTTTAAGCGAACTGAATACATTATTCATTTTATTATGTACAAATTTGGTGCAATAATATTTATGAAAAATAAATACAATTGCTAGGCAAGAATAAATCAGAGATGGTTCGCAATCATGTTGAATAGAATTAACAAAAGCTCAGGAACACTGACGCCACAAGCTGACACAGATGATTTTATGTAACGAAGCTAATTAAAACATTTGGTCATTCATTATCATTTTATGATTTATTATTTGTTTATTGATGCGTGATGTGATTGATCAATGAATGTTATGCATACTAGTGAGAAAATAAATAACAAAAGACTTACTGAATGTGCGCTTTTATGTATGATGATGTTAACTAAGAGTTGATTGAAGCAAAATAAACTTATGAAAGATTTTTCTGGCGTTGGTAGAGTTTTATTATGATATATTTCTAGAAAAGCGATCGACTTTTATCAATTTTAGGAGCAGTAAAAACCTGTTTCTATATCAATTATCGTATAGCTTAATAAAATCTATTTTGTGTTAGGGAAAACCACAGATCGAGTGCAACAATATTCAAAGTGTTAATTGCAGTTTATGATGAATTCATTTTGTGAAAGTCCGAGACAAAAAAGTTCCAAGAAGGCTATTTTTAAAAATACAACAAGATTATAATTTTGTAACAATTATAAAATTGAAGTCTAGATTTCTCTTTAAAAACCGTCTACATCATCTAAACTAGCTTGTCTGAAAATAAAGAGATTTCATTTATTGTAAGTTTTTGATGATTTCCGCCATTTTCTTCTCGATCAGCAATGCTTATCTCAGAATTCTAGAAGGAACTTCGATCTTAACCCATGGCTTTTTGTCTTACGAAAGAGCTTATAAAGCGATATGACTTGGCAATGTGTGTTATGAACTAAGAGTTTTTATGATACATAAATATGTATTTCTACAAATGTATGATCATCTGTTGACAGTTTGCGGAATCTTTTTAACTTATCGTTGTTTTTACCCCAAAAACAAAAGGTAAGTTTTCATTAAAAAAATAAATGTTATCAAGCATGATACAGTGACGTGCTCTTTCAACTTGTGAAACTGAGCAATTTTAACCCTGGTTTGAAGAATATCCGTGAAAATCGTTATGGATGAAAATTAATAATTTTAGAAAAATGTCTTCATTGCAATTCCAACATATTATTTTAGTTAATGAATTTCGTTGATTTTTTTTATAGAGTTAAAAATACATGCTATAGGCTGAAGACTACTTCCATTGATGGTTCGACTTTAGAATAAAAATTTAGACAAGGACATACGTTTTGTTAGCGCTATCTATCATAACTTTTTATCATGCAATAATTATATTATTAGTGAAATCAAAAATAACAATTAGAAATGCATGGATACGATAGTTGAATAAAACTCTCTATGCGAAAAAGAAACAAATTTATCTTCACTATTATTATAAGCCTTTTAAAATTATTTCGATTGTAAATATATTTGTAGTAGTTTATATGTGGTATGTTAAACCAAATTTTTAACCGCTTTGATTCACGTCTTTGTGCGTGCCTTCATGAAGTAATGGAAGGCCATTTTTTGCGGTATTCAATTGTTCATCACTGAATTCACGTGCATCGGCTTCGGACACTCTAGGACTGAGTGTTGAACCATTCGATTTCTGTTTTTGTACCTGAAAAAGAAAGCAATAGAATGTATACAATCATTTTTAAAAAATCGATGTCTTACAAGTCGACTAAGCACAAATAAGCATAGAGTTACTTGTGGAATATTGCGCTTCTCAAAAAGATCAATGGTTTGAAAGAGTTGAGCTTCTCCTAAACCATAAGCTCGAGCGGCATTTTCTATGTTGATTATTTTATTAAATAATAATAAATATAACGATAAAGCTTTTCTATTTTTGTGGAAACAATAACTCATTACTTACGAAAAAGGGCAATATTTTCCCGATATTGAAATGAGCCACCTGATGTCGCGTATTTTGGAATAGAATTTGGTTGAAGTTTATTCATTAATCTGTTAAATTTTCATTCAATTAAAAATATGCTCAATTCGATGAAAAATAAAACAAATAAAATTTAAATATACTTGCACAGAATGACACCATCCTTGATTGCATCTTCATAAGGAACATCAGGGAACTTCTCTTCGATTACGGTTTCGATCCATTGTTGTACTTGTAAATCAAGTGCTGGATCACGTTTGTCTGAGATCTAAACATTCAATATACTCTTTTATTAGTTAGCGAGAAATACAAGCAGACATAATGTATCACGAAAGATTAAAACAGCACACGGGAACGGCACGAGAAAACGAACAGTAGATACGAAAGGTATCGACAGTGAAGTTCTATATGTTCTTATATTCAATTTCTGATTGTTTTTAGATTTGCCTAATAATAAAATGAAATTTAAAATAATTTTTTTCACTTTTGCTTGATTGGCAGTTAGTGAGCTATATTTTTCAACTGTAGACAGATAATAGTAATAGGAAATTTTTCCGAAAAAATTACAAGCTATAAATACACAAAAGATGCTGCCCTTCAGAAGATAGATTATGACGAGGATATCAATTTTTTGTAAGATAAGATTCTGTTGAAAATTATTGATGAGATAAAAGGCTGACAGAATGAGTCTTTCAGTACTAAAACAAAGTAAATAATCTCTTTTCTCGGAACAAAAATCAACGAATCTATTATTTTGATATGTACTAATTCAAGCAGAGCAAAGTCCATACATTTCTCTCTGACTATACGCTGCGAGGTTATCTATTTTTTTTGTGCACTTAGAAAATATTCAAGTGCAAATACATCTATTAGAAACAAATAAGTACATTAATCGGCGTTATCTTTGGATAAAAATAGTTGACTTTTACTGGAATGAGCAAGTGTGCACATACGTATATATGCGTTTTGTATGTACACGACGATAAAATTAATTAAACTATGCTAATCTCAAATCTGAACAGAGTATCTCTATAAACATAGGCTTTCGTGTTTGAGTAGCTAACAACAGTGATTCTATTATCATCTTTTGGATGTAAATGATTTCGTTGGCCAGTTAAATATTTCTCTTTATAAATCCGTGATTAGAAACGTCTGAGTAAATATTGATTAATTATATGACGAAAAAAAATATATATTGAATTACCTTTTTCTTAAGAGCGATGTCCATCCCATAGGTTGGCATTATTATGTATCGAATAAAATATGGATATGAAAGTTGGTATGAATATTATTTATTTATGTTTAAATCGTTGGAAGGACGTTGTTTTATTTTTATCTACTGAATAAGAACATAATCAAAAAGAAAATGTAAGATAATACCACTTCCTTCCGCGAAAGATACAACTCACCAATGATTACTTTATAATAAATCATGCGAGTGAATGAAAGAAAAAATACGAAATATATTTTTTTCTATGATAAGCAGAACATAGCAGGTCATCGCTTATCGTGCAATCTGAAGTGGATAGAATGTGTATTTTTTGTACGTTGAAGACGACGAGAGAAATTTTTTTCTGGCAAAGAGATCAAGGGTTTAGAATGATCATTACCCCTCAACTCTGATAATTAAAATGATAAATCGGATACATAGAATAAATATTATCTTTTCTATTTTTCTAATTCTTTTAAATGATACGATAATCAAATATAACGCAACGAAGATATCTTCTTGAATGTCGCGAACATCTTTTGGTAATAAGATTCCAGTATTCTTTATCTACTCTATCTGGAAACTGACTTAATTTTCACAAAATATTTGTATTACTAATTACAGTGTAATACTAGACAATATCAACAAACTTTTCTAGTTCAAGTACTTACTGGAAATTGTTTTAGCGGCCACAGAAAATGTAGAAATAGTTACTTTCTCAATACCTCTGCACCCCATTGTACATAAAAATATTCTATCGTACTTCCTGTAGTAGTTCATCTAGACAAAGTATCTATGACAATAGCACTAATTGAATGTAACAAATGCTTCTCGCCTTTTTTTTATCTTTACAGGTTTTCGAGTAGTATTACTGCTGTATTCTGAAAATTAATTATTCATTATTCCTGTCGATCGCGATATCAAACACCGCTACATATCTATTTTGACACGAAGGAAGTCTGTTTTTTTGTGTTTCTCTATTGATCGCTCCGTAGTCCATTGCAAATGAGTTATCTTTTACAGGCGCTGTTACCTAGAAATCTAGTCATATTAATGATATTATTGGTCGTTGAAATCGATTTACAAAAATTAATTACTAGTGCAAATAATGATCGACATACGATCATAATTCGGAAATTTCAGTAAACAGATTGTAGTAATGGCGTTATAAGAAGAACAGATATTTGATATTTAACTTTGTCGAAGATATATTTGACGAAATTCTGAGAAATATTTCATAAAAAAGCCATTCAACAAATTTTCTACGACGAATTCTTCTAAGTTTATGCCTATGTTAGTCAACATTGAAAAAGATAAGCAAAAAAAAGGTTTGAAACGATCCGACCATTATTCGAACCATTCAAATGTATGAAATGTAACACTATGTTTGGATGTTAATAAGATTATTTTATTTAAATTATTAAAAAAAAAACAGTCAATAAAATTAGGGAAATGTTTTGTCCACGATTGGATTAAAACACATCTTATCATAATATACAAACTCAAAAACAAAATCTTATTAATAGAATAAGAACACAAATAAACGAAGAAATCGTAGAGAGAAAAAAATGAATTCTACCACTATGGTTCACTATCGTGCTATTCTCACTATAAACTTGTGTAACCGGTTCGCTCGATGATCGTTCAACAATAGCAATATCAGCACAATTATAAAATTCTTCTTGTTGATCAGCACAACCTAAACATTTTCTCCCTTGTTGATCTTTTCCCCACGTATTCCCGGCATGATATTTCCATTGAAGAACACAATGTTGACATGAAAGTATTTCTGAAGGTAATTCAACGGGTACATAAAAATATGATTTATTTCCATGAGGTAAATAATATCGAGTATCATCTCCGTTTGATTTCGAATCACTCGGTCCAATTTTCAAAAGATGTTGATCAAGACATTGTTGAGTTAAACGACGTGTTCGACGTGAATATCCCATATCAAGTGGGCATAAGCGAAATTCAAAGTATCCAAAATGATTAGCAGTGATGTCAATTGTTGTATTGATTGTTGTGCCTGCTTCATATGTACGCCCTATGATACCTGTTGCGTATATTCCACCATTCTCATGTTCGCGAGGACCTAGAAATTCGTCTAGACAAAAATAATGAGTAAGGATAGAATCTACCTTGAAATGGATCTCCGCAAACGCCACATCGACCATGTTGTACAGTCCATTGATTATCTTTTCCACCACAATAATTACTCATATCATTATAGTTAGGTGGTACATCGAATCCAAAACGCCACATTGAGCCTTCAAATGAAATTATAGATACACTTTGAATGGACCAGTACTAGTTCTATTTACCTCTTTGCGGTGGTTCGAGCATTCTACCATGTGAATTACAAAATTGAATTAATGAAAAGAAGATGAAACAATCAATAATAAATAATTGATTCCAAGCCAGTGAATATTTCATCATGACGGCATTCAGCTATTTGTATAGTACTCGATACATTCAATCTTGTTATAATTGTCTGGTTATAAAAAACGAAAGACGAAGTAAAAGATCGAAGTTAATCTTTATGTAAACAATTCATTAAAATACACACAAGTGTTGGACATCGATAAAAAGAACAAGCGACGAGTATACACGAAGCCTTTCTCTCTTACGTTGTTGTTCAGAGGCCATGGAGATTGAAACATGTTTTCATCAAACTATTATAATCCAATAAGTTTAGGAAGAATTTTTGGAAGAACAAGAGAACAACGAATGTCAATTGATTGAATTAAAATTGTCAGCATTCATGCATAAAGTTAACATTTGATATTTAAATGTTTACTATTGGGCAACTATTTTTTTGTGATTACAAATATGTCAGCATAATAAACAACAACAACTGATTTGAAGTGCACAATGAACTTTAACATACGGAAACTAGTCATGTACTTTGGAATTCTTTTTGTAGAATTCGATGACTGGAGCCGAACGTTTAGATAAAATCTAACGAAAATAAACGAATTAAAGAAAATTTTACAGAAAACAGTGGTCATCAAGTGCAAGCTCAAACCAAATTGTTTGGCCGATGTCCCATCATCGACAATAGTAACAGTCGATAGAGAATAAAAACCTACGTCCTATACAACCGATGAGAGATCTAGCACAGTTTCTATTCATGCTGAACACGAGTAAATCTATATTATAAGATTTACTCTCAGCTTTTTCCAGAAGTATCAACAGATCTCGAGATCTTTAATATACTAATAATAAGACAAAAGATAACAATTCTTTTGTGGTATATTGCATGTTTTTTTTTCAATTACTCAAGGTATTTTTCCGTTTTATATATCATTTTGATAATTACAATTTAAAAATCGACAAACACTTGAAATGATCAAGATGGTTTCATATTGTTTTCTCTTCTTTACGTGAAATCTCTAATTGACATTTTTCTTTCATCAATTCATTGACATAAGTTAGAACGTTTTTACTTTAAAAGACGGCAGCATTTTTTCTTTTCTTATGCAGCCTCGTCGTCATTTTGATATGTGAAGAAAAGATAACGACTGTACTTTATGGCTATGCTCGTGAATAATCATGCAGAAGTTTTCGTTCTTGAAGGAAAATTCAAGCAACATTATTTTTTCTTACCTCTTGCTCTCTTGATAGAAAGAGTTTATGCAAACATTCGTCATATCATTTTTTTATCAAGCACAGAAAAAGTATAAAGCTCGTTACTTCCAAGCAATTGCACGCATTAAAAATCGAACGACAACAACAACAACAACTACTGAAGTAATTTTTTGGTGAAATGTAAGCATTGCTATGTGCCACAGAAAGCTACATCAGTTTCAATTTGCCTCTACTACGTTCGAATCTCATTACTTGATTTGTATCGATCGATAGTTTAGCAAACTTGAGTATTCCAGGGAAAAGTAATACATGATAATAAATGGTTTATATGCAATATCAAACTATTTCAGTACAATGTGATTTATTTGAAAGCAAGACAAAGCATAGTATTGTTTAAATGCTTTTGAAGTATTTAAATTTAACAACTATGTAAAAGGATAAGTTCAAGCTAGAAAACGAAAATTTCATTTGATAGATATTGATCTTCAGTAATGCTCTTGGAGCTGAAAGTATTAGCGGTCCAACAGGGTTCACTTAAAGTACATACACACCCTTTTATAGGATGTATTTGTCAGACACTAGACAAACAATTCACTACTGAATATATTAACAGTCTGTCTATTTTAATCAGCTTATCTTGTTGGTTAGTGACTTGAAAATTAAGGGCATGAGCCTGTCTCAAATGAGCATCCCTTCATCGCCTGTTTAAGGTTCTAAATAGTGAATGAAATAGTCTACATCCATTTTTTTACTTAATCATTTCTACTGTGTTACTACTTCGATCATTCCTTGCAAAATTGAATGATATCGGTCATATAAATGAAATCTGTCAATCTCTTAATCTCAAATGATAAAATTTTTGATTGGAAAAAAGGTTTTTTTGCATTAATCTTAGAGAGATGACTTCACCAAATTATTGTTCGGCATGCTACGAGCGTGACGGCACTTGCTATTGCTCTGGATGCAAAGACTACTTTTGTGATGATGATTTTAAAAGTCATCGGGAAATGTTGATCAATAAACTAAATGAATTTACAGCAGATCGAAACGATCTTCAAAAAAATATAAATAAAGATAATTCAAATCAACGATCTGTTCTAGACATTACGGCAAAAATCGACGAATGGGAAGAAAGAACTATCGAGAAGGTGAAACAAGTTGCTGACTTGGCTAAAAAACAGGTTGTCAAAATCATAAATTCTAATCAAGAAGAAATTGCTATACGATTTCGCAATTTATCAAAAGAATTAGGCGACCGAAGGGTTAAGAAAAGTGTTCTTGAACACGATATAACCCGATTAAAACAAGAAATATATCAACTTAAGGAAGATGTAATTAGAATGACACAGACATCAACCATTGAACTGAATATGAAACAAAGTGATAAAATTGAGTGGAATCGGATGACATATGTCGAGGGAAAACCTATAACTCCTTGTAATCAATGGCACCAATTGAAACCAATCGGTAAGTATTTGAGTAGAAGTTGAAATAAAAGCTTTAAACCGAGTATGATTCTTGCGGACGAGCAAATTATGAGTCTGTTCCTATCTGATTAGAATAAGTTGAATGATCAGTTGGATAAAAACAAATACTGACTTATTTAACGTCGATAGGAAAGGATATCGTTAATCTAGCCAATATGATATGAGAATAATAGATTTCAGTTTCTTTCTTACTAACTAAATACATTCGGAACTAGTGTCTAAGACATCGAATTGCTATTCTCCTACTTACATATACATGTGATCCATTTTTATAAATGAACAAAGCATACATCGAGCATTCTAGCTTTCCACATTTTTATTCGCAACACTTTCATTGCATTTAAAATATCAGAAAAAGAATGTTTCGTGGTATAAGAAGATATGAATTGATAATTTTTCATTCAATTATCACATAATTTGTTAAGCGTTACGACAAAATGGCCAAAACGAAGTCACATACTTCACTGAGTCTGCGTATTGCTATATTTCTCTGTTGTAAAGTTGAAAACTAAATCACGATCAAGATCGATTATTGCCTTTCTCGCTAGTTTCAAGTTCATCCAATTTTAATAAGTAATAGCGAACTATTTTCTCCAAAGTCAACCATTTTCCCACTTTCCTATCAAATAAAACAGGAGCCAATCAGATGATACAAAAAAAGTTACATGGGCATAACAATATGATAAAACTTTTGGACTTTTTGCAACACACAATTCAAGTTTAAACTGTCAGTCTCGTTACTCTTTTTAAATTCTCATTGAGTTCGTATTTGCGTTCAAACTATTCGTACAAAAGTGAGATCAACCTTTTGACCAACTTCAATAAAATATACGATCTACCCTAGCAAACTTATTAGTTTCTTGAATGTAGGAGATTTTTGGCATACTGTTGCGTAAGATAGTCTAATATACGAATCGAGAAGCTCACTTGTTATGGCATTCTCACGAAACAAAAGTCATCTTCAGGCATACAACGTTTTTAATAAGCAATTGTTTCAGCCTCCGATACTTAAGATTTTAATATTGTTTCAACAGACTTTGAAACTTACTTGACCCAACAAAAGTTATAGCGCTATGCTTTTTCTCAGCCTACAAATCAGAAGAATTTTCATAGTACGAATTTCATTCAGTAACCTTCTAAAAAAGTTCTAAGAAAATGTTTCCGCAAAAGGTTTTGTACCAAACAAGTTGCACAATGCGTATATTTTTCGTAATGATGCATCTTTTTTTATTTATTTAAAAGGCGAACCGTTCACTACCAGCATTGTTCAGACGGAACTTTCCTGTAGAGGAAATGCTTGCCAAAAATGTTGAAACTGTTCGCGTTTTACGTACAATCTTCTGAGCTAGATACATCACTTCATAAGTCTCATTGTAAACCGAATAAGTCACTTAGTCTCTGGCAAATGTGCTAAAGAGTTTTCACGAAACATGAAATGCTCAAAACTTTTCCTCAACCGAAAACTATTGTTTCAACTGAATGAAATATTTCTATGATATAATGATCTTGACTATTCTACAATGACTAGTTTTCAGTACTAAACTCCTTTACCCAATGTATTGTGCAGTGCAGCCCAAGCATGAACATAATCATTGGCAAATGTATATAAAATGTCTACACTTCCTGTATTACCACTTTTCCGGATAGATTTCATCAAATCAGACTAGAGTAAAAGAACAGAACTATCGTGAGAAATATTGATTTATGATGTGATGTTAAATCATCTGATGAATCTCGATTTTTTTTTCTTAGAAATCAAATCAATAGGTGAAGGTATTCTTTTGGAAAACGCTATTCTTTTGATTCGTGGCAGTTAGAAATGGCTTATGTGATAATTTCAATGTGTAGGACATAATGAAGTTGAATTAAACAAGCGTACAATACATTCATCGGTTGCGAAGTTTTAATCAATCAAACAAAGTGAAAACCTCTATATTACAATCGGCGATGTCGTTGAATAAAATGCTCGTTCAAAACATTCTTTTATTAAATGATTTCGGATCCTTTTGCAAGAACCAAATATAGTTTCGGAAGAAAAAAAGTAACCGAACATAATGATGCTGACGCACATTCACTATCATTCTAATGTCTTATCTGATTCAAAACTTTCAATTATTTCTATGAAGATTATAATTTTTGAAAACTATAATGGTAGAAGAAGTTCTTGAATCACATAAACATTGAGCAATCGCTTTATTCATAATCTTTATTCACAACTAATCTGAATATAAAAATAAAGATCTGCTACATGTACTTCAAGAGACTATTTTGCTATGCACCAACGCAATGCAAATTTCTTTTCTTTTCTTTTCGTAGAAATGAAATCAATAGATGAACAGAACAATATTGAGAAGTGTTCATTTGTGACGTGATGTTGAATCATCTGAGGAATCTCGATTTCGTTTCTTAGTAACCAAATCAATGGGTGAACGAATTTATGATGAGAAATATTTATTTGTGACGTGATGCTAGATCACATGAAGAATCTCGATATCTTTTCAAAGAAATCAAATCAATAGACGAGCACAACTATACTAAGAAATATTTAGTTGTCATATGATATTGAATCATCGGATGAATCGATTTTTTTCCTAAGAATCAAATTAATAGGTGAACAGAACTATATTGAGAAATATTCGTTTGTGACGTGATGTTGGATGATCTGAGGAATCTCGATTTCGTTTCTTAGAAATCAAATCAATAGATGAATAGAATTATGCTGAGAAATATTCAACTATGACGTGATGTTCGAGTATCTGAGGAATCGAGATATGTTTTCTTAAGAATCCAATAAACAGGCGAACATAACTATCCTAAGAAATATTCATCTGTGATGTGATGTTGGATCCTCTCATAAATCGAGATATCCTTTCTTAAGAATTAAATCAATAAGTGAACAGAACTATCCTAAGATATATTCGGTTGTGATGTGAATTTGGATTATCTGATGAATATCAATGTCTATTTTAGAAATCAAATCAATAGGAGAACAGAAGTATTATCAGAAACATTTATGATGTAATGTTGGGTCATCTGATGAATCTCGGTTTCTTTTCTTAAAAACGAGCATAGCAGTTGTACGGATTGATTGGTATATTTTTGTTCGACTTTTTTTGTATTAATTTTGTTCAACAGTTCCTTCACTACTATGATGCTTAAAGGAATAAGTTAATGAATAGGATAATGCTGAAAGCTATTTTTAATGATAGCATCATGCATTTGCCTTCAATCTTTGCCAAGCAATTTTGTGTTTAGAAGCATATATGAATGAAACCATCATCAGAAAAGTTAGTTTACATGAGATCCTTGCGAAGCTAATAATTGGTGGGTGGTGAGTGGTTACAAAAGAAAATAGACGAATACAGGCGTTTATGTTCTTGCGAAGATTGAAGTTGAGCATAACCATGAAAACTGTTGGGTAAACTTTTGTTTTTGCTTTATGATATATTTTCTATTGATTTTAATAGAGTTCTATCGAAAGAATAATTGTTTAATTTTTTGCAATCGATATTTCATAGACAGGATTCGAAGTTGTTTATATTTTCATATTTTAAAAACAAAATCAAACTCTTCCTTCCTATTCTCATACATGCAATCGTTTCATATTGGCATATGTAAGAATATTTTTCAAAAATATATTTTTGTCCTCTTCCCATATGAATCATTGATTGATGTAGAATTGTCAATAATAAGAACAGATAAGATTTATATTTACCGTAAAACTCTTAACTTCACACAGGATAGGAGCAAAGTCCAATGCCACAGTTGTTTCCTATATGATAGGAGTTCCCTGTGTCCCAGTTAATGATAAAAGATAAAAAAATTGAATAGATTATCTGATTGCTTCGTACTGTGTAATTGTTGCGGAATTTATGTGCCTAATTTATTTTGTAAGTTGAAAAATTGTAATAGATACGTACTACATTCGGATAAGCTTTTGAGAGCCCTAAAACTGGCATTTGGTATACAATAGATCTTTGTCAGAACGATCAGAAACTCCAACAGACTGATTGAATGAATGTCGGTTCGAATTACATGAAATTTTACCATACTAGAAAATCAACGCTAGTATGAAATGGTAAGATGTCAGTTATTACAACACGGACGAGATATAATCACCTCACAGAAATAGAGATTGTTATTTTAGTATCAAAGATTTCTACCAAGATAATTAAAACCGATCGCGGTTAATTTCTGAATTGTGCATAGGCTACTATGATAAAGTAGTTTAATAGAACCATACGATCATATAGCTGATATGTGTTAATTGCAACTTTTATGTTTTGATATCCAGTTCAATCAAGTAATTATTGTAGCCACACTAGTGTGTGAATCTGACAAGCAATTTAAATAAATGATTATTTTGTCTGTTTTTTGGTTTGAGTCTAGCAAAGAGTTGATAGTCCATCTTTGTCCTAGAAAATTATTAAGATTACTCTGAGACATATTAAGTTAATTAATAAATAACAATTTTTTCTCGAATGAAAGTGTAGTTATTAAAAGAGTCATGGCCTTTCATTTTCATTTATGTAAGAAGCAGTAAGTAATAAGAAATGCGACATGAGTTATTTATTGAAAAAAAATTAAAATCATATTCTTAGCGAGTAAATCAACGCTAATAGAATGTTTTATTATGACTTTTTTCCAATATGTATTATTGAATAGAAAGATTGAGAAAAACATAATGTATCCAATAGATATTATTGTTGGACCGATCATTTATTCATCGCTTTTTTTTAAAGTACCTTCAAGTATGTTTTTTTACATTATTTCACAATTTCAGATGATTACCAAGTTTTACATTATCATAGGTAGGCCTTTAAGAAAATAATCTTTTACAAGCATTGATTGATAGAAATTATTTTAAATATCGAACACATAACAATGATTTACTTATAAAGAGAACGTTTGACTATTCAATTTTGAATACACCTTTTCAGTTATTAATGTCTAAGAATAGTTAGTACAATATCGGACTATTTCCATTTCTAATTCTTTCCGCGGTCTATGTTGGATCTAAAACAGACAAGTCGCGTTGCATAGAGAACTTCACCCTCTATCGAATAGCACCATTTCCAATGGGGTTCAATGAGTGAGATATAAGGTTCACTCAAGAATTGGGTGTACATATCGGTGTGAAGCAGCAGGAGATAATCTGCGATACTTTTCGTGACTAGTTGTAACTGTTGTGCGCATTGTAATTTCATTCAGGACATGAAATATGCTGACACACACTCAAATCCAAATGTATATTCACGCCCTTCTATTCAGATTGAAACCGTATAGTGTGAATGTACAAATAAGAAAAATTAGTTTCTATTAATCATTGAATCCTCTTTGTAATGGTTTTCGGAATTTTTAAACAATAAAGCTTTATCCCGATTCATCTATTAACAGCTGTTAACAAATTTCAAGTGGATGAATAGGAAATTATAGTTCTGAAATGTCACTCGTCATGCTCAACTGATCAGTGATCGCCGACCTTTAGCTTAGTTTCTTTCCATTAATGGTAACATATTTATATTATAGGATTTTGTAGAAAAATCAGAGCCATTCCCGGAGCTACTCATTCAACAAGCACAACTACACCCACGCCCTAACCAAAAAAGAAACAGCGTCGTATAAGAATTTCTATTGTGGTAAGCAAATACATAAGAAGAAATTAAGCATTCAGAAGTGAATTCAGAATGCAGCTTTTCAAGGGTAACCATTATAGGCAATGCCAAATAAGCACTCAATGTAAAGAGCAATTTTGCCCCTGGTGTGATATTTCAATAGTTCCTGTGGTTAGGGAGTATAAAGATCGAATTCAATTCACATAAAATAGGACAGCTCTCATATACAGAAAATGCAATTGTATAATTACGATAAACATAATTTTTTAAATGTTAAATGAACGTGTCTAATAATTTTAGCTTTCAAAATGTTCAAATTCATTTGCTAACGAATAAATTGATTTCGAGTGTTTTGTTACAAAGCTAAATGAGTTTTCAAGTATAAACGAACTGTGTTTAAACTAACATATTACTTGGCAACTATATATTCCTCATAGGCAAATATTTGCAATAAACTAATTGATTTAGCCGCCCGAGACAATGATTTGCAGCCAATCAAAGAACGGAGAGAAAGTATTTTATGACTTTCAAACCATTGACGACAATATATTTGATTGAAGGAACTGAGACGCATCAGACAAACGAAGTTGATTAAACAGTATGGAATCAAGAAAATATTTTTTAAAACTGGATTAACTAGGTATGTCTCATAATCCTTCATACGCATCAAATGACTTTCCTTTTCAAAATCAAAATTATCAGAACTTGATCCATAGCATAATATTCTTGCAAAATGCTAATTGCTTTTTTAATTTTAATCTAATGTCCATGTATTTTTTGTATCATACAATTTTCTTGTCTATTGAAAAGAAAAAATGTTTGTTCACATGTATTGATCGCAATGAAGGACTTTATGCACTTTAAAGTGTTATTGAAACAAAAAAAACAACGATTGAACACTATCGTGAAAGATATTAAAGTAAAAGCGAAGCTAAAATTGCTATGGATGTCGATGATGGTGAAATAGGGAATGTAAAATAGAAACGTCCTATAAACATTTTCATGTGTATATAAATGAGTGATTTTTATAAAAATAAAAAAGGAATTAAAGCTCATTGTAAAGAAAAATTGTAAAAGGGCTCTGGATGATCATAAAGATAAAGTTCAATGTTGAAAAAAAAATATATATTATCTATTAAAATGACAACAAAAATTATATTTTGTTGTTGAAGTATTTCAATAATAACTTGATGATACAAGCGAAGGTTTACGAACAATAGATAATGCTTTAATGTACGATAGTTTTTCTTCATCGTCAATAAATGAACGATGCAGATAAGATTCAAGACGATAAAGAAATTGTTTTATTATTGGATTTGTCAATTGATTATTTTCATTATCATTTAATTGTATCCATGCGACTTTTTCTCGATCTGATGAAGCAAGCATTAAAAGGCTCACTTCGATAAGACGAGCAAGATTTTGAACAGAATTATTAAGAGTCGATAAACGTTCTTCGGTAAGACAAGCTCGTTGTTCGATAAGATCGCACTGGGCTGTACCACGCCGAAGACGTTCAGTAAGACGATCGATTTTGACTCCAAATTCGGCCATTGAATGAGGATTGGTGCGTTTCTATCAATGAATGATTATTTATTGTCTCGAGTAGTATAGTAGATTTGATGCACCACGACTGATCACAGAAGAACAAAGTCAATGGCAAGATCATGCAATACAACGATGGTCGTAGCCGTTGTGCGATGAAAAAACAGAATAGAAGGAAAAAAAGATGGACAGCTTGCTGTCAATGTCTACTACGCTCTTTTTTTCTCAATAGGAAACATCACTATCATCCACAATGACATGCAGATTTTATTTGTAGAAGTGCGTGGGCTAGAAAATATGACTAAATCAATCAATAGTTGCAGCACATCGACAGATTAGTTGAACCAAGACAATTCTCCACGGAGAAATGCAGAAAAAAAAGAATTTCTCGTCATCTTTATGTACTTGATTGGTATATGTATGAATTTATATGACTCGTTCTTTTATATTACGCACGCAGAAAATTAATGTAAAAATCTCTCATTTCAAATTTATGTCTTGTTCTATAAATGCTACAAATTCATCTTGCATAATAATGAAATTGATGTCCTTCTTGTTTTAAGTGATGTAAAATATACAATCACCAGCTCAAAATAAATATTTTATTTCTGACTTAGCATGTTCAGTAAAATCGTGTACGTGTTTTTTTCTTTTCTTTTTTGTATCATTGCTATGATGTCATAAAGTATGGTACATACAACTTGGTTAAGGGATATAATTAGATGACTTCACATGTATTGCTACACATTTAATTCGTTTCGTTGACGCTCTATTATCTTATCTTGAAAGATTAATAGCGTAGTTGCATTGAGTGTATGCACATATATTACACAATCTTTCATGTCATGTTTTTGGTCGAGTCATATCATTGACTTGATAGATTTTGCCTGTTAATCGTTTGTTGCAATGGATATCAATGAATAACTTGTTTTGCATATTAACAGTGTCATATTGTATTCACTGAACGATTGATTTGTAATATATAGTAACATGATATATGAGAAACTAACTAGCGTGTACAAAATATTTATTTAAAATAAGGATTAGATGTGAGATGTGATCAAGCAAAATATTACATAAGGATAAACATAGATTTGTTGTAGTGCTCAATCATAAATCATCATTTATCGAGAAGATTATATAGAATTTAGTATTTTCATTCAGAATATACTTTGTTTATTAGCTACGAAAAAGTCATTTAGCCAGAGAAATGCTTTAGTCAATCTTTCATATACATATATATATATATATATATATATTAGTAAAATAATATTTTAATTCGATTCTTCATTTCATATAAAATGATTGCCAAGATTTGAATAGATTCTCACAAAAAATGTTTTATCTGGCTTGTAATTTCAATTATTTAAAATATAGCAAATGTTTTTATGAATATTTTTTATCAATAAATATACATATCTTTTACTAATCATTTTGAAATGAACAATTACGATTTACAAAAAGCTCTTTATAATATTAGATTATCTTTGCATCCTTGATTTCTTTGAATAACGCATATTACTTCCCGATATGCCTTTAACATTAATGAGTGGTTTTAATCGGTGAACAATTTTCACCAATGAGTCTTGATTAGTCATTACTGTTGTCAAATCCTAAAATTAGATAATGAAATCAATTGATTAGTACCATTTCGTCTTTATTTACTTTATATGCTTGTGGTGCTTCATCTCTGAATGCTGCATTGGTATCACTAACAATACCGTCCATGGCTTGTTCAAATGATTGCTGAGATATATTTTTCATTGCCTATAAAGAAAACCTTTGTCGAAAAAAACCAACTTCAATTGTACAAAGAAAATGTTAACCATCGTTCTTGACATAATTCTTCCAGCACCATGAGAACATGAATAAAACGATAACGGATTTCCTAAACCTTCAACAATAAATGAACCAGTACCCATGGAACCAGGAATTATACCAAATTGACCTTTTCGCGCACTCGTGGCACCTTTTCTTGTTATCCAAACTAATTCGTTCTGAGAGTTGTTAAAAGAAATATTTTCTTGTTGACAATAATTATGGTGAATATTAACCATACGTGTAAGATCTGCTTCATATTCAGTGACTGATTTAACAATTGCACTAAGTTCATCTAACATAATACGACGATTTTGTTCAGCATAATTTAAACACCATCGCATATCTTTTAAATAATCTTGACCTTCGTCCGAATCAATATCTAAATATTTTAATTCATTAACAATAGGTAAACCACGTTGGGACATTTGACGACCAGCTAAACTATGATAATGATCACATGTCTCTTTACCAATTCGTCGTGAACCACTAAAAGTAATTATCAAATTTATTTTTATTATATTAATAATATTTTTTGCCTATGTAACATAATCCAAACTTGTTCGTTTTCATCATGAAGTATTTCAATAAAATGATTTCCTGATCCAAGTGTACCTAACTGATAGAAAAATAAATAAAAATCGATCACATTTCTAATCTTAAATTTAATATTGATACTTGTTTTTTAGTTATATCAGATATTTCATTTTCTAAATAATGTGTACATTCACCTAAATTACGAATAATTCGATCGGATCTTTTATGTGCTTTAACTCTTGCGTCATGTCCTGTTGGTATGGCTGTTTTAATCTGTTGTTGAATTTCTCGTTTCCATCTCTCCTGAAAATTATTTAATAGTAAACCATCAATTGGCGTAGCAATCATTCCACAGCCAATATCAGCACCCACAGCATATGGACTTACATGAGTCATAGAAGCAAAGACACTTCCAATAGTAGCACCAACACCTAGAAGAAAACAATTTTTTATTGAACATACGATGTCCCAATAAATGATCCTACAGATTTAAATAGTATGATTGAATTAACAAAAACTTCATTTCAAAAAGAACATCAAGTAAATTAATCTTACACGCCTGGAACATCTAGCTTTCTACGATATTTTTGATTGAATTATATTAGGTCACATTTTGTAGAGAATAAGATGCTCTTTTTGTCTCGGAAATGTATAACACATTGATTTTGATTTTTTTGAATTCCTTATGTAGATTAAACAGAATAGAAAAATGAACTTAAAAACTATCTAATCAATTTTTTGAGTTGTTGTATGATTGAATCTGTCTTACCAACATGAACGTCAGCCATAGCAGCTACAAAACCTTTAGCGATACCACTTTCAGCTAAATTAACTAATTGTTTTAATGCTTGAGATTCAAGTTCACGTGTATAAAGATGAATCGGTACCCCTGTTGTTTGAATAATAATAGGTAATGATTTCGATGAATCGGCGATGATACACTGAGTATTTGGATCGTTTACTACTACTCGATTGACGAAATTTGAAATGTCACAATGATGAGTTAAAGGAGAAAATGATCGAGTAATAAAACGATTTAACATTTTTGTTTTTCTAGAGTATTATTGTACAAAATTTATTGATCGATATGTGTATAATAGATAATTTAAAAACATACGGGTAACAAAACCTTTATTAGATTAAGCATAAAATATGAAAAAACGAAAGTCTATTGAAAAGTATTAGTAATTATTCATCATCTTCTGTTTCGCTATTTGAATATTTTTCGGAGATTTTATTATAGATTGCATCAATTTTAGCTTCATCATCCTCTTCATCTGCATTTTCTGTTGGTGGTCGTTCCATGTCGTCATCTTCACCTAATGCTGCTGACTTTTCCACATTTTCATTCATAAGTTCTATTTTTTCCTCGTCATCTTCTTCATATAGTGTTGCTGGTTTTTCTTTGTTTTCACTTTGATTGATTTCAGTTGGTTTTTCTTCGTCGTCATTTTCATTTAATGTTGTTAGATCCTGTTCATCTTCATTTTGATTCATGGTTATTATTTTTTCCTCGTTTTCATCGTCATTTGATACCCGTAGTTCTTCAAATTCTTGTTCCTCATTATTTTCTCCCGTTTCCTTTGAATCTTTCTTTTCCTCTGATGCTTCTTCATCTTTTACATTACATTCGTCAAGTTGAGTATCTTGAGTTCCGATAAATGATTTATAATACGAACATAACCATGTTTTACCATTGAGAGCAAAAGTACATTTAATATTCAGACCATTGACTACTTGTTGTTTACAAACTAAATCAGAAACTTGTGACTTGATATCATCAGTAACTTCTCCATCATGAATTTTGTAAAGAGCTTTATCTAACCATTCACGATTAAGAGATTCATTTTCAGATGTACTCCAACCACCTAATAATCGTTCACAATAACAATAACTTGAAAATAGAGCAAAGCAAATGATGAAATATTTCATCTTATCTAAAATAAAAGTTGAACAAATTTTATTTGTGCTTTTTTATACAAACGATGATACGGATTTGGCTTTAATCATAAAAAACAAGAGTAAATAATGACACCTAAGACAACACAGAAAGGTTTCATTTTGTGCTACGAAGAGAAAAAAAAGAGTGAAATTCTATATTGCATTACATACATCGATCACCGTAATCTGTTGTGTTCGATGCGCAAATTGAAAGAAAAAACATGATCGCCATTCCTATATGCACACATATATACTGATGAGATTACAAAATGATAAAAAGAAATCGAATTCTAAAATTAAGAAAAAGAAAAAGAAAGTCTTTCAAGTGTTTTCTAACAATAATAGAAATATCTGTTGCATAGTTACATTAACTTGAGTTGTGTTTGTTTTTATTTTTTTATCTTAAATAGCTATGAATTAACCCTTTCCGGCCCGATGTTGCCATATGGCAACATTTTCCCCTAGGGTGGTACGGCAATTTCCAAACAGCGGGCCGGAAAGGGTTAAAGAAGATCACTGATCTGGGCTGCGATTCGACCTATATTTCCTATATTTTCAAAAACATTCTATTTTTGTCCTGTATTTTCCTAAAAATTCTTATTTTTCCTGTATTTTATCAAAAAAAGTAGAAATTTTTCGAAAATCTCTTCATTTTGCTATTGTTTTTAGACGAAAAACAAACTTTTAATGTGTATAATCATGTGTTTTGGACAAATCCTTGTATTATAGTGACATTTGTTTTAAACAGAATTTTTCCTTTCGCCTATTTAGTGGACTGACTGAGAAATTGTTTAATACTAAGACTAAGAACAAAATACAAAATAGTTCAAAAGAAAAAAACATTCACAAAGTGATCATGTACTAGTTTCGGAGTTTTAGTTAGATATAAAAGCTGTATATATATATATACCCCTGGAAGAAAACGCTTCACTCTGTATTTTGAGGATATTGTTACTAAAAGAAAATATTTTCTAAAAAATGACAACATATTCTGAAAGCCTGTGAAATTTTACACCATCCTATGTACATGCATTTTCATTTACATTTATTTATTACCAGAAAAATCTGAGTTCTGATAGAATACAAAATAAACTCGTGGAAAATAATAAGCGATGAATGCTGATTATCAGAACAATAAAATTAGGTTGAGATGTTTTGGGAAGTCATGTCCGTAATCCGAAATGTCTCCTTTAATTACGAGAAATAGTATGTTTTTTCAAAGCTTATGATCTACTTTATTGTTATTTATCGATTTGTGAAAATTTTTTATAATGATCCTCGAATTGACGACTTATTACAGTAGAAAAAATTACATAAGGATCTTTGCTACGGTTGAACTGTTTATAACAGCTTCATTACAACGATTTTCAAGCAAAGCACTTCAAAAACACCAAAACAATTGAAAAGAAACGGTATATAAAACTTCCTCTCTTTTTGTCTTTTTTTTATCGAAAATCCTATATTTTTGACAACCTTGATCCTCCAAGGATTTCTATATTTTTAAAAAAAGTGCAATTGGAGGCCAGCCACTGATAGATATAAGATTAACAACAATTACCTGTACGTATAGTAAATCTAACTAAATACTATTTACCAAGATAAATTAGAACTTAATGAATGATTGCTAAGATATGTTCATAATACTTACAATCAGTTTTGTTTATTTACATGCAAATAATTTTTAATTAATCTATGGTTTAAATCGACCGTACTCATCGTTTTTATTTACCTGATCAGAAAAGTTTACCATAGACAAGCGTGACTTGTTATTTTGTTTTTATCATTATTAATAATCTTACATTATTTTATTTTTGTCATCGTTATTGCTATTTGCTTTCTTATTGGCTAATTGTATGATCCAATCCAATATTTCAATGGATACCCTATGGATAATAATCGCGCGCTAGTACTCTGCTCTTATAATGTAGTATCAATAATTACTAAAGAAATATTAATCATTTTACTACGTAAATAATATATTTTATTCCAATATTAAACTCAAAATTTTCAGCACGTATAAAATATGGTGATTTAAAAAAAAGATGAGAAGGATTTTGTCACTGACACAGTAATAGGAAGAAGAAAAATATTTCACAAATAAAGAAAAAAAATACACATAAAATACAATATATACGTATAAAAGAGACATCGCAATTCTTATCGAATTAACAACTATTTAAAAGATGAAACTTTTTCCATTACTTTTCCCATTGCTCCTTGAGCAAACGATGGTATTGTTAATGCTAATAATATGTAAACAAGTTGTTCCAAGAACTCATACCAAACACTCGACTCATTCCATATTTGTAACATATTCAGTATAATATTTTTAGCATCATCAAATTTTATATTACCTTGAAGAACATCTAAACAAATAAATATAAAGGTAGAAGTATTATTTCATGTGAAATTCAATAGACAACATACTAGTAATAAGACCGACAGCAAGACTGGGTGCAACTGCTCTCGATATGCCAACTGCTCCGTGTCTTTTGAATGATAATAATAGCGGAGATAATTGAGCTGATAATATTTGAATTTTTTCGATAGTAGCCTTAACAAAAATAAAATGTTAATAGAAATTTATAAAACTTACATGAAGAATATTTACTTGGTTTTTTTCTTGACACTCAGTATAACGTGTTTGAATAGTAGCAAACATAGCAATAATTCTAGTCCTATTCATAGAACTAGATTTATTATTAATCTCAAAATCTTGAACTTACGTCATATCGGATTCATTTGTTGGTTGTAATGCTTTTGTCATACCTGTATGAGTTTTTTCCAATTGAGTATCACTATAACTAGAACACCGAATATTCGATTCTTTTTTTTTTACGTTCAATAAATTACTTTTTATTAATCTTACTTGAGTGTTTTCTGACTAATTTTATTCTCTAGTGCAATAATTTCTTCAATTTGCAAAATATATGCTATTTCACTATCTACTTCAAAGTCTTGTGTACATTTTTGATTTTCATTCTAAAATAATAAATATCGTTTATATAAAAACAATCATTCATATGTACTGAAGTCGATGATGTATGATCTTTTATTTGTTGTTGATAATTGTTCGTAAAATGTACCGGTGAATCCTTCCAATATGATTTTAATGATCTTGGTGGATCTGAATTATATGAAGCTGATTCAAAACTTTAAATTTAAGAAAAATAAATAAAAGCAAAAAAAAAATAAGAAAATTCAAACTGACTTATATTCGTCAGTTAAAATCTGAGCGATCGTAGCATCATTTTCTGTTTCATTCGTGGCCATTATATAATTTTGAACCGTATGAAATAGATCAATGCTTTACCATTTCATTTGTCGAGTGTTTTGAATCTAGTGGATGTTGGAATTTTTTTCTTCCATTTAACTATTGACACGACGAACGGTGCATTTGTTTATTCCTCTTCTCTTTCTGATCCAACACGTGATGAAAAATTTGGTTGGCCGCCATAATGTCGAAAGAAAAAATGTCGAAAGAAAAAAATATCGCAAGGAAAATGTTGAAAAAATTATATTGGCACGAAACATTGCCAGTTAATTGTATGAAATTAAGTTGAAATGTTAGTACTGAGAAAAATATAAAAAAGAATTAAGAAAAGTATGTTATTTTTTCATGAACTTCATGAACCTCAAGTTTTTCTTTTTCTGGAAGATGATTATGATCGCCAATAGTTTTTATCAATTGATTATTTGAATCAGTATGCACTTTAGCTGCACAACCAGTAATAGTGCACATCCAATACTTAGTAGTTGTCATTGCTTTATTTAATTTAAAAGTATATTCATCGGCAACTAGTAGAGATTTTCCTTTATTTGAATTTACAAATGAAATAGCTGGAGATTTTGCTTGGATTTCACCAGTTAAAATTACGAAAGCTTCAGCGATGACAATACAACTTTAGTTATATAATAATTCTTTGCTCAAATCTTTTATTTTATCTGTATCAATAGTTAGTCATCCCTATCAATACTGGCTAAAATTCTACACTAGTAAAATTATCAGAAAAAACAATGAACTATATATGTGATTAGAATCGCTATATACTGGAGACATCACTGTTTTTTAATTTTCACTTTCGACATTTTTCCAGCACACCAAAAATTTCAGCATTTTGACCGTTGTTGAAACTCCTCTTTTCTACTAGGATAATTGAGGGTAAATAGAAAATACACCTTAACATAACGTTCATAGTTTTTCTTATTTTTCATGTTTTTTAAAAGTTTTCTTCACAAGATATTTAGTAGGAGTCATAACCTATTTTTCGAGCCTACTCTACGTGATTGATTAATATTTTACATTTTTTCTGTGACTTTTCTGTGCCAATCGGCAGTTTTAAGTCTTCTCTATCACTTAAAACTATGATCATATTTGAAGAGAAAAATCTTTTTTGTTTTTAAACATTACAAAAAATAACTCTTGAAATATGATTCATATAGATTCACCTTGTATGGATTAATCGTGTAAGCATGGATTAGGTTTGTGAAGCAACCGTCAATATGATCTCAGTAGTAACATTGTTCAGAATAATATACCATCACTTTACAAAATATTATAAGCACGATATACATTGCTTTTGAATGTTTTCAAATGATTCCTCGTATCCCAAATGATTGAAATAGGATAAATCTGAGCATCAAAAATCATCTAGGACAGACGGTGTTCTTCTATCAGGAGTTGATTATTTTTCTGAAGTTGTTTAGTAAAAAAGCAGCAGCGAACTGTTGCATTCGACTGAACATGCATCGAAATCATAAAAAGTATTATTTTAATGTGTCAAGTGACTTTCGTAATCGTTTTCTTTTTTGAAAGTTGAAAGATTTTACTTCAAACGATTCTCTACAATAATCACTATGATTATCAAAATAAGAATTAGTAAATATAACTTCATATCTCTGAAGTACTGTCAATTTTCAGGTAAACATATGCACGTCTTTTAAATTTTCAGTTCGTGTCTATCATCTCGTGATCTAGACAGTTGAATTTTGTTTTTGTGAAAAAAAACACAGCACATATAAATACAAACAAACAATTAATCACAGGGTCTGAACAAAAATGAAGTCAACAATTAAAAATTAATAATAAGTGTGATTTTTATTTAAATCGGTGATGTTTCTTCAATAAATTTCATGTGATTATTTGAATCTTCACTATTATTATCGGCTTTTGTCATTAACATTGGTTGATGTTCAAAAAACCGATTATCATTTCGTTGATAATATGTTCGATGATAACATGAACATTGATGTTGACACGTTGGATTTGTAGATAAAGGTAAATAATACGGTCGAGTTAGATTCGATCGAGGACATAATGATGATGAACTTGATGAAGATGATGATGTTGGATGATAATTTGAACATTGACGACAATAGATAAGACAATAGTAATGTAATGATTCAGATAGCGAATCATCACATTTGATTTGTTCATATTCATGAGGAGCATCACACGTTAAAAGAGGTTCAATAACACCGTTTATAAATCGATATTCATTAGGTGGTGTACTAGATGTTTGATCACTACTGCAGCTATCACTTAATAGTGGAATGAATTTCTAAAATTGAAATAAAAGAAAAACAAATTATTTGAACGAAAACAAAACGAATCATTAAATCTATTTTGTTTCTTTTCTCTTCTCTTCTCGTTTATCTCGCCATTGGCATTATTAATTCAAAAGTTGGTCAGTTGTTCAAATTGTTTGAACGTCTGTCTGTCTATCCGATTACCCTTGCATGATAGATTCACAAAGATTCACACCCCTTTCGTATGATAAGAAAGCATTACATATGCTTTTTTTTCTGCTGGTCAATTCAATGTCATCAAAAAGGCTTACTGTTCGATTTGGATGAAGATGATGATGATGAAGGTGTTGGTGGTGGCTATCACTATTATTATATTGATGATGTCTATTAAATTTGACGGATGAAGAAGTGACCTTCATTGCATTATCAAATTTTATTTTATGCTGATGTTGTCGTCGTCGTTTGATAAGTCGTTTTCTATAGTACCAAAAAATGAAAAGAAAACATATGATAAAATGAAAATGAAAATAAAAACAAGAACATATTTTCGATGAATGTTAACTACATAACAATAATACTGTTGTTCTCATCATTTATCGATAACAAGCATGTTATCATACGTATATATCTCATATGTTTATTCAGCACGTATGTTCATACACGCGTATAGGACAAATTGGATCAATATTTTGCCATCGTCTATGCTATTCGAATAAACAATGTGTACGTGCTATGCAGAAGAATAAATCATGACTTTCAATATCCTGCTGAGAAAGACAAATGAGTGCGTGTGTGCATCTAGATGATTATTTCACTATAAAGATGAGTGTCATTTGTTCATTATGGAAATCAAATCACGTATTTTGACACCTGAGAGACTCTAATGAATGATTTGAGAATAAGAAAAGTTTACTTACTTGATTAGAACAATAGTACTAAACGTGATAAGAAAAGCTATTATGATTCCCAAAGCGATCGATATAGACGATGATGAAGTGCTTTTCTTATTTTCAATTAATGAGGGTGATAATAAATGTGATGAACACCGAACTTCAATTGATAATATATTTGGTGGAGGACCGATAGTAAACATTGGAGGTGGAGGAGGTAATTTGGAACAACGTTGACATGCGTAGCCACTGGCCATCTGTATAGGGTCACTTGCATCGATCTACTAAGTAAAAGACATTGAGAAGAGTGATGATGAAGTAGTAGTACGAATAGTAGAAAATTGCTTGTTCTCTTTCTTTATGATTTAGACGCAACTGCTGGCTATTGAAAGTTCATTTTCTTGAAGAACAGACATAACATACTCACTTACTCTCTCTCTCTCTCTCTCTCTCTCTCTCTCTCTCTCTGCTTGCTTCATTTTTTCCTTTTTAGAGTCTACAATAACACCATGGAGTATATCATTTTGATCGATTTTAATTGCAAGTTGGTGCGAAGCAAACGCAAGCCATGATTATTGTATACGCTAGTCTTTATGTATATACATGTGTCATGTAATCTTTCAAACTTGTGTATAACTTATGTCATCAATTTTATTTATATATATACATATAGTCATAGGTAGTCCGAGAACACGTAAAGAAATTGTAGGTTAGATAAAGTGCGTCAGTCTGATTGATGAATATTTTTTTATTATTTCGTCTTCTTTTTTAAATAACAATAACAAGAATAGAGTAACTAACACGGTAAAGATCAAAGACAGTAAAACTTACCGATAAATATGGAAGGCATCAGATCGCGAGACAACAATTAATTCAGGAATTTTATGAGATTTTTCTTGCGTCAAGTCATATAAAATGCACGAGAAGAGGACACAATATGTTCGATTATCTTGTGCTAGGTTCAATCAGACCAGATTGTAGACTGATTGGATAGGAGAGAAGGAGAAAAAAGTGGACACTCGCGATATGTATGTAGAAGCATAGGGAAAGGAAGGAGAAGAAGACGTATAATCGATCTGAAATGTCGAGACAATTCATAATCCTGTCAACACAACAAGGAAAATGAACTATTTCATTGACTAGTAGACCGTTCAATGTAAAAATAGACATATCGTTTATATATATATATTGTGATTTTATAATCATTTGAAAAGCGATAATCCGATTAATACTAATAGAATATAAACTACAAAGTCAGCTTTTGGCAATAGTCCTTTTTTTGAGTCAGTTTATGCGTGTATTGTTGATCTGTACCGGAAACAGACTTTGACCTAAAAGCTGCCATATACAATCAATGTGCAGACGCGGACAATTTTGATACTAATTGTCGCGTGCCCGGATATCTGTCTGTAGCTTTCTTGCTGAACTTTCCTTTTAATTCCTTTTGTTTTTCTTCATTCTTTTCTTGCTTTTTGATGATGATGTCGGTAATGTTTTGCTGGTGTATACTGACAAATTCAAGATGACTCGATATCATGTTCTTGTATATCCAGCAACAAAACAAACAAATAGTAGAATGCCATGATGATCACAAGCATTCATAAAGCAGACAGGAACGATTAAAATAGATGATGCTAATTGAATATTTATCATGATTAACGAGCAACGAAAAAAACAAGAAGCCTTGATGAGAAATATAGGATAGGTACCTTCTTGAGAGTAGTGCTAGTAATGGTATATATATATATATATACCCAAGACTAAGAAGAGCAGACACAAGTGTTTGCCCCCTGGCGAGTAGAATGAAGAGAAAATATGATTAAGCATTTTTCATAGTATGACAACAGTCTTTCTAATCAACGAGACAACTAATTCCATCGAATAGATGACAAACCAATGAAGTCTATTCGATGCTAGCAGGTGTCATTTACTTAAAAATTACGTCAAGAAAACTTACCAATCATAAAATATTATTTGTAATTGAATAAACAAATGCGAAGAACAAATTATAACTTATTTTAGTTTTCCATACACATGCATATGCAGATGAATGTTGATTGAATGTTCACACCATGGAAATACTTATTCGAATGATAAACGATGTTCGCTTGTTATAAACGAAGCAGAGAGAAAGAGAAAAAATTGACCATAATGGATCGTATCTCTTATCAGAAAGAGAGCGAGCGAGAAAAATATACGAGTATGAACTCTTATTTTTTTTTTTTATTACTGTACATCCATCGATGATAGAAGGCGTGCGCATAGTTTAAATTCTTTTATGACTATATAGCTTCTCTATACATATGAGTGTCTTTTGAACTTTTATATTTCTAAACGTATATTGTAATATACACAGAAGCTGAACAAATGTCATCGTGTTTTTATTTCTCATTGAGTCCAGCAAACAATTGATATGTTAAAATGAGAACTATGTATATTTTTTTGTCGTTTATGATGAATTGAATATTGGACAAAATTTACAATTATCGATATGAATAGAAAAGAAGTGGTTCAAATTTCTTTTAAATAAAATCTTCCACTGTATAGTAGGGATAATGAATGAATGCTAACATCATCATTGATTAGTAGAAGTAACGGGAATGTTGATTTTGTGATTTTTCGAAACGATATGAAACTTTGCTTTAATGAGATTGTTTAGTTAGCAATCAGCATTGTACTTGATTTTCAAGAATCATACTTGATCAGTTTGTCTTCATTGTATGAAACAAATAACGAAAAAATTTGTATTGACTTCATCTGAACAAATCATACATATTCACTTGCATAGTGATGTCATTTCTATTAGTTCATCGCACTTAACTCTGATAATGCCTCATTCCTGCTATTCATTGTCTATGTTTAGTTCAAGTGTTACCTTCAATTGAAATTCTAGAACAATGAAACCTTTCGTTTAATCTGTTCATCAATGCCATATGTGCATAGCTTTTTTTTCTGTTCTATTCATTTTTTCTTCTTCACTACATCAAACTGAAGTGACTCATGGCTCTATGATGTCATAAGGTATAGCTATAATATGTACTAAGCTAACGATTAGTTATGATCGATGATATGTTACTTGCTGTTATTGATTAACATAAGAATCACATACATATTTATTCACTATGAATGAAAACTTTCGTAATCTGAACAAGAACATGCAAATGAATATGTATACTTATTTGAATTCGTATAATAATATGCTTTTGATATGTGATGACATGTGAGTCTATCAATAGAATCTAGATTGTATAAAAACTATATATTATTTCATGTTAAATTGACAAAAACATTTATGTTTTTCTGTTTCACTATAAAAACTCGAAATAAAGTCTTAAACTGAATTAAAAATATCGCTTGATGCTTCGAACAATAGTGATAACAAATCAATACTATTCATGAATGATTTCTTTTGATGTCTTTTTTTCAAACTTACTTAATTAATTCTATACAGCTATTACTTGATTAAAAACAACAACATATAAAAGTCGTTCTTACTTATCAATATCGGAATTTGTTTTTTGCTCAATTAGCTGCATACTTATATGTGTCGTTGGTTAACTTACGTGTCGTACAACAATAACTATCATAACTGTATGAATTATTGCTGGTTCATGTGCTAATATATTCATTTGTCTAGTTTTGTTCGTGTTTGTAACATGTTCTGATTATATGACTGAGCAAATAAACTGTTGCTATCATTGCACTTTTTAATATGACCAAGAAAATAGGTTGTCATCCAGCAATTCACATATATTTTTTTATTGTTGTTTGCTTTTGTTGTTACAGATTCTTTTGTTTTTAACTGACTCAATGCGCCATACAAGCACATAAATACGCACAATTATCAAGAAAGACAAAAAAACGAAGAATAACAATAGATCACCAGGCAAAAAAAAGGAACAGAAAGCAACATAATATGACGATGAGATTTCTAATCTTATACATTAACCATTTCCCATAAACCATAAGTAGTGCCCACTGTATTTTGCCATAAACGTAATGTTCCATCTTCACTACCTGATGCATAAACTTCGCCATCAGGTGAATATGACATGCAATGTATTGGGCCGAAATGACCTTTGTACGATTCTATTAAAACAAAAAGTAGGTTATCTAAGAACGATTATTTTTATATTTTTATTTACCAAGTTCAACACCTGTTTCGAAATTATATTTATAAATGCGAAAATCTAATCCGCCACAAACGAATTCGCGTGCAGTGGGATGAAATGTAGCTGTATTCATTTCACAAGGCATTTCAAACGATTGTAATTTATTGAGTCTATCAAATCCGAATTATCAGATGATAATTTACAAATCAAAATAAACATACGTATTGCCATCGAAGATTTCGACTTTTTTGCCGTGAGTAATAAGCAATGAAGCTTGGCCATCACGTGAAATTTCAATACTGTTTGGAGGTGAAGGAAAATCAATAGTTGATATACAATTTCCTGAGTCAATATCAAAAATCCTTTGAAATAAATAGATATTAGTTGATTAATAATAATTAAAAAAAAAGAATTACTTTATAGTTTTATCATCGGATGCTGTGCAAATTCGTTTGGCATCCATAAATATTGCTTTTTTAACTGCACCTGTATGACCATTGAAAACTTTTACTGGTTCTTCAAAAGACAAAAAAACAACAACAGATAATTAAAGTTGAAATACAATCTTTAACGAAGAAATAAATTAAACCTGTTGGTGCTGTGACATCATAGATTTTAATTAATTTTTCATTTGATGCAGTTAATAACCATTCTTTATTTATCGATGAAAAATCAACAGAACGTACAATGTGTTTATGTTCGAATGTTTGTAATTCAGCACCCGTATTTGCATCCCATAATTTTGCAGTAAAATCAGAACCAGCTGTTGCAGCCAATTCAGCATTGCCGGTTATAGTTGCTCCCCATACAGCTCCTTTGTGACCAATAAAACTGCCAATCCTGTAATAGATACAGTAGACACTATCAGTTATGGTTACTCGTCTTTTCTTTCTTGTATTCTTGGGAAACAAAATTTTATCAGAAAACTTCGAAATTTTCAAGGCATGTAAATCTTGACGATTAAATTTAAATTTCTCATGGAGTCAATGTTTCTAGATGTTATCTTCTATGACATTGTGAAATAAAAATGATGAAAATGATCACGTATTCTACTTTCGTTTATTTAAGAAACTATATTCGATTAAATTAATTAGTACGAGGTCATAGTTCGTTGTAATTGAGCTTTTTGTTGTAAGAGTTAACAACGATTAAAAGAACAAACTGTTTTTGAAGTAAAAATAATTTATTCCAAATGATATAAAATATGGATGAGAAAAACAAATTTCAAATGAATTAGATCGCCTAGATCGAAGAAACATACTCCACATATAGATACGATTGTACACAATAGAATAGTTACAAAAGCAACAGAAAGGTCGAATCAAGAAAAGAAAGATGCTGCTACTCGTAAATAAAATAAAAGACAAATATTCTTACCAATCGCCTGTATCACCTTCGCGTAACATCGGTATACCATCTAAAATTTAGATGAAAGATAATAGTCAACAAATCTAATATTCAATTGTACCTTTGCAAGCGCTCACGAGTAAGTAGCTATATTTTGTTATATCACTAAAACGAAGATCAACAACTGAAAAAAAAACGATTTATGATAAAAATTCTCATAAATATTTTAATTAACCTGGTCTAGTATGGCCATTGCATGTAATAGGTATTTGCCGAACAGTTGTTGCTGACATAGTTTAAATTAAAACACTGGAAAGATTAAAATAATATAATGTCTTTTGTTGTGTCTTATTTTGTTTTGATGCTGATAAAATAAATAAGATAATGGATATGTACAATGAATTGAAACGAGAAGACAACAAAGGACAGATCAACGTTTTGAAGAAACTAGAAACATAAATTTGATTTTGTTTCTAAAAACTAGTAATCAGAAAATAACAAATAATTATCTATTATTAATCGTTTTTTATCATCTAGAAAAACAGTATTATGCTTTATGTTTTTTATTTCAATGGTCACTCAGTGTTTATTTTATTTTTATTTACATTGATCATCATATAAATGGTTTAAGAATTCAAACAAGAAAAATAAATAAACATACACCTTAGAACTAAATGGCAACTGTCTGTTTGTAGCACACAAAACAAACAATAGAAAAAAATGCATGCACCCAAGAAAACGTTTTTTCAATGTGTTTGATTTTACTATTACATATAACAAGCCAAAACTAAAAATAATTATATAAATTCAATTTCGTTCTATGCTAAGAAGGAATATTATGGAATAAAAAATAGTGTTATTTCAGTCAAAAAACAAAACATGAAAAACATAAGGTGCATAATGTTTCTATTAGCATAAACAGTAATATATACATATATTATTTAATTTTTTCCATTATAGACTTTAAGAGCTTTTTTCAGCAATGGTGGGATTGCTGGTTCTAAACAAAATACAAAGGAAAAATTATCTCTTTGTTTCTGATTAAATGAATAGTTACTTTTAACTTTCGTTTGTCCTCGATGAGATTTTGATGACGGAAGATTAAGAACTTGTCGAGTTACTTTATTTGAATTTATACTATGACGATTGATGGGTTCGCGTATATTAAGTGGTTTTGTATGACGTGCTACAATAAAAGTTAATATCAGATCAAAAATTTTGCAATGTTACAAAATTTACCAGTGTCAATTGTTTCAGCTTTTTTTCTCTTTGCAAGTTCTGTGATTCGTTGTAGTCGTGCTTCGTTTTCAGTATGTTTACGCTATAAAATAAAAAGAAATGTAGATATGAATTGAAAAAATACTTCATTTCATGTTCTTACCAAATAAAGTTCATAATAAGTTTCATATTCTTCTCGTTTAGCATCTTTAAAATGTAGTGCACAAAAATGTTGCCATAACGGTTCAACATCATCAGCATAATCCTTTAAAAATAAAAATATTATCAAAAACAGTTATTGCCAAAATTATTTTGAGATTAAAATGTTAAATACAACATAGCTGCTCGTCCTACTCACAATACTATAACGCGATACTATTCATATATGCTCTTGAATCATAAATTTTAACCATGTATCTGTAACGGTCTGAAGAAAAAGGCTACCAATTTCTACCACATATTTACTGCAGTCCTCTTTTTAAATCACGTGTCATAAAATAAAGAGTTATTCTTACTGGGTTATTATCAATAATAGCATGTAGCTGTTCAGGTGTTGCGACAGTAAGAATTGGTTTGACCATATCATAAGGTAGTCGACAAAAATGTGTATGACATGCATCTATATAGAAAATGAATAGATTCGATGATTTCAAAATCATATTTACCCTGTATATGTTCTTTAAGTGTTTCAATACAAAGATCTTGAAGTGATGGAATATTCATACCCGTAATGCGTTTACCAGAGTAAATAGCGATACGTCCTGGTTTTGCACGAAGGAAATTATAAGATTCAACTAGATGCATAAAATATGATAAGAAACTTTCTTTCAAAAACAAATTCAATTGATCATACAAGGCTTTTTTGAAATGGCAACTGGTTGTGATTTTGTTAAATCAGATGACGTTAGTTGATAGTCTACAGATGTAAGACTTGATGCAATCGCTGCGGCCATTAAATTATTATTTTCTATTTTTATTTTCGAAGTCGTTGATGGTATTTTCGCCTAAAATACAGATTATAAAATTGCTTGGATTTATAAAATATAAATCATCTTATTGTGTAAATATTCAAAGATTTTCAAAAATAAAATGCTAGAAACATAAATCATATTGTCTATCATTACCTTTTGAGTGTTAACATTATTGTGCTTCGCTATTGGTTTGTCTTGAACAGGCAGAGATGGTTTAGTAATTTCCTGTTTATGATGAATATTGGCATCGCCAACGTCTTTATCTTCATCCTCATCGTCATCATCCTCATCTTCTGCCCAAATATCATTATATTTGGTTTTTGGTTGTTCATTTATTGTTTTTAAATTTTGACTAGTAGCAATGAAATCATTTCGATTGTTACTTATTGGATCAACTTGTTTTAATTTCTTATTCACATTCGTTGCAAGATCAGGCGCGCTAGCAGCCAATTCGCTATTTTTAGCATTAAATTCAGCATAGATTTTTTCGATTTGAGTGTCAGTAAATAGATTTGGTGCTGAATCGACCATGGATGAAGTAGTTGGTATTGATTTTTTACTACTAACATATTCAGCAAGAGAAAGAACTCTACGTTTTTTACTTGATAATTGATCTCGGTCACCATTTTTAAATTCATCAGATGACTGAGATTCACTAGAAGATTTGAAAGAAAAAAGATACTAGATTGACATCGATGCAACTCTTTTTCATACCTTAATTGATTCAAATGTATTGTTTCATCGTCATTAGATTTTCGTTTAAAAGAAAACTTCTTTTCAACAGCTGGTCTGTTTGTATTTGTTATTGTTTTAACTTTGGAGTTATTCATCATTTTTGGTGGTAGATTCTTTTCTTGCCATTTTTTAAGAAGACTCTGTGCTGCCGAATGATAACTAGCCTGTTTGTTCGATGCAAGTTTATCAACAAGCACATCTATTTTCGTCTCCTAAGAAAGAAACAATAGATTCATTGTTTGAATATTTGATATCAATATTACGCGTAGTAACGCAGGAGTAATCGTTGTATTAAGCAATTTACACAGATATTCGTTAACCTAAAATTTGTACTGATTAGCTAAGTAAAACGAAAAAATAATTTTACTTTATCACTTTGTTTCGCAGAATGGTATTTTTCAAGCTTCTTTTTAACTGTTTCAATTGTACTGATGGCTATTTCACTGCTCATATTTGATATCAAATCTACGAAAGTATGGGAAAAAGCAACTACATGTAAAATAAATAAATGCCACTGTATATCGGTATGTATTTGTTGATTTGCAGAGAGTAATTTTGAAATTTGCAATATTTCTTCTGGGAAAAATAAAAGTAAAGATTAAAAACCCTAAATTTGCCTTTTTCCCTATATCTTCAATCGAAAATAAATAAATAACTAAGTAAATACATTTAACGAGGGAGGTTATAATAAACAGCGGTAGAAACCTAAAAAAAGATTAGTTGACGATCGAGCAAATCATGAGGCAGAATAGACGTACGTACGTACGTACGCACGACTATATAATCATGATGTCGTTACTTGTTCAGATATGTCATAGAGAAATATATTTTAGAAAATATGCAACATATATATTTTCATCAATTGATTGAATTAATTTTTTTAATATTTTTTATCATTGATAATTTTTCTTCAGTGTTTCCTTTATGGATGCAACGGTGAGAAAATTGGTGAAGCCGGTACGAATACGAAAATGCTACGATGAAGGTCGGAAGATTAGCATTGCTGGGTTGGGTTGTCTTGATAGAGTGCCGTCTGAATAACATAAAAAATCGGTCATCACCGTAGGTTCTTCATCAGTTTACCGACTTTCACCGGTCTTAACGATATGCTTGAAATTGCGCCTCTAGTTTTCTTGATATTTAAAGCATAATGATAGTATGAATTTAAATATCATAGTATAGTCTGTTTGCAATAGACTATAAAGCATAAATTTCACTGGTATCTAAACTTGATTTAATTTTTCGTTACGTCATAATTTAAACTTCCATCAATTCGAGTATTTCAGAATATGAGAATGGAACTTTCTAAACCATCGAAAAACTATTTGCAATACTATGAAAAGTCTTCAAGAAACCTGAGTGGGACCTTCAACTCTCTCATTTAGCACTGTGAAAACGATGAATTATATAGAATATTTTTGATATCTAGTAATGTATCTATTCTAACCGTTTTACTGAAACGTATATGAGTGTCGCGACTATATGATGAATAAAAAGTATTTTTGGATTTCAGAATCGTTGATTTGTAGAGAAACTAATAAATAATTCATTCATACTTCCCAATTCTTGAATAGTGAACCGTAGACAATCCGAAATTTCAGCTTACAATATTACTATTCAGGCCTATTATGCGCACTTGCTGGCTCGTCTAATAAAACGTAACCAAGGTGTGTTCTCTTTTGAGATGCATGATATTCACATATAGTGTTACACTTTATGCATCAATTGTTCAAGGTATACGGCATATGTATTAATACAGTATGCCTTGAAATATCATCTATTTGAAAAGAATTAGAGCATATCGTTGGTACTCTAACAAAATCATAACTAATTGTTTTCTCTGCTGATAGAAGAAAGATCTAAGTTTTTTATTCTTATGACAGGCATTGACAAATTATGAGAAAAGCATGGAAATCATAAGATAATTTTGAGTTTGTCATTTATTTACTTACAAGGAAACCAGTAGATAAAGGCATGGTGTGAGTACATGCGTTCTCTTCACTCTGACCCATTCTCAAAATAGTTCTCATTTAAATTAGCCCGTTTTTAAATATAGAATTTGAGAATTGTTGCATGTCGTTGGTTCTAGATGTTAGACTTCGCATTAGTCTTATTTCTTGTCATTAGTATTGAGCGTATCATTTAAAATTTCATAATACCAATCACGATGAATAATATTAAATATGACTTTTGAAACGTTTCTCAATAACACAATAGACAAGACAAGATAACTGTTCTGTGCCAGAAGCTCCTAAGTAGAACAAGAAAAACTGAGCGCATGGAAATGATGATGCCTTACTATGAAAAGGTGAATTTATCGAAGACCAAGTCTGGATATGTCTGCATACTTGATCTTATTTTCTTATTTTCTATATCATCAAACAAGGATTCTTCATCTTGTATTCCTGCATAAAAACAAAAGTAAAATAAGACTCCGAAAATATATAATTGCTATTAGGGTGGAAACCATTCTGAGATGTAAAATAAAAGACAATATTTATTTTGTATCAATCAGGAGCAGAAAAAAAGTAAAGGGAGAGAAGTTACAAAGTGTGTTCTCTTCGCGGGTAACAGTTGTTGTTGTTGTTGTTGTTGTTTTATAATATACGCAAAACGCGATCAACTATGTAAAAAGACTAGTAGTTCTACTATGTATTATTTGGTATATAGATGTATGCTTTTCGTACAATGACAAACTTTCTTTTCTTGATATGATGAGATTTAAACTAAGTGTCGTGTTTTGTTCATAGTCGAATACAGACTGGTTTGTATGTTGCATTAAAAGTAACTATCAGTGATGAAAATGAACTATATGATAGCCAATATTTATTAGAAAGTTTGAAAACAGCTCTTAAAAATACTGTACGTTAACTATACGATTGGTAGACATTAACAAATCAAAACGATCATTTGCTGTACTTCGATTTACATGTTGTGAATCTGTTGATTTAGATCAAACCAGTAAAGCCTATGGATATATTACAACAAATCTAAAATCTAATTGGTAGTATCCCAGAAGTCGTTAGTACTTTTCAAGATCTCAATGTGTCACCAGCTGCTTTTGAAGCTGATCTTAATACACCAGCAATGTGGATGACGTGGTACTTCGAGGTGATAAATCAATAAGATAAATTACAAGTGGAACAGATTCAATCATTGAAGTTCTTTTCCTTTTGCAATATTGTTTAATGCATTTTATATGCGAGTCGTTATTGAAAATCATCCTGTTCATGATATAGTTAGTACATTGAGAAATTACTCATATTAAATATGAATGTATATCTGGTGATGATTTTTCGTGTAATTATCCATTTCATAATGTATATATTTGAATGTAGGTCAAATGCAAAATCTATTACTGATCATCTTATTATATTACCAACTATTTGACATACAATTCCTGATGATAAATAACAAATGATTATTTGAATCTATCAGCAATTGTAGAAAACATCAACGAATATGAACTACATTTAATCGAATGTAATCAGTAATGTAGCTGAAAATAAAATTCTTTTCATTTCTTTTCTTTTCTTTTTTGGTTGCTATTGGATTAACAATAAATAGTATAAAGATAATTATCATTTTATCTGAATACATCAAATCAAATGATAGTTTTTTTTGATTTAGCATTATTTATTTCGTAGATGACTACAAAAGAATCTTTTGATTTTCTTGAATATAATCTTCAAATGATATTAAACGTCATAATGGATAATGACGACTAAAATTGAATAAAACAAAAAAACAAACGAAATTGTGTTTTTGAGATATGTAATACATTGTAAAACGCAGCACTGAAAATATGTAAAAGAAAGTGTATGCATCTAAAAAGCGCATCTTTTTAATACTTTAACAGTTGGATTATGTTCAAAAATTTCTGATTTTTCAAATAATGTAGGATTATCTTCTTCATCGGAATCTTGAGGTAAAACATATAATGAAGGTGAAGATGGTGGTGTTGGTGGATCAAAACGAAGACCGGTGTAAGGTGAATCCCATTCATTATGTGAATATTTTGCTCTTGGCGTTGCTGGCATTACTGCTGACAATGGTGTTTGTTTAGTTTTATGAGATGAAATTCTATTTCCTGACATTTGACGTTTTCGTTTCGGTGCTGACGGAATTCTTCGTAGCTTTTTTTCCGATGATTTTGATCGTGACCTTGATCTAGTTGTTGAATGTTTATTGGTCTTGTTTTTTTCTGAAAGTACTGACATTTGCAAAACGTTGTTTGCCATTGGTACGACTGTATTTCGAGCATGAGCTATTTCTCCGATTACTTGACTCGCACCTCTCAGATTTGATGCTGTTGATGATGAAGATAATCGTGCAAATGATGAACTTTTTCGACGAGACTTATCATCATTTTTATCTGTTGTCGGTGGCGGAACAGTGACTGTTGATTTTAGTGTACGACGAGAAGAATTCATTTCAGTAGACGATGGAGCTATTGATGATCCAATAAGTTCTATCGAAGAAACTTGATTTGTTAGTCTATTGATGTCATTTTCTTCTGTTAAGTGTGTTTTTTTATCAACCATAGCTGTTGTAGATACTTTCGTTAAACTGCAACTACTTAACTCCATCGATACTGTTTCATCGTTGATAAGACGATCATTTTTCTTAGGAAATTTTCCGTCACGAACAACAACAAACTGTGTTTGACCTGGAATTGTTTTCTCAAATTTTGAACGACTTAATTCAAAATCAGAATCATTCGTTTCTTTTCTATTGAAAAAATGATTATCTGGTAGAAAAAGAAAGAAAACGGTTTTTATAGTTACCTTCTTCTTTGTGCATATGTTGACGCCCAATATTTTTGCCATGAAGTTATTGTATTTGTTGGACTTTTTACGACACTATTGGACGGACGAAGTGGTTCGGCCTTTACTGTAATATATTTTGAAAGTGAATTGAAAATCTCACAACTTTGTACGTCACTATTCAAAAATGACGGTTGAGATGTAGTATTGCTTTCGCCAACTACTGCTGCTGGTGTTGTAGTTTTATTTGTATTGCATTGTTGTTTGCTTTTGAATGGTCCATTCAAACGAGCCATTCTTGTTGTCGTACATGTACGAGATAGTTCTTGATACATAACTTTTCGATGCAAGCTATACGGTAGATTTGAAACATCGAGCAGACGCGACGGATTTTGAGGACAAAGATCAATCCAATGTTTTGTCGGCAAATTTTTTAGAGGCTCATTTTCAACAAAAATATAACACTTTGCAAGAAAACCTGGTAAATTGAATTGTTGAGAATTCGATTTATATCGAAGATTTTGAATAGTTGAAGCAGTATTGGATACAGATGGTTGAAATTTTATAACGTCCACCATCGATTAGGCGTAAAAGAAAAAGAGTAAATCATGTCGAATAAAATTTTATGATGTTGTTTTATCGTCGTGTGGATAAGAACAAGCTTTTGCATGCTACTCTCTTCTTCATATGTTCTATGGATTCTAACAACAAAAGTGTTTGCATTTATGTTGCCAGGTAGGTACCCATTGAGATCGAGATCTTGATGTTGAGTAAATATATGCTATAAACAAAGTACTCCAGTTATTATCTTTCATGTTTAGAAAAAGGTTGGTCTTGCTGTTCATTACTGTTTTCAGAAATAACATTGGCACAAATTTTTTAACAATTTAGAAAAGAAACTCATTGAGATAAGTTTGCACATTATTGCAAGCGACATGTTTTTATTGAAAAAAAGGAAGCAAAAAAAATATTAAATAGCTACATTTAATTTATCAAACAATTCCTTCATATTTGAATGTTCATCAGAGGTTGGTTGAATGAGATTAGATTGATAGTTAGATCCACGATGTCGCGATCGACGATTGGAAAACCAAACACGAACTTGTTCAATATCAATACAAAGATGTTCAGCTATAGTTCGTCGTTCTTCCAATGATGGATATGGCAATTGTATGAAAAGACGATGAAGAGTAAATAGTTGAAGCGGTGTAAACCGATGACGATTCGATGTGACCAATTTTGTAGACGAATTCTAAATAAAATGAGAAAGAAACTTGAAAACTTGTTGAGCTGAATATTTTGTATGAAATTTACTGGTGATATTTGAGAAATGTTGATAGCAGGTGGTGGTGGTACGACAAGAAAAGGATCGTAGAAGAAAATTGATGACGGTAGTGGAGGTGGAGGTTCAATCGTAGAAGACAGAAAATGAACAATGAATGGATCAATGATAAGTGGCAATGGTTCATATGATGAATTCATCTTTGAATGTATGATTCGTTCTGATGACGACTACTGTTTTTATACTGTTCCTTGATTATTTTAATTGTTATTATTCTGGGACGGATGCGCATCAATTATTCATTCGATGTATTCCTCATCAATATCGTTGCTTAATTGATGTGATTATTCTGTTATTGGGATATGTATCCAATTAGGGAGATGTACATATGACTTCTCGTGAAGCTTCATATTTTATATCCATTTTTTTAATATTGTGAAAATATTAGAAATAAAATGTCACTAATAAAACTTATTTTATCTTGTAGGAAAATTCACTTCTTATCCAAAATGACTACTACTGTTTCACCATTCTTTGTTGGTATTTTGATTACATCTTGTAGTGATATTGTTCTCGGGTTGGCTATTGCGTATTTCTATATTAATCTTTTTGCATTTTTTGATAAACTAAATAGATATCTTTGCTCTTGCTTTCGTTGTCCTATATGTCAATATATTGATGGTTATAGTAGAAATTATCAAAAAAAAATTATTTCAACAAGAAATAAATGAACTTTGTTTCGATTCAAATAGGTTTAGAATAAATCGATGATTCCATATGAAATCTATGTTATTGAACGCAATACTTCATCGAATATTTTTTCCTGAAAAGAAAACGGACTTTCTTCTCGTACTATTATTTAGAATAGTTTCTGTTTTAGCAATTGTCTTGAACTAATACTTTTATTACTTTTTATACCATAAATAAATATCGTACTGTACAGTAATGAAAATCCAAAGCTTTGATAAGTATTCCGGAAAGAGAGTTCGATGAGAAGGAAAAAAGAATGAAATTGAAGAAATATCTTATTTGAACGGAGTGTGGGTGCCACCAAAATAATAGCCTGGCCATCTATTGACACATGCAACATAATTCAATAATACAATGGATAAGTTTGTTTTCATTTTATTAACAAATCATAGAAGAAAATAGTTAACAACATTTTAGATTGTGATGGTAAAGTAATCGTTTATTTTCAATCGAATATACAAATATGAATGACGTATGCAAGTAATTTATCTCGGTGTAACAACATTTCCAATTCCATCAAGAAAAGAAAATGTCGATTGAGACGTTGGCGGAATCAAAGGTGCTCCGACTTGATCACGATTTGTCATTCCAGGTTTTTGATTTTTACGTTCTTGTATTGCTGCATTAAGATCTTCGATTTCATCAACTTTTATATCGATTTCTTCAAGGATAAAACATTTGATTTCATATATCATTATCAATAAATCTTACTTGTTAAAGGCCGACGAAGCATGACAATCGATTTTAGAAATATATATATATATATATGTATTTTTTTTGAGAATATCTACAAAAATTAAAAATACAGACAGTTAAAAAAGAAACATCGAAAAACAAAATAATTAATTATTTTTTATTTAATAAAGACATATACAATTGTTTTTCAATCTCAATTGGATCGGTTGTAGGTTTTGGCAATGATGATACGACTTCGCTAATCAATATGACAGGATGCTGAAAGTGAAACTTAATATAAACAAAAGAAGAATTTAAAAATATTGCTTCATACCCATCTCATCTGATGATCATTGAGACGTTTATAAAATTCATTTTGTCGGATTTTATGCAAAGCAGATGAATAATACAAGGCTTCACGGTCAACTTTCGTAGTTTCTCTAATAAATACAATAGTTTATTTTTCACCAAAAACCAAAAACATAATTATACCTTGGAATATCTTCTTCAATTTTTTCTCGTAGATACTAAAACAAAGAACCAATTATTGTTTGAAAACAAAGTAACAAATTCTTTTCTGTTTAAAATAGTTACTTGTAAATGATGATTTACTGCATTGGCTTCATCTAAACGACGGACCCATTTTGAAGGTACAAGTACTTCATCCGTGCGTGAATAAAAATCATACCATTCATTAGGCCTATTACAAATAATTCGTTCTATATGATATTTTCTGCTGTTTTAATATGAAAACCTGTCATTCATGTCGGCTGGTTTTTGTTGATTTTTTTCCAATCGTCTCATACATTTTTCAATAAAGCGTTGTTCATTGTCATTTTTCTAAATTCATTAAAATCTTTGGTCATATTTTCATTAAAAGTAAATAAATAAATATGAATTCACCACCTGTCGCTTCGACATATATATATATATATATTTAATCTAAAAATAACAGTCGAAAAAAATGGTCAAAAAGACGGAAGGGTTTGTTTTCTCTCTGATGTGGATTTCTTCATTAAGATAACTATCCAACTGAAAAACGCACTCACATGAACACACACACACACACACAGACACACACACACATGTAACTGAAGGAGAATAATCAACCTAAATAATAATTATTTATTAAGATCTTATTGATTCTTTTTTATCATCAAGTTCACGTTTAGCTGTTTTGATCAATTCATCACGGGTATGCGCTTCATTTGAATCGTAATTATCTCGTACAGTCCAACGCCACCATGCAGCACGTGTACGATCCCAAGCAGCACCAAATGAATCAAATGCAGGTCGAACATCTAAGATTGTAAATGTTAATGTATCATGATCAACTTTTTCTGAATCATAATAATCGATAATATCTACATATGAGTAAAAATAACAATAATTTGTTTTTGAAGTTTTGAAAATCTAAATCTTACACCGCACCCGTTGGCCACATCGATCAACAATCCAATCGTGACGATCAAACGGAAGTTGATAACCTAACCAATTTCTAATACGTGCACGAGGTGAATAATCTTTAGCTTTTCCACCAAATGATGCTAAACGAGGACTCATACATTCATTGGCATGTAATGCTTCCCATTTCAATACTTCAAACCAAGCAAGTTCATTATTAATGTTATGCATTCGAACAATATTTTCCATATCAGCAGGCTTTAAAGCATCCTCTTGCCAACGCCAACCTTTACGTAACATTGCATTCCAAAACATTTGGGGAGATGGATAGACCTAAATGAAATTGTTTTTTTGCTCTAAAACAGTTTACAATATAATAACAAAAATAATCTTACCCAATTTTCCTGTTTCTCCGATACTTTGGGTATATTTGAAGTAACACGTTCTGTTGACAATAGAAATGGTTGATCAGGTGCCGGCATTTGATTGGGTGCTGGCATCATATTTAATGGATTGACATCATTATTTCCTGCTGCTCCTGCTGAACCTGACATAGGACATTCACTTGGATAAGTTGTTTCTTGAGTTGATTGCTTTTGAAAATGAGGACACTGATCTATTGAACTATTAACTGTTGCATGTTTAGCATCATTTGGTGGTTTCATAGTATCATTCACTCCTTGATTAGAAGTCACTGATGATGTTTGAACACCCATTTTGACGAGCAAACGCTATGCAGTAACTGTGAATTGTTTTAGCAATAAATGCACTCATTCACCAACCGGAATTTAGTCGTAATTTGATTGGTTGTTGGTTGAAACCAGTTGCATCATTTTTTACTTTTTGAAGGAAGAAAAAGTCTCCCTATTACTATAGTTTCAATTTTTGATAATGGCAGCTAATGTGTTCTACTTCGACTAGTTCAATTGTTTGTATAAATAAATTTAAAAAAAAATGGAGAAACAACAAGATCAACAATTGGTACAAATGAAAACTATGATAGATTCGAATGATGACGATGACGATGGGGATTCGACGTCAACATCATCGATAAGTGCTGATAGTGATCAATCAACAAACATCGCAAATTTAATGCGTGAAAATGAACGAAAAATGCGAAGGTTAAGTGAAAGCTATATGAATCGATTTCTTTTCATTGGTCAACAAGCACAAACATTACCAGAACTGTCAAACGCTCTTGCGCTACCATCAACAATGAAAAGTGTTGTGCAAAAAAAGTCGCCAAAAATGGAACTTGAAATCATGTCATCAATACCATCATTAACTTTATTTGTTGAATCACTTAAGCAATTAATCCAAAAAGAAGAAAAAAAACGAGGTTCGTAATTATTTTACAATTTAATATTATTAGAAAACTCTTACATTTTTTTGATGTTAAAGAAAAATCATATTTGCCTCCTGATGATAAAAGTATAGCATCGGATTTGTATACACGTCTTTCTCTGGGAATTACACAATGTTTACGTGATTATGAGGGTGAAATAAATCATGCTAAACGAAGAATACATGATGTAAGATTTATGATTTTTGCGCTTCGAGTATTTTGACATGAATTTTTCATCGAATTATTTTAGCTGAATGAACAACAAGAACATATTCTAAATGAAAATAAGAATGTTGTTTCACATTTAACTGAAGCTTTCGAAAAAAAGTAATTATTTTAATATGTTGTCTATTTAGCTAAAAACACCGTTTCTTTCTACAGTACGATTTCTCTCCGACAAACTTATGAAAAACGTTTAGCTAAGCAACGTGAAGAATCATTAAAGATTGGAAGTTCATTAGATAATTATAAAGTTGAGATATTAGCACTGAGGTAAATTATTCTTCTCTTTTTCTTTGATAATTTAAAGTAAAATTTCATTTTTAGAGACGCATACGAAAAGAAACTTAGAGTAAAAGATGAATTAATTAATGAATTGAACGACCGATTGGCTAAAAACGAAACTGAACAGGCTGCACGTCAACATGCACTTCATCTTAAAGTAAATTGAGATATTTATTTACGTTATAAACATTGATTTTTAATATGTATGAAGAATGAAATTTGAATGAGCTCAAGGCATTTCAAACATCTCGTAGCTAGTGATGCACTTGCAATTTCTTTTTTTTTCTTCATTATTTCGTATCTAACGATGCACAATCAGTCGCCAGTCGAACGTTAAAATTTGAAAAGACATACGTTTGAAAGAATTTTTAAGAAACTTCCATTGGCATGCTCTGATATTGCAGTACACATGTCGATTCATGAAAGTTTCAAATTGTTTTGGTAGAGATGTTATTCGTTCCTTTTTGTTTTGTTACAGTATCATCGCTTCTCTGTATTATCAAACCATATTGATTAAAAGTTCTGACTCATTTTTAAAAAGATTTCTTAAAGTTGCTAGTTTTTATCTGTACGATTGTTTTAATAGTTCTTCGATCATCCTAATAACTTTTAGTATTCTGCATGGTATGAACCTCATTTATGATTTAAATAGATAGTTGAATAGTGATAGCATACCTCTTAATAAATATATGTGCAAAGAGAACCGTATGTTCATGCAGAATGGATATATTTGTTTAGCTACTGAATCAATTCACATGTTTCTTGCATTTGAGAGCTTATTTAAAGAACATTGTATTGTGTAGTATGCACCAATGCAACGCATGCATATAGAAATTATTCGATAACTTGTATTTTGACATCTAGTTTAATCTACAGATTTCTGTCAGAAATATAAAGCAGTGAAACCTTTCAATTTCTCTTGTTGTCATCATACAAAAAACAATCACTAAGTTTTCACGTCAAATCCGTAACTTTATTTTCTTTATCGATTTGTACGAACAGTTCTTATTCTATCATAAATATTGAATACGTTTGACTTTAGCTAATAACAAATTTTACTGTTGCATTATAGGAACTAAAATAAAACTTTCCATTGAATGGATTACACGAAAGTAGTTTTTGGATAAAAAAAGAATTTCGATAGAAAATTTCTACTCGAATTAATCGATGGAAATCTTCTTTGAACAACGTTTTTTTCCTACTTTTTCATGAGAAAGAAAGAGACTTTCAACTGATGTTATATCTATTGTATATTCTTTGCTGTGTTTAGATTGAACATTTTCAGCAAAGTTTCGATACATTACAAGCACGTAATAAACAAGTTGAGCTTAATAATCAAATTAAGAATAAAGAAAATCATGACCTTCTTACACAAGTATCAAATTTACAAGTAATCATTCAAATATTTTATTTTCTTGAAAAACTAACGCTCCGTTCTCTAGCGTCAAATTCAACATTTACAACAAACAGTAACCAGTAAAGCGCATGAATGTACAGAATTATCTCAAAAATTAGCAGCAACACTACCGAAATTAAATGAATGTGAACGTTTCGGATCTGAATTACAACGATGGTTTCAATTAGTTGCACCTGAAAATAATTCATCAGACGTAAGGAAAACAAAATTATTCTTTTGAATTCTTCTCTTTTACATTTAGTTAACGTTGGATGATATGTCGACTATTGTCTCATCGAAAGTTTCTCATTTTGAAAGTTTTAAAAAGCAACTCGATTTAATCAATGAAGATTTAGATCATGCACATATTTTAGAAGGAAGTAATTTATCTGATCGTATTCGTTATGCTATAAATCAAAACAAACAATATGAAACTGCTCACAGTGATATAAGTAATAAATATCAAGCATTGTTACTTCAAACAAATATGTTAACTGGCATTATAAAACAACATAGTACAGAAGTAGCTAATCATAAAACCATTGAAGAACAATTGAAAGAATTTAATGAACAACTTTTAAATGAAAATCAAAACATCAAAATTGAAATGCAAAATTCTCGTTCGAAATTACTTCAAATAACGAATACAAATAATCAATTAGAACATGAATATAATTTAAATAAACAACATTCAAGAGATTTACAAATAAAATATGAAACAATAAAAACTGAAAGTCAAGTTTTAGCTAATGTAAAAGAAAATTTTCAAAAATAATTTCTTATAAAACATTTGCTTTTTGCTTCTTTTTTTTACGAAAGGAGTTACAAACAAAACGTGAAGCAATAAAACGCTACGAACAAGAATTACAATCTATGAAACAATTATTTGAGATATCATTAAAAGAAAAACAAATACAAAGTGATCAAATAAAACATGAACGACAATGTAAATAAAACATAATTTTATTTATAAAGTTTTAATAAATAAATCCTTTTGTGTTGAAAAGTGTTTCAAACGGAAAATGATACACTGAAACAAATAGTTATTCGTGATGGACATGATAAACAAACTATTAGTCAAATACAATTTAATAGTAATGCATTACAACGTCAATATAATAAATCAAATAAAGTAAAATTTCATTTCTAGCGCTATTTGTATTCTTATGAATTTGTTTATTTTCTAGGATAAAGAAACAGTTGATGACGAAGTACGTCGAATTTCGAAGAGTCATTCGCAAGAAGTTATTCGCTTTGTTCCAGTAAATGAAAATGAAGTAAAATTTACAGAGAAAGATTTATTCTAATTTGATCAACAAACGAATTTCTTTGCTCTTCTTAGGACGATGAAACAACAGACAATCGAGTGAGTCGTCGAGCAACATCAACACCAACACCAAGAGAAAGCGAAAATCAACAACAATCAAATCTTCAATCATTAGGCATAACTAAACAAATTAATCAAGTGTTAAACGATATGAAAAGTTTATTGACACATGGACGTGAAGTGGTCATTAAACATGAAGAAGAGATGATTCCAGAGCGAGATTTTAAAGTACAAGAACGAAATAAAGGTCGACACTCAAAAAAGGAACGAACAACCATTACAGATATTAAATAAAGTTAGGTCAGATTATGATTTCCTTTCTGTTGAGAAAAGATCACTATATTTGATATGATTAGCACACTTTTATAAACTTTGTTTGTTTTATAAAACGAAATTTTTTAGTAGATTATGATCTTTTTGTATTTGAATACTCTAAAATAAAATGATAATATCTCTTCTGGTCTATGATAGAGATCTGAATCTTATATTCTTATTTTTTTGATTTATTATGTTTTTTTTTGGTTTGATTTCAATGATACTGATGATGCACAGACATACACTCACTCTTGAGCAGTCTTAAGTTGAATATCTGTTTTTGTTTCCATTTGAGATTGAAACACAGTTGACCTTTAGAGATTTGCCAAATATGATAAGCATGGCATGTAATACAGAAAATGAGTTGTCTATAGTATTTATACATTCTACACAAATTCAAGCGCATGAACAGCAAAACGAAACTACTATTATACTAATTCAACAGTCGTTAGAGCTGGACATTTTGGTATGTCTTTTATTCATGCGTGTTCGAAATTTGTTTTTATGAATAATTAAAATTTTTTTATTGAAAGTTGTGTTAATAAAACGAAAAAATCTATGGATACGAATACTGATCTCATTTCAAAATTCACTCGTGAGCTGTATATCTTGTTTTACATTATTTTATATAATCCATAAGATAATATTACATATATTTGACTTCCAATTTGATGAATAACACACATTCCACCTATTGCTCATTTCATTGTAATCAAATTTGATGGAAAAAAAAAAGATTTATAATTAAAAATGAATTCGATTCATAGATATGTGTATAAGAATGCAAGAAATCTTTTAATTACATCAAGTATTTAGACTAAATCATAGTAATCAAAATTCTCGCTTAAATAAAAAACAAACGAAGTATTTTTTCATATTTCTTCTCTTGATTGTTTCAGACACATTTCGTTTACTTTATTCGTTCTGTCGGGTATTCGCTCATTTATCTTTTTCTGTTTCTTCATCGCTTATCTAACATTTTCCCCAGTTTGTTTCAACGAACAATAATTTTATTAATTTCAAACATTGATTATGCCAGAGTTTGGTCGATGCGATGATCCATCATGCAATGAAGAAGCTGTTCGTCTATTTGATTGTGCTCATCACTGCATGAAAATGGTTTGTCTTCAACATTTGATTGACCATGATCGTCTGTTCGAAAACAATAGACGACAATTAGAAATTGTTCAAGTAGAAGTTAAACGTCTTTATTCAATATATTCATCATTGATTGATGAAGATAAAATTCGTTATGAATATGAACAAAAACTAAATGATTACAAAAAATTAGTCAATGAAGTTAACATTTTATTGGAAAATAATTCAAATAATATCGAACAGCTTCGAGTCATTATTGAAAAATTAAAGCACAGCATTAATGAAAAACATAAACAACCAAGTGAATCTTTAAGTAAGAGAGTTTTCTTTTTGAAAACACCGCTATTCTATATATTTTACTAGCTATTGTGAAAGTTGAACCAATTGATGAAGCTGCATCACCAACAATGAATACAGAAAGTAAAAGTTCAATGAATCTATATTACAGAGATTTTCATCAAAAATATTTTAGAAGATGAATCGTTATTTATTGGCTTCGACAGATTACAAAAGTAAGTATTTGTTTATTCACCCAAGTTTTATTTCTATATGAATTATCTTTAAATTGATAGTTTAATCATAGATACTGATTATCATAAACGAAAAGGTAGATAATTATTGTTAAAATTGAATTGAAGCATATACTTCTATAATATTTAGCTATGGAACATGCCGATGCAAGGTATCAATCAGAAAAATATTGTAGTTTTTAGTAGGAAAATAATTTCTAATCTTATGTTTTTATTTATCAATTGTAGTAAAACAACCACTAACATTGATTATGAAGATCATAACATCGTAAAAAAAATGTTTCAAATTATGTTTTCTATTTTTAGTTTTTAGAACGCAATCATTCATGTTCATCGTATTCCTGGTTTTTGTCCGTTGCGGACCAATGGTGCCTATGGTCTCAATCAAAAGCATCATTTTCATCGTCTGTGCCGGAAAAAACGTTTTACTGATTTAAGTAATCATATGCGTCAATATCATGGTTTACTAACACCGATTGCTAATATTATTGCAAGAGCTGTTGAATCCAAAATACCAACTACAAAACGTTTAATTCCCAATGATCTACAAGTTACTGATCCACGTCGCAGTTTCTTTTGTCCATTACGTATTGATTGTCAAAATTCATATTATTTATCAGCAGCATCTTTAAGAACTCATCTTATTGATGTACATCGTATGAATCCATCAATAGCAGATATAAAAGTTAAAGAAATTAAGAAATTGAATAAAAATCAAGAAGTATCAAAAATTCAACGTACAATTTTTCAAATCAACAAAGATATGGAATCAACAAGTAATGGTTTAAAGCAATCGGAGTACGTGAAACATATCATTTGTTAGCATCTTAAATAAGAAATGAATTATAGTACTTTAAAAACTAGATGAATGAATTCTACCGGCTGGTATTACTCGAACATATTTTAGGTAGAAACAAGGATTCTTATTTGCCCATCTCTAATCGTAGCTTATATCTAATGAGAGTTGCCGAGATTAAAAAATGAGAACTTTGTGAGACTATAAGCTGTTTCAAATATTAGCTATTTAAAGCTAAGCGGATTTTTCGATAGAATGGAAAAACTGGTCACATGTCTAATCTAATTGTTTTTAAATTTAGTCCATAGTTCATACCCTCAGCAATGATAATTAATAGACATAAAGAATGCGGGTAATAGTAACTCTCAAAGTCTTCTCTCGTCCTGATATCAGCGCATGACAGTTTCTCATCTCATCTCATGTCCCACGGTTTGGATGAATACACGCTTAGAAGTTCGAAATTAAAATAACTACTTTGACTCACCTGTTTGATGTCATTTACTTGTATGTTGTGTAGACATATGTTTTGTGATGCGCTATTTAGGTTTTGGTCAGTAGAAATATGCTCTTTTGTTTTAGCATTTCCAACAATCAGAAAATCAGCGATGATGAATGGCATGAATACGAATGATTTACAGAAGCATTTTGTTTTTGAATTTTGTTATATTCTTTGAGTGAAAAAGAATAAGTATTACTTAAAATTGTTTTTTTGATTATTGTTTTTCAAACATCACATAGATTATTTGTTATATTAATTTGATATTTGATTAAAAAAGATTTTATGAATATAATAGTTGTAATTAGCTTCGTTATTTAAAACAGTTACAAGAATATGTTAACATATCCAAAAAATAATTTGAACAGAAGGAAACAACTAGATTTTTCCCTCAAGAACTTTGGACTTGTTTCATTTTCATAAGTTACGTATTGTTATTGTTGAAAAACAAATCTTTGGAATTAAATCTAAAAGAAGAATTATTTAATTATGCAAAGGCAGCACAATACGCTAGGGCGTGGACGAGCTAACTTTTGCTGAGTTATCGTATATCTTACTAATTTGTTTGAATTACCAGCTGAATTGCCAGTGATATTGATCAAAACTATGGGTGTCACTTAACTTTAAATTGACCGTAAAGTGCAGAGTTCAAAGTCACGCTTAAAATGCTTCCTTTTGGCGTTTTATCTGTTGAAGAGAGTCTCACAAGCATGACTAAATACGTCAGTAACGTAGAAAGTATTAAAAAGAATCGTTTAAAGGCGACTTTAAACAGCTTTAAACTTTAAATTTTACCGTTAAAGTAAAGTTAAGCATCACCCTAATCAAAACTTATCTTGGTACCAAATTTGACTCATATAAATACTTAGTCAATTTCGTTATGATGAGTATATCATTTTGAAGTTCATATTATACTCAAATTTTTTAAAAAACGTTTTCAAAAATATTTAAGAGTAAAATTATTTTTAACCTTCTACTATATATACATGTATCTCAACTATGCTTTCTCACAGTACATATGCGACATCTAATGCTCACGACAGATCTTTTCATTATTTCTTGAATAGTCCAAGAGAAATATTTTTTTTACTATATCAGATACATTTTTATTATTTAAAGTAATAAATTTCAAAAGTTCTCTATCATATATTGATTATTTTAAATATCATAAATATTACTGGTTGTTTAAGTCACCAATCCAAATTTTAGCCATATATTCGACTTCGACTTGGGAAGAATAGCATACGGCTACTTACTACTTATATTCCGACTGCATCTGTCTTGCTAATACCTTGCGAAGTTTTGATTTGTTAATAAAGTAAATATATTATTTTCTTTTAATGATAAATTAATATTTGTTTTTCATTCTATTCTCTTTCGAATAGAATATGCGAGCAAAGGTAATATAGCCTGTTCACTTTCTGATTTCTTAATTTTATTTCTTTTGTATGTGTATATATATATATAGTGGCGGAAGAAACGAATGCGTCGATTGAAACGTAAACGTCGTCGTATGCGTGAGCGTAGCAAATAAACTTGTTCTGCAACGACAATAAAACATAAGCAACAAGAACATGGAAAACAACTTACATATGATTCTTTTTTTTTGTTTGTTTTATTCATTGTTTTAACATAAAGAAATAATAAACATTTGATTATTGTCTTGTCAATTCATAAGATCAACCACTAAGTTCACTTCTCTATTCTATATGAAATTTAGATGGCTTCTGCTTCAAATCAATCTCAACAACAACCTATTAATTATTCTGGTGATGCTCCAACTGCAACATCTTCAAGTGTAACAACTAAAAGTTCAGTAACATTTGATGAAGATTTATTTCTATTTTTACCTCGTCTGAGTGATATTCTTAAAAGGTATAAAATTTGGCATCATTCTGAAATATTGAAATTTCCTCTTTTTTTTAAGTTTCGAAAAAAATCCAAGCGAGTTAAAAGTCAAGTTAGATGAACTTCGAAAACAATTCGAATCTTGTAATGATATGATATCACGTGTTGAAGGTATCGATACAACGATTGATAGTCAACGTTCTGAGCTTGAAAGACTTGATAATGAACTTAAATCTAAAAGTGAATTACTTAAAAAACATATTCAAATGTGTAAATTTGATTTAAATATGCCACCAAAAGCACGACGACTTCCATCTGAAACTGAACAAGAGTTAAATCATCAAAGATCACAAAATCCAACTCATGCAATGAATATTAATGATGACGACGATGATAATGAGGATGATGATCTTTTCCAATCGGATGATAATACTAATTCGCATCAAGAACCAAATAATGAAAGTCTTTCTTCGTTTTTTTCTTAACTGTTGTTAGAAAACTAATGTATAAATGTGTATAATAAATAAAGCAAAATTGTTTCAAATATTTTAGATATATTCTCTAGACCATGGGTCGAACTGTTTTTATTGATACAGATGTAGTAACTTCTCAATTAAATTCACTTCCAAAAGATCGATTTTCTTTTGGTTTTGTTTGTGGTCAATCTACCAAGTCCGAACGTGATTATATTCATTATGCAATCGATGGTATTACATCAAAACAAGCTGATATCAATTCATTTTTTGAATCATCATCAACAAATAAAGAATTATGGGCAAAAATCATTGAAATAACATCATCACTATGTGCTGGTATATCGATTATTGGTTTTTATTGTCGTGCTAAAAATGATCTATTGAAATCAACAAATTTTACATTGAAAATTCGACGACTATTCGATATTCTTCAAAGTGCATCACGAATCTATTCACCGTGGAGTTTAACGCAATCATCACATAGAATATTATTACAATCAGAATTGGGTAGTGGAGCAAACAAATGGTTAGTTAAAACAATGGATATGAGTTCTGATGCTGTTCATTTTCGCCCTGTTGAAATGAAAACTTATGACAGTACAGCTAATTCTATGTGGTGTATGACAACAACCATTCCAATTCAATTTAATGTATGGCTTAATTCAATTGAAAATAAAAATAATAATAGTATGAAATTATTTGAAACTCAATTTGAACAACAATGGAAACAATATACAGACAATCTCAAAGTAAATATTAAATTTAATACCTGAATTGATTACAAAACCATTCTAAATTTCAATTGAATCAAGATAAAGTCTTCATTTAAATCTGTGATTATCTATGTATATTTGTGACATTGTTATTTATGTGATAGTCTATGCCTTTACTATCATTTTGATAACAATAGATTCGACTATTGATTTTGAATTTCTTTGTAATTCATTGAATATATTAGAATTGGTCAATGTTTTATTTTTTCACTTTTTTTTTGTAGGAAAGTCTTTTGTTAATGGATGATCGTTTGCTTTCATTGAATTCATTAAAATTATCATCAAAAACAAGTGAGAATTCTGTTGATATTCAATGGTTATCACCCATTGATTCTATCACACTCAATGAATATTCCAATGAAAATCGTATTTGTTATAAATTTGATGGAGGAGTAAGCCTTCGATTTGTTACATGTAATTCAGATACAACAGGAAATGATATCAGACAATATTTTATTGAAGATCTTTTTCGTTCAATACTTATCCGTTTAAATTTAGCTCTTATTAATAATGAATCAAATAATACTGAAAATATTTCAATAAATAAATTAATCTTACCTCGTCGTATTTATATTAATCAACCTGTTTTTATTTCTGCTTATCAACTTATTCATGAATCATTATCAACTGTTATCGATTCATTACAAGAAAATTTTAAAATAACATCTGTTATGGAAGATGACCTAGAAGCTGCTGAAGAATTTCCACCCGAAATAACAAATGATGAAAGATTAAAACAATTTAATACAAATATAAACCAAGATACTAATCATGAAACATCGACAGCTCCAAAGAGCGTCTATCAAATTGTACTTACATTTATCGAAAAACAATTCGGTACCGGAAATACTATACTAATTGTTTTAATCATTTCAATACTTATTTTACTGATTAGTATGATGATAAAATTATTTACTTGATGCTTTCTTTTTTAACTTTTTGTTTTCAAAAAAATATTTATCTTTGATGTTATTTTAAAGAAAATTGTATGCGAATCGGGAAACTAATTTTTATGTATCTAAAAACAACAATTATAATTTTCTACCGATAGCGTGGAAGAACGGAAAGATTGATTGTAAGTTTCTAAAATCTTTACTTGACCACACATAAGTTTAAATTTGTTTATATCACTGAAGAAAATGTGTACGAGATTAAAAGAACTATTTCTTTGAAGCAATTTGAGTTGCATTAACAGGCCACTAGTTTAAAACTCATGTGATCAGTAGTCACATCATTTTTTTTCTTTCCTCGTTAAATGTTTATTTAAATAAATGGTTCAATGCATGTTGAATGTTTCATCTAATTAGTAATCGCTATTCCTTACATACAATCGATTTACAATTGCAGTACTGTGCAAGGTAATTCGTCCCACACAACATGCTACAAGCTCTAGTTTTATTGATCAGTTTTTCTATTTTGAAAGAAATATTTTCCTATCCATCATGAAAATATCGAAAACTAAGCAAAAACTTGATTATTGACTAAGGGACTGTCCTATCATATCGATCGTGGTTGTATTGTTATGAGACAATGTCTTATATAATATACATTTAGATTGAATAGACGAGCTGTTGATACTTTTATCAAAATACCAGCTGGCAGCATTGATACGAGTAATGGTAATTATGACCAAATCATTTGAAAATACGAGCACCAATCTATCTACAAACAATGAGCGACTATTATAATATATAATCCATTATGTTGTTAAAAATAGTATTTTTGAATAGTTGTATTATATTTTTTCTTATATATGTCATTTGAATAGAAAAGTGCGGTATTATTAGTATTCGCAACTGTAATAAAATCGGCATACAAAAAATTTCTTTCGTACATAATACGATCACGATACATTTGTAGCATTCAAATTCTGATCTACGATAAATGATTAGTTTTTCTCTGTTTATTATTATTTCTACACTGATATTTGCCATTTTACCAACAAGTGAGATACTTCTTTTATCTAGCAAATGTAAGCGTTTATTTATTTTTTAATTCTTCTCAACAGCCCAGCAAATTCAATGTGGAAAAAATGAAACCCCAGTGCGCTGTGTTGAACCGTGCCAACCCTCGTGCTCTTGGGTCAATCGACCGAAGTGTCCAACATTTGCTTGTTCACCAGGCTGTGAATGTTCGCCAGGATATCTTCGTGAAACAAATTCAACAAGTAGTCTATGTATAAAGTGCAATCAGAAAAGTATGCACAAAATAGTCACTTTTCGGTGATTCTAATTTTTTTTTCGTTCGCAGAGAAATGTTCCGTGAACGAACAGCTGTCATCATGTGCTAATCCATGTCAACCTTCATGTTCTTCGAAAAATCGTCCGCCTTGTCCAACATTTACTTGTTCACAAGGTTGCGTGTGCCGAAAGAATTTTTATCGAGCAACAAACGACACTAACAGCCGTTGTATTCGGTGTTAACACACATAGAACTGATCTCTTTTATGATGCTTTAGTTCACTGAAATATCTATTTCCATTAAGAAATAATAAATACTAAACATCGATCACATAATCAATGAGAAAATAAAGTTTACAGACGACTAATTTTTAATCATATTTGTTTATTTTTGGATGAATAGTTTTACAATTACACCATATCGAACCGTCGTAAAATATACTATTTTTCTTAGTTGTTTGCACCTAAAAATAATGTTAAAAATGCATATTCTCATTGCAAATCTCTTCTGAAATTAGTTTTTCTAATCTTCTTGGTTGTGCTCATATCAAGTATCAATAGCTGACGAAGTTTTTCCTTCGAATCACAACGTTAATAATAAAACCTCTAGCGATTTCGAGACTCATACATATATATACACGCGCCATTGATCGCTTTGAGTATGACTTTTTCGTGAGATACAATTATCTCTGAATTCAACTAGTATGAAAACATGAGATAGAAATTATATTAGTCAACCAAAGAAAAATTCACACAAAAAAGGAATCTATATTTTGCTATTTTAACTTTTATACTACTGCTTTCCACGATGTATTTTGACCTAAAACTACGTGAAAATCTACATGAACAAATAAAATTCATGTTGATTCTATTTAAACGCCTAACGATATTTATCTTATGTCAAATAGCATTAAAGCCAATGCAAGCAAATCAATTTTATATTTATTTCATCTGTACAAATGAAGACAAGGGCAAAAGCTCTTTTTATCACTTGACAATTGTGTTTTAGGCGATGTACACTACACGATGAACGCTATTCTATATGTAATTTATATTGTTTTACTCATGATGTAACTAATATTCAAAGATTCGAAGCCAAAAACAAAACAAACAGTTCTTTTAATATTTAATATAAAGAGCCTTTATTGAAAGTTCTTCAAATGTAAAAATTGAAACTGAAGTTATTTTCATAAGCAAACCATAGAAATAAAAACCAGTAAAAGTTCTTCTTTGTCTTTTTTCATGTTATTGGTTGGAAGCGTTCACTTTACCCAACTAAAAAACTTGGAATAAAAGAAACTTATTTTCCCCCATGTGTAATAAAAATCAACTGAATTGAATAATTAGTGAAGATATTTTGCATCCTGGCGAAGTTGATACAGATATAAAAGTGACCCCATCACATTTGAATGGATTCATCATTGTTGTTTATGATTATTAGATTTTGTTTGATCGTAAATTTATTCTTGGTGTAATTTGAGCTCTAATCAGTTGCAAGAGAAATTATTATTTTTGCTCAATATTTAAATTGTTATTGGACTTCCTGATCAAACACTAAATTTGAGTTCAATTGCATTCATTATTAACATTGCATATGTATATCTATGCTAATGATGCATTAAATCATGAATAGAATATATTCTAATATTGAATAAATCAAACTCAGTTATTCTGATATATAACATAGAACAAATAATATCAAATATATTCATCAAGTGATCAAATAAAGTTACTTACTTCTGAAAATATGTAAAATGCCAGGTTTTCTTTTAGTGAAAATCAAACCGCATAATGATTAATTATACCTATGACTGGTTGTTCTGTTTTTATGGTGGTTAAAACATTGATACTAAGGCTAATGTCAACCAAGCGCTATTGTTCGAACACAAAGGATATATTAACTACAATGAAGTTTTCTCGCTCGATTGATAGAGAAAAAAAATCAGGATTCATTTTCTAACATTTTATGTACGAATCATTTATCATCGATCATACATGTGTCAGAGAGAAAATTCTCGATTTCATAAACTTGTACTAAACACGTTAATATTGTAAAGAAATAAAAATTTAAGTATATGTAAAAAGAATTGAATGCTTTGTTCAAGAAATTATCTTTTATGCTCTGCTAAGTTTCTTGTAATCTTCAAATAATAACACTAAAGACGATTAATACAGTACTGAATTGTGTTCATAGTTTCATACTTGGAGTGGTGATTTTAAAATGCAAAGATTTTATCCTTGAACCTGTCTGTTTGATTACAAGAAATTAATCAACATTATTTCAGTTGAGTTTAAAATATTCAAATAAAACTTTTTCTTATTACATCATCACTCTTAATGTTGATCGATTCTTTTTCTTGTGCTGCATGTTCCTGACACAAATGAAAATGTTTGTATAGTAATTATTCCTATTGGATTGATACATAAAGAATGCAAAGAATGTTTGTTGACTGATCTTTGAATATGGATTCATTTCACCAAATTTTTTATTTCTTCAATTAAGTTGTGTTACGTATGATTTATTTACGTCACCGATTATTAATCACAGTTTACTGATTTCGTTAGATTGAAATATTACGAAGTATCTTATTCGATTAAATGTAAGTGTACTCCATTTTTTTCAATATTTAACTATATGAAATTTAATGACTCTATTTTGTTACTCGCGCTTGCTATTACTTTCAATGTAATTTATTATTATATCATATTAAACATACGAAAAGATACGCAAAATAACTATTAATATCAGCGAAACAAAGATAAGCTTTTTACCAATTGGTTTATTGTAACGAGGCATAAGACAAAAAAGCTATCATCGATGATAAAAAAAGTTAATAGAAAAGTTCAGAACTTGATCCGAACGGAAACGATGATGCAATAGACTCTGATAAGTAATCTATGCGTATGCCAGATTATTTAAAAATATTCGTTGAATTAATTATAGTTGAATTACTAATGATTATAAATCATATTAATTAGTCAAACAGTAGTAGGGCAACATTACCTCTAGTATTTTCTTAATGAAATAAGAAACAAATCTTTATAAAAAAAAACAAACAGACTGTAACCTATCGACCTCCTAATGTCGATGATGATATTATTAATATCATTTCCTCTCAAGGCTAGTAAGATGTTTCATATTTTTACGATAAAGTCATTTTGATTGTCAATCAAATAACTAAACACATAACATCATCGATAACTCTTTTATGATAAACATATTAAGAAATTATGACTTCCATTCATTAATGACTTTCGTCAGATTCTATATCAAGTATAACAAGAAGGCATCAAATTTCACTCCGCTTCCGATTTTTTACCGACGTCGAGCTCTAGTCAGAATTCGCAAAAACATGTGAAAAAAATCAAGAAACCATTTATGAATATTCTTCAGTATATACATTTTAAGAATAGAGTCTAATAAAAAAAAAAACGTAAAGACACTCTATGAGATACAAGTAATGCTATGGATGCCGAAACGATTTCTATTGAAGCTTGTTATGAAGGACGTAACGTCTACTGAAACAATTATTCGGGTGTTTGTTGACCTTGATCTTCTATTGAGATACGGACACTTCACTACTAGTAGTTTGTGTGCCAACTTTTTTTCTTTCTCTGTTTTTTCTTTTTTTCTTTCTCTTCTTCATTTTTTCCTTCTATTTCTTTTTATTTCTCGTTCATTCTGAATGAAAAAAGGTACTTCGTTCGCAGAAGACGAGCCGCAAAACATTTGTTGTTTCTATATCGCGGTTTCTCAACAACAGTCGTATTAAGCGTCAAGAAAACTATTTTTTCTCTCTCCGTAGACTGACGAAAACTCTGAGATAACATATTTTACTCTCTTCTTTTTGTGCTTTTTTCTCTCCCATGTGCTGCCATCGTCATTGTGTAAATCGCGCAAGAAACCGCAAGCATGATTGAAATCACATTTTCATCAGCGGATGTTATTTTTTATATCATTTATCAATGTTTAAAAGCAGATAAGCCTCTGTGAATTAAATTAAATGCATTGCGATACCAGATTACTTATTGTAAATTTTCTCTTCATTACTAAATTTATATGTTTTTGTCAATATTCGGATGAACAAAGTTACTTATCATTGATTGAATTTAATCGTGGTGGCCCATCAACAAGTGTGATAATTTCATCGCCGCATGGTGGTTTTCTTGGCAGTGATTTTACATCAAAAAAATCAGGGAAAACATCAGTACATGGAACTCTAACAGAACCGCTGTCACCGTTACCTATCGGCGGTTGTTACAACAATACATTAGATCGTTGTATATATTCATTGCAAGATTGTTTAAGATCGGATAATGATTACACCGACAAAATTACTTTTCATCCTGATGCAAGATGCATCATGGATCGCAGTTCAACATCAACAATGTATGCACTAGCTAAAGCTGTTGCTGAAGAATTTTTAGCCGAACGTCGACCGTTTACTATTTTAAATAAACTCACTCGTCAATATGTTGATCCAGCAGAAGATCTAGTTCTGGGAACATTTTTACTTGAAAGCTCTACTCGTGTCTATATGGATTATCATCGATTTATATCTATGGCAAAAGAATCTATACGTCCACGATCACATGGTCTTTTTATTGAGTTTGTTTTTCATAAAAATTCACAAACAATACAACTTGGCTACGGCTTTGAACCAAGTCCTTCATCAATGATTAGTAAACCATCGCAATCAACAATAACTGATTTAGTTTCACGCTTTGGTTCAAGTGTTATTAAGGGAAATCATTCTCTTGGCTATTTTTTACATCGCAATGGATTTCCACATGTTATACCACTAGAACAGCAAAGACAAATTAAATATCGTTTATCAACTCATTCTACACGTACGCATGCTGATCAACGATTTAATGCAATTTTATTCTCATATCCAATTGAACGTTTAAGGACGCATACGCTTAAGTTAGAAGCAATACGAATCACCAAGGCTATCGAGCAGTTTATAGAAATGAATCATATTAAATCTGACTCTGCGTCATCGCTATTATTTGCCAATTCTATCAAGATTTTGTTGTTATTCTTGTCACAAATTTTCTTTCATAATATGCAAATGTATCGTTGACATCATGCCATTTTTTCCCTCTCTTTTTTTACCGTGATCAGCTTTCATTGCAGTTGTCATTATAGTCATACATTTTTCACGTATATATTCTTTCTATGATGACATGAAAAAGAAAAGAAAAGAAACGGAAACAATAGATTTGGGAATCGATAAAAATAAATAAATTAAAGAATTATTTTTAAATGAACTCCAATCAATTGTAAATGAAACTATCTGTGATAATCATTACACAGTTCGATTTCTCTTTTCTATTAAAGTTCAACAAGAATATAAATAGTATAAAATAACAGATGCTGTATGTCGCGTCTGAACCAATCGTGTACATAAATCGAATGAACATAGTTTATCGCCAGCTGTGACATAATGCTCATTTTCTCCATTAAGCTGAATACAATTTATTTTCTTTTTTGTAATCATTAACTTTAAACATATAAATTGATAAAGAGAGAAAGAGAGACAAGAGGCACACAACTGTTCTATTATGTTATGTTTAAGAGAAAAATAAAACAGACAATCACGCGGACCTGCCGATAAGTATAATTTATAAGGAGAAAGTCGAAAGAATTTCTTATCTGACAATGACATGCATTTAAAGTCAATCGAAAATCAAGTTTTATCTAGACTGAATTGTATGTATAATTTCGGCAACTGCTGCCAAATGAACAATTTAATAATTTACATGATGGACATTCGAATGATAGGGTATAAAATAATGTTATTAATACAATGAATAACGCAATTGTTGTTGCCAATGCTGCGGTAATAACAACAAGGCGGCGAACATTTTTTTTATAGCTAACATCTGGAAAAACGATCATATTTAACATGAAACCAGTAAGAAAGCCAAAACATTGCGAGTAATTATCAACTAATGGTAGTAAGCCAACAGTAAATAATAAGAAGAGACATATGATTATTTTAAAAAATCCTGCCCATGGTCTTTTTAATGAACGCCAACCAAGAAATAATTCACTGAGATAACAAGCAAGTATTGCAAATTGTCCACCACCAGGTCCAACTTGAACTGAATCACGTAAAAATAATGCACTTGCTAGACTTCCAACAAAGCCAGAAACAATATAAATGATCATTACACGAATACAACCAGCTAACTTTTCTAATGGGCGCATGATTGTATATTGAAATATAATAGTTATTAATAAATGAATTATACTAAATAAAACAAAGAACTAATATATTTTTTTGCATTAATTTAAATATTCTACCCAGCATGAATAAAGATAGCGGTCCAAAATCGATAGACTTGATCGGGCAAACGTGCTAATATATATATATATATATACATATATATGAATATAATTTAATAAAACATGAAATCAATAAGAAAAACTGTTTATCTTCTTACCAACGAAAAATTCTAGCATACCACAAACATTCTGGATACAATCAATCTACATTCAAATCTTCTTTAGGTTTTTAATTATTTCAATTTTTCTATCTCACTTGAGAACATAAATGAGCTCGTGGATGATATGTTCCTCGTCGCCGATGACAATCATCACTTGATGTTAATATACAATCTCCAAGTATGCCTGTACAGCATGGTCTTGCTACAAAAAAAAACAACATTTGTATATAAAACAAAACGATTTCTTCGCAAATCTACCTATATTTTTACATTGCATATGTGGATAAAGAGACATATTATTAACTATGCGACTATGATCTTGTTCGAGACAAACCTAAAAGATTGAAATCACCTTTCTGTTGTTCTTTTCTTTGATATAAATTTTTATACCGGCCATTTAACAGCATTTGGCGACCATTTAAAAATGTTTGAATCAACTAATGTTGATGGCCATGAGCTATCATCTTCTCGTGCTCGATTACCAATTAATCGTTTAGTACATGTTCTAAAAAAATATGAAGACATAAAGAAGAAACAAATGAAATTTAACACTGTAATTACTCTGGTGTAAGTCCACATACAGCAGGATAGATAATATTATTTTCATCTTTGAGATTTTTACCTATGATTGATGTTCGATGCCATGTCAAACCTGCACGTGACTAAAAAAACAAATTAGCTGACAACTTTATTTGAAATTTAAAAATTCTGATTATTCATACAAAACATTGTTGAGATAATGTTTGCATACAATAGCCAGTAGTTGAATCAATACAACAACCAGACATAGCTTCTAATCGTGCTTGTTTTTCATATCGACTTTTAACTTCATCATGCGTACGAATACATGGTGTATATTTTGCTCCTAATCGAATTAAATCGGCTGGATATGGACCAAACCATGGATTCATTGTTAAATCAAATTTTTGTTGTTTAAATATAGAAGTATTTTTCTAGAATAAATGTTTAGTGCTCAAAACAAAAGAAACATATATATTTAATAATTACAGATTGAGTAGATGATAATGGAGCATTACCATAAACAATTAATGAAATGACACAAACAATAATTTGAACAAATGTTACCCAATATGTAAAGTATGGACGATGTAAACGATAAGATTCATGAATTTCAGCTAATTTTTTATTTTGTTGTTTTAATGATTGATGATTAGAATGAGAAAAATGAGAAAGAAATGCGTGGAGCAGACCATTTTTATCTATAGTTTATAAAAATAAGAAATTGATCAGAAGGGAAAATAGAAAACAAAAGAACTATTTACTCGGTAATTGTCTTTGACTAGAAGTATTAATTCGAGAAGTAACAATAGTTGGACTTGGAATACTATCATTTTCTGGGCATGTCTTCTGAGTACTAATAATAAATTTAATAAATGAAGATATTATTAATATATATTTTTTGTTTTACCCAAGATATGAATCTACATGATCACACTCATTAATTCCAATCGGTTCTGCTCGTGTTAAATCTTGTTGACTACTTTTATTTATTGATGTAATCTTTTTTAAACAAATACCAGCTTCATCGGTTTGTTCCTCTTCGTCCTGTTCCTATGTTGAAAACAAAAAAAAGAAAACATTTTTTTATTCAAAATTATTGAGCAGAAACAAATGAAGAACAAAGCAACAGCAAAAAAGCAAATAAAATGAGTGTCATTGATGGAGCAAATGTTCTATCGTTATGCGAGCAGTCTATATGCATATATTAATGACACAAATTTAGATAATGTGTCTACCTCATGTAATGATTCCGCTGCACGTATCGGTTTCGTGTGTGATATCTCGTCTATCTTAAAACGATGTCTTATTAGAATCAAAGTGGAATCATTTTGTTATTACTTACAGCAAGTAAATTTCGAACACCGTAAACAGCCATACCCAAAATCGATACACGTTTAGCACTCAATGCTTCAGAATCCATACTGTCAGATGTGAGAATTTGTTGTGTCGGAACCATAGCTCTGACAAGAAAGAATTTATGTCAGAAATGTACTAAATTAGAAGTAGTAATAATATGTCTTACTTTTGCTCAATGTCAGTATCTTGTTCATTAACACCAATTTGATCGACAACATCATCTTTTAATTCTCCACTAAACATACTATATTTACTTAAAAAATTATAACGTCTTTGTTGCCAATTATCTTTATGTAATGCTGGTGCAGCAGCTGTTGCTAACGCCGGGCTCATATTCAACTGCATTACACTAAAGTAAGCATAGAAAAAACTGATGTAGATCAAGAATTTTTCATAAAAGCTAATCTATCTTCTTTTTTTGTTTATATATATATTATCTCACGACTACTTTTATTATCTACCGATCATATCGAGTGATTTGTTCGGAAGCAGTTCGTCTCTTTCTTATAGGCGTTACTGTTACATTGCCTCCAGGTAGTTGTCGAAGAATTAGACCAGTTGAAGGTAATAATACTTGTGATTTAAGTCGATTTTTAAATCTCATCGTTGATGTTGTATGTTCATTCTGTTGTTGCTGTTGCTCATCACCGTTGTCGGCCATCTGTTTCTTTTAAATAGGAGCGTTTAACTACTTTTGTGTGAAACGTGGAATACGAGTAGTCCAAGAAAAAAAAGTTGCAAAGAAACAAATGCTTCACTTCAGCTGTTCTGTTATTTGAATAGCGTCGGTAGGAAAAATATGAGAAAGACTAAAAGAAACTCACAAGAGAACAATTGTGAAAAAAGAAATAGAAAAAATTTCATTGAATACTTTTTGAAGGTAAGATGTAGAATAGTAAATATATTTTAGAACAAATCAATAATATTTAATCTCTAAAATTATCTAATAGTAATAACTGAAGAGAAAATAAAGAATAATCATTGTAATTAGTTTCTTGTTTCTACGTTGGACAATCGAGAAAAGAAACGTACTAGTTACAGTGTTGTAAACGAAGAAATTTATTCGTATATCATGAAGAAGAACTTGTTTATTTCTATTGTTATTTGTGAAGATGATAATTTATAAGAAATAAAAATAATATTAATTCTATTGAATCGGATCTAATCCGACTCAATATTCTTGGTTGGGTTGATCGATGAAAACAGAAAACTGGCATAGAACATATTTCTTACAATATTGATTAGAAAACAAGTTAATATATTTTCCTAAGCGAAAATAACAGTGAACTAATGAAGAAAAACCAACTCTTTTGACAGCGATTCTGTTATTGTCTATGATGATGTATATTTTTGCTTTTCATTTAGTATTCATACTACATGGACGTTAATCGGCAAAGCTGCGCGAATACATAACTATATTATTATCGATAGTAGCTGCTGTCATTTATAAATAGAAGAACTCGTTGTCAAGAAGAAACGGAAGTAAGGAAGGAGTGGTTTTTGTTGTCGCTTTCTGTGAATAGTGAAGATACTACTGCGTATATCCCGCTGCTCTTTTTTCTTTGTTTTTTATATTACTGTTTTCTTTTGTGTTTCATCCTTCGTCGGAACACATAACAATATTAGGCATATGTAAAAAAACCTGGAACATCTTAGTATAGATGTAGAACTACCAATAACAAATTGAGTCACAAACATTTATCGTTTATTGGTATTTGCTTAATATAATCTAAAAATATCTAAATATTTCTCTCACCTATTCGACTTATTTATATAATCATTGTCAATTACAATTGTAGGAGTCGAGGATGAAAGAGCTAAATATTCATTATTTTTTATTTCACCATCTTGTTCGATAATTTGGTTTCCATTAATATTACAGGGTAACAAATGATAATAAATAATAGAAGATTTTGATGATGTCATATTCTCATCAACCAAGACGCTACTGTTCGACGTATACAAAAGACATCAAGTTATGCTGTTGAATACTTTCTATCGAACTCTTCTGCATACGTGTATGCATGTGTATGAGTGTGCATCACAAAAAGTCTCATTCTTGTTCCATGTACATAAGCAAACTTGTTACTTGTACACGTCGTTTTCTTTCTCGTGTTATTTTTTTCTGGTTGACCTTATCTACGTTTGATCGCAGACATCACCATATCGACTTTGTTTTTTCTTCTCAATAGGTTACAATCACCATTATACATCAATTTCGTTCAGGTGGTACGATATTCTTTCTTTATAATATATCAGATTGCCTTCTGTATACGTCAATAGAACGGTAAACCAATGATTGGTAGGATTAATAATTCGCTTTTGTTCTTCTTCGTGTTTGTTATTATTGTTCTAGGTTCTTTGATAAATGTTAGGAAAGTTAATTTTGAACCATGCTCAGCACTTTCTATGAAAACGTTCCGAAATCCGGATGTATTTGGTTATTTTTTTCTCGTAGAATCCATTCGGATATATGATTTTATTCTCGAGTACGCAATTCAAGAATAATTAAGTTGCACATTGATATGAGAAATAAAATAATTCCGAGATCAACTAAACAACGTATTCGACATCTTCTCATCTAAAGTTGACACTTATCCCTAAATTATTAATCTAATATATGTATGTGTACATGTATAGAAAAACTTAATTATTCATGCGCTTTATATAAACGATTTATAGTTGAGTTTAATCTTATATTTTCTATATTCTTTCCATTATTATTTTATATTAATCAAAGATATGTGGTACATAGTAGAATAAAATGAGATTACAGGCGAGTGGATCAGATTACATGATGAAAATTGATCTAAGAAGCCTTACCGCTGTGTTAAATTATACCACCCAACCGGCGCACTATTATTAGTGAATGAAGCCATGGGTGTTGAATTGGGCGTAAATTTTTCATGCTCAAGTACGCCTTCAACAGCAACTTTCCATAAAAGACGACCGCGTGATCTATTTTCGTTTCCGTTTCCTTTATTATTCGGATTATTCGATGATGAAAAAGATTTTCTCGGCTCGCGATGCAATGAAGTTGTCGATGAACGAACTACAAAAATAGATTTTTACGATAAAGAATACTGATAAGAAAAAAAACAAAATTTCATATATACGTTTTTGAGTTGACTGAAATCTAATATGATGATTCTCGCTTTCAGCCATTTGTTTATCAACAAGATATTCTCATTTATATCAGATAAATAGAGTAGTGTTAATTGGTTTTCTTTATTTTTCAATACTTATAAAAATAAAACTCTGATTTGATCACTTTTGCTAGTGTATCAATAGAATTATAAAATAAATTAATGTTCTATATAGATATGTCATGTATCATACGAATAATTCAATTGATTGATAGTGATGATTGGATACTGTGATTTGATGCTGAGAGACATCTTAAAATGTTATCAATTTGTAACAGAGGACGCTGTGTAACGACTAAAGGCACATTTATTTTCCATGGGACACAACAAGCTGACAGTATAGAATAGCAAGGCACTCTCGTTGATGCCAGAGCACTATACTACAATATTTCAAATCAAATTTCGCCTGAGATTATTTATTTGTTATTTTTGGTTTCTTTATCGTTTTAACGACGATTGAAGCCGTGCAACAGACCATCAGCTCCAATAATCAAAAGACAAATATTTTATAAAATCATAATGAAATATTTCAGAGTCAATAATGTATTGTGTTATATATAAAACAATGATTCTACCGTTCATTACAGTTATTGAGATCCTTATAAGTATGAAATTAGTTTGTTTTCATAGATTATATTCTAGGTACAATAATCATGTAAAGAGAACATAAAAAAATATACAGTTTAGATCGTTATCTAGGACTACAGAGTATATTATTAAAACATGAATGTTTATCATAGAAAATATTTATTATCAAATCCATTACTTTATCAAGTATCTTTTGCTTTTCTTCAACGACAATCCCACCAGGTTTGTTGTTTCAATATAATTAAATGTATACCTTAACGAAACATGTTGTCTTATCTATTTTGTCTAACTATATACCTCTGAGGATGTGAAGGTTTTTTTTTTGTTCTTTTATATTTATTTTTTTTTTGTTATCGGTTTTACTTTCCGATGATGATATATAAGAGGCCGGACCATCATCATAAAAAAATACAGGTGTGTGCGACTGCAACAAAAAAGATATAAAACTATTATATTACAGCTGTGTGAATCTAAGATAACGAGCAATTTTCAACAGCCATTAATTTATTTTTCGCCATGCCAATACAATCGCCTATTTATCTAATTGCTAGTGGTGACTCACGTCTTGCTGCTAATCAAACATGTTGGGAAGCACAAGATAAACTCGAACAAGCACTAGCAACAGCTCTTCAATCACTTGGTCACACAGTAAAACGTGCACATGAATACAATGAAAATAAAAAACATGGTTTTATTGATAGTCAACGTATGGGTATGAATGTATTTGCAAGTTTACCAGCCAACGATGTTCCATTGATTGTTGCTGAAGCTGTTTGGCAATATTCTCATCATGTCTTAGCTGGGTTGACAACACATAAAGGTCCAATATTAACTGTAGCTAATTGGTGTGGGCAATGGCCAGGTCTTGTTGGTATGCTTAATTTAAATGGCTCATTAACAAAAGCTGGTGTGAAATATAATACATTGTGGTCAGTTGATTTCACTGATGAATTCTTTTTAAATAAACTTAAAGAATGGCTTGAAACTGAAACTATTCAACATGATTTATCGCATGCACGGCCATTAAAAGAATGTAAAAAAATACCAGATGAATTACAAGAAATAGGAAAACAAATAGCAGAAGATATATTAAAGCATAAAGCGATTATGGGTGTATTTGATGAAGTAAGTATGAGTATTATTTTTATTTTTATTAGAGCTTTAAACAATTTTTTATTAAATGCCTCTTTTTTCTGCCTAGGGTTGTATGGGAATGTATAATGCGATCATATCTGATGATCTTCTTCATAAAATTGGTATTTTTAAAGAACGTCTCAGTCAATCAGCATTGTTTTTTGAAATGCAACAAACAAAAGATGAAGAAGCTCGCGCAGTATATGATTGGCTCAATGATAAAGGCATGAAATTTGATTTGAAAGAACAACCAAATGATTTAACAGATTTAACAGAAGAACAAATTCTTTCTCAATGTAAAATGTATATTGCTGCTGTACGTTTAGCAAATGATTTTGGTTGTGATTTAATTGGTATTCAATATCAACAAGGTTTAAAAGATTTAGTTCCAGCTTCAGATTTAGCTGAAGGCTTATTAAATAATGTTGATCGACCACCAGTCAAAGATCGTACAAATAATAATATTCTTTTTGAAAATGCTGCCGTACCACATTTCAATGAAGTGGATGAATGTGCTGGTGTTGATGCATTTATTACTAATCGCGTATGGAATCGATTAGGTTATGCACCCGAAACAACACTACACGATGTACGTTATGGTGAAGATTATAATGGTGTATTTACATGGGTATTTGAAATATCGGGTGCTGTTCCACCAGAACACTTAACCGATGGATATAAAGGCGCTATTAGTTTTCGTCAACCACCCATGTATTTTCATAAAGGTGGTGGTACAATTCGTGGTGTTTCAAAACCTGGCGAAGTTGTTTGGAGTCGTATTTACACAGAAGATAATCGATTGAAAGCTGATATTGGTCGAGCACTTGTTGTTGAATTACCACAAGAGGAAAATGAACGACGTTGGCGTGATACAACACCACAATGGCCTATTATGAATGCACAATTACTTGGTGTTAGTCGTGATCAACTCATGGCAAAACATAAAGCTAATCATATTCAAGTAGCATATACACCTACTGCAGAAGATGCACAAAAAGCATTAGCAGCTAAAGCAGCATGTTTTCAAGCATTGGGTATTGAAGTTATTGTATGTGGTACCGAATCAGGCCTTGAATAAATTAATTGAGACCCATTCGTTTTTGATAAATTAGTTTTTCTAATTTTTTTTTTAGTGATTTTATTCATCATTGTTCTAAATAATAAGAACAACATCTTTTTTTCTAATTAGAAAAAAAACAAAAGTAACATGAAAATGTGTACTAAAGTATACAATGTAAAACTTAAACAAACAAAACTTTTATACAAGAGATTCTATTATAAATGCTTTGAAATAATCTAACAAATTAAGATAATCGATCGACTTTGCGTTTCGGTGTCGATGAAGATAAGCAAGGTTTGGAAGAATTGAGTTCCGCTGGCTTTAAACGTCGTTCAATATCATTAAGCACAGGCTAAAAATGAAATCTTTTTTAGTAACAAAAACTTCGACAAAATGTCAATAGAATTAAAATTAAGAAGTTATATCTGCCGTTTTTTTTGCGATATGAAAAATCTTTAACAGATAATATACTCGATCATTCACACGAGCTCGTATTTCGTGAAGAGAAATTATTTGATTGAAATATTTACCATAAGATATTTTTTCCATGCTAAATGTTCTTCTTGATCATAATCATCTTCATTGTTTTCATTCGTTTCAACGGTATTCGGAAAATTTTCTTTTAGTATACGATATGATGCTAATGTTTTTATATTAAGTTTACTCAGGCAAAATGCAATATTTGCACGTTTTCGATCATCGCCACTAAAATGAATTGAATAGATAAAATCTAGTATATTTAAAAATGATGTTGTTATTTTTATATTACCATGCTTGTTTAAATTGTCGACAAAGGCGTTTAACTAATATTTCACAATGACGATCATTTTTAATAAATGAAAAGAGATAGGAAATAATTTGTTGAAATGAATCAGTTGAACATATATTATTCATTGATAGACGTGATATTATATCGGGTAGTACATTAAATAAAGCGAGACCACGTTGACGTAATGATAATTCATCAAAAAAATGTTGAGCTATACTTGATATTGGTGTATGAGAATGAAATAAACACAATGCTATTTCACTAATATAACCACGAACCTAATTTAAATTAAAAATCAAATGAAAGATTGCTTTTTCACTAAAGGCGACTTTTTCCTTACTTTAATCATTTCTCGTAAAATAAGTATTGCAATAGTACATAATGCTGTTTCACCAACACTTAAATCTATGTCATGAATTTGTGCGTAAAATTGTGGTGTAAATGGTTCAATTATATTTGGATGTCTATAATGGAAAAAGAAATTAATTAATGAAATCAATAGGGCAATTAATTTACCGTAGAAGAAGATCGCCAAGAGAAACAATTAAAGCAGAACGTACAGATGAATACGCGCATATTTTAGAAAGTTCAAAGATTCGATCAACATATTTTGAACATAGAACCGATGACACATACATCATACGAGTACAAGTTAGAATACTGGTTGAAACAAGATTTTCATCATACAATGAATGATCTTCATAAATGAACTAGAATGAAAAAACAAGTAGTAGAATTCGAAAATTTCCGTTTGATTGAATTTAGTTGAACTCTGGAAATTTTACAAAAATAAATAATCATGTCAATACAATTATTCACAATGATCCTTTCCATTGAAGCTTTATCTCAGCCGTTGATGAAACAATATTGAGTCACATTATTCAACTGAGAAGATTGCTGCTATGAGATTTTCACTCGAAACAGTGTTGACTTCACTAGAAAAGTCCGCTTCATTTTCATCGTTGTTCAACAAGACAGAATAAATCGACGTAGAATATATGAAAACATTAGCAAGACTTTTGAATGCATTAAATTCGATAAGATTTCCTGCTCAACTATATCTAAAGTATAGTTGCTTTTAGCTGGAATTACTAGAGTATTGAAAAAACAGATTCAAACAAAAGATTATAACAGATTGCATTTGCAATTTTCGTAACTAGATCGGACCTAATCGAATCTGGACGAGCAGATTCTGATTGTGATTATATTTGTTTTTGAAATATTTTCTCAACTTTTCATAGTTTCTAAATCACTGAAGGGAAAACTCTGCTGAATTCAACTAGAAAAACTAGAGATTTAAAATTATTATTCTTACTGTTTCCATCCATTTTTCAATTGAAGAAAAAAATGTATTTGATTGAAGTAATTCATTTTCAAGTTGGCTAAGATCAGAATTTTGCTGTTGAATCGATGTGGCATCTTCTTGGTTATCTGTATTGTGCTGATTATTTTCATCAACAAATTGTCTTGATGATGATGATGATGATGACGATAGCAAAGAATTTTCATTGTTAGTTTCATTATCATCATCATTGGTAATAAAAGAATCATTCTCTTGTTGAACTTTTTTAATTGATGATAAATTAATACATTCAATTTTTTGTACTCGATGACTTAATAAAGCATTTATTGATGCTAACATCCGAATGAATATTGTTCTCCATGATATATCATGTACTTTCGGTTGATAATCTGTATAGTCGAATGACCAATGAATCTGATCAGCTAATGCCTGATGAAATTTCATCATTAGATCATTGGCTGAAAGTTGATTAGGTTCTTTAAGAAATAGAATAGTTATGAATTGTTTCATACAATTGATCCATAAACGTTGATCACATTTTATATCAGAATCAAGCAATTTTTTAATGATTAAATCATAAAATTCATTGGGAATGCTATATGAACTTTTTGCTGTTAATATATTTGAAATAATTTGCAGTTGATATCGAACATATTCAAGGTTCTCTGAACTAATTTTACGTAGAAAATTTTGAATAATGCAATTGAAATGTGATGATAAACGATGTTTTTTATCATAGGGAATAACTAATGATATTAATTGTAAGAATGATGATTGGCGTTGACGAATTAGTTTAATAAAATCGTCAGACGAGTTTTTTTTTGAATTATTTGTTGTTAATTCCAAATAGTAATCAAGAAGAGCATCAATAAAAGATAATATATTTGCTGTTACTGATGCAGATTCGCTGAGAAGTTGTTTTAGTATATGCTCAAATGTTAATGTTAAATTTAAATCGATATGATCAAGTAATTTTTCAATAATTATTTTTGATGATATCCTATAGGGAGAATTTAAAAAAATATATCCATCAAATTTATTAATCAACCGATTGATTTGCTAAAAAGGAGCTGAGAAAATAAAAATTGTAAATCTGATAAATCTATTCGTCAGATTAATCTTTTATTTTCATAAAAATAGATGTTTAAATTTCATGGTTAAATTAACTTTTTATAGAACAATATTTTCTATAGGAATTGATATTACACTTTTTGAGTAAATTTCAACTAGTAGTGAATATCTGTACGTACTTTTCATCTGTATTATCTTCATCAACTTTAATACAAATTCGTTTAAATGCATTAATAACAGCGTTAGAAATATTTTTATCATTTGACCAGATCAATGAAAACATATCTTGTTCAAGTTTCTTGTACGCAGTCGATTCACATTCAAACGTTGACCACTGATAAAGAAAGAAGAGAAAAAATGATTTTAATTTTTTTGAAATGTAGTTATTTTTAAATCATACCAAAACAAGAAAATCAATTATTTCAAGAACATCACTTGTTACTTTTGAACTTAGCAAATAGAACGTATCTTTAGCAAGAAATCTTCGAAGATGATTACAAAAATCAGTTGCATTATGTAGATAGGATCTAGAAAAATGAATCAATAATTGCCAATAGAAATAATTCATTTTCTTTTGCTTACACAAGTTTCGATTGTTTAACCATATTATCGAATAATCTTGTTGCCTTTTCATCTGGTTCTTCATCGTCGATTATTTCGATATCAGAGTGAGTAGATAAACAATTATTGAGTTTACTTTGCAACTGCATTAATTTACTCATTTCAACATTATATTTTTCAAATGATGGTAATGATTCATCAGCTGAATACATTGCGCAAACGCGTTGCTTTTGTTCAACAATACGTTCAAATAAAACATGTTGATTATCAAGATCATTCTCGTGTTCCTCTTCATACGTTTTATTTACATCATCTGGAACACTTTCTACCTTTAATGTTTGTCCTAATAATTTTTGTAATCGAATTAATTTATTCATTTCAGCATTGTATTCATCAAGCATTTGATCAATTGGAAGAAACTAAAGAAATAACAAACGCTATTAGTAAAATATCTGAAGGAATTAAAATATGAAAGATTATGTGACTGCTGCTGTCATATTACAAGGAGATCGTTTTCCCAGGATTACCTTAATCAATAGAAAGGAAATCAGATCCAGCGCTCGATGGCAATTGTTCAAAACGGAAATATTTATTGGTATGTCGTAGTAAAATCAACTTCACTGATTGAATTAAGCTCCTGAATAAGAACTAAGTCGTGTTCTATGCTGAAATACTTTTGATATGCAGTTATTACTGCCTTTGGGAACTTTATACTTCAACACTTATCTTAGAACAGTTTTTTTTATATAAAATTTGCAATAAACTATCGTTTACCCTATCTGTATACGGATTAAATTTGAGTAATTTTGTTGCTAACTGTATAGCATGTTTTCTTACGATACATGATGTATCATTCATTCGTTCAAAAGTTGCTTGTGTTAAATGACAATAAAATTTAGTTGGAATTAATTTTGATTCAACCAAATTCATACATAAACCAATGGCATGCGATCGTACATGAACGTTAGAATCCAGAAAATATTGATCAATTATTAAAAGAAATAATTCACCACGTAATTCTTTATATTCAGATAATGATGAACAATAGCGAATTATATTTACACAAATATTTAACAAACAATTACGCATTTGTAAACAATCACTATCGAATAAATCCAGTAAACGATTGATATAAACTATTAAATGATCAGATATATGAGTGGATAATTCATCCAGCAATTTTGCCATTGTACGAGAACTATTTGATTCGTTTTGGGTATTTGATTGTGAATTATTTGAACGACATGAGCCATTTGATAGAGATGATTGAATCATTGCAGGAGACAAACATACATGACAAATATCACTAGAAATAAATAAAATATTCTCCTTTTTCTTTTTCATCATATGTTTGGATATACTCACTTAATAATTCTTTCTAATAATGTGTCTGTTCGAAAATGTTTTACATGACAAACAACAACAGCTGAATAGATGGTGGCTGTATGTTCTTGAATTTGTAACATTTGAATAATTTTCATACTAGACTCTAAAATATGAAAAAGTATCATTAAATAACGAGAATAAACATATTTGACTGAATATCACATCTTTGATAATATTCAATTTTTTCTTAAAGACAGAATCAGATTTCTAGATGACACCATCTGAAATAGTAGCGATTTTACTTAGGATCAAATCAGATAGTATGTTTGTGAACATAAGGTTTTTCATATTATTTTTGTATAAATATCCTATGAATTCATGAATCAATATATATACTCTAAATAGATCAATGAGTAATCAACACATTGAAATATTCAGATGACGATTACATTTAATCATTCATTATTTAAACTTAAAACTGTTCGAGGAAATTACAAATTAATGTAGAACAATAGGCGTTCTATTATTTTTCAGTGCATCGTTTTCCAAAAGAAAGGACTTATTTGTCATTCTTAGGGTTCAAATGTTGATATTGTTGCAATCAAATAATCTTTTAAAATAGTGATACTAGTCTCATATGGCAGTAAATCATTCTGATGATAAATTTGTGTATAGAAATCTGCTCAGATGTTATGAAAATAGAGCTTTGTTGGTGTTCTATGGTTAGTCCGGTTTTAGGCGCTATTCAATGATAGATTAGATCGAAAATATGAACATTATCACCGACGATCTCGTAACTTAAATTACCTTCTTCAAGACGAAATAATCCAATAGTTAAGGCTAATATAAATGATAAATAATCTTTCACTGTTCTTGATCGTGATGAAAATTGATTATTTCGAATAATTGTTAAACATGCATCGACAATCGTACTAAAAGGTTGTTCTTGTTTCAAAAAGAATACAATAGAAAGAATAAATATCTTACTTCCCAATTTGTTGATCTTCTAATCGTTCAGTTTCATGCCAAAATTGTCGAAGATCAAGTTTAATGAAATTCGTAAACAAATAAAGTATTTCATCGCGTTCATTAGTACACCAATCAGTATAACAAGTTTGAACGGACCATTTCTGTTTTTTATTATTTTGAGTTCCATTACGTTGATCATTATCACTAATTAAATTCTCAAGTACAAGTAAATATCGACAAAGAAGATCTAATGAGAAAATAATAATTTGCCGGTAAACATCATCGCCATTAGTTTGCTGATTTGAACTGATTGACTGAATTTCATCTTGTATGGCTAAATAAATCAAATATTTTCATTCTTTTTCTGATATATTTCACATTTCTTTCTATTTTAGTATGAAAACGAAAATGTTAAAATCGATAATGAAAATTTTTCTCTATGTTTTGACTCTCGCTCTTACATTAGATATTTACCTTCTTTGACAAGACCACCGAATACTTTTCGAACGTCATGTGATCGTTCAACATGTCTGAAAAATATACATAAAAATAGTTTTCTTGTTTTGCACACGTATGATACATACTCAATCAGATCATCGATAATAGCATGTAGCTTTGAGAGGATATGAGATGGATTATTACGTTTATGCGATTGACATTCTATGAAATTGATTTGCAAATATAAGGAAAATAATGCTTTAGTTATTTTAATATACAAACCTCTGAATAATTCGTTTAATTCTTCCTTGGTAATAACCATAATGATGGAATTTTATTAATTATCTATTTATTACATCTAAAATTGAACAAAAGCGCCATTATTATAATCACAAACTACGTCTATCTTGTTTTCTCTTTAATGGAAAATGAATCCGTTCAGTTATCAAGCACAGAACAACAGTCCGAATCTCAACAGTATGATGTTATTTTATGCATATATGAAAGCATTCATTGATGATACTATTTTTCATCCTAGAGAGCAGATAAAACCTAGACGACATTCAAGTTTATCTATATCTTTATCAAGTAAATCGAATAATAAAGAAATGTCGATATTGTCTACTCATTCGATGCCTCATGTGATTTATTTTGGATGTGAACAACATTTTGGAAATGAACTATGGGATACATCTTATTTCTTTTCACTACTATTTGAACTTCTGGACGATTTTAAAGATATTTCAAATGAAGAATCTCGTCTCGTTGCTTTCATTATATGTCGTCTTAATGACATTAATTTAAATTCACAAATACCAATCAAATTAGTTATTCAAATATTGAAATATTTTAATAATATTCGATTAAAAATTCTTGTTCTGCTCGAACTTTTAAATATGTGTGAAACAATTGATTGTACTCGAGCACTTATGTTGTTATGGGAATTTTCAACTTATGGTTATATGATTCTCTTTTATATATTAGATCGTATTAAATTTTCAATTGTTGATAAAGATATGGAATGGAAATCACTATTAACTATTTTCGAACCACTCGAAAATAAAAAGCATGCTGCTTACATTCTGTTAGATAAAACAAATTTTTACAAACCAAATAAAGCAACAATTGTATTTGGATCAAAAAAGTTTGAACGATATTTTTGATTTTTATTTGACCGTTCGTTTCGTTCTCTCTCTTTGCTTTGGAATTTTCTATTGGACTATCCTAGTGTACTATTTATGATATATATAGCGCTAGATGTCAGTCACGTGTAATTACAATATACTCTAATTTGTGAATATTTCAAAATATCTAAAATCATTACGAGTATTGATTTTTTTAGTTTTCAATATTGTTAAATATTATCAAGAAAAAAAAATTTTTTTCGAAAAATAAAAGTAAAATTATTTGCTTTGCATCTTCGAAGAAGAACGCGTAACAACATTCGTCACATTTGTTGAATTCGTCTAATGGAAGTAAAATGCATGAATTACTATATATTTTTTTACGTAAATATTATCATTGTAATGGACTGTTGTATGACGAAAAGTAATATACAGAAACCAAAAACTTAATTTTCATCCTGTTAGTTTTGCGAAACACGATCTAAAAGAAGTGTTGAATCAGCAATGTTTCTAATAGCAAGGATCCACAGTGATAGCAAAGAATCCATGATGCTTGTGAACTTTGATTGATACTCTATTTTACACTTTGAAAGAAAAACAAAGTATCAAGAGGACACCTACTGAGAATTATTCGTACTTTATACTTTTCATTAAATCGAAACTTCAAACTGTTTAATTCTTTCATTATTAGACATGCAATTTATGCTCTAACAGCTTCAGATTAATCATATTATTTGTTTGAACGTTTCTATGCTCGATCTATGTGTCCATTGTTGTTGTTATTGTTATTCCTGTGATATCTTTGCGACGAATTTTTTTGAGAAGGACCATCTATGTGCACTATCTGTTTTATAATCGTTGGTGTGTGGGTGTGGTTTGTTGATACAGAAATAACCCACATCCACACACCCACTCACACATTCAAGAATGATTTAAAATAATTTAACATCAAAACCTGATTCATTATGCTTACTTATTTCAATAGAATGATGGCTTAGATGGAAAGCAACATTTTCTTCATGAATTATTAAATAGATATGAATAAATAAATTTAAAAAAATTCTTTCATTAAACCAAATAAAAATGATTATAGATTAATTGAAAGTTTTGTTTTTATTATATATTGTTTTAGACGTGAATCAAATGACATTCATAACTGTTCCTCAATAGTAAAAGCTATTTCAAATGATTGTACTCAACTTAAATGCAATCTTTGTTATGAAATTCATTTTATAATTACAGTCTGAAATCATATCTCATCTATTTATTACGGCACCTTATTCTTTTACGTTTTAGCTCCAAAAGATCATCTTGTTATTCAAAGTATTGTCGAACTCATACATTGAAGAGTTTTTGTAGACTAGTCTTTTGAGAACTGCTGTTGCAATGTCTTTTTTGTGACCTAAATTTTCTTATAATTTTGAATATTGTCGCTATTTAATGGATCATTGAATGTGTCTTCAGCTTTACATTGAATTGTAGATATCTTATGGAGGAAGTCAATAATTTTTAAATTGATTATAATCCTTAATAATAGTCACATAGCCATCAAAGTCGGATATGTTATTTACAAAGTCTTAGGTACACTCATTTCATGATCTATAGATTAAAATGTACGATTCTAACTTTACTTAGGTATCTACACGAATACATCGCTGTTTTTAATAAATATCTGAAAGATAATGAGTGGTTTGCAGTAGAAAAAAAATTTTTTTTGAAAATAGGTTACGGGTAAAACAGGCTGTGATTGTAACAGAAATTGAAGTTTTGTTTTTGCTCAGCTTTCAGTTAGAACTATTTAAATATTTATAAATCAGTATAAGACAAGATCAGATTCAGTTGTTCTTCTATATTTGAATGATAAGCTAGCTGAATCGTTACGATGAAGATATCTTAGGGAAAAATTTTAATTTCAATATCAACATGTACAATAGTGCAACATACTTCTTTGGTTACTTTAATATGCTAATTAGTTTTTATTATAAAGAGAATAATGTCTGATGGATTTCTTTGCAATATTCAGAGCTCAATTAATATCATCGCTATTTAGTACTAGATACACGTAGCATGAATGTGAACATCTACTATTGTCATCACGATCATTCTTTATGGAAAAAAATATATAATAACCGAAGATCATTACAACTAAGAATGAATTTTTCTTTTATAAATCTGTATGTAAAATTTATCTAATTTTCAAAAAGAAAAACAAAAATAGAAAAAATCATCTAATAACATCAATTTCGACTACCAAATACACCTTTATCGACAATAAAATAATTGCATCGATTCAATTTAGGAATATGATAACAATAATCAACTGATAATGAACGTAAATGGACCAAATTTGTTTTAATCCTTGTTGTTGCTTTATGTTCATCAAAAACAATTTGGGATTGTTGAGAATCTGGATGATGTTCTTCAATATTTTCAGTTTTACTCAATTTTATTCGGCAATGAACAATAAATGCCCAAGTAAGACCTAATGCTGGAGCTAGTGTCATCGACTGAGATACTAAAGAACCATCATAGATTTGACTAAATTGAGTTTGCACCTAAAAATGTAGCAACATTAGAAAAAATACAAGCACAGTAAAATATCTTCTAGAAAAAAAAAAAATATATATATATATAAGCACATACCTGATTGACGCACACAATTGCAAGATTATATCGATGACAAAGTGTATGCATAGCGAACCCCAAATATTGTAGAGTATTTGCTTTCGTGTGATGTTCAAATAAAATATCTTCAGAACGAAAAAGAGCAGCCAATGAATCAATGATAATTAATCGAATGCTTGGTTCACGGTTAAGTAAAAGAGGAAGTCGCTCAACAAGTGTCATTTCTAAATGACGCTAATACAAAAAATGAAATTTTAAATACTAAGTAGAAACTAAGAATTTATGTACATAATGCCGAATAATATCAATATAAATATTATCAAAAAAATGCTGTTGTAAGCATCGAGCATCAGCTATATTAAATGGCTTGTCAGCTTTTGCACGGTAGTAAGAAATATGTTTTAATCGTTTATCAATTTTTTCAATATGAGATTCTGTATTGATATAAACTACCTCTATTAGAAGATGTAAAAAAGAAAAATCAGTATTAAACTATAAAAAAGAACTCACTAGCTTCTTGTCCTCGAGCTCGAAATGTTCGTTGAACTTCCAATGACATTTGAATACATAATTGAGTTTTTCCACATCCACTTTCACCGTACAATTCAGTTATTTGACCAAGACGAATTCCACCACCGAGAGTGTCATCAATTATTGGACAACCTGTGGAAAATGTTGTTATCAAATCACGTTCCTTTTCTGTCATTTGCCAAACTATAGATAGAATATTTCATAATTGAATACAATAAATTTTTCTTTATATTACGAAAAACACACCAGACATTTGTCGTCTCGTAAAAGGATAAAATGTATTTGAAATACATTGTAATGCGAGATCAATATCTTGATTTTTCAGTCGAGTTGTACGAATCAACTCGTCGGGATCCAATTCCAAGACATTTTTTAGAGAATACTTTGCACCATAAACTAAACATACGATTTGGATACAAAATATATATTTATGCATAGTGAATACGATTATATGAAAAAAATCAACCTCGACGAAGCTTTTCTTCAACAACCAATGGCAAATCAATATCATTCAGAGTAAGAGACATATTTCATATCTATAGAGACAAAAACTGAATCCACATTTTTCTCAGCCAAATGATAATCTTTATGTTTCTTAGTTTTTACTAAGAATCAGAATAAATATTCACTGTTGAATGTAAATATGCCTTTTTTTAGGACAGTGATCATCGTGTTTACAAAATGAAAAAAACATAAAAACAATAAACAATAAATCTTATTTTTTGCTAAAAACGCTTGCATACAAGATAAAAATGTTAAAATGAATGACACAGATTTATTTCTGTCCGGATTTCATTCAACAACAACTGATTTCGTTGTATCTTCTTCGATTGTTAATTTAGCATGAAGATCATCTTCGAGTTCAGTGCTACTATCAAAATGATTATCATGATCTTCATCGGTTGTTTGATCAATATGGAATTTTTCAGAAATAACATTCCTAGTTACAACAATATTATCATCATCATCGTCGTCGTCGTCCGTTGTTACAGCGTCATGTTGTTCAATTTCCTGAAATTAAAAAACAAATATAAAACTACATTTTTCTGTTATCAAAAGAAATTGATCATTTTTAGATAGCCATGCAAAACGAATCAACATGCGAATAAGAGCGTAATCATAATAGTGTCAATCCTTTCCATTTGATTTTTTTTAAACATCATGCTCATTTCACTATACCTGAGCTGTAAGACGAACTGCTAATTCCTCTCTAAATTTTTCTTTTGCCCATTGCAAAAAATGAGCTGTATCATATGTCGTCGGCTGATAGATAATATTAATTATTTTGGTTTTATTATAAATAACAAATGATAATAATGATAATAATACATACTTCTTTATTGAATGATAAAAATTCATTATCAATGAAATCATTTTCTAATGCTAATTGTTTTTCTACGTCTTCTTCTAATTTCAGTTGCTGTTGAAGTTGATCAAGTGATTCAATAATGTTACCTATAAAAAATAATGTTAAGAACAATAAAATTTTGTTCATTGAAAAATATTTTCTCACTGTCTGTTGTGGATACATCCGATGGTGGACTAATAAAATCATTTGTTGATGTATTATTTTCGTCATCGTCATCTAGTATAGATTCTTTTAAATGTATACTTGTCGATAATGAACTATTTCCACTATCATCTACTGTAGCTGTTATTAGTTTTTTTGTTGCTGTGGTTATTTGAGAATCAATATTAGCTGTTGATTGATCAGTTCCTATTAATTCAGTATTATCATCTTCCCACCATTCTTCAATAAGATCAATATCATTGGAATCATTTACTGCAGAATTATTGATGTTATGTCGATTTAATTTTGGTCGATTATTCGAATCATTTTTTCGTTGATAATTATTGTCAAAACCATATTGACGAGGATCATATAATGATAAGGGAAATTGATGTTTATCTTGATGATATGTTCGTGGTTTTGTTGTCCGTCGTCGTTGATATGATGTTCCCCAATAATTATGATTATTGATATTTTCGTTTTGATATGAACGATCGTTCGTATTCAAATATGCAGCAAGTGGAAGAATGTTATTATTATTATTATTATTATTATTATTGTTATTATTATTATTATGGTTGTTGTTATTATTTCTTTGATAATGATTATTATGATTTGATGAACGAAAAAAGTTATTATTCGCTTGTTGTTGAGATGAAAAATCATAAAATGATTGTGGACGTGATTGAAAACGATTATCATTACTTAAGCGTGACGAAGAATTGTGTAAATGTTCGAAATCACCCGACATTGGACGTTGTTTAGAATATTGATTTTCTTGATCTGTCTGTTGCAGACGACGAAATCGTGGTGGTAAATCGACACACGAATCTTCTTGTTCTTGATGTATATGAGAGGTTGAAGATGAGGGAGTTGATAATTGTGTAGGAGGAAGAACAGGAGGTTGAAACATGGATGATGGTTGAAATTGAGATGGATGATGAAATTGATGACGATTAGAATTTTCAAATGTACGTGTTGGAATATATTGATGAAAATGAGATTGCGATGTTTGTGAAGACGGTGGACCACTAGACATAGGTGAAGGTGGATGAGCAAAATAAATAGGACCATTTCCGTTAAACGATGAAGATTGAGCTGGTGATGGATACATAAAATTATGAGGATACATAGATTCTTAAGAAAAAATAGATTTAAAACAAAACATTATTAGATTTCAATGATTAAAGGAGAAATACTTACGATCCAGTTGATCACCACCGTTATTAATAAAATGATCCATGCTTGAATGTTGACCATTAAGATTTGTTGGCAAGAGTTGTACATGAATTGGAGGTGGTAGTGAACTATTTTGCCACATTGGTATTTGGGGCATATCTAAATGAAACTCAGAGTTCTCTCCTGAATAACCATTATTATGCATTGCTGATCGACGCATTCTCTCTATAAATAAATTGATTTCAAAAGGTGTTGTTTCTTTAATACCATGAAATCATTAATAATTTTACCTTCTCGTCGACGTTGTCCTGGTTCTTGAATTCGTTGCTGTTGTTGATTAAAACTTCCACTGCCAGCACGAGTAGCTAAAATTTGACGATTAAAATATAAATTTTTATATTATAAGAAGAAATAAACTGGAAATAAACGTTAATCAGTGAGCACATACGCAAATGAACAAGAAATACGAGAAAAGAAAAAAAATCAGTCATGCAATTATCCGACTAACTAAACCATAGTAAAACACTAACCTTCGATAGTAAGGTCTTTTTTTTGAAAATGATCAGAAAGTAACTGAGCACAAAAATAAAATCACTGGTCAAAAGATAATTTGCTTACTTATTGGGCGTTTACTGTTGATTCTAATTAAAACGATGGTCTATAACAAAGTGTGCATTGGTGTGTCTCCCTATCGTTTGTCTTCTACTGCTGCTAATAGTGTAAAGTATGCATATACACGCAATATACAGTATAATGTCGCCTATCGTCTTTTTCTCTCTCTCTCTGTCTCTCTCTCTCTCTCTCTCTCTCTCTTTCTCTGTTTCTCTTTTCTTTTCGTCCATCGGCGAAGACGGCAAAAACGTGCACATCGATCATCCAGGTATATCTACCATTTATCATTATATATATATATATATTTATATATCTGTATATCATATACACATGTCGTATATGAGGTTTCAAGGCATTCAATCAGCTGATTAAAAAGCACCCTCAATAGCATCATGCAATGTCAACCGCAAGAAAAAGACAAAAGGAAAAAGCACTATGGAAAAAATATAAGATAATCGAAAAAAAAAGGGTAGCTATTCATTCCATGAGCAACCAAAGAGCCTATTACCTACCTTGAGTGTTTATAATGACAATTTTGTTTGCATGTGCCGGTTCGTCGGCATCTACGCACAGATATTAATTCCATAATCATTTTTTCGGTTTTATTTTTAATATTAGGATAAATTCTCTTAATTCTTTAAATGAAATGTTTTTTTTTCATCAAATTCCAATAAAACATTTGAGAAAAAAATGTTTTTATTACATTTCTATACTTTTTAAATGAAGAAACTTTCAACTAGAATTAAATCTTACCATGATGATTTTCTGATCGCTGACAAAATGGATATGCATATTCTAGTAATTCAGGATTGATGGAGCTATCACTGTATTGTTGATTAACAACTTCTTGAGCTCGTTCACGTTTTAAACGATTGTAATCAACTCGTTGAACACGTTGTGGTTGAACATCAGTACGATCCTTTTTAATGAATATAAAGCTTTTATTAATTTGAAACGATTTTGAAGTGTTTACATTTTCGAATTTTCGTCGCACCGGTGGTCGATGTGATTGTTCGTATGGATTTTTCTATAGATGAAGTCATCATTTTAAAGTAGACAATAAAACACGATATAAAAATAAAATACCTGAAAATTTTGTTGAGCTACTATGTTTCGACCACGATTTTTTGTTGTCTATAAAGTTTTGATAAGAAAACAAAATTTAGATATGAATGCTCAGTAACTTACACCACGCATTGCTATTGTCGATTCTTCTGTCGATTCAACTTTCGTTAGTGTTGTGACTGCACCTGATCGTTTTGCTAGTTGTCGGTCTTCTTCGATTTCCTTCAAAAAATATAATCACACAAGTAAACATGAAAAGAACAAACGAACGACTTTGTGGACTACAACATATGTATCTAGTTCTTTTTACTCAGATTGACACCTCTATCAAAACATGCACACAATAAATAACACACAACTTCATAAGAAATAACCAACTATAAAAAGGCAATGCGGTAAGCGAGAGTAAAAAATGTATTTGAGGCACGCAATCACGCTCGTTACTAATGTACAAGTTGCCGCAACGGCGCCTATTGAAAGTCTATTATATCCCATGTTCTATGTACACGTTTATTCTCTGCTAGAAGCGAAAGAAGACGACGAAGAAGAAAGGAACGAAACTGTCAAAAAAACAAATTCTCCTCTTACGAAGACATTCGAGAACATGTTGAGTATAAAAGAGAAAGAACAGACCTCTTAACCAACAAATATCAATCGTCGGACTTCTCATATGCTCTCTTCTCTTTCTCTTCCGCTCGTACGGCCTTAAGTGGATTGTTTTTATACGCACTCCAAACAAACAATTAGCATGTATTCAAGTACAAACTTGATGACGTTTAAGTAGTTCCAAATTTTTTATGCGCATTTCAGCCATCTTTTGATCAATTGTGGATATGGACGATGCTCCATCCATCGATGTTGTCAAATGAATAAATCAATGGATAGTTTATCTAAAATAGTAAAGATCATCAAACAAACATTTGCTTACAATGAACAGTACATAAATATATTAAAGTAGCATAGATAAATAAATTATATGATTTATCAGATAATAAAAAAAGAAGAAGAAGAACGATAGAAAAAGCAAAAATAACGAGGTCACTCAAATTCGATGGGGCAATTTACTTTGTTAGAGAAGATATATGTTTCGAATTTCTATTTCAATTCATTTTGTATACTAGCTACAGATGATTGAAAAGGCGTTGTGTTCATTTACCTCACACGTTTCTTTTTGTACGGCTATTATTTGCTTGCTTACCTAGATATCGCATAAAGTAAATGACAATCAATTTTACGATTCAACATTATAAATGAGAAAATAATCGTTTTCTGATGTGCGCAGATGTATACGTAGCAGCAAATGACAACAAATAATTGAACAGCTATCGATGTTTCAGTGAGTCTTTCACATTTCATAGCCATTGTATAGTGTATATAAATGTATACGTAATAGGATGAGTAACATGAGAGAGAAAAGAAAAAGAAAGTGCTATATCGGAATATCTACTATTGCGAGAAAATGTGAAACAATGGAAAGAATGGAAAGAATGTATTTGTATTTAGTTTCTTTTTGTGTGATAAATAAATAACTCTAGATCAACAGTTGCAAATTACAAAGTATTGTATCGGCATCATATCCTTGAAAAAGAAAGGGATCAAATAAGATTCGCTTTTGTAATATATACATACTCGAATAAAAGAATAACAGAGAGAACATCGTAAACAATGGTATTTTGATTATCTTAGTTGTAAGTATGCGTATATGTTTAGAAAAATAATTGATTGATTGTTGTTTACTTTTCAGAATAAATAACAAAAGTGAGAATATTCTTATGCATACATCTGTATAAAATAAAACATACTAGATAAAAATAGAAAAAGATTGAATATTACGATGAAATATATGCTTTAAATTAATATACAACTCTTAGATAAATATAATCGATCAATATGGCAGCGTCAATTCTTAATGAAAGGTGTTGCTTTTCTTTCTTCTATAACGCCAATTAACAACTTTCTTCTTTATATGAACATTTCACTTTCAATTTTAACTGAATCTTTTCGAAAAAAATGATACGTATCAGTATGACGAATAAGATAGTTTTATTCTAATAAGTTCATGCAAACATTATAATCAAATGTATATCTATAATCAAATAGAACACTGATTGGATGTCTATGATATAGGATATCAACACATAAATTTAATAAAGTGACAATTATCCTTGGTAAAATATAAAAAATTGATACGTACTTCAAGTCAGATTATCTTGATGTAACTAAGTAACCTCGATTTTTGCAATAACTAGTCTGAGCGCATCTATCTGAAAACAAACACAAACTTCCTATTAGTATTTGTAAATAGCAATGATTACTAATATAATGTTTTTTTTCTATTGAAAAGGATTTTTAGAATAAAATCACTGGAGACCTGCTAAAGTACTTCATCAGAATACAAAAAAATCAATATTAGTTAATATATATATATATATATGCACGATGAGTAAGTACTTGAAGCGTTTTCCCCAAAGTGTAGACTTGCACTAATGAGGACAGTGTTAACTTATGCTCGGAACCAAGTCAAACATTGAGAGAATGATCATTGTTAGTTTTTTTTCCCACCGGCATATGATTTAACTAATTAGAATACACAATTAACGTAATTACACATTTTTGTTTACTTAACTAGGAAATTTCAAATTTTTCTCATACATTTCATTGGATCGTTCATGGACCAACTAATGCATTTTCCCGTAGATGGATGGGTGGGTGGACAAATATATATATATTTGGAAGAAATTGCATTGTCTGGCGACATCATTTTGATTCGATCATATCTCTCTTTCTGCTCGATTTAGAGGTTTACTACTACAGGGTAAGCTTTTCTCGTATCGTATACCAGAGGCGGCGGAATATCATTAAGCCAAGTAAAGCTCATAATGTTTTCCTTCCGTCGAATTTTTCAAAATATAAAGCAGAATATAAGTCTTCTTTTCATTGAAGTTCAGTATAACCTGTCTCTTCTTTGTATATGTTACAGGGGAAATTAAAATGTTAATCTGCGCTATGCTGAGAAAAAAATCTTGCTGTTTCTCCTCTACATTTTATAAGAAAAGATGAAGATTTCAAAGTCAGCTAGTTCTAGATTTTAATTTCCTCAGTAACATATGCGCGTCAAAAAAATAGATATTTAAATGAGTTTGTATCATCTGTACGATAAAAGAGAAGTAAAAAAACACCAGCGATAAGTGAATCACTTTATAACAGAGACATTTATGAGAATATGTATTTGGATGGGTTAGATACTTAAGCTAACAAACTGAGAATGAAAAATATTCATATTCACTTCGATATCAAGTGAAGATGAGCGTCATCTCCTGGAATTTGGGTGATGCTCAATCCTCACGGGTTTCAATCACTCCACCGTCACTGTTTTAACATTAACCCAATACACTGAGTGTTTCTACACAATGTGTAGTGCATACTGTGTAGAAGTACTCTGCTCTGCTCTGTTCTGTTCTATTGAATAGTCAATATTTTCAATTGTGACCAATCCATTTGCATAGTTTTTACTTGAAAAGTTTTTTCCAGAAAAACAAAGTAACTCGACAAATTTGATAAGTGGTTTTAAGAAAGTCAGAAATATTGATAGGTTCAATTTCTTAAAATATTTTCTATTCATGATCTTGAAAAACAAGATGTATTTTGAAATAAATATGGTAATTTAAAATCAATTTTTTCCAGAAGTTATTCAAATGAAAAGAAAAATCTTCCGAGAGATTTTTTGTTGTTTTTGGAATCATTAGTACAAAATAATTTATATCATATATCATTTCCTTTCTGTCAGTAGTACAAATTTTCATATTTCATTTGTATACAGCTTAAGAATTGTCAAAGCTATATTTTTAAGATCTTTTGATATAAACATGCGAGAAAATTGAAAAAAAAAGTTTCATATGTTGCTCTAGATTTTGCTTGAGAGGTAATCAATTTAAAAACTCCGGACATCATGTTCATTTCGAATGCTTGACTACAGAAAAGATGAACAATTGACAATATCAATATATTATTTTTATGCCTCCTGTATATAGATAGATTATATCAATATATGTGACATTCATAATCATCTATTTTCTAGTTGTAACATTTCGTTCATCCTTAGTATGCATATGTTGCAGTGTAATAAAGCTTCTCATCTGGTTCTTATTCAGAAGAGAATATATTATCTTCTTTGATAAATGTCAATACACTATTTTGTCAGAAATAATTCTCAATTCAATGCTAAAACTGAGAATATTATATTGTTAACAAATCGAAGTTTAAAAATAGTATCAATAGATACTTTTGCAAAAATTTGGATATTGCTTTCGAAATAATACCTATGGTGATAAGAGTGTTTCAAATAGAAAAATGAGAATCTAAAAAATAATTAGTAGAAACTATCGACTAACGAACCTATTGAACTATTTTCCAAATGAAAAGATACTATCCAGCATTGTTTTCTACTGTTATCTATTGTTATTTTTAGAAGTAACTATTATTCATTGAATTCTTTGTGAATAAGTTTCAAAATATTTGTAATAAGAGAAAATGTTGTTTATATAACTGTCGAGACATGACCTGAATCAACAGAAGAATATGTAACAGAAAAATAAGAAATAAAATGAAACTCGTGAATTCAACCACTAGATGTTTTTAATTCATCCAGGTTAGCTATTCGTTGTTTCATTAACAGCTGAATCTACTGTATCATAAAGAAGCATATATCTGCACTGGTATATTTTTTTAATGTAGTGAATTAATTCACGACCCAGAATATTTTTATAAATAATAGACGAACGAAAAAAAGAAAAACTTTTTAACGAAACAAAAACAAAAAGAAAACTATTCGCAACACAGAAAAATAAACTACTGACATCACCGATTCGTTATAGTTGTTGTTATAGGCATGTGTTCATTCGAATCAATAGCAATATTATTCGTATTATTTCCTGTACTACGCCGGTTATTTGTCCAATTATCAAATAAATGATAACCAGTACCTGATGGTTCCCAATCATCACTAGTAGATTCAAGTGAATAAGTAAATTGTCTACGTCTTTGACGTTTCCGTTGAAAATAAACAAAAGCAACAGCTATACTGACTGAACCAATAATCAATAGAAGTCCTAATACAATTATTGTTGTTACAATACCACCGCTTATAGTTCGTTTCATTTTTGATATAGCTAATCGTGACACTGATTCTATTTATGAAAAATACAAAGATAAAGAAAGGTGCTCTTTCTACTAAGACAAAATCTATTGATATTTTTTTCATACTTGGACAATCGAATTCATCATTGCCTTGTGGACATGAATGATAACCATCACAGTGAAATGTTTCATCTATGCACCAATGATCTGAACTACTCGTTGAACAACGATATTGATTTGCCGTACACGGGCCTATGAAAGAAAAAATTTTTAAATGAATATACAAAATAATTTATCGATTGTATTTACCTTTTGTGAAGTTTGATATTAATATTTCGAATGCTTGTATATTAAATTTACATAAACTAAACGTTAGAGGTAAATCAATCATCAAAGTTTTACGGTATTTTCGATTTAATAATTGATAATTGTCTAATTCTAAAGGTTGCATATTTTTATTAAATACATGAACTGATGGATTTAAGTCGAATGTATCATTTATATTAATTATAAATTGTTCTAAAGAATTAGATAAATATAATTTATCAATTGTGATATTACAACATGTTGTATAAGAAGATAACGAATTTGGTGTGAAAATGATTGATATAGGAGATGACATATTCATCGTTTGATTACAGAAAGACATAAATTGAACTAGTTGAAAATCAATAAACAAAAAATAACAAAATGAAAACGGAATTTTCTTTATTTACTTTGTGTTGAACTTGAATAAATACTTTGAATAAGTACTAGTAGCCACCAGGACCAGATTTGGATTATTTTAGTGTTTGCCATTATTCGAAGATTAAATATATATTGTTCAGTCAGTCATTCAATCGTGCGTTTTGGCGAGCTGAATAGCAAACAAATTTTTTTTCTTTCATTCGGATATGTATTGCAATCTATCTTGAATGCTGCTGCTTCTAGTTGATTGTCAAATCGGCTGCGCATGTTTCTCTCATTTTTTTCCTCTTTCTTTCCTTCATTCATTCATTCTTTCTTTCTTTCTTTCGCGTTTCTTCCGACCTAAAGCAACAAATGCACACACATCGGGCAGATTCTTTCTATCGTCTTTTTTTTTTGTTTCGATGACGATGATTCAGCTTCGAAAATACGCGAGAGAGCGAGCAAAGGAGAAAAAAGAATAACAGAATATGTTGTACGTGCTACGCTTTCACCTTCGACAGTTTCTATATGTTGTCGTTCTAACATCATCATCAAATAGTAGCATTAAGATGGAACGAGCGAAAAAAGAAAAAAGAAGAAGAGAAAAAAGATGAGTCTTTCACTGAGTACTAAAAGAATGCCATTGATGAATGACTAAATGATAAATCAGGATGAGATGTTAACAAGTGAAAAAAGAAAGAAAAAAACACGAAAAGAATGCATCTAGTCAGTTACATTACTTCTAGTTTAAGTGCAATAATAAACTCTAGATAAATTGATGTGTGTTCAAAAGATTAGATTGACCGATATAATCTAGTGTGATGTTATACCATCTCTAATGTATGAACTAGATTTCCCCACGGAAAGGGAAATATTTGAACAAAGAAATCTTAATCTGTGTTATATAAAAAGAACTTGTTGAACGAAGTGAAATATTCTTGATTAGTTTCTTTCCGAAATTAAGTTTTAATCAATTAATTCTAAACGATGGCCATTTGAACTTATTCTTTGTTTTCTCATTAATAAAAAATCATTGGTTACGAGAGAGAAAATTCAAATGCATATTTTAAGAAGAATTGATCTCTACAGTTATGCTTTTTTTTCGATAAAAACACAGAATTATGTTGATAAGTTCAACTCAAATTTATTCCGTGTTGTATAGACTTGAAAAATTCAATGAAAGGATTAAAAATGTTGAATGATCCTAATTAATTTATCATTAGACAAAGAAAAATGATTTATAAGGAAATCAAACTCGGTCTACACTTGACATAAACAAAAGCCCGAGAGAATAATAAGAATAGAGAAAATTTCTATGGTTTTCTTATGAATTACGTAAATTAAAATCTATTGATTTGGTTACAGTGTGTTTTGGGAAATACCATTGAAAAACATTATGAAAAAATATTCTCTCAATGTATGACTTATTGTAAAATTACTTAAGAGATAAAATAAATAGAATATTTTTTTACATATTAAAATGAAACATAAGCATTGTTGCTTTTGGATACAATTAATACAAATTCACCTTGCTATTTCTAATATGTGCTATTTTCTCTTTCTTTTTTTTTATTACAATCTTCACATATTGTTGGTTAAGTATTCGATAAAAAGGTTGTGCTACATATTTCTTTTTGTCCTACTAAGATCTACACATAGCTAATATATTTTATTGCATTTATTTATTCCTTTATAGATATTTTCCAAGGACATTTATTGTACAAGTTTTTCTTCTTCTATTTAATTATAGCAATAATATATAAAATGAGAAAGTTATAAAAAACGATACTTCTATTATTCATGGGCGATTTTTTTCATTTATAGAAAAATACTTCGAAATTTTCAGCGAACGTTTTTTTCTACTTCCTGACAATGTATGATAAAAAGCAGAGATGAATGATTTTTATTTCTATATGAAATATTTTCTATGATTCAATAATAACTTGAACAGCTCATTTCAAGATTAAATGAAAAACAGAAATTCTCAGCAATTACATTATTAAAACAAAATCAAACTTGTTAATTTCTTTGACTAATTTATCGAGTCTTTTGATCTCCTAAAGTTCATTACTGTGGGCGAAGGCAGTAATCTACATAAAACAGGAAAAACAAGTATTAGTATCTTGATTATAGTGGATAGAAAGTTCCCATTGTAGTTTTCTATAATCCTGACTTTTTATTTTCCGCTATGATTAGTATATTTCGATATTGAAAATAAAATTAATATAAACTTATTAATCTCTATTGCAATCTATTATTTAAGATTTTCTATCACGCTGTTATGCTATCGAGCATAAGTAAAAAAGCTTAACAATACGTAGAAATTACAAAATACATGTATTGCCAACGCACTACTAACGAATACAATTATTTGCTCGAGTATAATAAATGATGCATTGCTTCTGGAAAACTGGGAGTTTATATACAGCGTATCTTTTGGCCATATGTTCCTATTTCTAGACTAGTAATTAAACGGAAAAGATCAGAAAAGACTTTTTCAAACTATTAATAAAGAGATGCCTGATGCAAATAATAAAATAAAAGTAGTACTTATAATATAAAAAATATTTTAATTTTAACTAAGATTAAAAGAAATGTTATTATCTAATATGTTTGATGATGGCATTTATATGAATGGTTAGGATAGTAAATATTGGTCTTGCTTCTTTTATATTGATTTTTGTTTTTAACTGTCCAAGTTCTATTTGCGTTTCAATAATTAGATTAGCCGAATACCTTTTTGTGTGGATTTAAATTTTGAATTCTCTTATTATTATGTTTTATTTTCAATTGGACTAAACCATGAAGATACAAAATGAACACGAATTGGACCGATAAAAATAAATATGACAATCTGTATTCTATTATTAACTAAAATGTTATTTGGGAATCATAATAGCGTCGAAATGCAATAATCAATGTATGAGTTCTTCGAGCAACGCATAAAATTATCGATTATCTATGATTCATACATCGCAGCGCTTGCCAGGATTCCAGCGAAAAAATTATTTGCAAAGGACGCCCCCCTCGGGATTTATCAGGACACTACGATGTATGTCAGCTATGATAGATACCAAGTAGATGATTGTGAATTCGGCAAAAATATAATCTAGTAACCAAATTTTCATTATTTTATAAGTTAGACAAGACACAAAAACCCATAAGAGCAGAAAATATGTTTTTCGATGATTATATATATATATTGTGTTCTCTATCTGAAAATAAAGCTAAGCATCTAGCTATTCAATTTCGTGTGTCTTAATACTATTTTATGAAATACTAAGCTGATAAGAACAAAATGTTTGACTCGTGTTCTTTATTCATAAACTATCTTGTTCTCGTCTATCTCCCGCTATTTGATAATGGTGATAATCGAAGTGGATTATTTCTTACGTATCTAAATGGTAGACTGTCACTATGATTTACATTATTATTCATCAATAACATTAAAATTTCATTGTGACATTCCTCCTCTGTTATGTATATCGTAGGAGTAGATAAATGTATATTTAAGGATTATCATTCACCAATGTTCTAAAACACTATATATATATATATATATATATATTCAATTGACTAAACATAATAAAAAGAAAACATTATGATTGTCACTATTCGAATTGGTTTTGTATTGATATTAGCAGTATTATTCGTTGTCGTTCATGCTAGTACTGGTAGAATAACTTATAAACTACTTTATTGTTTCTTTCTTACATATCAATATATTTTGTCTTTTTTCCCAATAGTGACTCGTTGTCCTGATAACGAAGAATACCGTGAATGTGGTAGTGCTTGTCAAGAAAATTGTACAGATACACCTAAATACTGTACATATCAATGTGTTCCGGGTTGTTTTTGTAAAACAGGCTTTGTCCGTGCAACCGACGATAAAAGTAAGTGTATACCACATTCCAATTGTTCTTGCCGTGCCAATGAATTTTACAACGAATGTGGCTCAGCTTGTCCCGATACGTGCACAGATAGGTCGCAATTGTGTACGAAACAGTGTATACCGGGTTGTTTCTGCAAAAGTGGTTTCATTCGTTTGAATAATCAGACGGACAGTCCATGCATTCCTGAATCTGAATGTAGCAATGCTTTATGTCATGATCCCAATGCAGAGTACACAGAATGCGGATCAACATGTCCACAGACATGTGACGACGAACGTAATCCAATGTTAAAATTTCGAGTTTGCCCAACAGTTTGCCGTGCAGGATGTTTTTGTAAAAGCAATTATGTCCTTGGAGAGAATGGCAAATGTGTAAAACCCGAAACTTGCTGTCAAATTATCAATGGATCATATAAAGCATGTGCTGCAGTTTGTCTACAATCATGTACAAACAAGACTGGCTTGCCTTGTTTTCTTCCGTGTGCTTCTGGTTGCTTCTGTGACCAAGATTATACACACAAAAGTAATGAAATAAACAGCCCTTGTGTTCATAAAACAACATGTTAAAAAAAACTTTTTGTCGAAATCCATTTCAATGTTTATTTGTTTCAAAACATTTTCTACACGATATTGTTATAATATGACATTACCTGTTCTTTTTTTGTGATACAACATTTAACAATTATGTTTCTCATTATGTTATGGAGAATAAATAAAATCATCTACTGATTAGTTTTGGTTTTGTGTAGCATTTATTGGGAAATCAAAGAAAAGTAAATGCGGTTTATGATATATATAATTCTATTCGAATACAAATAGTACTTACATCTATAGTTCTATAATAACTTAGTCATTCCATTTGATGTTCTTTTTAAATGATAATTAGTAAAGTAAATATTAAATCAGTTGTTTAGTTCGATATTTGAACGCATAATATTTTTAGGTAAAAAACAAAATCCGAAAATGAAATCTTTCTATGCAAATAAATTTTGTTGAAATTTTTATATCGAATACAAAATTAAGCGAGAAAACTGAGAAACGACGATGGTTTCTCATTTTGCTTTTTTCATGAAATCGAATGATAGAGATCCTGTGTGAGAAAAGTTTGTTGATGTGTTATCAGAGAAAAATAGTTTTTTCCCTTGAGAATATCGTTTTTCTCTATTTTGGAAAAATGATGGTTATTTCGGATATGTTCCAAATTTGACAGTGTGCAAATAGATGGGTGTGGGTGTGGGTGTCGTTGAAGAGAGAGTGCTCAAAGATGGGTTAGGAGATACAAGAACTAAAAGGAGTAAAGATGATAGCAACGTCTATAGCATAAAATTAATTATAATGGGGTAAATCTAATGCAGTGTGAATCCCTCCAATCGAAAAATCCTAAAAAATGTTGCAAGTAACAACTGAGATTAAGATATCATCTTGATTTGGCTTATTCGTACGAGTTGGGACTTGTATTTTATGCTTTGAAGAAATTCCATCATTTTTTGCCTTTCACGTTTTCTTTTAGCTCTCATATTTGGGAAACCTTTGTTTAAAATGATTCTGTTTATGTATCATTGTCATGTAAATAATTTATTTGTTTTCTTTCTCGATTGATGATTTTTCTGCTTAACGAATTCGTCTCTATAATTATAATAATAAAATATGAGAACTCTTCATTATTAGAAATAAAACAAATTCTGTAATTAGCACTTACCATTATTCTATTTTTTATACATGCTTTGGATTTCATCTTCATTTCTAATGTTTTTCCTATCTTTCTTTCATGATGGAAAGTCTTTTTCAAAACGTTTCCTAGTTTTTTTATCAATTAAAGTTGTTCCCACATTCACTTTTTTCCGTCTATAACGCATTCAAGTGTTCTAAATTCCATTTCTATTAAAATTTGCGTTTCATCCAGGTAATCAATAATTAATACTACTAGTAAAATAATAGTTAACAAAGTAATTTACGATTATTAGTCTGTTTTACACATTCGCGATATTTACATATGATCTTAACAATTGATTATTTAGATATTTCAGAAAAGTCTGCATTTTCTATACAATATCCAGTCTGACTGCAAGACTAGGCTAAATTTATAGCGTTGTTTGTAGTATCTGATCATAATTTATTTGGCAGTTAGTTTGAAAAATAAGATAATTCTAAAAGCTCAAGTACTTATCATCGAAATTTACACGGCAAATACATTTGGCTCTAGCAACCAGTGTTGGAACTGAATGTGAGCTTAGGATTGCAAAATTTAGATAAACGAATAGAAAAAGGCTGCTTATGTTTTGTCCGTAATTATTTGTTTTTTTGTCTCATTATTGAGAAATATTGCGAATAGTTATCAGAAACGAAAAAAAAACAACAACATAATAAATGTTGAATCAATTACTTTTTATTGCATTACATTGATCATATTTACATATCTATTTTCATACAACATTTATCGCTTCAAAAGACGAGTATTGATAGTTTAAATAGTAAACATCGTCAAATATTCAAGCAATAAAGTCAGTCAAAGTCAAACGCTTGTTTTTCAAACTTGAGAATTTTCTTTATTCGCATGCTTTTACTGGCAATGAACAATCTAATACAGCAATATATAATTGTTATATTTTAATATAAAATATCTATCTTGTACATAAATTTATTAGATGTAGGATGATATTTAAAAAAATATATATTAATAGCAGATATGGAGAAGACAAAGTTACAATTGATCAATTTACGTGGTACAAAAGAAAAGAAAAAGCTGTAAAGCCCTAACGACTGTAAGTCGGACGAGCATCCTATTAAACACATAACATTAGATATGACGAACACCGACAGATAAGTCATGGCCTTGAAAAAATATACTTTAATCATAATAACCTACATAGATAATTGCTTTTTTACCTTCAAGAGAAAAGCAAGAGAAAATAATAACAACAGTGGAGGTTAGAAGTACCCATTTATCTTTGATTACTATTTTAAAATCGAAAAAATAACACGAAAGAGTTATTAAAAACTTTTTCAAACCATCATTGAACAATATTTAATCGTCTAAACATTTAATTATTCATAGATCTTAGATATATTTCATATTATTAAAGCAGATAGAGCGAAAATTTTCAATTGTTTTTCCATAAGTCATGACTAAATTTTAATGCAACGGAGTAAAACTAGCGTAAATTGCTTTTTTTTATCAAGACAAAAGCAGCTATATTTTCTCTCTAATCCTTATAATTAATATTTTGTTAGAAAGTAGATGAACAAGGCAATGCTGTAGTTAACATGCATTTTATTAATTAAAACGTTTGCTATATAGTGTTTCGACATAAAAATTGGCTACTAAAAAACACACTTTCATTAATCTGGTACAATCTTTGTTACGTTTTTATCGAGATCAATATTCGCATAATTGACCTTGATGGTCTTCCTGAAATTATATTTGATTAAAACATCTATAAAATAATTATTTACAGGCTGTCATGATTCAGAAAAACGTTTTTTATTTTTTCCTCATGGTTCGAGATGATAAGTTTAAATATATCGACAAGTATATATAGTTCGATTAGCACGATAAAGCTGCGAGAAAAACATTTCATCATAAACAGATTTAAAAAAATTATACCAATGAAGTGAATCCATTGATCGTTTTCTTCCCATGAACACATTTGGTATAAAATCAATTTGATTACATGGATTTGTTTCATCCAAATACTTCTTATCATCGGATAATTGAACAAGTAGTCTTTGACTTTGAGCATAGCCATTTTGTGATGCGTTTGCTTGATAGCCACGAAGAATTAGAGTCGAATAATCACTCAATGCTTGTCTGTTATCGGGCTCATCCTCAGCAATGATATCAATATGCTCATAAGTATAAATTAATTCTAATAATAAATCAATATGCGAATACTCTTCAAATGTGAAATTATCATTCACAAGCAAAAAGAATGGTGTAGGTACTGTATTTATGAAATAATCATGAAAAGTAGACGGTATATTTTCTTCTGGAATATTAAAAATAAATACATTTTTGCTTAAACGGTATCTTTTAACAGCATTCGACGAATCTAAGTAGAGAGACTCATAATTACCACCAGAGAGACGATTTAAATCACTAGCAATGTGAATAGTTGTATTTGGAAAGTATTTTTCAACATTGGTAACCATTCTTTCTATTACAGTATGATTACCATTTGTTTCAATAGTGTTTAAGAGAAATGTAACCCATTTGGAAAAAACAAGAATAGTCAATGAAGAATTGATAGATATTTTACCACTTTTTAGAAGAATACACAATGTATCAAGAGATGTCGATTCATTTGGTTTATATACTAGTTTGTTTAATATTGTATTAACTTGAGCTTGACCAAGATTCGCCAGTGAAGTTCTATCTGAATAAATGATCATTCCACGAGATACATGAATATTGAGATTCCATTTAATATTTTTCCTAGCTAATGTGGAATCTAATTTTAAGTAAACAGCATCATGACCATGAAATCGACCTTGATTTCGATTAGTAAAAATATAAACCGGACGATGAATCAAACGTGTCCTTGTATTCGTTTGGCCTTGAAACGAACTCTTTGGTCGAATAATACCAAGATTCAACTGATTGTTAAGACTACCCATCAAAGAATCATTTTTTATAATAAATTTATCACTGATATGACCAAAAAAAGGAAGTGCATAACTTTTCTTCATCAAATCAGCTGATAGTAATGATAAATCGTTTTGCATGCTATGAAATATTGCTGATGTTTCTTTCGACATAAATGGATACAGACGATATGGCTCAAGTATTTTAAAGTTAGCCAATCCACTGCCATTCTGACCTTGATAGCGATTAAAATTTTCTGTAAATGCTTTTGCTCCAGTACAATCCAAACAATATGCATTATAAACTTGAACATTAAACGTAGTTAAAATAATCTGACGAAGCAATGTGTGATGACAACGAAAACGCATTAAACTAGTTGCCATATAGAGACCTGATCTATTTTTCAAACACCATGAGCAATTGTTACCAGAATCTAATCGATCTAATCCAATAAATTCATACGCAGGTAATGGTTGTAAAATAATTACATCCATATCAATAAAGGTTCCACCGTAGAGATACAAAGACATAACTTTGACATAATCATTCATATGTAAATAAGAATTAGTATTTGATGGTGCATTTAAATGGGTTAGAAACTTTTTTGATCGAAAACTTAAATACCATTTCCATTGAATCAATCGTTCAGGAGAGATATGAACACAATATATTTGATAACCACGGGAACGATATGATGCAAATAAATTTATACGGTTGAGAGTTGATGAAAGCATGATGACAGTTGCTTGAGGATGATGAATAAAGATTGAATCTATGACAATTAAGCGACGCTCACGAAGTGCTGCTTCGTCTAAATTCCATACCGTCCAAAACAAGTCAAAACTATTTGATGGTATTATCCGGGAAAATAGTCTTTGAATGGAGTTGTTGTCTAGTATAACGATGAAAATATCATTTAAAAAGCAAATACTGATGAATGCATGATGTAGAGTGATGAAACCAAAGTCATACTTTTGTTATAATTCCATGTACATATAATAAATATGATATTTTATATAAATCTGTCTAGTACTTTCCAGTGAGTAGAAAACGTATTTATAATAATATAAAACTATTTATATGTTAGATAGTTATCAACAAGATATTTTCGCTAACCAAACTTTAAGTGTCACATGAATAAATACAACAGATTATGATTGTTTTATATTCTAAATCTTCAAGAATCATATAAAAACTTCTCATTTTTTAAAAATCTATAGCAATAAAATTGATTGCTTTCTTTTTTTTGCGATTACTGATTGCAACTAGGGGTGGTACATTTATGTTAATTTAAAATAAACGTTAACTAAAACCGTTAATATTAACGGTTAACGCTTTTAGTTAATTAACGCCGTTCATTAACTCGCATTAAATCAAATGGTCCATTTTTAATTGCAACCGACAGTCATTCCTACATTCTTTTTTTTCTATGCTCCCGACTATTATTTGTCTAAATGTCTGTAGATAAGAACATCACAATCCAAATGGGAAACTATTAGTTTCGAGTTTGTGATTTACTGTGAGTTTGGTGATCTAAAATGATTTTAGCTGAGTTTGAATGATTTGTTTCGAACTTCACCTGAGTGCAATCACTAGTTTCCCCCTTGTCACATCAAGCTTACCTTTGTTGATTTCTGGATGACTTGATTTCATTACAAACGTACGTGAACCAACGAAAATAATAATAACCAAGAAAATATGTGATACCAGAGGAAGAGTAACTTGCTTTTGCCATGGTATTCGTCGAGATGAACAATAGAGCCAAAATATTTTATGGCAATTCTTCATGCTGAGTATCACTTTAGAATGTAGTCGCACAGGATGACAATCTGATTGCTAGGTTGCTTTCAGTCACGCATTAAATACCACATATATCTACTTTCTGTCTCATTATATGCCTGACTATCACAACGGCGACATTTTTTTATGAAAACAAGGCTCCACCATTTAGTTCGAGTATAATCACCCAATCACGAAGTAAAAAAGAAACACTGCATAGTTATAGTGAGGGTGACTCAACATAGGCGTTTCTAATTGACTTTTTCGATCCCCCTCCCTTCGCTATTAATTAAAACGCAGTGATCCGGTTATTATCTAAAAAGGACGAAGCACATGGTTTTATTTGAAAAAACTCGATTTTTCAGATAGTATTTATGCCAAGACACAAGAACGAACATTTTGATATCTCGTGTGTTTTCATTAGATCTTCAAGAATTACTCAAAGGTAGTTGTCGTAATAAGAAACTAAAAGTACGAAATTCAATACATTTTCTCTTATTTCATAAAATTCTAGAAATTCACTAATTACTTGGTAATTTGTATTTTTTTATTGTCAGATAGAAAAAATACAATAGGCTTCATAGATTACCTAAAATCTCAATAGAAAAATTTGTTTTTTGCATATGGCAGATATTGTATTTGATTTTAATTCGTATTCAAGGTTGCACATATGAATGTGGACGTTTTTGTTGATGCGAACTAGAGTAAAGAATAGCTCTCGATATCTATATTGACAGCATAATGTACGCATATGCGAATTCTTTTGATTCTTTTTCTATATCTCTTTCAACATGTGAACCTGTATATGGCACATTAAAATAAATGTTAATATATATATATATATATATATTGACATCCGAAATCACACATAAAAATTCAAATAAATAACGAACTAACGTAGTAATTTGCTTAGTTACCACACTTTTCTGACTGCATTGGGCTGCTACGGTAGTACTATGGATTACAGCAAACCATTAAACTACTTTATTAGAATTTCTTGTCAATCCTAAGCTTTTAATCAACCAGTAAAATATGGGAAGTTTCGATGACCTTGACAGTAGTATGATGATACATCGTTGCACGTGGTTATTTATACTCTTCTAGCTATCTTTTTATTTTCCACCAATAGACAACAAATCGATTGGTGAGATAAATATTCATTTTAAGCGGAAGTGTCGTTCCGATCAAAAATGAATTATTTTCCCGTTCTGTCTACATCAGAAGACAAACTAAATTATATAAGTGCAAGTCAGCGTGTGCATACTAAATTTATATCGAACACTTTTGTCGTCACTGTTTAGAAAAGATGTCCATGCATATACAACAGAGACCGAAACGAATGACAAGTGCCATTAGGTTCGATTCGGGTTTTTTGGTTTTTCAAAAATGGTAATTCGATTCGATTCGACTCAAATTGGGTTTCTAAAACATGGTATTCACTATTACATAGTATTGTTGCTTTCAGACTGTCATCTCCTTAGAATGAGAATAGGCTGTCGATCTTCTATAGAAAAATGTTGAATAAGTATAATTTATGGATATATACATAAGAATACATAAAATATAAATTATTGAACCCATCTAAGTAGACTAATTAAATAAGTTTATTTTCTATAGAACGAAGAAAAATAATGTCATTTACTGTATAAGGATCTATATTTACAGTTGACCGTAGCCATACTTAATAAATAAAGAGGTTGATATTAAGACCCCAATGGCAGTGGAAATGTGAATAAAGTTGAAGTCGTATTAAGCAATCTGATTGATACATTAAGGCCCCATTCACACCAAAAAGATAAAACAGAATTAACCACTACGTCGTCTCAAAAAGATGACTTAAGTGAGGATCAACCAATCACGTTGCTTAATTTGGTTTATTTTTTCAGTGTAAATGGGGCCTAAGAGTTAAATCACCTCTAAAAGATTACTTAACTCTTAATGCATCAATCATATGGCTTAATTCAACTACAATGTTAATTTACTTCTCAGTGTGATTGGGGCCTAAATTGACTAAAGAAAAAAAAAGAAGGAAAGAAAGATGGAACGTCCGTTGTAAGTGAGCATTTCTTATATCAATTAAAATGCATTTGACCATGATAACGATATGAACAGAACAAGGATGGCCATTAAATAAGCACGACTGACAGAAAAAATAAAAAATAAAAAAGAGAAACATTGGACGTCCTTTTTCATTCATCATCTCTTATAGCAGTCAGCTGGCCCTTGACGATAACACTAGAACAAAGAAAATGATTTTGAATTGCTGAATGAAACTGAAAAAAATGAATCGATTCGATTCGATTCGATTCGGCCTCAAAATAAATTGATTCACTTCGCTTCGACTTTTTTTTATTCATTCGATTCCTCTGAGGCGAATTGAATCGAATTATTCGGCAATCAGATTCAATTTCGGTCTCTAGTATGTAACATATTCCATACTTTACCATATATGTCAAACTTGAATTCAATTGAAAATTGAAAGTTTAAAGTTGAAATTTTCTATTTTCAACTGAACTCAAGTTTCAAGTTTGACACTACTATGGTTTACAGAACTTTACAAACACCACATACGAGTAGTTTTCATTTTCATTCTTCACATTCCTTCTTTCCCAACGATTCATTGAAAGCAAACTTCTCACCAGCTCTTTGACATTCATCACGCATCACCACAAAACTATGAAAGCTTTCCCTTATATCGTAACTGATTTTCGGCATCCCATCTTCATGCAAATTTTCCGATCACTGTTTTAACTAACGTCAACCATAATCTAACCGACTGCAAATTTTCCCTACACCCTTAGTATGGTGCAAAATCATTTTTCTCTTATCCCGAATACATTTTTGTTCATTTCGATAACATGAACGCATTTTTCTTCGAAAGGAAAACTGAGATTTCGTTTATCAAGAGCATTTTTCCGCTGGAAATTCATTTTTACAGTGGTGTGACGTGATCTGGGGAATGATATATTTTCATTACTGTTTATTTGTTTAATGTGTTTATTGTAAGTTTAGTTTTTAAGCATTTTTGACCTGAACGCCATTTTTCTGCTGGAAACGAGCATTTATGTCATCGATCATTTATTTGCCTAATCCTCAAATTTTGTTCTCAGTTTTTCTAAATTTTTATCTGTCATCACTATTGCATTAAAATAGACAACTAGAATTTGTTGTCATAGCTATTTTAAGATCAAATATGGAAAAATTAAACTGTCTGACCAGTAGATTTTTATATTATTAATATAATCCTCTGTGCTAAAACTCGTGTTTAACTTTCAACGATCTTAGTATGAGCAACTATAACAAAATCTAAAAAAACTATGTAAATCTTACTGGTAGATGCTTCATACCCAGGTCAAACAGTCCGGCCTGGAAACCGCCGGTTCCGGGTAGTTCCGTTGATTTTGTGGAAGCAGTATTTCGGTTGGAAATTTTTAGAATTTTTTCCGGTGATTTCCGATCGATTCCTGCCGGAAAGCACCGGAACTTGGCAGGAATTCGCCGGAAAAGTCCGACCGTATTTTTGACCGGAATACTGCTTCCATGTTCCAGCGATTTCCCGTGTTTTCCTGCAGGATATGGTGACTTTCCCGCATATTCCCTGGAGTATCCTACGGGATCCGGTGGCCGGAATGTTCGACCTGGGTAGGCGTTACAGTTGATCGTCCACTTGCATGCCTATTTAAATTTATGTATCTGAGAAAATCAATGCTGTACTCTTACAAATCATCGAAGATCAATAAATTATTCATCGACAATTGAATTGAATTGGCTTTTTTTTTGTAAAAGATAAACTTAGTAATTTAATGAATATGATTCAATTCTTTATCGTCTCATTTACATCATGTATGATATTGACCATTTTTTTTTCGCTTTCTTTTGAAAATCGATCAACCGTATCTCACATGCAAAAAAATATGCATCGATACATGTGCATGGTCTAATAAATTCGTTTGCAAGTGCTCTAACCTCGTATAGCATACACTAAAAATTTTGACAAAAAAGAGCTTGAAATTCATACAAAATGGCGTGGAGTGTTCAAACCTGCAAAGTGTTGGCACTAACGATGGGTTACATATGCATAGCTGTCTTTTTTACGTTGACAAGTTATGTCGTTTATGTTTATTATTCAACTATCGCACTAAGTGTACTTGAAAAAAAAGCGTATAAAAAATTTGTTTTTCATTTTATATTCGGTAATTGGCTTGTAATAAATGTTTATTTCAATTATTTTATGGCATGGCTATCTTCGCCGGGTCTTGCTAAAGATTATCAAAATTTAGCAAGCCAATATCGTAAATGCAAAAAATGTCCAAATAATAAACCACCTCGTACTCATCATTGTAGTTGGTGTAATTTATGTATTTTGAAATTTGATCATCATTGCCCATGTAAGACATGTTTAAGTATTTTAATTAACTTCATATTCAAATCATTTTTTTTCGTGAAACAGGGCTTAACAATTGTGTTGGTTTTTATAATCATCGGTATTTCTTTCAATTTTGTTGTTATATGACGTTAGGATGTTTATATGCTGGTACGTTTGGTTATCGTGAATATCAAATTGGCCTACTCGGAGAACAAGTGTAAATAATATTGAAAAGCGTTATTTTAATAAATCTATATGTTTTAGATTTTCTTATAAAGATTCAATTTTTCATCCATTTAACATTCTTGAAACAATGGACATACCTGGTTTTATCACATATTACATATTTCTTGCTGCATTAACAATTGGTGTTTTATTAGTTGGTCTTGTTTGGTGGCATGGTCGAATGATTAGTCGTGGTGAAACATCACTTGAACGTGTACTCAATCAAAATTATGCTCAACAATGCACTGACCAAGGCTTTGTTTATGTAAATCCTTATGATTTCGGCTTCGTAGGAAATTGGAAACGTTTCTTAGGTTTTCAGACCATAAGTGAGTTTGTTCGACGAGTACTTTTGCCAAGTACACATAAACCAGAGGGTGATGGCATCACATGGGATGGTTATAACGTTAATACTAATTTAGGATTACATCAACAGAAATCTCACCAAACTACTGGACCTACTGGTGCTCAACCAAATTTTCCTGGAGGTTATCCCATAAATAGACGTCGAGTTGTAACACCACCTTGGGAACAGCAAAATAATCCAATGCGTACTTCGGCTGTTTATCAGCCGAAAACACCACCAACAGAAGCAAAAGAATCAATAAAAGACCGTTAACAATATTTTTTCTTGTTGTTTTAATAGTAGATAATATTAAGTTGCAGAAAAAAAAGAAAAAAGAAAAAAAATGCATCAGCTATTCTACTCGTATATCTCTTTATTGACCTGCAGTGGCGGCTAAGAGAAATCTCATTAGCATTTAGACATGTTCGATTTACTTCGCTTTATCTGTGAACTTATATTTGGTTCTTCATTATCTCTTTCACATGAATGTTTCGACTATCTTTCGTCTAGTCTTCATTCTATAGTCGTTCAACTCATTCAACAATCATTTTCCATTGCATTAAGATCAAAACGAATTCGATTACTAGGTGATGATTTACAAGTAATACTTAAATGTCGAGCTATATCTCCATTGTACGGTTATTGTTGTTCGGTGGCTACAGATAAATCACAATTGTTCGAAACTACCCGTCAACTTGGACGCATATTATTTATTCGATCTGATATTCCGATTGATTTGAAAGAAAATCTTTTAACTATTACAAAGTAATAGTATTGTTTTGAGACAAAAATATCTGAAGAAAAAGACATTTATTTTAGTAACTTATATCGAAATAAGAATTTTTCACATACAAAACCTCGAAAAAAGTGTGTTGTTTCATGTGGTGATATTCTTCTTCATGTCGAATGGTTAGCGTTAGCTGGTGAACAAAAGTCTCCTCCAATGAAATTCTCATTACTAAATAATGGATCAATATTAAATAGGGAACAACAGTTATATTTATCGTTTCTTCAATCAAAAAACTTCAATGAAGAAATTTGGAAATTTTTAAGCTCTGATCAAACTGCATTACATACTGTTGTTTCAAATCTGATTGATTGGTGTCGAAATAATATTTGTGATTGTCTTGTACATAGTTGCAGACTAACGAAACGTTGCCAACTTGTTTTTTATCTTACTATTATTGATTGCTTACTGCAAAACCCATTACTAACTATCAATCATTATTTGCATCATCTATCACCGATAGTTATGACTTGTTTATTGTATGAATTCGAGGTTAGGCAGGATGGCACAATGAAAATGTACTTTGCATTTTTATATTTTAGACTGATGAACGGTTAGATCACAATGATCATGACATGAAATCTGCCCTTAATACCGGTGATACATGGTCAGTTCGTTTGACAGCTGCTCGAGCATGTGTTAAAATATTACAACGTTCAAATTTTCTCGTCTTTGACGTCTTTTACACTCGTGTAATCTCTCGATTGATTTGTTCACTTACTGATCCAAGAGCCCCAGCTTCTGTGATTTATGCTATTCTTTTTATATTTGAACAATTGGGTGCTTATACTTCTCGTGCATTCCTTTTACCGTATCTACTAGAAATCGATTCATCAAAAATCTTTTCTTCAAAATCAATAATTGAAACACTGGAACGCATTGCTGTAATGATCTTAGAGAAATAGATTTTAAGAATATTTGCCTAGAAATAAAAATTTGCTCTATTCTTTGCACATCAAACAAACAAAAACATGTTATGAAATAGAAAAGAAACAGGCGAAATATATTTTGAATTTATAATAAATAATTCCTTTTTACAAAAAGCTACATAAAAGATTGATAATTACTATTTGATAATAAAAGAGAATGACTGCACTTTATACATTGATAATCAAACTGATAGTACTGCTACTCTGGATCATAATGAAATAAGATATCATTCACAAGTTCGATTGACATGTAAACTTGTAATCTGATCAATACTTCTTTGAATCATCAACCGGAAACTTACTTCTGCAGATCTATTCCTTGTCGACTATATACTAGTTCTTCATTAAGGATACACAATGTAGACTAAAATTCAGCTTTTAGCTTACCACTTTGACAGCCTGTACATATTTTCATTGTAGGACATAGTCAAAGTAGTTCCTTGATAATTAAAAAAATAACCTTTCGCTGTATTCACAGCTTTTAACTGATTTTCAATATACTTGAAAGTAGTTTTTGTTAATATTTCTTTTCACAATCAATTATATTAATCTTCAGAAATATAAAGTCGAAGGGTTGTTATACACAGCAAAATAAAAATAATTATACAAATTAAAGATATGTCAGTTCGATGATAAAAACATTTCTTTTTCGAAGGACAGGATGATTCATGTCGTTACGGTGTGCAGCAGGATGGCCAGATCTTCTGAAACGTAGGAAAATTTTCTGAAATTTGGTCTTTTCTGAATTTCTTCTGATCTTCTGATTTTTTTCCAAATTCGAAACTATTGCAGATCACAGTTATGCTAGTGCAGTTCAGTACAATTATAACACATTACTATTATCGATGTATATTGCGGCACCTTGTGTTTCTCAATTATCCGTTGGTAACTTCTGACTTATATAGGCAACTTCAGCTACAGCAATGCACTAGAATTTGATAAATTTCTCTTCTTGATTTCGAGAATCTTATCTAATTGAACATTTCACACATAAAAAACAAAATTATCTATTGGATGATATTAATATGGTTGAATTTGATGGTGAAGAGAAACAAATCGAAGTAAATTAATTAGCCACAGCAATATCACTTCCACATATAAAGGAAAAAAGAGTTTTTCGTAAAAATTCGTTATTGATTGATGAATGCTCATGTTGATAGTGACAAATCTTTGGAAATGAAGTACCAGTCAATGTCATAAAAGTAGTGGAGTAGTTAATGGCAGCGTCTTATACAGAAGTCGCTATTTCACAAAAAATGATCGTTCTGATAAACTTCTGATTTTCCTAAAAAAAACCTTTCTGATCGTTTTCTGATTTTTCAATTTTCGATCTGACCACCCTGGTGCGCAGTCTTCAATAAAATGGCATTAGAGCACGCATGAGTAGCTACATCAGAAAACGAATCATATTAATCTAGCAATAAATAAATATGATTGCTAGTATTGTTATCGCAAATGCAGAGTGACATGCCATGGATTTTTCTTTCTTGTCTATTTATTCTTCTCAATTCTATAGGAAAAGTTGCCTTTTTGTTTTTTCCATGAGATTTTGAATTATCTACATAAATAACTATCTATAAATGCTGAAAAATCTGAAGGATTTTTGTTCCTTATCAATATTGCCAAATTTACCTAATGTTGAGGAAAATTTTGTGCACAAAGAACTGTATTCTATTATCAAAACAAAGAAATATATTTTTAAAGAAATTTTACAAAAAAGAAACAAGCAAACAGAAAACGATAGAACAAACATCACTGTCAGTTTTCATGGTTTACTGAATGATGACATAAAATGATATTGTTGTTGTTTTGAAGTAGTTTTTAATCTTGAATTAGAAGATCTTTGATGATAAAAATCATTTCCATAGAATATAAAAATTAATAAGTGATAAATGCGTGATCGACATAGTATCATAAAAACAAGAAAAACGCCAATTGAACCAATTAATAATGGGATAAATATAGGATTTTGCAATGTAAAAAAGGCTTGCGCTAAACGAGATGTTGTTTCACTATGATCAATCATAACATGACTATCAATATTATCATCATCATTTGACATGAAACGATTTTGATATTTCATTATGTTACTAGCAAAAAATAAACGAAAATTATAATTGTTAAAGTAAATAGAAAAAAGCTTCTACTTGTGTGATGCCAACGTCGTCGCCAATGGTTCTGATGGTTTAACTGGTCGATTAATAATACATTGAGGTAATTTTCTTTGTTGGTTTGTATTATCTAGATCATTTTTTTCAATGACACGAGAAAATTTATGTAAACGACTTGTATTTAATCTTTCTAGTTCAGGTACTTCTAGATCCATTTGTTTATTTTCATCTAATTGCAAAAATAGTTTAGGTACACGACTTGATGTTGTAAATTCTAATAGAGCCAATAAAAGCCAATAACAATCACGTGAAAGATGTACCGAATCAATACAGTTTGAATCGCCATATACTGCTACACGCCCACCACCAGATGCTTCTACAAGACCGAGAATTGGCATTGAACTAGACCGAGATTTGACTATAGATTCAATATCTTGTTGTTGTTGTGTTACGAGATTTTCATGGTCTTCTAGATTTAAATGACGCTGTTGAGGCATTTTTGGAGAAATAGGCATTCGTATTATTGTTTCACCTTGATCAATTAATGGACGATAGATTAGATAGCCATCAGCTGGAAATTGAACTATATGTGTACCTATCAAAGAAAACATGCATGAACCGATCAGAATACAAATATCATTTGTTCATAGCTAACGAAAATGTGACTTGAATTGGCACAGTTAGTTAATGAAGTTCTCTATCAAATTCATCGCTAATTTAAAGTTCATCAATGGGCAAGAAGCGCAAATCTTTATTGAAAATTCAACATGATAATTGTCAGATCTTAGAATAGAATGTAAACGTTAGTTATTAATTTTAAGGGTATGATCATAGAGAATATAAAATAGTAAGTAAAATTTTTGTTTATTGCCTTTCGTGAAACTTTTTCATCGCAGTTATTAGTATCATACAAATGTTGAAAAACTAAGATTTATCATCGCATTTTCAACACAGAAGCTCACAAGAAAACAGACTGGCCACGCTCAAAATTTTTTTAAGTAAAGAAGATCCTCAAAAACATAATGAAGACTAGTCATATATAAGGTAGGATGTTCTTGAAGCTAGTACATTTATTTCTGCAGAATTGTTTGATGCTTCAAAAGTTGAAGTTTAAATAAAATATTCAATAACGTAAAATAAAAATTAACACTAAGTTTACACAAAGCTTATTGATTAAAATTTTTGTACTGAGAATACTAAATTCATTCTAAAAAAGAACACAATAAATTCCTGTCGTTATTCATTATTACAGACATTAATTAGTAAATTATTATACATTCTTGATCGTATTATCAGCTTTTTCTGAAGCGGTCTTGCAAGTCAGGGAATTCACTTGAGATAAAAAATCAAATAATAAATGTTTTATTCAAGGCTTCTGTTCTTCAAATTAAGTAGTAACATAGTTTCTAACAGATAGACTATTCTGGATACTTTCACTCATGAGCACAATTGCTTTCGTTTACCTGATGCATAATAGATTGTATGTTCACCAAGATCAAAATTGCCTTCTAAAACAGTATCACCTAAAGCAATGCCAAGTGGTTTTAGAAGATTATTTAATGCTGGTAAATTAGCACCACCGGTTTCTGGTAGCCACCTTTAAATTACAATATGTAGATAAAACATTATTTTAAGGAAATTTTCTTAGCATACCATTGTCGAGTATTTTCATCAAAAAATTGAACACGTTTCATAACAGATACATTATACCAATCAGCAAATACAATAAGCGATAAAGATTTATTAACAATATCATTATTTAACTTCGAAATTTCTTCAACGAAAAATTCTTCTTCTGGATCAACAATTAATAAGGTTCCTAAATATTATAGTAAACATATAAAAAAAATTTTGATTCCAGGGAAAAGGCAATATTATTACCATACAGAGAAGCATCAAAGCATGTATAGGGTTTTCCTAATACTTCAATAAAATATCCAGCATTTCTTAAATGTTCATAAACATGACGAAAATTCGTATGAATATGATCAGCATTCCAGTCAAGTGGATCATTTTTCTGTCTTAAATCATCACGTGGAAAATAGCCAGGTGGATAACCAATTGAGTGATATTGATCCCAAAGTATACGATGAGAACGTATTGGTGTTGGAATTATACGTACACGAATCGGTAGCAGTAGATCACTTCGTTGAGGTAAGCTTTCCGAATCCTTAAAACAAAAATATAAAAATCAACCTTTTTGTTGGATGCAACTATAGATTATCTATCCTATTACTTTTGCTGGTGATTCAACACTTAATGTAACATAACCTTGTACTATTCCTTCGAACTCTGAAGCATTCTGATGAATAGTCATCGATAATGCAAGATACCCTGACCATGGCCATAATCTTGATGAAAAATCAAACGATAATTCAAGGTATTGACCATATATCTCTTGTGGATGCCATCGAGGCTATTTATCAAAACAAAATATTTTTTATTTGTTTTACTTAGCCTGATCGAAAAAAAATTACCTGTCCTACAATTTCACCAACAACGTCCATTCCATTTAAAATTGTGACATTAACAATAATTGGCATCGCGCTATGATAAAGCGGTTGTAAACAATATGGCCAAAAATATGGACATTCTGTAAAATCAATATACGATGGACTTAGTCTAAAGCATAAATAATAAACTAGATATTACTTTAAAAATTTCGAAAAAAAACAAAGGATTACTTACGATGCTTGTGGAACATATTGATTGAGAACACGAAAAGCTCGTAATAAATTTAATTTTCCATGTCCTTGTTCGAACATATTAGCATGTCGAATACGTTGAGCAGATGCTAATAAGGCTTGTTTTAAACTAGCTGGATTAATTATATTCGGTGTACGATGAAGTACAGAACTTAAAATAAAATATTTTAATGTTTACTAGCAAAGATTCGATCTAAATACAAACCTTGCTAAAAGAGCAACAGCACCAGCAACAACAGGTGATGCAACACTTGTACCCGATAAAACTTTACATCCAGATACAAGATTTGAACCTCTAACAAGTGAACCATATGTTACTAAATCGGGCTTCACTCGACCATATCCATCGGGAAGCTAATAGAAAGAAAAAAAAAATTATTCAGAACTATGTCGAAAACATGTTCAATATTATTCGAAGGTTTAATAGACATTCTACATATGAATGAAGTTAAAGACTCATGTGCTATTTTCAAATTCCACCATAATTAGGATGTAGAAATCTTATAAGATGAAGTGATGAGTTGCAGTTCTGATAAGTATCTTCGTAAAAAACAAAATTTGTAAAATTAGCAGACAGCAAAAGAAAGTTTTGCTAAAAAATAGACTTTTCAATACATGAAAAGTCAAAATCATATATAAAATCGATATTTTACCTCCCATATTGTCATTCCTCGAGATGAAAAACGTGATATAGCATCATCTACAGTTATACTTCCAACTCCGATCACATCCATTTGATCAGCAGGATTATTTAATGTACTAAAACAAAATAAGCATTCACATCTACTCATGAAAAATATATAGCACAAGACAATTTACCCATATAAAGGTCCATCATTTCCAATAGCCGATACAAGAATAATACTATTCGATGTCAAATCCCATACCTAAACCGAAATTCGTATTCTAATCAAATTTCTACAAAACAAAAATGTCAATACCTTATCAATAAATGGTTGATCCATAAAATCTGGACCACCAATACTTAAATTGAGTACATGTACTTTCTTAATAATAGCATAATTAAAAGCATCAAGAAACCAAGATGTATAAGATATCTAAATAATAGTCTTTTCGTTTATAAATAAGCAAGAACAAAAAAAAACAACTAAAGAAAACAAAAAGCATACATGATTATTCGTAAAAACTTTGAATATATGTAACTGTGCTTCTGGTGCAATGCCTAAGCATTCTCTATTACTACCAATAATACCAGCAACAAATAATCCATGACCGATGGCTAAAAGAAAGATTTGAATAGCTAAAATAATTTCAAGGAAAAAATCTCTCATACTATCATAATCATTTTTTTCATCCGTCCAATTGGTTACTTCGGCAATATTAGGAAAATGTGGATGCCCATCTTGAATACCTGTATCAAATACTGCTACATGAATACCGAAACCTCGATGACCCATTTTCCATAATTTTGGTGCTTGTAAAGTTTCTGCTATTCGAATATAATTTGGTGGACTACGATGTAACTTTCTTTTATTGCCAGTTATTTCATGTTCTTCTTCAACTAGAACAATCAAATACAGTTTTTAATTATGAATCAAAAATCATCAATACGAACCAGTTGAATAATGAATATGACGAATAATCTGTCGATGAGGACTAATTGCACGAATTAATGGACGTTTCTTGAGAGCTTGAATTATTTGTTTATCGCCATTAAACTATATTTAAAATAGCAAAGAAAACTTTAATGAATATATATGACAACGGAGTTTGAAAGCTCGAATTCGAGTTGTCTAGCTCTCTTTATCCACTGAAGAACATACTCGAACAATATCAAAATCAGATGGATAAGTTTGCATGAGATTAGTTCTTTTAATTATCTCATAGTCAAATACATTATTATGTTCAAAGACTCGTGCTAAATAATTTTTACGAGTAATTTCAGTATAATAGCCGGTAAATTGAACAATAAATTCTAATGAAAATAAATTTAATTATTAGAATTATAAATTCCGTTCGATAAATTCTTACCATCTTGTATCGTTTTCGCTTCATATTCTATACTAAGTGTTTCTTCATTTAGATTTGTTGTTACATTACAAGGAAATATCTCATCGCTATCAATTGTTGCTGTTGATGTATTCAGAAGAAAATAAATAAATAAAGTCTTGATTAGCACATTGACCATCGTGGTCCATGCTGAATAGAAATAAAATAACTCCAAATTAACGTTATTTCATTATCTAAAAATTAACTTAATTAGACAAATGCAGAGAAAAAAAAGACAGAAAAAAGAACAAAAGAAAAAGAAGGTCATTATTCATTTTGTACACATGTTAAGCAAATGGTTAATTCATTGTTTCTAAAAAAATAATTTATCAAAATAATGAATGATTTTTGTGAAATTAATTTACATATTTGTTGAACAATAAAGGCAATATATCTTATTACATTGTGAGCATGGCATGAGATGATTTGAACAATATTGTTTTTCACAATAATCACACATTGACAACATTGGAATCGTACAATGCATTGATGAACAACACAAATTTACTTGAAATGGTTTTATGTCTAGTAGAAACACACATGTATTTATACAATTTTCTGCGACAAAAAGAAGTACGAAGAATTTACCATTAGTTTTTGTAGAATCATTTAATTTTCGAAAGAAATTTTTTGAACCATCATATAATTTTTGTTGTGTTGTTTCTAAATTATATTGTGCAGATTATGAATATTACATTTGAAAGAAATGATTCTATACGAGAAAGCTACCCTTGCAGCTTGTGTGCAATACATCTGTGAAATACGATATCGCGAGGATGTAACTAAGCACAGGGAGATTATATTATTTTATAGATTTTAGGATATCTTTTTTCGCTTTACTTAATCCTTAAGAAATACAATCAGACGAGAGTTTATATAGCAGAACAAACTATCAATAATAGACGGCATACGATCATTTATCAGCCAAGCTGCTTGTCATCGTCATGTACATTCAATGAGCATGAAACAGAAATATATCTATTTAACATAGGAAGCAATGCATAAACTAACTGATTATATAAATCAATAGAAAATAAATGGTAAATGTTTCGAATAAAAATTATAGTCTTATCATTGCTTTATTTGAATTCCTAACGAAGAAACTTGCGAAATCTGAAAACATTTTCCTCAATATATGTTGACGTACGCATAGAGTACATGTTTAGAAACGAATGACATATCCGCATCATCTTTTAAGTCCTTCGTATATCCAAATTTTTATCTTTGTACTTCAACATTCCTTTTATATCGTATTTCACATGCGATTATTATGATAGGAGAGAATTGATTACGTACGAAAAATACTGTTAAGATGATAACTAGTCATCCTGTGCCGTTGCTTCATATCTTGTTCGTCATTATTATTCTCAGAAAATTTTCTTTTTCTCGACATCATCTGAAACAAAGTTAAGCTTCAATAAAAGACCACTATGGATATATTTGGATAAATGTTTAGTAAAAAAAGAGCAACCCAGTACAAAATTTTGTCATTGTTAATATTAAAAAACAAGTGAATTGATAAAAAAAAATATCACAAAACATAGATCACAACTATTTATAATTCATATTTCACTTGTGCTGGAGATTTCATGTTAATATAAACGTCATTTTTCGATGAGCCGATAACTCGTATAGCCTAAATTGATATAATAAAGAACGTTTGCATACGTGAAAAAGAAATCCATTTCATTTTACCATGTAATTTAAGAGTGATTCAACAGTGAGTCCCATTTTATTTTTTAATTTGGCAAAAGTTTCTAAAAATGATTTAAATTCTATATAGAGAAAACAAAATATTTATTCATGTTACCAGTCTCAGTTGAGTATCGTGTTCGAACAGCTTGAGCTTCAGCATCAGCTCTATGTTAAATATATGTACATGAACATTTGTTGTTGAACAAAAGATAAAATCTTACTGATTTAAAATAATGTTACTGTCGGTTTCAGCACGTTCATTGATAATTTGAGCTTGTTTTAGTGCTTTTTGATATTCTGTACGAGCTTGTGTTAATAATTTTGGACGCTCATTCTCAGCAATCTATTAATAGATACATTCTTTTGTTATAATATTAAATTCAAATTGAGAACTAACTTTAATATTTTCTTTTGCTGCTTCCTTATCTTTGACAGCTGTTTCAAAATCTCCTGGTCGACGAACATTATTTACCTGTTTGAAAATAATTGATGAATACTAATTTATAAAAACAAAATAAATACTTGTAAGTCGCGAAGAATTGCATAAAATGGAGTGAATGTATTTTTCATTTCCTAATAAAATTTCATAATTTAGACTAGTTAATTTTAAACAAATATGTATTCTTTACGTCGAGTAATTTAACTTGAAAAAAACCTCTCATACTTTGAAAGGCAGTTGTATTAAAACTAAAATAAATCAATTGTATAAATCATAGAGAAAAAAACCTTTTTCATTGCCTATCCAAAACAACAAAGTCATATTTTAAGTTTTCGAAATACAACCATTGATTTTAAATATTAAAGCTCAAAAATGTAATATCTTAGAGTTGTTCGGAAACATTATTTTGCATAAAATTTATAATCTATGAGATTATTGAGCTAGCAATGGAGGTGTTTGTACTGTTCATCACGAAAACCGTTCATATTGTTATCAAATGAAAGGGCTCATTACCAAACTAACAGGGTTAAAATATTAGCGGCCCATGGCTTGCCTAAAGGGAGATATTCGG